ATTTCCTCTTTTACTGAAAATGGGACGGACCATAGGGATGTAGATGCGACACCCCTATAGCCAGCCGTACCCACCGCCTAATATCCCGGACTTCTGCCTTCCTCAGCCTTATCAAGCAGCTTAACGACAGCCTTGTGCCTGTTCTGAGCGGCCCATGATAGCGGCGTCCGGCCAGAGGTATCCTTTGACTCGACATTGGCGTCCTTATCGAGCAGTAACTTAACGACGGCCTCATTCCCGTATTTAGCAGCCCATAATAGCGGCGTCTGGCCAACGGTATCCTTTGACTCGGCATCGGCGCCCCCATCGAGCAGCAGCCTGACGGTGGCCTTGTTTCCCTTCTCAGCGGCCTGCCATAGTGACTGGCCAAGGATTTCAACATCTGCCATTATCTGTTGCGGGGACTGGATGAGACACCCAGGAGAGCTCTGCAGGCTACAAGTTGCTCAAATTTTTTGACAATGCCGGTCGTGTCAAGACAGTACTCCAGAGAACAACGCAGATGCCCAGATAAGTCGATAATAGGTCAGGAATAGGATGGGGTTTCAGTTCCTTATCGTTCATCAGCTGAGATTTATAGATTAAGGCTTCATTAGAATTCAGCTCGTGACATTGCGAAGTCTTTGATGATCTACGTCAACGAGATGTGCCGATTCACCTGCAAGTACGCGCTCGCGGTCGAGGAGGAGTGGCTTCGCTAGATCACGGCTGACAAGGAAGCTGCTGGGTAGGTGAATTGAGGCCGCCTCCCCCTTGAATTGAGGCCACTTCCCACATTCCAACGATCCGAAACTGTGACTTGAGCCTTTGAGGTTTTGGCAGCGCTATACCACACTCTATCATCTTCCACGGGGTGGAGATATATAAGTTGGCGCACGACATGCAGACAGGTCAACGGTAGTCAACATTGGAGACTTAAAGCCCATGATACATGCTAGCTGTCCGCCAACGCCTTCAAGTCCGAGCTTCGCGAAAGATCTCCTTCATCAATAAATAGAGCTCCGGTTCTGGCTCCGGCTGCTTTCACCTCTCACTATTCGGAATCATTTCTCCACAGTTCTGTTGACCTTATAGGTCAATAGCTGGTGCTGGTAGTACAATGTAAAGTTCTCTTCCACTATCTTAAGAAAGCAGGGCTGAATGCGTAGACTTGATGTTTGCCTCTCCCTCCATCTATTGCGTGTTTCAGCCGACCGTTTAACTGACGGCGTCGGCTTCGGGATGAAAGGGACGAGGCTCAGCTCGCCCAATGGAATGTCAGCCACCTTGGTCATCTGCTTCTGCCTCCGCTTTAAACCTCTTTTGAAAAACGATGCATTACACGTGGGGTCCTCCCGCCGCCACGTAGCCAAAATCCCTCTTCAATCCCTCTCTCTCCTCAATCCCTCTCTCTCTTCAATCCATCCCTCTCTTCAATTCCTCTCTTCAACATCAAGGCGCATAACACAAAATCTCAAAGTAGGCAATGTAGGTATATTAGGGATGATCCTGCCCTTAAGGAATCTTGTACTATAGAGGCTAATAGTGAGGAAGAACTTATTAAGACAAGACTTGCTTGATCAGCCTCACCCGCTGAGCAGGGTCATCGGGCAGGGCCATATCAATCGATCCCAGCTTCATCTAGAGAGGGAAGCATTCTATATAGCCTCCCGGAGCTTATTCGCTTTATGGTCAATGCATATATAACTCAAATGCGGACCACATTTTTCGGCGTGGCCGGCATCAAGGTGCACTCATGAACAGGAATAGGGAGTACTGCAAGCGATTGACTTTATTTTATACGAAATTACCTAGCCAATGTCACAAGGGCGCATTCTTTCTAGCGTCTCTACACAACTGGCATCGCCCTTGATTTCCTTTCGAATGGGTCTGCCCTACAACCACACAAGGCACTCTTGCAGTTCTAAAAGTCGTATGATCTCTCCTTCGGTAGCCATGCGCCTTCCTCCGATGCTCAGGTAAACGCCAGAAAGAAAGGCTACACTCAGGGCATATCCCAGGAGCATTATAGTCTAACGATGCTTCGGTCGCCCGTTCATTCATAGGGGTTTCCCGCCTCTTCTTAAGGTTGCCAGAGTTGCCTAGTTCCAGTGTAGGCGCTGGAAACGGGCTCTGGGTCAACCCGGCTAGTACTTGGCCCCAAAGACGAACTAGTTAGGCATAAAGCTCGTTCTCAGGCACTCGAATTAACTCCTGTTTGGATAAAGGCCAAAATGCTAATGTAATTCCCCGCGTCATTCAAAAGGTAAAAGTAATTATTAATATAAAGAGAACTTATAATTAATTTAATATAGGCTACTTACAGGCAGATGACCTAATTATAATATAGGACTTAATATAGTTAAGCAGCATCAGCACCCTTACATTGCAATAGTAGGCTTAGTTAACAATAAGTAGCCAATCAGTTACTAAACATTTCCTAGTATCTGTAATATGCTTGTCTAATTTAATTAGATCCTTAGGTCTTAGAGCTCTGTTTAAATAATAAAAAGACTGAGTTGATCTGCTGAAGCAAGTTTGAATTCCCGTCGCCCAGTCAAAAACTGAATTTAAAACCCAAGAGCATAACTCAGCTCAACCTCAAGAACCCACCAACTCACAAACACCAACAACTCACAAACACCAACAACTCACAAACACCAACAACTCACAGACACCAACAACTCACAGACACCAACAACTCACAGACACCAACAACTCACAGACACCAACAACTCACAGACACCAACAACTCACAGACACAATGGAACCCGAGAGAGGTAGTTCACTTTCTCGCTGTCTTTATAAACAGCAAAGGTCCGGCTCTAGCCCTACTGGGACTGTAAAAAACATCGGCTCAAATAAGAAACGGTGCGAGGATGATCTTATGAGCCGCGAAGGCTCTCGCGGGGAGTGTGACCTTATCTCCTCACTTCATTAAGGTCCAGACCTGGAAGAAGGGCCTCTACGATAAGAAAGATGCTGTACTTGACAGCTTTCTGGCCTAGGAGGCCACTACTATTGACCTTGTGAGAATCGTTGGCTTAAGATTGACTGGTCTAAGATTGAGGGAACTGGATGCTGGAGTGGTTTATATAATCAGTGTATCTAATTTAAAAGGCATCATTATGAGGCTCATCATACTGATTAATAAGCCTTTGAGGTATCAGCCCCCGTAACACAACAACACCAGCATGTAAGATCCCCCACCGAACCTTACTCAGTGTCTCAGCCATAGTCCAGACAAGCCCGACAATCTGTCGTTGTTGACCTGATGTCACATCCATATCCTCAGGCCCATTCTGAGCCATTCTTGACACGAGGTTGTGCATTTCTCCTCGAGGGTTCCAGATGATCTCATCGCTCTCGTCATCACTATCATCAGCATCATCGTCCATGTCAAGCGTACCTCCTCTATTGGGCTGGCCGTGGCAGAATGCCCAGCATGCAAGGGTTGCAAGATACAGACACCAGGGGACGTGAAAGAGCTGCATGGCGTCTGAACGAGTGAGCACCTTTGTGTTTTCGTGAAGCAGGCGGGACGCGTGCCATGCAGCCACAGATGCTGGCCTCTTACGGCTTCTTTTGTTGTGTTCGGCGTTTGAGGTTTGATCCTTACTTGGTCGCTCTGTGACTGAAGCCCACTGTTTAATCGCCTTTGCGGATCGACGGTAGTCCTTCTGCTGAACTGGCCGACCCAAGATATGGCGAGCACCGGCATAGATCTGTATGTCGAGGAACTCCATATGAAGAAGTGCTTGTGCTGAATGAAACAGAGCATTGTATGCAGTGGCAAACGCCACGTACTCGCTCCTTCTAGCCTGGTCCTCGGGTGTATTCTGGAGTCGGGAAATAATTGAGGTTATGTAAGCGTCAAAATCTTCCTTCCAAGCGTCGTAAGCGTTCCCTATGAGCTTCCGCCAGTTAGATCCGGTTCCATCACCATCTACTACGCCGAGCGCTGTCTGGTCACGGCGTTGCATATCCCAAGCGATGGACATCAGACCATGCAGCATAAGTACGTGAGACAGCCCCGTCAATGCTTTTGGTCGTGGCACCGATGGCCCAAGATATGATTTGAGACTGGGAAGGTAAAAGCTCTGCTGGGAAGTGCTGGATGATGAAGTCCATGCCATAGCCCAGGATGTCGGGTCTGGAGCTTCCCATATTCTTTGGCTGCATGGCAATTCAAGACGAAGCTCAAATGCTGACATACATAGACTCTGACAAAAGAGAACTGCATGCTGTGTATCCCACATAAAGCACAGAAGTGCAAGACTGTGGTTATGTGTCAGCTAAATGTTCTCACCAAGGTTCTTCGTTGAGTGACATACCGTTTCTTTTGTTCTGCAATGGCCCATCGTCTCCAAGCCTCTCGCAATAAGCCCTCATTTGTCTCGATGCAGTCAGTAGGTGGCCCTTGAGGGCGGACCGACTGGCAGTCGGATCTGCGAATGAGATTTATAAGAAGCCCATGGAAGAGATGGCTCATATCGTGCTGCTTCTGCCCAGCTCGAGACTTTCCGAAGCATTCCACCAGAAGGATAGTCTGCAGAGTCCAAAGTTCTGCGCGAGCCGAAAAGCTAGCATGGGAAAAGATGCTAGGCCGTATAACGTCATGGATGCACACAGCCAGCTGATGAGCATCTTTAGAAGAGTAGGTTGCACCAAGCAGGAGGACGGAGAGGAGAAGCAACGACTCCATTCTGTTTACATCGAAGGTTGCAAGGTGCATGAGTGGGTAGGCAGTGTTGAACTTTACGAAGAACAATTCTAGGTATGTTTGTAAGGAGTCTCGGGACAGTAATGGCTCATCCCACACGGAGTGACGAGGATCAGGTAGAGACGGGTTAGCACTCTCCACTACTTGGAGGATTCGTTTGCGCACGGTTTCGTCAATCTTTGGTATCGATTGACCTTTGTCAAGCATCGAGAATGGCCTGTTGAATTGCGGTTCCTCGACATACTGCTGATCCTGGGTAGCGTGAGGCTTCAATGTTTTGGCGCCTTTCTGCTGTATTGGCGTTGTAGACTCGTTTCTCGAGCTGGCAAAGCTCTCTGGAGTTGTCTTGATATGGTTCAAGGTTGCGGTTCGTGGATCAGGGGCATCTTGCCTCGTATCGCTGTTGTGAGACTGTACCGACTCTGACCAACGGCGCGTGCTGTTCATAGAGTCTGGTGATAATATCTGGACGGGCTCCGACATTTGGGCGGACGGTATATACTGCTCGTTGGATTTTGTGAGGGGTGTTGGTGTTGGGTTCAAGTTCATGTTAAATAGCCAGCTGTAGTCCAACGCAGTCGTATAGGGCATGTTAAACGAGCTGGCTGTATCTGGCTGGAAGTTTTGCGTGTAGTCAAGCGCCGCGTTGTCCACGAATGACTCGTTGAGGAGTAGAGGGTCAAGCTGATCGAATGAGAACTCGCCTATGCCTTCGCCGTGATCAAATGGGTCGGTTGAAGTGGTAAAGTTGGCCAAATTGTCGTCTGCAACCAGTTCGCCAGCGGTGTGAACAAAGATGGAGTCTTCGATATGCAAGTCGGATGAGGAATGAAGATCGACTCCATGCACTGACTGGCCTTCGTTATGGCCCCAACTGATCAGCCCAGGGGATTGATTCCTTGTGTTGTCTGCTTGGTCGGATTCTGGGGATGGGACTTGTTGTGTTTCTCGAGGGTTCTGTCCCGAACCCTTGGCAGTTTTAGCTTTCGTCTTGCTATCCCGACACGGTCGCTTTTCAACGACCGTACCGTCGGGTGCTTCCCAGGATCTCTTTCGTGTATCGAGAACGCCAAAGCCGGTTCCTCCGGCTTCAAGATCCTTTTGACGATGTCTCTCCATATGTCGCCCTTTGGATACGTAAGAACAAACGTTGATTGACTCGGCTATACAAAACATGGTCACTCACTCAGCAAGTCAGGCCGTTTGAAGTGTGCACGGCATATGTCACATGAAGAGCCGCCCGGTAAGTGATTGAGAGCATGTCGTTGCAAGTGTTCTGAGCGCGTGAACTTCTTGCTGCAGCCCGGATGGGTACACTCAAACGACTTGTCACTCTGAGGAGCTGGTTGTGAGGCTACAGAACCTCTTCGAGGGGTCCCTGGTTGACCCTGCGATTGTGTCTGTTTACGACCCATGGCTTCTGTAAGAAACGCATCGACCGCTAGGGACAGCTCGTCGTCGGCTCCGTACATGGCTGTAGAGTGGGATGAGGTGGGAAATGTTAAAGATGAACAAGAGATAGAGTGAGGAAACGTTGGGGTTCTAGAGTGGGAGGAATTGCCGAATGCCGTTGAACTCTGTCTGATTAGTAGTGTAACTCTGATAAGTGATAGGCTTGGCTGGACTCCGCCACAGTGCTACCAAAACCCCACCCTTATCAACTTCCCCGCACATTATCTTGATAAGTGGGAGGATACTAACGGGCATGGGTGAGTGGGTAAAAGAACTCGGGTTCAAGATCCGTGTTTGCACTAGCGATGGCTATCTAGACCCAGAATGTAAATGCACGAGCATATCGGCATCGGTCTTGTAAATCGGACAAACGAGTAATCGCACCACTACTTGTGTCTGCTTTGCCACAAGACCTAGACTGCATCGCATAGACTTTTAATACGAATGTAAAGACCTTCTGCTCGATACCGTTTTTTCTGCCTATTCCCAATCACGTTTCAGCAGCCTAGAGACAAGATGTCCTACAAGATACAGGAAGTGATGGAGAGAAGTGATTCAAGCAGGCTTCATGTAAGTTCAAGACTCTACATCTGGAGCATTTATTTTGAGATTAATTTGTATTTAGGTAGTCATTGTAGGAGCCGGTCTCGGTGGTCTCGGTGCTGCAATCGCCGTCCGTCTCGCCGGCCATGATGTCACGGTTTTGGAGTCTGCACCAGCAATCGGCGAAGTCGGTGCCGGTATCCAAGTTCTTCCCAACGCTGCTCGAGTTCTCTTCTCCTGGGGCCTCGAGAAGGAGTTGATTAAAAATGCCACCAAGCCAAGAAAATGCAACTTCATCGGATGGAAAGGAAACTATCTCTCCGAAATGGACTACCATGGCTATGCGGCTGCCTCGGGAGGCTACCCTTTCCTCGATTTTCATCGCGCGACTCTGCACAAAGCACTTTTGGACAGAGCTCAAGAGCTTGGTGCCAAGATTCTTTGCGGATCTAAAGTCTTGTCCTACGAGATTGCAGAAGACAACAGCCATGCAACTGTGTTTCTAGAAGGAGGTCAAACCATGAAGTCTGACTTAGTAGTCGGCGCAGATGGCATCGCCTCTTCACTCAGGGAGCAGTTCCTCGGCCGATCCGATCCTCCACAATTGACGGGTGACTTGGCATACCGGCTGCTACTGTCGACAGACGAGATGAGAAAAGACCCAGACCTGAGGCCATTCGTGGAAGACCCCCAAGTCAACTACTGGGTCGGTCCTGATAAACACGCTGTCAACTATGTTTTGAAAGGAGGGGAGCTCTTCAATATGGTTCTCTTGGTACCAGATGATATCCCACTCGACAGTGGAAACACTTTGAAGGGCAACATCGAAGAGATGAGGGCCCATTTCGCCGATTGGGATCCTCGAATCGGGAAGATGCTGAGCCTTTGCGACTCTGTTCTCAAGTGGAGATTATGCATTCGCCCTGGCCTCGATCCAACTTGGTCACATCCTTCGGGAGCCCTGACCATGCTTGGCGACTCTGTCCATGCGACACTACCATATCTCGCCAGTGGTGCTGGTATGGCTCTAGAAGATGGCGGCGTGCTCGGACTATGTCTCGCCAAGCTCAGCGACAAATCACCAGCCTCAAAGCTGAAAGCGCTGGCTGTCTACGAGTCATGCCGTCGAGAACGTACCGAGATGGTTGTGCAAAGAGGAACATATAACCAGTGGATATATCACCTTCCTGATGGTGAAGAGCAGAGACAGCGAGATGAACGATTCAGACAATACGGAAAGTGGGATGAGGAGTGGCTCAGTGGCGAGAACCCAATTATCCCGCAGTCGTCGGAGACCGGAGAGGACCCATTTCCTTGGAGATATCATGGAGTTGGACGGTGGTTGTTGACGTATGATATGTGGAAGGATGTTGATGAGAAGTTCTCGCAGCTCGACTCTGAAGCCAGTGGCGGCTCACTAAGAGCAAGTCTCTAACTATAAGCAATGCAGTATGTCTAGCTGAGGTATTGTTGGTTAGTCAATAAAACATTTATAAAGGTTGGATGGCATTGTCTAAGCACTGTTTAAGAATTTCTGCCGTATTGGCTTCAGAATTCTCAGCGTTCCTGTAATGGAAGCAAGGACATTCTAAGTTCCTTGAAGCCCTTGCAGAGTCATCTATAGGAAGATCGGGCATTCTTGGCCCGGGGGGGGACAAGAAGATTCCAGTTACTAATTCTAACCTTATGGGCGGCAGTTAACCACGCAGTCTAGATACGCCTGCACTACCTATTGACGGTGAGGAATATAAGATTGGATCTGGAGATAGTTGAACGACGAGTAAAATAAATCAAATGCAATGATGTAATTAGTCAAGTGGCTTCATATTTGGTGACAGCTTTTAACAAATGACATTTTACTTCTGACTATTGTAATTAAATTTCATTTGAATAACTGTTTATTCCGTGGCAGCTAAGCTGCCCACGCCAATATTTAGTCTATAGAACCGACCTCCACCCCCGCACGACTCCCACTCTATGCTTCACTCTTCACCTCTTGTGAGGGGTTGTAGAAAGGATAGTCATTGTAGCCCTTCTCCGGAGGATCGGCACCGTAGAATGTGCTGCGGTCATATGCGTTAAGAGGCCATCCATTTTGTAATCTCTCAGCCAAGTCAGGATTGGCAATAAAGTGTCGGCCCATGGCGACCAAGTCAGCCTCTTGACTCTTGATCTTGGTGGGAGCATTGTCTCGGTTGAAGTTTCCGCAGGCCAGGAATAGAATTCCAGAAGGCTGGAGAATGTTGCGGAATATGTTGAGCGAGTTTGCCTGCTTTCCAACTTCGACAGCAGTGCCATCTTTACTATTACCGGTGGCAAGTGCAGCGAGCTTCTGTTGCTCATCGAGAACCTCATCGAAACGGGGCTCAATCCTAATGATCGTCAGTCAATTCGATGTGGTTTCAATGGTAGTATTGTGGCTTACATGTGGACGTAAACAGGCTTGTGGTTGTCTGGCAGACTGGCGATCTGGCCGCAGAGGTATGACCAATGACCGTTGGGATCACTGTCCTTCGTGCCCTGGAAGTAGTTGTAGGGCGAAAGTCGAAGACCGACCTTGTCGGCACCAATAGCATCACAACATGCAGTGAGAACCTCAAGCAAGAATCTGCATCTGTTTTCAACGGAGCCGCCATACTCGTCAGTTCGGTTATTGATGTTATCATGAAGAAACTGCTCGAGGAGATAACCATTGGCACCTGATCCCAATAGTTAGCAATAGGCACAAGTGGAGATTTTGTGTGTGTACATGCCATGAATCTCAATACCATCGAACCCAGCGACTTCAACAGCGCGCTTGGCGGCAGCTGCCCATTCAGCAGTAATGCTGTGGATTTCGTCCACTGTCAGAGCTCGAGGAGGGTCATCCTTGGTATCAGTGCCATCCAGGTATGTACCCGGCATGGGCTGGTCCCCGGAAGACACAGCCCTCTCACCACCTCGCTGCGCACTACAGGACGCCCGTCCAGTGTGCCATAGCTGAGTAAAGATAAAGCCGCCCTTAGCATGGACAGCGTCTGTTACCTTCTTCCATCCCTGTAATTGGGTGTCGGTAAAGACGCCAGGGACACCAGGGTAAGCACTAGCGTTCAGGGCAATGTCGGTCGCCTCAGTAATCTGAAGACCGCCGTCACTGGAGCGATCGCTGTAGTACTTGACCATGCGAGGACCAGGGACATAAACTCCGCGGGACTCGAATTCGCTTCTCATGCGCGTGTTGGGTGCCTGGCAGGATATGGTTAGGGCCTTCTTTGCGTATTAATAATTGGCTTTCACTGCGTACCTGCACAATTCGATGCTTCAAGTTCAGCTTGCCAAGCTTCAAAGGGGAGAACAAAACAGTGTCCTTCAGCGCGGCATGTGCCGCTGGTGGTGTAACTGCAATAGGCATCTTCGTAGGGGTTGCGGGTAAAGATCGGGGGAGGGAGCGTCACAAGCTTTCGGGAAACTTCAAGCTGTTGGAAAGTTGCCTGATTGTGCTTGGAATTGGCAGATCAAGTAGCTATGGATGGTGAAGCTTTAGTAGCCGCTGTACTTTGTCCTTGTTCATTTTGTTGTTTTCGGTTGCAATCTAGCATGGACTCTCGGTACCCCATCCCCCACCCTTGAACGATGAAAGTGGGTTTCGCAGATGCGAGGAGTTAATAATGATTCTCGATGGCCACTGATAAGACGCAGAACGACAGGGAAGAACAAGAATGGGGGTGGGTCGGACCAGGATCGGAAAGTTTAAGACAGCTAGTACTAAGAAGGATTAGCATCGACGCGGAGCGAACAAGACATCCGATGGGCTGCTTTCATAACTTATAAGGGTCCAATCTCATCATCCCTCCCGGGTAATAATTGTGAATTTTCAGTTTTGGTCAGGAGGTATAAGGAAGAATACACAACAGTAGAAAGCCTGTTGCAACTCGATGAAACAACTGACCATTGCTGTGATACCTACTGAGTTGGAAACATTTCTAATAATTGTTCAAATTTACTAGTCTAGATAGAGGGTGAATATAGAAAGTTGAGGTTCGAAATGGTTTGATGGTCATTTTGTGCGAAAAGTATAAAGTAAGAATTTTTAAAAATGATGTATGGAGTTTTGCACTGGAGTACAGTTTAAACATATATTACACCAGTTGACGATCTCCCACTACTAGCAAAACAAAATCTGTGATTTTAAGACCATGTACCCTATCCTGACTCCCTGAACTCTAGAGAGATGCATGACCATGTGTTTCGTAAGGAAGACCAATACAGAAGAAGCCAACCACAATCCACAGCGCTGCACTTGCATAAATGGGAACAACTGAGAACCCGGAATAAGTTGAGATAAAAGATGCCACAAGGCCACCAAGTCTGAGAAGCGTAGCTGCAATACCCGTTCCAGTACCCCGTACCGGTCCAGGAAAAGACTCAGGAGTAAATGCAAACATGACGGCGTACTCTGCAAGACATGTTAGTGTGTGAGATGATAAATGAACAAAAGGGAGACTGACCAAAGTTTCCAAGAATAGCTGTAGCACACTGAAATCCAATATCGGCGGCTTCAGTGCCAACAGCAGTGTATGCAAAGAGAAAGACGCCTGTAAGAACGGCGGAAATGGCCATCATCCACCTGCGGCCGAACCGAGTCTCGACCAGGAACCCTGCAGTAATGGGGCCGAGGACTCCAACAGCGGAGACGATGCAGTAAATCATGTATGTATGGTTGAACGATGAGCTAGCCGTGTAGTCCTTCTTTGACTCAAGATAAGAAGTAATAAAGGCAAAGTACAGCGGATAGGCGATTCCAATAGTAAGCCAAATCAGAAATGTGACTGCGCTGTGCTGAGCCATCTTGCGGCCGGCGAAGAGCGAGCGATAACTGCTCATGTTGAAGTCCTTGAAGTTCTCCCTGAGGATGTCCTTCATAGAGAGCTTCTTCTCGGTCGGATCCGGAATGGCGTGGACAGGCTCACCGGTAGATGAGACAACCGCAGACGAGTAGATTTGGCGGTCAATATCTTGCATCATCTCGAGTGTCAGGGTCTCAGGCTTGCCGTTATACCGAGCGATGTAGTTGACCGATTCGACAGCCTCTGCGTCGCGTCCCTTGGAGAGGAGATACTTGGGTGACTCGGGGATTTTGAAGACGAAGAGTCGGACCAAGGCAAGGATAAGTGCAATGCCACCGAGAGTGATCATGACATATCGCCTGTAGAGGCCATCCTGTTAGTCCGGTGCATCAGAAGTCTGGACGGTGAACTACTTACCATCCCATATTATCCTGTCTACGGCAACCCTCAGGGCTGCTGCAAGCAAAGTTGGCGAGGAACACCCATGAAAGAAGGGACACGATAAGCTGGCCAAGATTCCACCACGCAGACAGTGTGACAAGCAACCACTGATGACTCTGGGGAACAAACTCAAGGAACACGATACTGTCAACTGGGACGTTGCCTCCAGCTGCAGTACCAATCACGGCCCACAGAGAGCAAAATGTGATGAAGTCCTGAGATCCAGCAACTGCACAAGCAAAGATTGCTCCGATGAAGATTGTAGAGTTGAAAGCAGGCTTGCGGCCAATAACGTCAGCTGCAGTACCCCAAAAGAAGGCTCCGACAATCAGTCCGACGTAGTAAGCCACCGAACTGAAGCTGATTCTAGTTATGTCGTCGAATTCGTTCATGATCGGGGGACGGACGGCGGTGATGCCTTGGGACCAGAAGTTATCGACCATCCAACCGCAACCGTTGACGACGAAGAGGATCCATTGGAACCTAGCAAGAGGTCACTGTTAGCACAGACATTACTACTCATATGGGCTGTCAAACACTCACTTTCCAGTACCAATCTCTGAGAGATGGCGAGCAACAAGCTCGGACTTTAGCCGATACGACTCATTAACAGCACTCCCGTAAAAGTCGCGAACAGCACTGTCCTCAACAGGTTTGTGATCGCCGAGACGGTAGGAAGTCGCACTTGGAGTGTGTTGAAGCTTGGCTCCAGTGGCCTTCTCGGCGATATCTTCTGCGTTGTTTGAAGCCATGATGATCCTTTATGGAAAGAAGTGAGCACGTTGAAGATGAGAGGTTGAGGACTGGGGACATCAACTGGTGTCGACTCCTGTATTTATCACACATGAGACAAGGAACAGGTTCGAGTTCTCCCCTTTTGTGGCGTGAGAGAGATATAGACAGACAAGATAACTAATCGTTGCTACGAGTCAATGCACACCCTGAACCTAGACGTAACCTTAGCATCCGCTAGACCAGCAACAGGATCACGCCAAGGCAACGCGTATACTACGCTATCTACCTATCTTATCGGTTCGAACTCGCCTTGCTGACAGCTAAACCCCCACTTTCCCCGGATTATACCTGTTGTTTGAAGTTTAAACCATGAGATTTGGGATAAATGGGGTTAATCACATCAGATAATTGGTGCCCGCTATCGCTGGTCTCGACCTGGCTATGTATGGACATGATTTGGTCAATTCGTGAATCTCGGACACATTGATACTATAGAGGACTTCAGGGACCAATAATGAGTGATCTAGTACTCAAGTCTGGGCCAGGACGAGACGAGACGAGGCGAGGCGACGGCGTCGGAGGGGTGGGGAGTTTGACTAATCCCCTTCATACAACACCAGCGCATATGAGTGGACAATTGGATATTTGGCACTCCAAAGCGACACGACTAACAGGTAGAATTTGAGAAATCACATTTCAATCTGAGCGGATAATTGTTGCACATTAGCTAAACTTGAACAAAGAGTTTATAGCGCGTGATGTCTCATCAACCTTGCTTGACACCTAAGGATAATTGATACAGTATTTCATCAAGGGGGTTTCATTAAAACGAGAGTTCAGACAGAGGGGATCTGCAGAAAGCCCCCAAAGTACGAATCAAGCCAGCCCGCCGCCGTCGCACCCTCCTCGGCACTAGCATTCTTGATACGCCGAATGGCACCGACATACCCATCTGGCCTAATTACGAGGATTGAAACCTCTCCACCATCGACAGAGCCAAGCCACTTCTCTGTACACGAAGTTTGCTTGGTATCTAAATGCGTCGCGTCATCCAAATACACCGTCCACCTACTCTTAGAAAACGTGGGAGGTAAATCTGAGAGCTCAAACTCATTCTTGTCCGTGGAGGCTTAAAAGATTCAGCGAGTTAGTTGCTGTGATACAGTGGCGATGCAGAAGATGTTACTTACTGAGAAGCGCAAAGGTGATTAACTGGTTGACTGCTGTGTACCGTTCTGGCCGCACGTAAACATCATCGGCACGACTAGCGCGAGGCTTCTGCTGGTAAGAAGCCTGGGCTGACTTGCCAAGCTGGAACACGAATGAGTTTGATGTTGAGATAGACTCATCAAAGGCTTTGATGAAGCCACTCTCTTGACGACCTGTGAGATTCGGGGCAACTACATAGACTCGGAACTGGCCAAGAACTGGGACATCGAGCTGGACATCAACTGGACAAGCGTCTATGTAGCGTGTAACCTTGGCTTGCGGGAGATTGCACCCAGGTTTGGCATCGCCACACGGCGCGGTATCAAGCGGATTATTCAGCTCATTGGGACCGTACTCAACCCCCACTCCCGAGATGAAGCGAGTGTTCTTGCGAAAATTCTCAGCGAGTCTCTTGGAGTCACCTCCAGCAATCTCATTAGCGTGTTCAAAGTCAAAGTTGATAAGATCCTCCGCGATCTTCTTCCGTTCCTGCTCGTAAGATTGTAGAAGGATACCATCCTTGGCGAAACCACGAGCAGCAAGGTTGAGCTTCCAGCCCAAGTTCCAAGAGTCATGGACACTGGTATTCATTCCCTGTGCGGCTTTTGGACTGTGTGTGTGACTGGCGTCTCCAGCTATGAATATCCGCTGAGTCGGGTCCAGGAACCGTGTTGCGAAGCGTTGGGATACTTGGTAGTTGCCAAACCACTCCACTGATGTCCAGTTGACAGTATATGGAGCCATGATGAGACGTGCTTGCTCCATGACGAACTCCTGGCCGAGGCCTTTCGAAGTGACTGAACTCTTCATCTCGATGTAAAGTCGGGTCATGTTCCGCTCACGTGGAATAAGAAGGACGGATCCGTGTTCCTCAGAGAATATGACGGTCTTGCTCCAGATGTCAGGGAAGTCGGTGTCCAACTCTCCGTCCAAAACTCCCCAAACAGAATTGTGAGGAGTTCCTTGAGAGCCGGCACCAGGAATAGCGTTCCGCACTGCCGAGCGAGCACCATCACAGCCAACCAGGTAACTTGCCGAAATAGCTGTACGTGTTTCACCATCTTTGTCGCATTCGATCTCGAGATGGTCCGGAGAGCTTGTTACTCCTCGGAAAATGTGATTTCGAGTGACCCCGACACCACTTTTCCGTAAGTCATTGATAAACGCGCCTTCCATCATGCCTTGATGACACAAAAGGATGTAGGGGTGGAGCACATCTACCACTGAGGATGGATAGTGGACTTCACGTCCTGTACGGCGAAGTCCTTCGGTTGTCGAACCCCGCCACATGCAGATGTCATGAACCTTGACTCCTGTTTGTACAAGATCATCGCCAATTCGCAGCATCTGTAACGTCTCAATGGTCTTTGGCTGGATACCATCAGCGCGGCCTACGGTTGTCTGATCAGGCCTCTCATCGATGACCTTGACTGAGAGACCAAGTTTTGCCAATACAACACTGGAGAAACTATCAGCATGAATAGGGACAAACAGGAATTACGAAGCTCACCTCAACATGAGACCCGAGGGGCCAGCTCCAACAACGCAGACATCATGGACATCGCCATCGTGATATCCGTTGCCGTAACCATTTGTGCTTGTCGGAATGGTCATGTGGGGCAAGTGTTAGTAGTGTAATGTCGATGGGAACTGTGCTGAGTGATGATGGTGTTTGACAGTGTAATTGATCTCATCAACACATTCACCTCTCAGATATATCAATCAAGTTGGTTCTTAACAATAGACAACTAGAGACTTCTTGCGGCGTCTTCCGCCAAATGTCGTCTCATCCGTTGAGGGCAATGTAGCAACACCATCATTCGATGAATCGGGCTCTATCATGAGTAAGCTAGCGCCCAGCCCACCCCCACTCCCGAATCTCGACCGCCTTTGGTCATCGTTATCTCGGCGATTCGGCTTATGGCTCGACTAAGCACCCTGTTATATCGGCATAGACGCGGGGTTGGCAAAGTATATCCAAGGATGGGGTCGTGCTGCCGATCACGACCCCCCTCTCTCTTCTGGGTACAGAACGACTCGTGTTATTATAGCGACAACAGGATTTTGGTAGCTTGTTGCAGGCTTCTCTGGCAAATTAGTACAATGGCTCCTGGTTCAATTGACCCTGAGCCTCAGCCTTGGCAGTCAACGGTTGAGCGCAAGAAACAACAACAGCGTGACATTTTATCCAAGGCTTTCTTGGAGCTTGAGAGTAACAAAGACTTACAACACATCGATATCAACCAACTTGCCGATACAACCCAAACTTTAAGCCTTATATCCGACGGGCAGCTGACATGCAAGATCGTTGTGCAAGGTTTGATTGGACGGTACGTGATTGAAATTGGTATAAGTACTGTGCCATTAATTAATTATCTCTGTATAGGGCGATCCAAGTTCATCAACAGGTGTGTCGTTCTGAGTGTCAAATTGAGAGACACCGATCTTCTGACCTCGATCAATTGAGTATAGACCAACTGGTAAGATGCGCACTGCGAACCCAATCAATTTGGACACCAAAACCTAAAGGGACTCTAGTTTAACGGAAGTTGCTTTCGAAGATGCCTTGCGACAAGCTGAAGAGCTTGATGCTTACATGATCAACAACGAACAGCCAATGGGGCCTCTGCATGGAGCAGTCGTTACTCTCAAGGACCAATTTAACATCAAAGGCTATGATAGCACTCTAGGCTATGTCGGACGGTCCTTCATTCCAGCTACCAAGGACGCCGTACTGGTCAAGATGCTAAAGTCACTGGGAGCTATCGTTCTGGCAAAGTCAAACTTGCCTCAAAGTATCATGGTAAGGAACTGATCAACATCCAGGCTGAATGCCGTGGCTTACTGCAATTTAGTGGTGTGAGACGGAGAACCCCCTCTGGGGCTTAACCACCAATCCCATGAATAAAAATTACACGCCAGGTGGCTCTACTGGCGGTGAGGCTGTTTTGATCTATTGCGGCGCCTCTATGCTTGGATGGGGCACGGATATTGGTGGAAGCATTCGCATTCCAAGCCATATGATGGGCATCTATGGATTGAAGCCGAGTGTGAGTTTTTCTCGATATTGAATTCACGAATATCCCTCTGATTGAATAACAGAGCTCGAGACTACCTTACCAAGGCGTCCCTGTTTCCACCGAGGGACAGGAACATGTCCCATCTTCAGTTGGTCCGATGGCACGGGACCTGGGTATGATCAAGCATGCCATGCACAGCCTCATCGAGTCAAAACCGTGGGAGTATGATGCACGCTGTGCTTCACTTCCATGGCGAGGCCATCTATACGAAGAAATGCACAGCCGCCCACTTACTATCGGTGTTCTGATGGATGACGGAGTTGTTCGTCCGCATCCACCGATAACTCGAGTCTTGCAAGATGCAGTTGAGGCTTTGAGACTAGAGGGACATGAGATTGTGGAGTGGAACACCGAACTCCACGAGCAGTGTATTAGAACTATGGTGATACTCCCGGTGTCCAACTCGTGATCTAGTTGACTGATCTTGCGGCAGGATATGTTTTATACCGCTGATGGTGGTGAAGATATCCGCCAAGATATATCAAGGGCTGGAGAACCGTTCATCCCTCATGTCAAGCGGCTTGTCAATAAAGGCGAAGCAATTTCTGTGTACGAATATTGGAAGCTCAACAAGAAGAAGTGGGATCTTCAGCAAGGGTACCTGGAGAAGTGGAACTCGATCCAGTCTGCCACTGGTAGGAAGGTTGACGTGATTCTCATGCCCGTCATGCCGCACACCGCTGTCAGACACGGCGGATGCGGTTGGGTTGGGTACACAAAGGTCTGGAATGTTCTTGACTATACCGCGATGGTGATACCTGGCGGAACGATACGATCGGGGGATGTCGACCTACCATTCTCGTACCCTGCTAGAGGACCTGAGGATGAATGGAACCAAGGGCTCTGGAACGAGGAGAAAGACGAGATGGCTGCGATGAACCTCCCAGTCGGACTGCAAATAATCGGACGGAAACTTGAAGAGGAGAAAGTGCTTGGGGCTGCGGAGGTAATCGATCGCGTTTTGAGAAAGCTACTACAGCCATAACTCTTAACATGGAATCGCTGTTTTTAGTTAGAACAGAGCACGCACCGAAGCAGGAAACGTATATTTAGCTCGAGGGAACATGGCCTTTATATGCTATCTACAGCATTCAATCTCTTTTACATGTCTATACTCGCCTTCTCTAGTGCATTCGCCATATGCCTCCCAATTATATGCTTTTTCGGCGGCAAATCCTGACACAACGAAAGCTGACACCAGCGACTTCCCGAAGCATTTTCCATCGCTCGCGTTTCTCTTCAAACTGATAGACCCTCTTATCATCAACGGCGTTGACTCTGGGCCACCCAGTATGAATCGTGGTATCAACCCAAGTTGAGCTTGGCCCCTCAATTGGTTCTTCTCCCCCGCCAAGTGAGCTCACAATAAAAGGCAAGCCTTCAGGATGTACAGATAGTCCGTTTCGGAATCCCAGCGTTGGCTTGAGAGGGTCAGGCTGGGGGCCAGAGACAGCAATTTCCAGTTGATTCTGGGCGGCGATAAAGTCAATGGCTATATGCAGAGGCACCTGGACTGCTGTATCAGATATGATTTTGTAACATGATTACTGATGGATTTGAAGTTGAGCTCTTGGCTTAGCACACTGTCTTCACCTGTGAGGGTGATGAGTACTGGCAACTTTCCCAAATCTGATACACGAATGTTGAAGTTGTCTTCCAAAAGAATGATTGTTACTGCCTTGAACAGTGGCTGTAGGGTCAAGAACTCTTGATCTCGAAAGTGGGGACCCCCAGATGAGGACCATGGGGGAAGAGTCACGACGTCTTGTTGGTATGTCGCTACTCGGTCGCAGATTTTCCCATGCAGGTCGTTTACATGCGTGACCAGTGATGCTGTAGGCATATCGGGAGGGGGTCTGCAAGGGTAAAATAGCTTTGCAATGAACTAGTGGTACTTGATATTGTTTCGGTATGGTTGATACCATTTTTTGTAAAGCCAATTATGCAATGCGCAGTGGAGTAGGAAACAACCCTTGGCGCCGGGCACAATATATATCGGCACGGTCTTGTTGCAACAATCCTCCAATTGAACTGGCGATATATCCTCGACCTTTCTCTGGTCACGTTGAGAACAGTCGCCAGGGTGCAATGGGCAGGGTTGGAGGATTCTTCTGGCGGACAGCATATAAAGATCTCTTCGATGGTATGATTCCAGTTGACCACGGATCTCAGAGAAGATTTCGTCTCGGGGCAGCGGGGCCCTTTCCAGGACGCTTGAACAGACATACATCCTATCCCTTAAGGTATCTAACTCAATAGACGATCTGGCTGCAGAGGGGTGCTGGGTGATGTGAAATTAATGAGAATGATGTATGAGGCAGTGAGTAATTCAGCAGCTGAGTTTTGGGTAGACAGAAGCGGGATTTATATAGTGAATAGTGCAAGAACTTAAAGTGTCGCGCTCAAATTCAACTTTTACTAACTTTCGAAGTGAGTCAGGCCTTTAACCTTGCCTTGGAACTCAAACCCTTTGACCTAATCAGTCGCCAATTGCAAACAGCAACTTTGTGTTCAAAACCTTTATGATTCATTCAGTGAAGCTTTATTTAACTGGAAACCTAGTCCTGATTACTGCCGAATCTCCAATCAACTGATGCCATCAGACAGCCAAGCTTTTCCGCCTAGCGCCATAGCTTTTCAGCCAAAAGCAAGATCCTAGGTAAAAGTGAGGGCAGAGAGTATTTTACCCGTATATGTTTATTGGTATCCTTTACCTTTATGCCCTGGGGGCTGAAGCCCCTTTTAAAACCCTAAACTTACGCCAGCAAACAGCAAAGTTTCAGCACATTTTTAGCCTTTGCCTGTAGAACTACTTCCTTCAGGTCGCGGCTGGATATGGCATCCCTTGCTCAGAACTACTGATAGTCGAGGGTTAAAATTAAAGGTAGCTATAAATCAGCTTGAGGTTCTCTGAGTCAATTAATAAATATCTTAATATACCAAATTTACGGACTTTCCATTCCAACTCTGGAAATCCCCTCGGATAAGCTCTTCGAACATCCATCTTGCCAGGTCCATCCTGCTGATAGTGTATCCAACTTTGATACCGGCTTCTTGCTCGTCACTCTTCCTCAGAACATCGTCTTCCCAGATCCACCCTGTATGCACCTTTGTCGACCCTTTCATCTCCCCATCTGTCAGCAATGGCGGTCGAAGCATGATATATCCACCAAGACATGACTGTTTCTGCGTCGCGGCCTCACGAGTGACACGCTCAAGAGCTGCAGTGTCTGCCTGAGCCTCTTTCAGCAACCACCAGTAAAGTGGGATGAGACTGAGTGGTTGATCGCGACGAGAACAATGTCCGGTTGATGAGATTGGAGCGTAGATGGGTGAGTTTGAGATACTATTCGTAGAAACAAGATCTTTTAAAGCTTGTATTACCGCAGCAGCGGAGTCGCCAGTGATAGTGGCATCATCCATAGCAATTGGATGAAACGGATTGAATCGGACTTTCCAAGTGCTTGTGATGCCACTGAAGATGATTTGAGGGTCGTTGAGAAGAAGACTGCGGACTGTGGATACATCGCGAGATGATCCTGGGACAACAATGAGTTGTGCCTGCTGGATCTCTTCAGACACGCCGAGATCCAAGAGAGTCTTTTTCAGTTTCAACTCATCTCGAACAACTATGGAGGGCGAATTAGCTTGGCTGCTTAGGGTAGGGACACGTTGAACTCACGAGCAGCTGCTTTATGACCATCAAGCAATGTCCAAGCCAGCACATGCCGCAAAGTAGCGCCGCACGCTCCGATGAATGCCGCTTTGACCGCCATGATATAGTGTAGGCTTGAGTGTATAATGTGATAAAGAACAAGTCGTATCAATTTGATACTACATATCTAGGCTAACAATGATGGTGTTTTATATTTTACAATTTATTAGTATGCTCATCAGTTCATTTTGCGGACTTGTTGCGGAGTCGGGATCGGGACAACTTCAGAATGAAAAGTGGCTTGCCAAGTCCGCCTATTTTCGCCGGCCCCATTTCACATCGTGAACCCGCGGAAGCCGAGTTGTCTACCAAAACTCACTGATAATGACATTCTACAGAGACAAGCATTTCAATCTGATGTGTGTTTTATCTTGGCTCTGTTAAAAGCTGCCACAGCCGAGACTCGTTTAGATCGATAAAACTCATTGCTCGGCTTGATTTCCTACAAGTGTATGACTACCTAACAGCTTATGATTTCATTGCTTCTACGTGGACTCTTGAAACTTCTTCATCACTTCATCGTGGCTTGCGGGCATCAGAGCGCCTTCTGGTGCAGGATTCTTGCTCTTGAAGTAATCGCTCATCTGGTAAATGTCAGCAGTGTGAACTTGATTAAACGCAATTGGAGTTAGCGGTAAGCTGCAACTGACCTCTCCCATTGTGACCCACTCGACACCTTCATGCTTGTTGATGTGCTCAATGATGCGTTCGTGCATCAGGAGAACGTGGGGTCTACCCGAAACATCGGGATGGATAGTCATTGGGAAGATAAATTCGTCTGTAGAGTATCAGTAAACAGAAAGATTCCCTCCGCTAAGCTTTGTGGATTGCTTACCATATTCCCGGTAGAAGTAATCGAAGTGATCTTTCCAAATGTCTTCAACATCTCTACATATCGTGTTAGTTTGAGCAAACAGTTGGCTTCTGGTAAATCTTGCCTCGGGTTGACCCATCCATGTGAGTTTGGAGAGTTCTTGATGAACATCATGGGCGGTAAATCGTCTATATACCAAGAGCCAGGTATTTCGACCATGCCCGTTTCTTTTCCCTTTGTCAGTGGCTTCATCCACTCCTCGGCCTTCTTAGTGTAGTCAATCTTGGTCCATGAGTCGCCTGTCCGCAGCCAATATGCTTGGCAGTCGTGATGAGACATTGAGTGGTCATACTCGATTCCATAGCTAAGCATCAACTCGGTCCCTTCTTCACTTGTCTCCCACCAAGGCGCCACGCTCCCCTTGGGTGGCTTTCCGCAGAAGTCGGTGAGTAACTTCCATGTCTTGTGCAGAACGTCTTTCTGCTGCTCAAAGGTCATGTCCACGGGGTTTTCGTGGCTATAACCATGTAGCTATATCGCTTAGTGGAATACCGATTATTGACACGATACTTCACTTACACCAATTTCATGGCCGGCATCTCGAACCATAGCACACTCTTCTGGAAATGTTTCCAGGCTGTGCCCAGGGATGAACCATGAGGCTTTGATGTTGAACTTCTCAAATAGCTTCAACAAGCGTCGGGTACCGATTGTTCCAGCCCAGAGACCTGTTCCCTGGAGAATTAGCATGTAAAATATAACGCGCATCGTTTTACGGACCTCTGCTAATGTCGCTTGTGCTGTCTTCGCCTCCGTACGATCCCAGCCAACCGGCCACGGCATCGATATCCACCCCGTAGCTAGGAGTACCCTGGTTAGTAAAATGGTCATGGCCATTAGTCGAGTGCAATCCTTACCAGACCAAAACCTTCTTGCCCATTTTCAAAGTAGATCTCTGGAAAATAAATGTGATATCCCTCGAAAATGCACTGTCGACGTCAACTTTTTACAATTCGGTCAGGTCGAATGTCATATAACTTGAACCTAGAGACAGTTGCTCCCAAAAACGCGGGGTTCTTGTGTTGCAGCACTGTGAAGATGGGACATACCCCACTTACCCCCTGATCAGTATCAGTCGTTATCAGTCGTTATCACAAGTGGAGTCCGTGAAAGCGAGCCGTTGCAACCCCCACCCCCATTCTTGAACTCAGTTTCTGGTACGAGACTACGAGACGAATCGGATAGCAGTCCGTCGTATGATGAGCCGCCAGACTTTGGAACTCTATCGTAGAAAGACACCCAGTCTCGTGATTCAACTCTGAGGTAATTTTACATGTATGTGAGTTCTTACACTGAACATCGCAAGCGTTAAATCATTCCCGAACTTCTCACACATTGCACTACTTTCTAAGCTCTACCAATTATATCTTTTACCTTGTTCAAGATGTCAAAGGTCAGTTACCTGGGACCAATACTTTCCCATATCATATGCTCACATTTTCTGGCAGTTCTCACTAGCTAGCCGCTTGGCCGTTGTCACTGGGGGAGGTCGGGGGTGCGGTTTCGCCTTTGTGCAGGGGTTGGCTGAAGCTGGAGCCGACGTTGCCATATTCGACGTGATTGAGCCCTCTGCTCCTGAAGTCCAACAGCTGATTTCCAGCTACGGGGTCCAGATCAAATCTTACATTGTGGATGTAACCACGTTGTCGAGTCTAAAACAAGGTTTCACCGCTGTGGCTTCAGACTTCAACAACAGGCTAGACATCCTGGTCGCATGCGCAGGGGTCAACAAGAATGTGCATTTTCTCGACACAGAAGAGGAAGACTTTGACAAGTTATTTGCCGTCAATGCTAAAGGTGTTTACTTCTCTGCAAAGCTTGCGGCTCAAGCTATGATCGGAAACAAGACCAAATGCGGAAGTATTATCCTCGTGGCCAGTATTGCTTCACATATGGCTATCCGATCTCAGAGGTCGACAGCCTACTGCGGTACCAAGGGTGCCGTGAGAGCAATGGTTGCGCCCATTGCTGCAGAGCTTCAAGAACATGGGATCCGAGTAAACTCAATTAGCCCTGGCTACGTCAAGACAGCCATGACTGCGCCATTCCCGGACTTGATCGAGGGATGGAAGGACGAGATCATGAACCGTCGAGTCGCGGAACCGGATGATATCAAGGGGGCATGTGTCTTCCTGGCCAGTGATGCGAGCGCGTGAGTCATTGCCACCGTCTTTTGAACTCTCAATTATACTGACCAACCATCAGATATTGCACGGGCTCTGATATTCTTGTCGATGGAGGTGTCACAAAGTGGTAATGTCATCATCCCAACCTCTTTGGAATTGCACAGGGAAAAGCAAAGAAATACAAAACTCTGTTATTATTAGCCAGCACTTGAGCGTTTGAGGCATGTAGTTCGTGGCGCACTACGGCCACTGGCTTAACTGTTCTAGACCAGTCCCCTGGATATGACTTCCGATGTTGCCGTGTGACAAGCCTGGTTAACCTTGCATGCTCGACATTGCCGCAAAACTTGACGGCGCTGGCATGGCAGCAAGACTAGTATTCTGTTAGTATAGGCAAGATATTAAATATCTTATTAAACATGAGGCAAATACTCTTTTAAAATTAACTTTCCTGAAATCGCGATCTTGTTGCGTTTGTCAGAACAGAATAAGAGTTAGTCTGTTCTAGGCATAGTTCACCCGCCAGATTTTGGACAATGCAACCATATATCACTCCCTTGTCAGGGACACTGAATAGTCTGGACGTACCTGTAAAGCTTAAATAATCCAGGCAAAGGACTTATACGAGTTTGAGATGATTTACTCTTATCCAAGGGTCAGGGGGAGTTTCAGTGTCGCATGACATACGGTTAGAATTCTCAGCTTTACATACTACCTATAATAAGTGCTTACTCTTTATATTTAACCGTTAATATCGCCACATAATTATCTTCTCAGTCCTCAACTTTATATTATTCTTTTACACTCCCATCAATCCTTAACTTATCAAGCATTATGCGAACTGTTGCAGTGCTCGCTCTCTTTGCACCGCTGACAACGTGCACCATATGGAACATCACAGGATCATGCGCCAACAGCGATATCGGCCCTGTTTGCGTAATCACGACCAGTGTGGCTAACCCAGCTAAGATCTGCAATGGGAAGGCTGGGACGTATGCAGGAGATGGAATCAATGGCATGACGAGCTGTACTGGTATTGGTTCCCCTTGTACTTATGTTTGGCGGTGCTAGACGTTGTTCCTCAGCATCAAACTGGTAAGTCTCAAGTTAACTACCTTGCTTCATATACTAAGTATTTATACAATAGTAAAGACAAAGCATTCGCTTTTGGACCTTGGTATATAATCAGCTGAAGGTCCTGGCCTGCTCCCGGTTCCAACTGATAGCAACATTGCTTTCGTTTATCTTCCTGTATATCCATCAATCGAAATCAACCTACTCATCTCTTGCTCTTTCTCCGTACCATAAAGCTTTCACCGATCACACAAAGTACCTCCAACGTGGATCTTGTTCACCGTGGGTGATTTCTGAAGTAGCAACATCTTCAGCCTTTAGTTCAACACCTTGTGCCTCGTTCTTGGTACGGTTCTGCTTTCTCATCCAGAATCCCAATCCCAATGTGAAAACAATGCAGGTGACATTGCAAGCCGCTGTTCCAATCAGGGTTGGTGCATAGCGAGGTGCATAAGTAGTTCTGAAGGTTCCAGCGGATAGAATGCCACCGAGGTTGCCCAGACCTACGAGCAGACCAGTCGTTGCTGCTCGTGAGTTCTCGCTGAGATTGTTGTTGTTGTGCCAGCTGTGAACTAGGCAACTCGGGATATATGCCCCAGCACATAGCATAAAACAGGCGAAGTAAGCCACTGCAATATGCGCTTCAGCATCAATGATAGCAAGGATGAGTAAGCCAACGAGGCTTGTGGACAGGCTGCCCACGATATGCAGTGTTCTTTCTCTGTTGCGATCGGAGCTCCAGGTAACCGCGAGAAGAACCAGGAATCCTGCAACGTTGGGAGGCACAGTCAGAAGATTTGTGATGACTGTGTTATATCCTAAACGACGGATAATAAGCGGCAGGAAATTGGAGGTGGTGGAAAAGGCAACGGGGTATGTCAAGCTGATGACACACCAGACAGCGAATTTCCAGCTGTTCCAGCACTTGAAGCATTCTTTGATATTGAATTCTTCGCCAATAACTCCGCTGCCATCGCGTAGAGCTCTTTGCCTCGCAACGTGCTTCTCTTCTTCTGTCAAAAACCAGGCACTTTGCGGGTCGGCAGGAAGCCACCAAAATGCGAGAACTCCCAAACACACAGTCATTGTACCTGAATCCCCCTGGTCAGGAAGATATGTCCCAGGTTTTTATTTTGTGGTACTTTGACTTACCTTCGATTATGAATAACCACATCCAACCATGAACGTGAGAGACCTTGATCTGAAAGACGCCAAACGAGATGAGACCTGAGAAAGCACTAGCAAGCAGCGCACTACCAAAGAATATGGCAATTCGAAAGCCGAGCTCGCCACGCTGGTAAAATAGAGTAAGATAAAAGACAGCACCAGCAAAGAAACCAGCTTCGAAAGCACTATGGGCTATCAGTGCAAGCTCATCCTAAATATTCAGAGGCTGTGATAACTTACCCCAACAAGAGACGGATGGCCAACATCCCTGCAAAGTTCTTACAGGCAGCTTGCAACAAGGCCATGGAACCCCAGCCGACCATGAGGGATGGCAACATGATTCTACCAGAGAACCTCTTTAGAAGTAGGTTGAGTGGGAGATCGCAGAGACCATTTGGAACATAAAAGAGGAGAATTAAAAGTGAGAACTCTTCGCCCTTGAAGTTGAGGTCTTTGCTCATTCCATCTGTCTCGGCATTTCCCAGGTTACTCTGGTGCCGTTAGAAGAGTCACTTGTATCTGGGGCAAGACCTACTCTGTCAACAGCATTGAAAAAGTACATGACGCTCAGGTATGAAAGGAGCCATGCATCCATCTTGCGCACTACTAAGTATTAGCATGGGACGTGTTACCGATGCTTTTCGTATGGACGGCAACTGACAGTAAGATCGCTCAGCAGCTGCATCGACAACAATCTGGAAACCATTTTCCTGGTCAAAAGCCAGAGACTCATGATGCTTATGCTTGTCGTCGGAAGCCATTGCGATAATGTTTGTGTCGGTTACAGCCTAGTAGTTCTTGTGTAAGACTGAAATCTTCAATTGCTGGTGACGCATGCTATTTATCATTGTGCGAGTATCGTCCTTTGTCCACTCAGTTTACTGGCTGTATCAACACGGTATCTGTAACCGATACCAAGATTCGCAAGCCAATGATCTTTAATCTCTGCGGAGGGCACACGACTCAATCCCAGCCAGCGCATTGAAAGTGGGCTTTTTAGAGTGTTCGTAGCCAGTACATGTTTCTTAATTGGCTGATATAGCATCTCAGGGTACCGTTTACTTGGCATGCTACAGTAACCTGCCATCGAAAATGGGGGCACCTGGTGTAAGATCGTCGCATCCGAAAGCTTTATCTAAGTGGGGAATAGCATGGGAGATAATCAAGAGCTGTCCCAACGGTTGTTTTACCTCCTTAGGGGAGAAAATAAAACTCAGGACCTTGAACAAAAAGACTTAGGTAATTTAGTATAAATTTAGGATGAGTTTAGGATACGTTTTATAGAGTTTATTTTCTCACCCTAAACTTATATCTTGTATTTTCTTGCTCCTAGAGGCCTCCGCCTTATCCCCAACCCATTACTCGCGTATCTATCCGGGAAGCTCACGCGCAATGTCGTACGAGAGGACTCTTCTACACAAGGCTCTTGATCATTCGGTTCAGGTTCTCTCGATGTATTGTATTAAATGCAACTACTGGCGGGTAATAGGCGGGATAACCCCTATTACGATAGGTTGAATTACTTATCTATTGTGAGTCTAAAACGATAAAACCGGGTTACTTCTGAAATGGTTTGAGTCAATGGCAAGTATTCCTCGTATGCCTATCTGTGTATTGATAGACAGTATCCTGACTGACGAAATGCTGAATTTTCTATTGCTGAAATTGAGTTCCCGCTTCAGATGTGTGAATGAAAGATATTAAACTGATGGCTCAGGTCGATTAAGCAGGATTAATTGAGATCATTTTAGCCTAGAGTTTATCATTTTCAGCATTTGACAATCTATTACTAGACTAGGTCGACTACAAATACCACTTAGCAGTCAAGACATAGAACAACATATATGTAGTAATGATACAACAATACATCAAGCTGCAACCTGCTGAAGAGGGGTGCTTTCCACCTTGCTCTCAGCGTTCTTCTCCAGGCCCTGCTTGTACAACTGAGCTCTTCCGTAGGACTCAGCATAAGACGCGGAGACGACCTCCTCAACAGTCGCTGGTTTGAACTTGGCCTCCTCACCGGGTGCTTTGCAAGTCGGGATACAGTCGACAACGTAGTCGGGGTTACCAGATACAAAGACAGGGATAGAGTATCTCTCTTTGCCAGTCTTGTTGATGACGCGGTGGACATTGCTCTTGTACTTCTCGTTTGTCCATCGAGCCATCAGGTTGCCTAGGTTGACGACAAACGCTCCCTTAGTTGGTTGGACCTGATAAGAATTGTCAGATCTCCGTCCATGTACAATGAGCAGTAGTGAGACTTACATCAATCCAGCTGTTATTCTTTTGATCCCAAACTTGCAGCCCATCGACATCATCCTGAAGAAGCATTGTGATGGCGCCGAAATCAGTATGGGCTCCGATTCCTCGAGTAAGCTTCTCGTCAGCATCCTTAGGTTGAGAAGGATAGTGGAGGAGCCTCATGGTAGCAACAGCGCCATCCAGGAAGGTACTGAAGTAGTCTTCCTTGAGATCCAGCGAGAGTGCTAGCACTCGCATAAGATCAGAGGCAAGTCTGAGTGTTGACCTATAGTAATCCATGGTCTGATACTTGAAGTCCTCCAAGTCGTCTCCCAAGGCTTCAGGCCACTGGTTGGGGCCACTGTTGAGCTTCTTGTTGACGAAATAGGGGTGAGACTTGGGAATCTCGTCGCCGATGTAGAAACCCTCTTTAAGTTCTGGCTGAGTGCCTTCCTCAAGGATCTGTGACCTCAACATCTCATAGCCACGGTTCCAGGTGTTGTTGTTTTTGGAGACCTTTTCCTTCTCCTCTAAAGGAAGGTTGAAGAGCTTTTTGGCGCACTCCAGGGCTTTGGTTTGCTTATCGACAGGGACGGAATGACCCAGGATCTGGAAAAATCCATTGTATAAACAGCTTTCGCGGACCTGGTCTACAACCTTTTGCTTCTCTGCTGGGTCTTCTGAGTAGAATCCTAGATCATTTAGACGAGAAGCTGATAAGGATTGACAGTTGTCGCTTACCAGAGAAGTCAATGATAGGAATCTCAAGCTTCGCCATGATGTATTGTAGATTCAGGTCAATTGCAATCTCGATTAATCAGTCAGTCTGTTAAGCAATGTAGTGAAGTAATAAGCAAATGATGCCAGATATAATCCCCAAAAGACTAAATACATCTATATTAATGACGTTGAGGTAAAAACAACCCACTCTGGGAGCGGAGCCCTTAACTCCAAGCCACTTGCTTACTGTTCATGATCGGAAATTCGGGGACCTCCGGGATCACCCCCAACTTTGCATTGTCAGCATTACTTGCATTAAACTGAGATAGGCTTGAATGCGGGGTTTATGAATCGAACCCACCCTTGATCCTCAAAAGTGGGCGCTCTGTGATAAGGACCGTTAGAATGTCATGAGACGAATTCCCGGCAATGATCGGAAATTGCCTGGAGGAATGAGGGGGCTTTCACGCTCAAAACATCAACCTTGTCGGTCCGTTGTGCAGCAGGACACTGATAGATAAGGATGTGCTGGATGTTGGTCCTTGACTTCGCAAGGTTTTCGCTGTAAGCAGGAGCATATATATCAAAGCTCAACAGTGTATTAAGTCGGCAAGTTTTACTCTATATGGGTTATTTAGCTTTTAAGGCTCTGGTGATAAGTAAATAAATATATACTTATTACTATGCTAGTTATATAAATTATAGTGTTTTATTAGAGAGAGATAATTTAATTATATTAATAGAAAATATAGATAAATATTAATATTACCTGACTTTAGGGTAATCCTGATATTGCGTTTTGTCTTATCTTATCTCCTTATCTGTCTCTCCTTATTGCACGCAATTCCGCCCAGGTCGTTTAATTAATAAGAAAGAATATATAAGCTGGTAATGTATAATATCTAAATTAGATACCTAATGTGACTTTACCGGTAGACATACCGTTTTAAGACACACGCTGCGCTCCGGTATATCGGTTAAGCTGTTTATCCGGGGGCCATTTCCGTAAAAGGTACGCAAGCATTGTCAGCAAGGCATAGCCGAATTTCAGCTGGGTCTACGGTCCAATCAAATCTTGTAGCCAAACGGTGATGCGCTGGCATTAATTGCACAGCCGAGGCGAAGGATGCCAAATAAGCAAGAAAATGCTGGAAATGAGATTGCTTTGCTCGCCAAAACAATGAAACTAAACCTCCTTCTGGGTAGATGGATCGCCGGGCAAATTACAGGCTTGTGGCTTGGCCCACTGCGTTCACGATCGACGTGGCTAAACTCTTTCCAGTATCAACGTGCCGCTCTCAGCCTTACAACAGGTATGATGTCAAATTGCTTGGCGACAATATGGCACAGCAATGCGAAGAATCCAATCTGTATTTAAGGGTTCAAGACTTGCCCCACGATATTATTCAAAAGCCATCGACACTCCTAGATATCACTTAATATGCGCTTTGAATCTTTGGCCTATATGGGCCTGGCTGGCTCTGCAACAGCCAGCATCATCCTCTCAAATGATGTTCCTCTTACTGGTCCCTCTTTTCTCACCAACTTTGACATTTCAAAGACAGATTTCCTTAATGAAGCCAAGGAAAAGTTCCCATCTCTGGTTGAAGAACTTTTCGACACTAAGATCTTGAACAAAACAGACCTCATTTTCGCTGTTGATGTCTTTTCAGCTTCGACCAATGAATCGGTTTACAGCTACTTCCATGTCGGCGATACGTACAAAGATACTCTCACAAAGGGAAACCTGACTGAGGATACAATCTTTAGAGCTGGCAGCGTGACAAAGGTCTTTACTGTGTATGCTATTATTGCCAAGGCTGGCATTGAGGCATTGAGCTATCCTGTGTCCATTTTCCTGCCCGAGCTCTTGGGCAATTCGTCTAGCAACCCGCTGGAGAGGATTGACTGGAGTGAAATCACTGTGGGGGCCCTTGCTTCACATCAGGCTGGGACCAGTGGCCCGGGACGTAAGTCGACGAGAACGCCTTGGACGATCAACTGGATGCTGACTTGACTGATAGAGTACCTTACGCCGGATACCGACGGGACCGATCGCGAGGGTGAGTATGGTACCATCGCGTATGTGAGACTTACTTACAAGACCAGCGTTTCTTGAATTCATGCGTGATAAACAGGCCCCCACGATGGGCCCTTGGCGAAGTGCACTGTATTCGGATGCTGGCTTTGGAGTTCTGACTCTGATTCTCGAGCGACTCACCGGCCAAGAGTACAAGGACGCAATTGCAGACATCATATTTAAGCCACTTGGAATGAACTCTTCATCTGCAGTTGTCCCTAATGGCATAGATCTGGATGCCGTTGCCCGGACTGGGCTCAAGTCCTGGGGCACCGATGTCCCTATTGTGGCTGGGTAAGTCAAGCCTCTGAATTCAAAGCCCTCTTGCTGAATTCGCTAACGGGAAAAAAGATCTGGTGGCATATATTCCTCTGCCAAAGACCTCCGACTCGCAGGACTCTCTATCCTCAACTCCGACCTCCTCCCATCTTCCACTACTCGCGAGTGGATGAAACCTCGGAGCAGTACAGGTACTCTTGTCGAGCTTGTCGGAGCTCCCTGGGAAATCACGCGTCTCACCCTCCACACCGGCCCTGATTCCAACCGCACCCGTGTATCTGACCTATACCTCAAGGCTGGCGGCACTGATGATTATACCTGCTTCATCGCTCTCTCGCCAGACCACGGGATCGGATTTTCAATTCTGATTGCTGGCGACACTGCTACCCCTGCGCGTTGGCCACTTCGAGACGTCACGGGAACAACCTTTATCACAGCAGCTGAGTATGCTGCGGCAGAAAGTGCCGACAAGAACCTCACCGGCACATTCGTCGTCAAGGGCTCGGAGACAACAAACTTGACCATCGAAGTCACCAAAGGAGAGCCAGGGTTAAAGTTGAAGTCGTGGTACGTCGAAGGAAAGGACGTAGTTGAGGATACTTCATCGCGCCTCTTTCCAATGGGTCTCTACTCCAACTCACGCTCTCTGGCCGCACAATACAACGTCAAGGGTAAGTTTTCTGCAGCTTTCCGCGTGGTCACTGGGCTTGCCCCTCCAGCACCCCGTGCTGCTGTTGAGGGTGGAAAAGGGGGACTGTTTGATCACAGTCAGGCTTGGATGAATATTGGATTCTCTGGGACGGCCGATGAGCTCCTCTTCAATTTGGAGGATGCAAGAGTCGTTAGCATCATCAGCCCCTACGATGGAACGGAATTTGTTCGAGTAGACTAGAGAAGAAAGACTTGTCCATGTTTCATGAAAGCTGGATAAATTACAATGCTGCAGAACAATTACTTTTTTCTCTTGGTTAATCACGCGCCTGGCTCTCCTCCAGGTGATAACTTGATCTGTAGTTATATATGAACCGTAATCACATTCTTACCTGGGTTAGTACCCCTCGTATTGAAGATTACTAAAGATCTTCAATTAGGTGGCCGCTTTGAGTTTGGGTAGTGCGGCTGAAATGAGGCATTTATATTAAAGGTCCTGTTAACATAATCAGCTTGTTCATCAAATGTAGTCCAATACATAATAAACTTCACGCAACAAAATTATAAAGTGTAGCTCTTCATGGTTCCTACAAATGAGTCCCCCAAAGATCGGATCAGCGCGGCAGCAGCTGAAGGAGAGCGACTACTCTCGATTATTGCTGCCACTGAAGATACTGCAGCCACTCTAACCCAGGTCAAACTCGATCTTGCTGCCCTTAAAAACATATGGTATGATGCAGATTCTTTATATAGCGAATTGTCCGCTCGTCTCAGAACGGAGCAGAAGGAGTTTGAAGATCTACGAGACAGCCATATAAGAAAGTTCTTTGGTGGTTCACAGTATAGCGAGAAGCTCACCAAGGAGGAGAATGACGTGGTAGAGTTGCTGGAGTGGCAGGATAAGGCGGACAAGACGCGCAAAGAGCTCAAGGCCCAAGTGGATGACATGAAGGAGCGAAGGCAGAAGTTGGAACACATGACCGAGCAACGCGTGCAAGCCCTGAATGATCTGGATAAGCTTCATGCAGCTATCTTCGACGGGCCTTCGCCAGATAATACTGAAGAAGATATACTCGAGGCAGAGATGGAAGCAGCTCAACAGGTAATAATCCGGATTGCTTCCTATCATTCTCTCTAGGGCGCAGCATTGACATTTCTCAGATATTTGATCCCATACAGAAACGATGCAGCCAAGTGGCTTCAGTGGTTAATTACATCACAATGGCTCGCTCCCGTGTCACCTTCGCCGCCGGAAGTGCAGCAAAGGCGCTCAAAATCTCGGAATCGGACATCTTTGATCTGAAACCCGGAGCTGGAAGAAGAGCTAATCAACACTTCAATTCCGCAGTCGCTGACCGGAAAGAGCGAGAAGAGCTGGGATTGGTCCGACTTAGTCTGGCAGAGGCTTCGCAATTCCTCGCTCTGGCTCACGAGCTTGATCCCAAAGTCGGTGGGTTCATCATGCCCAAGGTCGCAGATGGGAAAAGCGCTGCTGGCAGACTGGACGACTGGATCAACACACCAGTGACTGACTATTTGTTCCATCGGGAGATCAAAGCAACTGCAGAGGGCATAGCTGCGGCGGGCGCGATTGTAGACGAGGAGCTGCGATTGGCAGAGCAAAAGAAGAGCGTATGGACTGAAAAGAAGGATGCTGCGGGTAAGGACCTGAAACATGCGAGAGAGAAACTGCAACAGCTACGAGCCCGGATCTTCGAGGACGCTGTCAATGGTCAAGGAAGTTCGACAGCACCGTCTTATGAGCAGGCGACAGCAAATGAGCATCCACCACAATACACAGAGACGGAACCTTGACCCCTTTTTGTAGCTAATACAGGTCATAGCCTGTTGACGATTACTTCAATCTGATGATATGGATATCTAATTGTGTGCTTAACCAAAGACATCTAGATTGACTTGTCCTACGTAGAAGGACGATCCTCCTCATCAACTTGAGCATGTACCCATTCTTTGAACGGAAGCCTCGCTTCCCTGTGACCGCAGCAATTAGCATTCAATACAGCACCAGTGACATGCCTCTAGCAGTCGGTGCATATCTCAATTTCATCCTAGGTCTGGGAGGGAGTTCTTTTTTTTCTCTGGCTTCATCGTTGCTGCGGTCGGGTATTTACTTCAGGTAAGCATTGGATAGAAACAAAGTGTTCTTACAGCTAATGTCTAGATCCTCGGACAGGTATTCTGGGCAGCTACATCCTACAATCCTACTGACAAAAACCTGAAACGGACTGGTTCATCCCTTCAAGAGCCTATACGTCACGACTCAACCCTAGCGCTCGCAAGGTACTTTTAAGGAGCCACCGAAATATGCGAGTAGTGAAGGCCAAATGAGGATATCAGGTTATTGAGGCTGTTCAAGTGGAGTGGCCCCTAGACCGTCTTTTGTCCTCAAGCCTCTAGTCCGCGATCGGAAGACCAGCCGTACAGTAGTCTCCAACGCTACCAGAGCCAGTGCGGCTTAACCCAAGAAAGTAGTGTAAGGGGAACTAGAGCATAGGGGAAGTAGGGAGGGAAGTGAAAACTATAAAAGGATGCGACAGCAGAGTGCATAAATGCCGTATTAACTTAATATACAATACTAGCCCCGCCCTATGAATACCTTGCCCTGCTAATCTTGAAGTTCTAGTATAAATATCATAACATTCAAGCCTGATCTTGGTAAAACTCACCTACGAGGCATGGCTTAATATCTTGAGTTAATACAGTCACTAGGAACGGGCCTCCTGCCGCTGCAGCTAGTGAGCCTTGTTTCCTAACCGGTGCACTAATTTCAATGCTCCTTGCATTTTAATAGTTCAAGGAAACCCTGATCCATGACTGCATCCTTGTTGTGAATTGGCTGGCACAAAGAATTCAACTCGCTCGAAACCCCTGCGTCGTGCAGACGCGTGTTCGAGCCTGGGAAGAATTAATAGGCAAACCCCCTCACCCAGCTACAACCAACATGTGCAGCAAGTGCACACCCTTTTCAAGAGTGGTATCCCCGAATGTCTTAGCCTCTACAACGTGGCGTCAATCACTGACGACCCAGGAGAGTCATTGTATAATGAAGTTATGGAGTATGTTCCAAGCAATTATCACAGGTAAGATAACCCGATTGGAGATAGACGTGCACAAGGATCTGCTGAAAGCTTCGCGGCTTCTAGGGTCAATCTGCCGCCGGTAAGATTGGCGTGCCAACCTTGCTCGATAGCGTCGTGTCACCAAGCAGTCTGGCTGATGGGTTATGGATACGATGACAAGGGAACCAAACACTGTCATCAGCCAGCCGCCATTCTGCTGTTACTTGAAAGGTCAAGCGACAATAGCTATTATTTTGTTTTTTTTAAAAAAAGAAAAGCGAAGATAATTAGATTAGTTATAAATACAAGAGGGACCTTGACCAACGAAGCTTGAGCAAATCGCTGCGTTCAGGCCGACATCAGTTATACTCCTTCGCCTCCGGCTACATATGATCAATTTTCCTGCAGTCTTAAGCGCTTGGCTTTAGGAAATTCGCTTTTAAATTCAACCCTCCTGAATCCCAGCTGCAAGCTCATTACCATGGACTCTTGGCGTATAATATGCCAGTGCCCGAACTGCAACGTCGAGGCCAACCACTGGGCACCTTGCAGATGCCCTTACCCGTCGCCCCCTGATGAACCTTCTTCAACACATGCATCCCCTAACTCTGTATCTTACCTTGATGAGGAGCCTACAACATCCTCTCCTGCCGCATTCGAAGCCAATCAAAGTGCCAGTGCCCCCGGCGAGGCAGTCAACTTCTGTTGCGGGGAATGGTCAAAACACTATCACGGCTCCCATCCACAAATGGATTATGCATCACTCAACGTGCTGATCGATTCCGAACCTCAGGAAACTCAGCCGGGAGATCATATCCCCCATCCGACATCGGGCAAATCTTCGAAGTCCGCATCCCCCTCGCGAACTGAAGACTATCTTTTGACCAAAGAGGCCAAGGGAATGAGAAGCGCAGCGGAAGAATTGGAGGATCTACGTCCTGCAGATATTTTCCTTGTTGAATGTATGCTGAACGACATGAAATGGAAGAGTATCTACAACAAATACAATGAGATTTGGGAAGCCGAAAACGAGGGTGCCTTGAGGGCGCGGATGCATAGAATCAAGGATAAGAACCCTGCGCTCAGGGCCCTTCTTGAACAAAAGATCTAATAAAAGGGTGGCTTGATAAGTGTATTACTGTAACTGTATGGCAATGGGACTAATGGGTTTTCTCTACCGTTTAATTGTCGATGGAAAGTGTCTCTACTAATTATTATTCGTTGTTTGTACAGAAAAAGTGTATTTTGTTAGTTAATCCTCCATGGCGTCCAAGTTGTCTCTGCCCGTTTAAGCTCTCATCAGCCGCAAGCCTCAACTCCACTGTGACATCGACGTGTAACTGAGATAAAAAGCTCCGATGGAACGAAGAACAACAAAGAAGCGCCAATGAGACTTCTTAAACAAGAACACACACCCACACCTTAGACATTTGACTTACCATATTTTCACTCTGTGACTTGATCTAATGTTTCCTGGAGTGCAGTATAGAATAACTCCTTCTTGCAACCAGATGGAAAGAAGCCTGAATGAAAACAAGGGATACGGAATTTTTACGGAGGTAGAGGAGAAGGTCCTCCGAGATGATCTAGCTTGTTTCATCTCGTCGATTTGACAGCGCGCTTTTGTACGCCACATATCCACATCTTAAGCTCGCGCGATACCATCAGAAGGTTTTATTGGCTCGGACAGCCGGTAAACAACACGCGTGATTGTTGCTAGGCTAATGATTTGTCCGCGGATCCTTGCTGTTGCATGAGGGAACTATCCGAAAGACAAGCGGAGAAAATCAGGTGGGTAGAGCTGTAAGCGCTGGCTTGCTTCCTGGGCCGCTGATCTCACGGGAACTTTGCTGGCACTCCATCCTGTGAAGCGTCTCGTGAGCAGTCTCGACAAGCGTGCTGTCAATACATGTAGTTCGTTTTGCTCCTGCGCAGTGATTAAATGGGATCAGTAAGCTAAACTCCAGGCACATCCTGGAAGAATGTTGTAAAACGATGGCCAGAACCATGCACCCGACTTGTAGGGGCCGAACGAATACGGAATACTGCTTGATACAGCGTGTAAACAGTCTTTGCTATGAAAAGGCTATCGCAGATTCGACAGGAGATCCAGAAATTACATGGCATGCAGGGGCAGCACACCGACGGGTGAAAGCGCGACCTTGCGCCTGGTAGATGTGACGGAGCGTCACAAGACAGATATTCGAACGCGTGGCGAGGGCGAGGGCGAGGGTCGGAGACACCCGCTGCAGTCGACAGGATGGTATCTGCACAGTGCACACCCTCATATGCTGTTGTCTCGAACAAGCCAGTTGTTGTCCCCGTGAACCGGGGGCCAGGTAGCTAACCGACACGAACACGTTGAGCCGGTGAATACAGCTGACGTCTGCTGCGGGTCGATCTTGACCGTCACGTTATGGCTAGTGTGGAAGGCCTCAGTCACGAAGCGTGCAAGTTCTGTGCGGTGAGTTCGTTCTACCCCTGCCTTTGCTGAACGACAAAGTGAGTTTGGCAAACAGCATAAGCGGCGGCACACCACCAAGAGTCCATGTCTTGGTAAACTTACGATTCAGCTGACAACAGGGCGCCCGCCCGTGGCCACGGTGGCGTTAGTTTCGGGAGGGAAGCCCACGGAGGGCGTGAACCATGGCTTAGCACGAGAACTCACTTTCTCTCCAGGCCAGAGACAGGGTATTTAGAAGGTTAGCTCTCAGTTCCCCAGCCTCATTTTGTTCCCCTCAACTCCCCTCGCAAAACACAGTAGATTGATCAGTCGATTGTTGGGATGGGGCATCAAGTCGATACATTCATTAGACCACGCGTGGCTTTACGGACGTGTTGCCTTTGCAGTGTTGTTCACAAACAGCTGCCGAAATGGTTGAAGAGAGATACACAATGGCCTGACCAAGGTTGGTAATATTGCAACGAGCTTGCTTCTTTGTGGCAGGAACGCCTCGTGTCTGCTGAGACCTCCAGGGAGGCCGGCAGCGCGATGGTAGCCTAGACGAGAAAGGTCATCCATCACTTTTGCCTTCTCCGCAGCTGACGTCCTACAAGCTTATGATACTGCTCAGATCAACAAATACCCTAGCTTCCATTGGTGCGGGGACTACGCCAAAGTTTCATGACTCAGACCGGCGATACACACTTGTCGCCGCCACCAACAGAGGTACTTGCTGGATTTTGGAAATGGCTCTACACGTACTTGCTTCGTGGCCTGGTCGAAGCTTTGAAACACTTGTAATTTCGTCAAGGCGGCCGCATGCGTTCAGCAGTGCTGTTTACGCAATGACCGCAAGTTGGTCTGCTCAAGTGGGAGGAAATGGGAGTGGCAGTACGTACAGACTTTTGTGTGATGCTACGCGTTGGTTTCGCGGAAAAGGACACAGTCCATGTTAAGAGTTTGGGCTATTCCCCCCCTTTTTTGGGGACCTAGACAGAAACGGCGGTTGTGACTCTAGATGATGTCGATGTCAAGGAGTGTTTGCTAAGATGAACTCAAAAAGCCGACCGACAAAAGTAAAAGCTTGGGAATCAATGAAAGAGCGTGATGGAAGGTGTTCAGACGGTTGCAGCCTGGAATTATGACGTGCTTGCATTCCAGTGCCATCGGCCATGTCCGTTTAGCGCTTCAGTTACCAGTGACTGCCCCCTCCCGCCCTTGACTGCCTCCTCCAGCAAGGTGTTGAGGTGCACTTTCGACGTGGAATTGATTCGCCTTTCTCAAACTCATCAGTAAATACAGGCGAAATATCGCTGTCTACACTGGCCCAGATAGAGATCAATCTCGCGCATAGGGGACGCGTGCTACTCCGAGTTCTCCAGTCTGTAAGTATGCGGACCTCAATTCGACAAGTTTACGTTTACTAACTGCCCAAGGCTTTTGAGTAATGCCCTCGTCCGATCTCAATATGCGATTGCTGTTGCGAGTCTCGGATCTGACTCTTTCGATGCGACGTGTCTGAAGCAGGACACACCATACCGCCGATGAACACTCCGTCGTTGAAGCCTTCTGCCCGCCTTCGTCAATTCATGCTTGATGTCGAACGGACGACGCGAATCCATCAGCATGAAGGATACCATGGAAGGCCGTGTCACCTTTGACGCAGGCCTCAACGTCAAGTCGCCTCGTCGTCGATGCCATACCGAGTACATCAACTGCCCCGACTCGAATGTATCATCCTAAGCGAGTCAATTGAGACCATGCGTTGACTTCATCTCATCTTGAAGCAAAGGCATTACGATCGAGGGACAAGAGCCTGTTGGAATTGCCGCTCGCTAATCCCCATTGTTGATCAATGCCTTCCCTTTACTCATCGCAAGACCTTGCTTCGAGTTCGAATCTCCTGCCGCCACCCCTTTGTCGACTCCTCGGATTACCAGGCAGCTCGCCAGTCATGACGTTTGGTATCGCCGAAGACTAGGCTACGGGATTCTGCTTTTGCGCTACCGTACAGATTGTTCACACGAGCCTGACGATGTCTTAGATGTAAGGTCTGGAGGCTTGTACAAGCCGAGAGAGTAGTACCATGATTCACCTATTGGACTCGCAGATGCCATCAGCAAAGTGTTTACTGACTTTCAAAGCACTGCGACTCAGATTCAAGCCTCGTGGCTATCCATAGCCTTCACCCCGATGATGCTCTCCAGTTCCAAACCAAGAAGGTGACGTCGAACACCGTCAAGCATCCGAGACGGCGTAGCTTCCGCAGCCAGAAGCTGAACCTGTCTGTGCCTCGAATCACTCTGTTCCATGACAGAAGCATTGAAGCTCCTTCTCGGATGTTGAAAACTTTCTATCGTAGTCTTTGCATGCACTGAGAGCCTCGCCGGCAACTTCGCGACGTCTTTTTGACTAAGATTGTGCGATAACATACTGCGTACTTATCTTGAAGGAAGTGGACCAAGTTGGTCCCGTCGAATCGTTGTCTCCCTCCTCACACCTTAAATTGCATTTGTGTCCATTAAATTAGACCAAAAGCCCACCAAGTCTCCTGTGTTTCTCCTATTGCGCCAAGAGAGTTGCGCCAAAAGCTCTCAGGGAAGTAAGGGATTTCTTCTCAAACTGAAGCTCGCATAAATGGGTCTTGGGCTTGCTCATCGTTCACGGCCAGCACCTGTAGCGACACCCTGCGATGAGGCCATCTAGAAAGGTAGATCTAGAGTTGACTGGCATTTTAATGTTATGATGTCTTGACTAGTTCTTGGTCGATAAGCCCATAGGGGACCCGAAGTCCCCCCGCCTCACTGAAGCCAAGGCCAATTCCCCGCATTGCAAATCCTTTATTTACAACTTCGCCAAGTCGTCATCTCTCGCGAGTCGTCGAATGCTAGGCTATTGCCTTTTTATATACGGCCGACAATGTCTTTCTATCTAATCCCTGACCTCCTGCCGCAGGATTCCTCTGTCACATTCTACGAATCCTCCTTTTTCAACCGTGGCCCGGACCTACCCAAGCTTCCAACTCCTTCCGAAGTCTTGGCCAGGCCCAATTATGTTCAGCATCCACGCGCCGAGGGCATGGTGTTACGTCAGCCAGCCGTGTTCAAAGAGCTTAAACGTGTCGTGAAACACAGCCGCAACTTGAACGCGATTATCGAGGAAGGACAGTGTCTTTGGGCCGTTCGTCACTTCTTGCCTGAAGTCCCAGTTCCAGAGGTCTACAGCTGGACACAGGAAAACGGCGTCACATTCCTCTATATGGAATACATTGATGGGATCACTCTACGTGATCGTTGGGACACTCTAAGCGCTATTGAAAAAGATGGCATCTGTGAACAGCTTCGATCGATGGTCACTAAAATGTCTCATCTGCGCCAAGCACCTGATGATCCGTTCATCGGTAGGCATCCCTGCACACTTCAAGGATTCTCTCAGACCTAATTGGTGTTTAGGTAATATCAACCGCGGGGCCGTGAGAGACATGGTCTTTACTAACACAAACTTTCCACCTGCTGGCCCTTTTTCTGCAGCGGCTGAATTCCACGACTGTATGTCGGACATGTTCAAGTGGCCAGCCACGGCCGATGATCCAGATCTTGATCCTACCAGTATCACAGACCCTTATCGACAGATGCTGCCTGACGATTGTCCCATCCGCTTCGCGCACGCGGATCTCAACCCTGTGAACATAATGGTGTCCAAAGAATCGCCTTGCCGTATACTGGCAATTCTTGACTGGGAACAATCGGGCTGGTACCCCGCCTACTGGGAGTTTTGCAAAGCCGAATTGACTATTGAAGCCCATTCAGAGTGGCAAGCTGTATATTTGCCCAAGATTTTCGATGAGCCAAGTTGTGTCGAAGGCTTCTACGCTTATGTTAGCTCATTTGCCCCTTAATGTAACAAGCATATAATAGAAACAATTACCGCTTTGTACTTGGTGGGCACGGAGATGTGCTGTTACAGCTTGACTAGCGGCTAGTCAATTCATTGTTATGCTCGTAATACATCCTGTATGGGCCGCACTGGGTTTCCCATTCAGTTATCGTCACGACTATCCGCGATGAGTAGCGTTCCATGATCAAGTCGAAGCCCTGTATTGAAATCTCCCGTTGTCACCGAGAATGTAATACTTGTCAGATATTATTTGTCCTTACGTGGCACTCTTCAAGGTAATGTAAACCCAAGTAAGAGAACTGCCAAGACTGAACTGGATAGTTCGTCTGGCTGGCAGTTGAGCAATGTCTCCTCATGTCCATTACTATCAATGTCTTAAATGGCGCTCTCATTTGTTTAAAGAGCTAAACCTTTTGAGTATGTATATATTTATACTACTACCTGAAACTATTAGTATAGTTAAAAAGTTTAGAAACTAGTTACAGAGGGGAATTGAAGCCTGGTAGTCCCTGATTAAATCAGTTACGGCGCATAAAGAACTTGCTAAACTCTACGTTACTCTCAAGCCTTTCCAAAGTGCCACTATCGTATTGCAGAATCAGTTCCAGACTCCGAATTTCACTATGAGGAGGTGGCAGAATAATGCAACGGCCGTCAGGTTTACCCTCAGTATCTCCGACAGTAACGCGGAATGCTGAAGGATACCCAAGATGACGCCCGAAATAAATGTCGTTGTATCTGTGCGCTTGAAGACAGACTATGAGCATGTCCGGTCCCGGGTATCGGTCGACATTCCAGGTCAAGGAAGTAGTTTTGGGCATCTGATTGAGCAGTCCAACGAGACGCCTTACTGCTTTGTTGTTAACAGCAGCAATGGCTCGTTTGACAGAGCTTGCCAACTCCAGATAGATCTCGTTTCTGTCTTCCCCATTCTGCAGACGAGCAACAGGTGCTCTGGCGACCGCGTTCGGTTCCGCAAAATTCCCCCAATAGTTTGATGGGAGTGGCGGACTTTCCATTCGTTCCCTCGCATCGACAGTGATTGATAGCTTAGCCTCTGGGTATCGATGATGGTCCATCTGCCTGGCCATGACAACGTGGCGCCAGAGGAAAGCACAGATAGCTTCAGTCGTGCTCAGCTTAGTATTGACAGCGCCTTTCAGGACATGATTCTTGAGCAGCGAGAGGTTCTCGGCAGAGATGAAGAATATGCCATGTTCAACCGACTGCACCTCGGCAACTTCGTAGTTTGTTGGGTTCAAGAAAGTGGAAGAGGTCTCTGTAAGCTTCCAATCAGGAAATTCTTCCAGGGTCACGCCTTGTTCACCCTCAACGACCGAGCTTCGATCAAGAGGCGTGATTGGCATGGTTCGGAGGCCGAGTCCTTTGGTAATGGCAGCCAGGTGCATGCCTAATGTCTTGTGCAAGATAAAGTTGCAGACGCCATCGCCTGCCACATGCTGCATATCAGTCAGTGTTTGTAAAGGAAAGGCCGGACGACGAGGCTTGTGTTGCACAAGCCGCGTCGCAGGCGGTCGTGTAACATGGAGCAAAAAGTAAATCGCGCGGGTAACGTGAACTTACATGAAGACAGGTCCCGAGTATAAGGCCCCCAGAAATGAAGTTACACTGAAGTACCAGCGCCGGAATACTGGCTCCCGGAACTAGCTTTGCCGATGTGCCGAAGATAATGTGTCTCGGTATATCAAGCGGAAAATAAGCCCTCTCAAGCTGGTGAAACGTACCGAACTTCCATAAAGGCCGAAGTTCGGGTGCCGTGTAATCCTTGTAGTTAAGTCTGGGGCCTTGGTTGCTATCGAATAGAAGCTCAACCTCTTCCCGATCGTTTTCGGTGGGCCGTCGCACGGAACATGCAAGTTCTGGGATGTCGATGATCGTGTTGACTAAGGCCCGTTCAAATAGATGGAAGATATGTCTCTTGTCCGCATTCTGTGACGCAGGAAAATACAGACATGATGAGATGTAGTCCCTCGGAGCGATTTGGTCGATTGCTGAGAGTTTGACTATCTTTCCATGTGCGATTGGCTGTGGTTGAATAGTAGTAGAGGTGAAGTAGGCGGATGGAGTGAATGGAATATCAGTCGACATGGCGACGATGCTGCTTTAGTGATGTTAAGCTTGAGAAATGCGGATGTGCAAGAAGAATTAGTCTGGAAAGAACTCACTGATGTGCCAGACTGATGATAGATAAATCAATATGAGATCTGATGCATTGTCTAAGACTCTTTAGATGCGGAGACTGTAGGTACGGTATCTTCATTCCTCTAGTCTAGACTACCAGACTTACAGGAATCCGAGTGATTTCGTATTACGCTTTGACCAACACATGATTGAGACAATATGTCGCACGGTGCTTGAGTCTTGTTTATCTGACACGTTCCGACGAAGCTTGTGGGCAAACTCCCCCCTAGCTGCAGATCCTTATACGAAGGGAGGTATGATCGTCATTTTTGGTCCAAGCGCATGTTATATCTGTGGTACCTGATAGACGATATCGCTGAGACATAATTCGGCAATGAGATGTGACAAAAGAGCGGTCCGAGCCACAGCTGTGCAGGGTTTAAACTTCACTCCGAAGCTTGCAATTGTAACGCAAGAAACACTAAACGGTAGATGATCTACCTCTTATCGTACGTTCAACATTTTCGCGGTCTTTACTGTCTTAAGTTTAGATTGCGAAAATAATAAGGGTGTAGTTATCATAAAGCTGAAACGGAGGTCAAAGTCAGGTTGATATCATAGAGCAGGACTTGAGGGAGAAGCGTAATTGCTTTCACGTGGCTCGACCGATATCTTACAAAATGATAATCAATTTACTCTGGGATCATTCACTTATCTCTTCAAATAAGCAGAAGTAACTTGACCAAATCACAGTCTGCAAACAGAAACGACGAATCAGCCATGTCCGATTCATGGGTCGAACCAGCGGGCCCTCTACAGCCATCCACCGTGAAGTGCTCAGCCCTCGACAACCTCACCGCTTCAGTGTATCCTTCGCCTACACACTTCTTTCCACTAAAACCAAAAACGGACCCTCGACAGCTCTATGAAGACTGTAAGCAAGGCCTCTCCCGATGTATCTACGAGCATCCACACCTCGCAGGTGTTATCAGGAAAGACGAAACTGGACGTTGCGCTATTGAGATTCGACCGGCCCCGCGTGCAGGCACAAACTTCTGGTATCGAGATCATCGCCACGATGCAGATGTGCCCTCTTACACCGAGCTCAAGATTAACGGGTGGCCGTTTGGCGATGGCGAAGAAGATGGCCTTGCCAAGCTCCGACCAGAGGACTTTCCCTGCGTCCAAGATGGCGACCCTGTAATTGCACCTCAGTTCAATGTCTTGAAGGGCGGTATCGTCTTGACCATGTCGATCACGCACGTGATAGGTGACCTGGTCCAGTTTATGGACTTTCTCAGGTCTTGGTCACAGAACACGAGTGCGATAGCAACTGCCAGACTCAATGGTCAATCTGTACCTCAACTCCCGCAGCAAATATCGGCGGACCTGATAGATCGCTCCCTCTTGACACCTGACGTGAGTATCGAGGAAGATCTGGACAAGCTCGGAGCTCGTGCAGCGAAGCTTCACTATCTCGACATGCTTGACCCTCGGTCTCCAGAAGAAGTTGCGGACAAAGTATCAAACCTCTTCACCAAGGCACGTCTGACAAATGACGATCTGGTGAGGTTTACAGAAGATGAACTTCGCACTCTGTCTTGTTCTGTCTGGACCTTTTCAAAGTCCTCAATCAAGCAGCTTCAGCACATGATCCAAGAGGTCTTGCCCGACGGCTCAAAAGTTTCGTCCACAGATTGCTTGACCTCGTTCGCATGGAACCGACTCTTTGGCGCCAAATATGCTCCAGGATTATCAGGCCGTGATCCTCTACCCGAGACTAGCAAGATTGTCTTTGCTGGGAGCATTCGTCGCCGGTTGACGCCTCCTCTACCTAACAATTACATGCCTGCCTGCGTGGATTTATTCCCCGTGTCTGTAAGCACCAGAGACTTCATCTCACCTGACCCTAAAACTCTGGCACATGCAGCGACGGCTATTCGCAAGAGCAATAATGCTTGGAGCGAGGAAACCTTTCGAGAGATGCTCGAGATAGCCCATTCGCATCCTGTCAACCCGGGCCTCATACCTAAAGGGCCCATCGATGCACTTGTGACGGACCATACACGAGCAAGTGTAGCTATGCTGTCAAGTTGGGGTCCCGAGCTTGGTTCTTGTGAGGCCTTTAGAGAGCCGTATCTTGGTAGAATCCCCCCTCATGGGGAGATCACTCTCTTACCCCGATGGAATAATGGTAATTTGGAGGTTATGTTTGCTGGAGAGGCTGTTGTGATGGAGCGGTTGAGAAGAGATCGGCTTATGAGTCAGATGGCCACTTGTCAGTTTGTCATGGGTGACCCTAGGTTTCAGGCGACTCGTGGGAAATATGTCTCAAAGCTGTAGTAGAGACAGCAATAGCCATTCCAGAACCTGGCCAAGCGTGTCTAAGACATTCTGAAATAATTCTAGTATAGTAAAGTTGCTCTAAAGCCAGAGTATCATAATTGAGCTCTATTGACCTCGTTACCGCCTTCGTCAAAATGAATCTTATTCCCCATAATCATAGACCGTTGCAAAGCCGCGCCAATGCGCACAGCCGTTACTGCTGATTCCAGTTCAACAGGTACTGGCTTGTCGTCAAGCACGCACTCGGTAAATTCGATAGCTTCTCTTGTGAACGCTGCCTGGAACCGCCCCCAATAGTTTTGAGGAAGCTCATGCCTGATGCCTTCTTGTCCATAAATCCGAACGTGGTTCTCAACCGGGATCAAGTTCACAGACAGCTTACCCTTTGTCCCGATAATCTCTGTCGTATCCTCTTGACCAGCAGCCATCATGCGCGAGGCATACAAATATGCGATGCGCCCATCGTAAAATTCGACAATGCCCACAGCATTATCCCTATCATCGTACTGCCGTAGATCTGGTTCCACGGCCGTGATCCCTACGGCGTGGACTGATCGAACCTTGGACTCTTGGCCAAAAAACCAAAGAGCCAGGTCAATATCATGAATACTGCAATCAACGAATATGCCACCAGAGAACTGAGCATATGCGACGAAAAAGCCCGAAGGATCCAGCACATCGCACGTCTGGCTCCTAAGAACAGATGGGCGGCCGATCAAGCCTGACTTTGTTTTCTCGTAGGCGTCGCGGTATGAAGCATCGAAACGGCGGGAAAAGCCACACATGACTTTGAGGTCGGGGCGGGTAGCAGCGGCGTCAACAACAGATTGGGACTAAACTGTCAGCACAATGCGAAGTCTGTCACAAGGAAACACTCACAATCTCGACCGTTGTGCCAAGCGGCTTCTCACACAATACGTGCTTGCCCGCGGCAATAGCGGCATTGGTCTGTTCAGCATGCACAGCAGTGGCAGAGGCGACGCAAACTGCATCCAAGCCCACATGGGCTATCATGTCAGAGTAGCTCTCGTATACAGCTACTCCGTCAGGGGCGAGGTTCTCAGCAGCCCATTCCCTCTCGGCAGCGTCTGGGCTGGTAACCGCGACTAGAACAGCTCGCGGGACATTCTGATGGAAGTTAAGGGCATGTCGCTTGCCCATTCTTCCGAGACCAGCGACACCAACATGGAGTTTGCGAGGTGCCATTGTATGAGTGTAGGGAGGATGGTGAAGAATTGAAGAAAATGAAAGAAGTAAATGAAGGGTGAGAAGTAGAATACTGCCGACCCGGATTTCTCATTTATTATATACAGCCTGACAGTCGATAAATGTCTCCATGTTGATGGCAGGACTTGGCAAAAGTTGTATTCTCTTGTCTTGGATTGTTCATGCTGGGGGAAAGGCACTTACCTGTGCGTACTTGGACGCGAAAAGACATGGTGGAGTAGAGCATTCGGAGGCTTTGACCCTGAGTTCTCTGTTGATACGGGTTAATTTGCCCCGATAAAGACCATGCGGATAAACGTTCCGAGTGAAGCTCCACAGTATTTCAGACCGCCGCATATGTGTACACTATGGGTACATAGACATGTTGAGGGTCAGTCGCGTTCCCATCTACTCGACATTTATATAGTATGGAAATTAAACTGCTATGTAAATCGCTCAATTTCTTACCCTTGAGTCACTGTATTTGAGACTATTTGACTCCATACACTGATTACAGCTATGGCCTAAGTTCTTTTCCGGCATCAAGAATCCACCCAGCCCCATGCTCTCTTTAAATGGTCTTGTGCTGATGCAGTGGGCCACGAATGAGTATTCTGGGTCAGCATCAACACATCCAATAACGCCTCTTGGTCTCGTCTTTCGGTAAATCGATCTCCACATGCCGTCACTCCCATGCAGGCTGTGAAGGTGGCGGGTCTTGTGGAGGGATTTGAGAGAGCTATCCCGCAAAGTTCTCGGACTTGGGTCCGGATATCGTCCTACATCAGTCAGAATACACTGCTATGGTGGATTGCGCATCTCAACCTACGTCAATTTGCTTCCGAGCTAGCTGAGCAGATGGTCCAATTCGTGGTACTCGGTCATCATGGCACATAAGGAGAATACGAGCAAATATGCTATGGACTTGACCGATAACTGATGTTTATTAGCATACCTCCTCTAGTCACAAGCTGTAACATACCGACGGCGTGGTTTAGATAAATGATGTGTGGAAAGGCTTCGCCCAAGGTCTCGTCAGAAGCACTATAGGCAACAGGCAGCCAGGACACTGGACGAGCTCGTAGCCACGCTTGGTCATAGTCAACTAGTTCTTGATAGTGGTGTCTGTTGGGACCGTTATTACCAAAACAATAGTTTATAACATCTGCACTGTGGACAATAATGCGATTTGCCCATGTGTCATCGTCGGCTTCAGAGAGGGACCGATCCATGAATCCGTGATCGAGCCTGATCTTTACAGGGCGTTGACTTGCAAAACTCATCGTTACCTCTTGTCTCATGCCAATCCAGAACGAGGCTAAGCGGAGGCTACTCGGGGTCGTTGTAGAGTCACAAGTGTTCATAAATAGCTGTATTCCTAACAGATGACCTTCGTGATCGGTGCCGATAAGTGGAACGTCGAGTTCCTCGAGAGTCCGTAGAAGGATAGTCGCTGCGAGCAGATTGTCGTCGTTCAGGGCGGAGGAGTCGTTTGAGATTGTTGCCAAGTGCCTGAGACATGCTTGATGGTACCGATCGGAGGCGTAAGGGTCATATTGTGCGTTGAGGCTGAGATGTCTGGAGGATAAGGCGAAGATAGCATTGAGGAGGGTCGGACAAGACGCTGCTCGAGGGGGCACAATGTTGGCAAAGTGGCGTCTGGAATCGCAGAGGTCGAACTGCCAAAGATCAATACCCCATGTCGACCTGGACAGAAGATAGAATGGCGTACCCATGTGCACATGTAAGTCAAATAATATTGCATCAATCTGACTTCATGGTTCTCCACCAACGGGTAGGGTACTGATCCTACGTTGGCCAGTCCCAGTGTCGAACCCTGCGGAATTGGGCCATAATTGTGACGGCTGTCTTTGCTTACTGCACTGGCTCCATCCTCTCCACCGATCTCAACTGTATGAATTTGAGTCGCAGGAGAGTCATTAGACCCAGAATCTATAAGTTGTTCGTTATGAGATTGAAGCGTGTTCCTATCAGCTTGCTGCCAGTGGCTTTGGCTCTCCGACTCTGATAGGTAGTAACCTTCAACATCATGCGTCTCATCCACGAATTGTACTTGGCGACCCGTAAGTGGAAGTCTACATGAACAGGGATACTTACATCGTCTTGAGAAAGGGACCCAAACTTGATTTGGGGATGACCTATGGTGGAACTCAGCCTCCTCATCATCGCCATGACACGCAAAGGTCTGGGGGTGGACATACGTAGTTGAGTGCTTGAAGCGAAAAACGGGCGCTGTGGCGCAAACCTTGCCCATCGAAACGCATCGAAGGCATGTTTGTGTACCATCTCCAGCAACTTGTGGACCCCAGACGCATTTGAGATGCTGTTTCTTGCAGGCCTAATGATGGTCAGAGTGGCAAGGGGCATTCGGCATGGTTACCGATGTTTCATTTGACTTACGAGACATGCTGTAGCTGTGTTCATTTTCTCTCAAAGCAAATTTCAGAATTGATGTCTGGTGCAAATTCATCTTGAGGGGCAGGTTGCCCCGATTATATGACCTGGCTCCAAAGGCAAAAAAGGCCGAACGGTCGGGGCTGCGCTCCGTTTCTGCGTTTGAAGGTGAAAAGCTCCGATGCTCTAACCTGTATAGGGCTAACCTACTACGATAATGGAGCCTAGGCCGGACCATTTCCTGATGCTTGTCGGAAGAAGACTTGGTCCACCGTTACCCCAAAACTCTCCAGACTTGACTCGTGCTTCCCCACGAAATACCCCATGTTTAATCCATGTCACTGTTGGATGAAAAGTAACCCGCCATCATTAATTGGATATCTACGATAGATGGTAAGTCGCAGAGTAGACCGAGAATCCAGACTATAATAGATCAGCATCTCGCCCTCGAATATCCCCAGAAACTATTCATCCTCATCTACATTCAGAATCTACTTATAACAACTTCTCAAAATGGATACGCAAGTCGATCAAGTCAAGGACAAGCTTGACGAGTGCGGTGCCACTACCGAGGAGCACGTTGGAATCAACACTTCTTTGGAACCATATGGTCCTTCCGGTGAGTTATCATTCCCTGCTAGGCTTTAACATGATTGTGATGGCAGACGTTGCGAGTACATAGCTGACAAATTAGGATTTCGCGGTCTCTTCTCATCTCCCTACGTCGCTGCCTGCGCCGCCTTCTCGGCGATCGGTGGCCTCCTCTTTGGCTATGATCAAGGCGTCATTTCCGTGACGCTCGTAATGGATCATTTCCTCGATCGATTCCCCGAAGTCTCGGATGATGCCCCTGGCGCAGGCTTCAAAAAGGGCCTCATGACCGCCATGATCACGCTCGGGGCGTTTATAGGTGCCATCAACCAGGGTTGGATCTCCGACTGGATATCCAGAAAGCGTTCCCTGATGGTTGCTGTTGTGGTATTCACGATTGGATCAACTCTCCAGACCGCAGCTATCAACTATGCCATGCTGGTTGTAGGGCGCTTTACCGGTGGCATTGGTATTGGACAGTAAGTTCAGCTTGGAAATCTGTTTATCCAACACTCGATGCACCTTGACATTGACCATGTATCTGTTAGATTATCCATGGTGGTGCCTCTTTACATCGCAGAGATTTCTCCACCTGAGATCCGAGGTGCTTTACTCGTCTTCGAAGAACTGTCGATTGTCATAGGAATTGTTGTTGCATTCTGGATAACCTACGGGACAAAGGTAAGCCAACATCCACTCCTTACGCGCCGCTATTAGCTCATCCACTCCTAGGCAATTCCCAGCCACTGGTCTTGGCAGCTTCCGTTCCTCCTTCAAATCCTCCCCGGTCTTCTATTAGGATTCGGCGCTATTTTCCTACCATTCTCCCCTCGATGGCTCGCTTCCAAAGATCGCGAGGAGGAAGCATTATCCAGCCTCGCCAAACTTCGCGCCCTTCCCGAGTCCGACCTACGAGTTCAACGCGAATGGATGGACATTATCGCCGAGGCCCGATTCCAAGCAAGTGTTCTCCGCGAACGACACCCTGATCTCACTCAAAGAACAGATGTGGTTGGGAAGATGCGACTTGAGTTTGTTAGCTGGGGAGATTGCTTCAAGTCTGGCTGCAGGCGTCGGACTCTTGTTGGTGCAGGCCTTATGTTCTTCCAGCAGTTCACTGGAATCAACGCTCTTATCTATTATTCACCAACACTGTTCGGAACCATGGGCCTGGACTTTGACATGCAACTCATCATGTCGGGCGTCCTCAACGTGACGCAGTTGATTGGTGTTCTGTCGAGCTTATGGACCATGGACCGTTTCGGCCGCCGGGGCATCCTCCTTTGGGGTAGCTTCCTGATGTTTGTGCCACATCTCATCATAGCTGTCTTGGTGGGCAAGTTCTCGAATGATTGGCCCAGCCATACTGCCGAAGGCTGGACAAGCGTCGCTTTTCTTCTATTTTACATGCTTGCCTTTGGTGCCTCTTGGGGCCCTGTTCCTTGGGCTATGCCAGCAGAAGTATTTCCATCATCTCTCAGGGCAAAGGGCGTGGCAATCTCCACCTGTTCAAGTAAGCTTCTCTTCTCTATCAAGTGCCAAGCCACTAACCTCGTTAGACTGGATCAACAACTTCATTATTGGCCTCATCACGCCACCTCTTGTTCGCGAAACAGGCTTCGGCGCCTACGTCTTCTTTGCCGTCTTCTGTCTTCTGTCCTTCGTCTGGGTCTGGCTTAGTGTGCCTGAGACTAACGGGAAGTCTCTTGAGGAAATGGATAGCGTTTTCAAGGACCGGACTGGAGTGGCAGATATTGCCAAGAAGGATCGTATCCTCACCGAGGTCTACAGTGAGCGACAACGCCGCTGATGATAGAATGGAGTAAATTTGAAAGCTCCCCCAATTTGAACTTCATGCTTTTTTGCGAATTTTCTCGAAACCGGATATAATTAACTGTGTGACATGGTTAGGAGGTCGCAGAAGCTAAGCATAATTCCAGTAATTCGTGTAAAAGTGCAACCACTTAATCCCGAGCCGTCCACCCTCGCATTGACGTCGAATGACCTCCTGCATGCTATTTACTAAGCCACTAGCTCAGGGGGCCTGGGTTGTGATGGTTGCATGAGCTACTGAATGCATTGCTTAACCATGGTCATCACCATGAAACATTGTGCCAAGCTGTTCTGCGGCAAGTTTGCCAAAAGAAAAGTCGATGTATATGCGGAAATAGTCTTTCCCAAGTCATAGCCTTAGAGTATCTAAATGTACTCCGCGATAATCACCTAATTATTCATCACAAAGGAGACGAATCGAGTCGATTATCAGTTGGCTCATGGAACTGAAGGATTCTTACCCTGGACGCAAAATCGAGTTATCGGACCGACAGGCCAGCCACTGACAATCAGTTGCTTATTAGTCTACCGACTATACCTAAAAGAAGCGGCACCAAGCCAAGTTGGTAGTTCAGCTCGCCGCCACAAACGGCATCAAGGAGATCACAGACCTCCTGCAAGACTGGCGTTCCAATCAAGCCTCTTACTTCGATTTCCCCAGACATATGATGCCCAGTCGTTGTCTGATTCCTGCAAAGGTCAGGGGAAATCCGGGGGAATCAATCCGGGGAAATGAGCTGTGGCTTCCAGTAATGACTGTATCAGGCCTAAAGTCAAATCCTGCCTAGTTTGAGAGGAGTTATATAATACAATGCGTGTTCCATCCAGTGCGAGGTAAACCATGTAACGTTCAAGCCTGTCCCTAATGCATCTTTGTCTCTCTATACCCTGCTGCCCGGTTCCCTGAAACAATGTTTGGGTCAAATGCCAATCTTAGCAAAGATGAGGTCGTGCTCATATCCATGGCTTCCAAAGGAGTTGCTTCTCATCACGAGTCAGGTATCGACGAACCCGCCCCAGAAGATCTTGCGCGCCAGCCCTCACATGTCTACTCCAACACCCTTGACAGTCCAATATGGCTGCCCCGCCGATCAACAAGCTCAGGCGGTGTCGGCGCACGCATTCATCGCGGCTTAGCAAACGAGAAAGAGATGACTCTGCTCAGCTGCTGCCGGCACTTCCCCAAGGCGATTATGTGGTCTTTTCTTCTCTTCCTTACCGTTGTCATGGAGGCATACGATAAGTCACTTATCTCCGGTTTCCTTGCTTTTCCGTCCTTCAGGCGTAGGTACGGTGAACCCAGGCTACCGCTTACTGACGCCGTTGGGGAGCAAGACTATGAGATCTCGCCCTTGTGGCAGATGGGTCTTCAAAATGCTGCCGTCGGTTGCGAGATCGTAGGCCTTCTTGCCCATGGTTATATCTCCTATGCGATTGGATACCGCAAGATGATGATCGTCGCGCTTCTGTGGATGTGTCTTGCAGTATTCCCGGCTGTCTTCGCACACAACATCGCTCTATTACTTGCCTCCCAAGCTCTCTGTGGTAAGTTACTGCTCGCCTATCAATCTCACGCGGAATGCACACCCGATTATCTGAGAACTAACGGGTCTTCCACAGGCTTGTCGTGGGGTGTGATTCAAACTTTAGCAGCGACCTATGCTGCTGAAGTGGTACCCTCAGTCATCCGTGCAGCTATCCTCAGTAATGTCAATATGTGCTGGCTTATTGGCCAGCTCATGGGTACTGGAATACTGCGGGCGCTTATCAAGAATACGTCAGATTGGTCGTATCGCCTGCCATTTGCCCTGCAATGGGCATGGGCGGTCCCATTGCTGTTCCTCATCTACTTCGCCCCTGAAAGTCCCTGTAAGACTCTCCCTACTTGACACATCTTCTTTCCTTTTACTTATTTGTCAACCATAGGGTGGTTAGTCCGACATGAGAGACTAGCAGAAGCTCGACATTCATTGCAGAGACTCACGAGTAACAAACACATCGACATCGAGGATACAATCGCTATTATGCAGCATATTGATTCAACGGAGAAGAAGCTAGGATATGGTGGTTCGAACTTCCTAGATCTCTTCAGAGGTTGCAACCTCCGCAGGACCGAAGTGTGTTGCATGACCTGGTCTTGCCAAGCTCTATGCGGTGCTACCTTAACCGGCTATGCCCCATACTTTCTAGAACAAGCAGGCTTTGAATCCTCCAAGTCATTCACTCTAGCTACCGGAATGTATGGTCTCGGTATTTTAGGCGGCATGATATCGTGGATATTGCTTTCTACAATCGGACGGCGAAAGCTTTACTTGGCCGGCTTGGTGTCTGCGTTGCTCATTCTCACCACAGGCGGCACCTTGTCAATCGTCTTGGCCGACCACTCGTCGTTGAATTGGGCGCTCGGGTCCTTGATTATCCTGATGACCTTTACCTACAATATGTCCATTGGTCCGGCTTGCTATGTCATCGTGGCCGAGATACCATCAACAAGGCTTCGGATCAAGACCATTGCCCTCGCAAGGATCGTTTATAACATGTTCACTATCGTGAATAACTTTGTTGCGCCTCAGCTTTTAAACCCATCTGCATGGGACCTGGGTGGTAAGTCTTGTCTAGTGTATGCTGCTACATCTTTCCTTTGTCTGATATGGTGCTATTTTCGGCTTCCTGAAACAAAGAAGCTATCGTACTTGGAATTGGATATTCTTTTCGACAAGGGGGCTCCTACAGCCAAGTTCAAGGAACTACAAGATAGACTTGCCAATTCGGCGTACATCTCTGTGTCAAAGGCAGAGCGGGTCAGGAATGCTTGGCATGGCTGGCTGGCTTATTCCTAGTGGAAAGTCGACATGTATACTGAGCAGTTTGAGTCAATACTTAAAAGGCAGTTGCAGTGTTTATGCTGTTAATGCTTGTAGCTGGAACTGTTACATTTAGTAAAAAGAGGTAGAAGATTTATTATTTTCTAGTATATATCCGCATATACCTACAGTCTCTATGATTCGTTGCTACTCTGGCAAGTTTATCTTATTTAAAATATCAGGTTTCGCTCGCGAATAGTCAAGGTTCAGTTACTCGTCGCGAAAAAGATGGACAACAAAGGCTCAGGGTCACAGTCAGGCTCTTGTCTCTATCATGCAAGTCTTGAATTGTCTCTGAGCTTATTTTCTCTGTTTGACTTTTATTATTTATAACAGGGGATTTACGGTTTCAGTATTTAACCCATGTAGATATAGTTCTCTCATTTAGGTCTTTACCTATCCTTAATGTAACTCTATCTTGATCAGTGAACTGAGTCTCTTACTAGGGAGGGTTAGTGAAGGGGGGGTCAGGAGTAGGGTAGGGGATTCCCTGCTGACGACAGTAGTCGTACATATAGTATTCATCTCGGCACTTACGGCAGTTGTGCCAGGTTGTGGGCACATTTGGGCCGTAGCGAACAGGGCGCTCTAGGTGGACAGCACCGCTCTGCTTAGCAAGGTCGCACCTTTCAATTTCCTCCCACGGCTCCGAGGTAACATTACTGCAGCGACGGCAGAAATACACGCGAATAATCGTTACACACATAATGGCGTGAGTTGTAATGAGAAGAAGAGGAGGCAGATCTAGTGGCTATTATAGAGACTTAGAGAGTAATATAAGAAGGTGGTAAGTTATTATTAATAGGAGAGTAGTATCTTGATTTTTAAGAAGAAGAAAAAGTAAAGAAAATTATACGGACGTCAAGTTAATGTACAGTACGGCTGCCACAGTGATTCTGAGCTAAGGATAGACATTATCACTGTCAGAGAATACAGTAGACACTCGCTGCCAGATAAAACATTGGTAACTCGTTCATTAGATCATGAACATCGGCTGCCAGTGAGATACTGATTCAGGAGCTATAGAGGAAGGTGAATCGCTGTTGACGCGAGCATTTGTATGTTCAAACTACTGGGCAACACTACGTACACATGGGCAACCCACGACGGGCCGCGCTTGGTCTTTAGCTATGGGCAGTGTTAGTAGTGTTGACCAGTGTAGCCGTGGTCAAGGTCATCAGTCTATATACAATCAATCAGTCGTTTAGGAAGCTGCGACTTTGCTTTGCAATTCTTCTTAAGTATTATAAACATAGCAGCAACTAGGCTCAAGGTCCCCCAGTCCTGGCACGTCTGTCTATATCTTGCTACTCCTATTACTCCTATTACTCTATATTGTCTGGCCATGTTGAAATATTACTGTTTCTTATTCCTTGGAGTCCCATCAAGCAGTTTCTTATCTTCAGGGCCTGAGAGCACCAACTCTAAAAGCAACTCCCTCTGTCGCTGCCGCATTTACACAAAAGTGCCCCGACGTCACGATAGAAGCCGCCGCCACACAAACGCCGGAGTTCCTGCATTAATCACCCCACTGAAGGTTGCTGTGCCCTCTTTGGTCAATCCTGATACGCATCCGACAAGCCTCTGAACTCAGAAGAAAATTCACATGATTACATAAATAGCTTTCTCTTCCTGACTTAACATGAACATTTGTTCCAAGTGAGAGATATATATCTTTACAAGTTCAAGGTTTCGGTTTTACTGATGTCCCTATGGAGGGGTTGGGATGAGCCAACACTTCGTTTTGAGATTGGCAGTCCACTCGGACACAGCACAGTAGGCAAAGTTGTTCAGGTGCGGGATCTTCCAAGCAGTTATCGCATTGATCGATGGTTAAGGCTTATTACATCTCAACGAGATATATCAAGCCAATACACTGGAAAATCCCAATTAACTTCAAGTTTAAAGCACCCAAGGCATCAGCGCTTGCAAGAACACTTACAAGCCCCCTGACGTCCAGATGACTAGGCTACAGTAACTCCAACAAACCTTTCTTCAAGTCGCGGTATACTAGATCTTGGCCATCGTCACGAGCAACATGGCGGCCGTCCAGTTTGCCGCTATTTGCTCCGCCAAGACCGCCACCGCCTTCACTAGCACCGACGCTTCGGCACCTGCAACTTACACCAGTCTACCGGTACACAGCCGTTGATCAAATAACTCATTAAGCACTGAGTCGTATGCTAACCGTGAAGAGGCAGTGATGGAACTATCTTGGTCTTGACTGATAATGGTGCGGTCAAAGAATTGTGGTCGTGAACTGGTTCTCCCCTTCTCATTCATGGTAGCCATAGCTTTTACCGGTAGTTATTGTCACCATGCCGCAGAAATCGGGGACTTCCGCGAGTCTTTGTTATTCCCGTCTAAGCTATTGGGCTCGCTTTGGATAAAGTCCCTCACTTTTCGGCACGCTACGTGCCGCTAGTGCCATCCAGACTTTGGTCGAGAAACTCTAACACTACACCATTTCGATAGCGTGTATCTTAACCCTCCATTTGGTATCCAATCCCGGTGCCCAGTTCTCAGCATGAAAGCTTGTACAAGCCATAGTCGGCGGCTTGCCCCGGTCTCTCCTGTCAACTTCCAAGAGAGAACCTCGTTTCACTAAAGGTGCACGATAGATAGTAAGGTTATGAGTCTGTCGTGACGTTGAGGATCTCCCAGAATTGGGCTAGCATTCATGACTGCCAACTGCGTAGAATATCGGAATGGACTTTCGCAGAGGGCTAGATGGTAATGCCTCAATGGCATGTTCCGCCGAGATCCTCTAGTCTGGTCCCGAAGGATCGGTGGCTCGAAACACCCTTGGACGTTAAGTCGAGGTCAAAGCACACTACGCGCTCTAGCTCAGCCTGTATGTAATCTTACGAAGCAATGGAATTTGATCTAACCTTTTATGAGAACGCCCAAACTTTAACCCCTTCATTGATCAAATATAAGTATATATACTGCTCTCAATTGCAAGACCCTTGTTCGATTTTAATCATTTACCGGCCTTGGCCAGCTGCACTCAAGTAACGCTGACCTCAAATCATGTCAGCTGAACCGACGCGGGTGCCGTTGGCTCTAGGCCTTATTATACCTCTAGTATGCCTCACCTTTGTCGTTGTGACTCTCCGTATCTACACACGTGCGATTATTATAAAAAATATTGGCTTCGATGATTATTGGGCTATTGCCTCCTTCGTAAGTTGAGAATGCCACAGTCTTGATGCTTCTTGCTTAAGCTGAATGTAGATACTATTCTTTGCCTGTGCCTTTGACATTCTGTGGGGTAAATTCATTTGTCTCGTCCCTGCATGCCGGTTATCATTAACTAATGTATGGTCAGGAATCAACTATGGTTTCGGAAGGCACATGTCATCTCTTACCAATGAGCAGCGATCCAACTTCATGAAAGTCTGTGCCCAAGACTCTAAATATTCAGGGAGCTAATAAGCCTGTCAGATTCTCTATATTTCGATTATTCTGTATAACTTCGCAATCAGTGCTATCAAAATGACCTTTCTAGCACAGTACTATCGAGCCTTTGCGACACAAGGCACCAAGAAGATCCTGATAATTTCTATAGGTATAGTTTCGGCTTGGAGCATATCGCAGATCTTTGTCGTTCTATTCCTCTGTCAGCCAATGGCGGCCTTTTGGGATAAGAGTATTGATGGCAAATGTTTGCCGAATAACCCCCAATGGTATATCAATGCTGCAGGGAATATCGCAACAGATATTTTGATCATTCTACTTCCTATGCCTTTCTTGATCAGACTCAATATCCCATCTCGCCAACGATACGCTCTGGTTGCTATCTTCTGCCTGGGCTTCTTGTAGGTTTCTGTATTGCAACATACTAATTCATTCTAATTCGAAGGGTAGTACTTGTGCGATATCCGGTATCCGAATCCATATGTTGGACCTGCCGGAGGACTGCTCCTGGACCAACGTTAAAACAGCATCTTTGTCCATCGCAGAGCTCAGCTGTGGATTACTCTGCGCTTGTCTACCTACCCTCCGACCTCTCATATTGCGTTTCCTTCCCAAAGTCTCTAGTTCCGGACAAGCCTCGAGAAACTACACCACAAACAATAGATGGAGCATGCCACCGGCCCCATGAATCGTGGCTGGAGCTTGAGTATGGTTTCCGTAATCGAAAGTGGAAGCCATTCAGATCCCCGATTACCACTCCAGTGGAAAGACTAGACCGGGGCTCAGTGCGAGCTATGGTGCGACTGAAGTTTCAAGGACTGAGTAGCTTAACAAGTGGAGATTGCGAATCTAGAACATAATTTTTGCACAACGACACAGCTTCCTCTCTAATCAGCCTGCCAGTCATAATTGCAGCTGCAATATTAGCAGTGTCGGGGCACTCCATGATAGCCTTGCCAACCAGATCGGTCAGACGGCTTGCAACACCTCCTGCATCGTTGTAATTGCCCATATCATTCGTGCCAGCGTCCAGCAGGACTACATTGGGGCGCTGGCCAAGAGATAGGCCTGCAAAGTCCGATATCTGGGTATTTGCAACTCCGTTGTGGCCCCCGTTATCCAGGTCACCCACTTCACTCGCCTTGATCGAGCCAATCATGTGCACTTTATATATCCCTTGTTTGGCCAGGTAGTCGTACAAGAAGCTCCTGCATCCGGCCCTATCAGAGCTCATGAACTCGTTCGTGATAGAGCCTCCGCGAGCGATTATAATAAGAAGGGTTGGACACTACCGCCATGATTGATGGAGTAACTGAGTATTTGTGACAGCCGACGAGGTTTCTTCCAGGGACGGAGTTGAGACATTAATCCAGCCAAACAATGGATCGATTGGGAGACCATACTCAAAGTCTCCCATGTGGAACATATCAGATCCCGTGTTGGACCAGTCAGCAACCGAAAACGTGCTCTGAATAGTATCCAAGTCGAACGACATATCGGCTTGATCATGAGGGGTAATTTCTTTTGCAGAGAAGTTAATGTCATACAAGCGGCTATAATGCAGAACTTTGGACATACCTGCCAATAGGTTCAGTCGGTTCGCCTCTATCAAACGCCTGATACTCTTTGCAGGCTTTGCAACACCCGGGTTCGCCGTACATAGTTCATCCAAACACTCTAGACTAGACTTGAGCATTGCTAAGTGATCACGTGTCTGGCTCTGAGAAGCTGCATTACGGACGTGGACTGTACACGCCACATACACCGTGTACGCGAGAACGTAAGGAGCTCCATTAAGCCCGTAGGTTGACTTGTAGACTGAGGCTATACTGGTGATGCACCTTGCTGCCACAGTGCATTGCTCCCAAGACCGCCCTGACGTGGCAGTGGATCGGAGATGATCATCTGAGATAAATGGCCGATGGACAAGAATGATGAGGGAGTGATAGACGTTGTGAAGAACCATGATGTTAGGTGTTTGTACCGCAGTGCTCGTGGACAACCACGGTTGGGAATCTAGCTCCGACGGTAACTTGTCTCGCCACTGCTGCAACGCTTGCTCAATCTTTTGTAAATCGATCTGAGCATTTGAGAACGTGGCGCCGACCACATAGAAGCGATTGATGATAGTCGTCATTATCTTGGAGAGGAGACATAGTTGCTGGAAAGTCGAAACGGAATGTCTTGGAATTGCATCGCCCATGTTTTCATCAAGTCTGGATGACGAGCCTGCAGCCAAGGCTGAAGGATAAAATGGCTCCATTTCCTCGTACAAGTCAAGGAATTCCCGAGAGACTTGTGAGTCCCGCAGATTAATAGCCACTGGACGACCCATATAGAGACTCTGAAGCTTATCGCAAACAAAAGCGCCCCAGAAGACCCGTCGCCGGATCTCAATCTCTTCGGGATCTTCCGTAGTTTGCTTCGGATCAAGATGGAGGCCAAGATCATAAACCATCCGTAGGGCGTATCCGGTATACAGCCAGCCTTTCGATGTTTCTCCGCGAGCATTATAAGTCGAGCCCAGAAGAACAAGTCCAACGATTGTGGAGATGTGCGGTCTTGTGAGGAGAGAGTCACTGCTGAGAAGGTCATCACAGCGCTTAAAGAAACGACGGCCAACGCTGGAGGCATCATTCGGGTCGTCCCTGACGTCAGGTCGTGGAGAGAACTTGCTACAGCATGCGAAGATGGCATTGAGCATGAAAGCAGAGCAGTATGGACCTGAACATTCCAAGTCTCTCATTACGGCCGGTCGATATGTCAGCAGAAAGGTGTGATGCTGGCGAGCCCAGTGCAAGTTTAGCAGATGGAGCGCAAGTTCTGTTGGCTCCCCAGCAATTGTTGTGTGTCTGGTAAGTCTATGCTCGAGATGCCGTTGCAAAGCGGCATTGGCTATTAATTCATTCTTGACATGCTCTGTTGTTGTAGATTGGCGGGATGATGGTGTTCCTTTATCGTTTCTTGCAGGATTGTGAAGAGCAGACGATGGACCAAAGCTGTTTGTTGTGCCGGCATCATCGACGGATATAAAGTTGGCAATATTTAGCTCGTCATCTGATGATACTATTGGTGTAGTGGCACCTCTACCAATTGGCTGACTTGTGGCTTTTCGTGATGAAGCCTCTCCAGTAGGGTCAGCAGTAGAGTCTAGCAAGTTGACAGCCCCATCTTCATCGACGGCTTCATTGAGTAGTTTCTGCCGCTCCTCCGGACCGCTTCTCTTGAGAGTCAACAGGAACACTTTAAGAGTTGCCAGATCTCGTTGCAGTTTACCAATCTGATTGAACGTAGGCCTGCCAATCATTAGACAACGCAATACGATGCAGCATGGCGTACCGTTTTCGTGGAGTTTCTTTCCGATAGATACATTCGCGTTTCTGACTGACACAATTCCCACATTCAGGCTTTGCAGCGTCGCAGCGGATCTTCTTGGTCCGACAGGCCGTACATGCTTTTGCCAACGACTTGGGTTGCCGTTGACTGGGTCCGTCATCTGCGACCATCATCACGTCATTGTCTTGTGAAGACATGATGCAAGGTTTCGCGAAATAGTGGAGCAACAATGATACGACTGATATGATAAGATTGTTCCAGGAAGGCACATCATGGACGCAGAGTTGAAGCAGCACCTGAGGTTCGGAGAAGAAAGCTCCGAGTGGAATGTGGAGTCTTGTCTTTACCGAAGTAACCGAGCAATCACTCGGAGAATCAGTCTCCGGTGTCTCTTTTCGCTTCTCCACTATCAGCCACATGTCACGAGAATCAGACCAATTGAGAGCAGTTGCACAGTGGCTTGACCGTTGAGCCGGAGGATAAGTCCCCGCGTCTTGAGTGGCGTAATCGCGACAACAGCATTCTCTTGAAGCATTGAAACAATTATATAAACTCTTCTAGTCAGCTTAGTTCACAATCTTTTATCTCAACAACTACAAACCATCTCTTGGATATTATATTTATCCCCAATTCCCTATAAAAGCCACTCCTCACATTATCATGGCTCTTCCAAAGCAAGTCGATGTCCTCGTTGTAGGCAGTGGCAACGCCGGTTTTGCAGCAGCTCTCTCAGCAGCTCAGAACGGCGCAGGGAGCGTCCTGCTTATCGACAAGTGCCCCGAGAACTGGGTCGGTGGAAACTCCTATTTCACCGCCGGCGCCTATCGAATTGCCCATGGTGGACTTCAAGATGTCCTCCCGATCGTCAACAATGTGTCCCGGGAACAAGCCGAGAAGATCGATCTTGCTCCTTACACCGAGAAAGACTTCCAGAATGACATGGACAGAGTCTGCATGGGACGCTCCGACCCTGAACTCTCAAAGAGCCTGATTCAGAACTCCAATGCTGCCATCAAGTGGCTTGCTACGAATGGAATACGGTTCCAACTTTCCTTCAACAGGCAGGCTTATGAAGTTGATGGGAGGATCAAGTTCTGGGGCGGCATGTGCATCAAGACCGAGGATGGAGGCAAGGGTCTCATTCAGGACTATCTTGCTGCCATCAAGAGACACAACGTCCGAGTTTCATGGTCAACTGGCCTTACGGGATTAAAGAAGCACTCCTCTGATGACGGCTACGACGTCGAAGTGTCTCTCAATGGTGTCAAGCGTACCTTGACCGCTGGTGCTGTAATCCTGGCTGCCGGCGGTTTCGAGTCGAATCCTCAGATGCGAAGTCAGTTCCTTGGCCCTGGCTGGGACTTGGCCATGGTTCGAGGCACACCTTACAATACCGGTGACGTTTTGGGTCTAGCCATCCAACAACTTGGCGCACAGGCTGTGGGCAACTGGTCAGGCTGCCACTCTGTTGCTTGGGACGCCAATGCAAATCCCAACACGGGCGATCGAGTAGCTTCCAACGAGTACACCAAGTCAGGGTACCCCCTCGGCCTCATGCTCAACGTCGATGGCGATCGATTCGTTGATGAAGGTGTTGATCTTCGGAACTACACCTATGCCAAGTTCGGTCGGGCCATCCTCCAACAACCCGAGCACCTCGCTTTCCAGGTCTGGGATTCCAGAACAAGCGGTTGGCTACGTGGGGAAGAGTACCGTGAGGAACGAGTCGAGCGCATCACTGCCGATACTCTGGAGGAGCTAGCCGACAAGTGCTCAGAACGTGGTCTTCGAAACAAGGCTGCCTTTATTGACACTGTTCGTGAGTACAACGAAGCAGTCTATGCTCACCGTCGGGAGAACCCCAATGTCAAGTGGGATCCAGCCATCAGAGATGGACTATCAACCCAGTCTTTTACGAAGAAGCTCGCTTTGGCCAAGTCAAACTGGGCTTTGCCTCTGGACAAGGGACCTTATGTAGCAGTCAAGGTCACATGTGGCGTCACCTTCACATTTGGTGGTGTCAAGGTTGATCCTCAAACTGCTCAATTGATCCATGGTGCAACTGGTAACCCAGTGCCAAATGTGTATGTTGCGGGAGAGATGGTCGGAGGTCTGTTCTACTCGAACTATCCCGGTGGAAGTGGCCTCACTTCAGGTGCTGTTTTTGGAGCCAAGGCTGGAAAGGAGGCTGCGAAATCTGTTGCGAGCGGTGGATCAATCTCAAGTCGCCTGTAGCCTAGTTTTGCGATGTGTGGATTTTATTAAAAGAGACTTTAGACTCCTATGTACCTTTCTTATTTTATACACAAGTTTGATAGAGAACATGCATAACATGCCTCTAGTGACAACAAATCAATAATAGTGAAGGCTGCAAAGGACAGCAATTCGTACCATAGTGAGCTCGTGACTAATGCCGGACAGACGTTATCATTTGAGGCCTTTGACATATTTCTCCTACACAATTAGAAAGCTAACTTCGGGACTTCTTAGAATCTCCAGCCAATTCAGCCCATCGGGAGCATTGGCCCGCTGTCTCCAGATAAGCTCAAGTGTTTCCATTGCCGTATACAAAAAGCCCCATGGAAAAAGACGTGACTGTCTTTTCATTCTATCCATTATCCACGCTTGCTCATCAGAGTCACTTGTTTGAGCTCCAGCAATGAAAGTTGGCCAAAAGGATGTCTTGAAGTTGGGGTCCTCGTCAGTGATATGGCGGAGATGGAAGATCAGACTGTGTTCGAGATCATGCTCCGTATTTTCCGGTAAGAAGCTCTTGACAGACGGAATTGCGTACATGATGTATAAGCAGCATGCCATCTGATGCGTATATCCCGTGTGTATCCGACTTGAGATATCTGTTACCTGACGACCAAGAGGTACTTGCTGGATATCCTGAGACCACGTTTCGACGTTGAATGTCATGGCTTCCATAAATAATTCAAGGCCTCTTGCAGCCGTTCCATCTACATCAACGCTGTTGGCTGTCTGCCTTTGCAAGATTATCGCAGTGGACCACAGAATCTGGAGGATCTCAGCAGGACAGCAAATAAAGCTGTTCCGGGCGGCATAGTGAATAGCAGATGACGCGATTGTTGTGTTGAGAGCGAGGGAAGATTGTGGGATCTGGTCCATGAATGTCAAAGCAAATACATAAAAGCTGGTACATCAGTTAACATTTCGCCGTCTCGAAGAATAACAAAGCTCACATGTAGCAATCTGATATGACAAAGTCCTTGAGCATCTCGCCCACGCTAGTAGCCGGCTGGGCATAGCTTAGCAACCAGCCGATTCCATCTAGATGTGCCTTGGAGCCATGTTTCCCCGAGTCGATCATATCCGCGGTAACAAGAAGCATGGCAGCTGTCAAAACCATGTCGTGTCCGTGAGTGTCCAGGTCTTCAAATGCCATGCGGAGAAGATACAATGCCTTTTGCTTGGCTGCCAATGCATCAAACATAGCTCTCCGAGATGGATGCCAGTTATGAGCGTGGCTTGGTGTCACCAGCGACTTGTCGGTGTCTGGTCTTAGAACATTGGACATGTGCAGAGCTGCAGCAGTGATCATCGTGTATTGCAGGACAGGGCTGCAGAATCCCATTGGTAATAGTCTTGGAAACGGATTGTGGCCTGGGAGGTCTATCGCTACAAGCTGAGGGCAAAGGCCATTCGCAACTGATATTCATAGTCAGTAAAGAGCAGGGAAAAACCAGCAGGGGACGACAAACAATATGATAAATAATAACGATCGCTCGAGCTCATGTCGCAGAACAAAGGGTCGGTCAAGTTGCCAGAAAGTTGTATACTATCATCAAGATCAAGATCCGGAACATAATTGCTGTCTATGCCCTGATTGGCATTAGTTACAGTCAGTCCCTTGGCGTCTGCGTCTGTCTGACTTGATGATGAATGATCTTGATCGTGTAAAGGTATCTTTTTGCCGGATAACTTCCCGCGACTGGCTACAGAATCCGTCCATCTCCACAGTGTACCATATCCAAGGCATTCCTTGCCCAATGATATGCACTTGTGACAAGAGGGGACGGATCCATCACAGCGGAACCTTTTTCGTCGACAGTTATGACATCCATTTGGGTTGGTGCGTGGCGGACCCATGCAGATTTGTGCTGAATATGGACACAAACTGGTAACAATGACTTTATTATAGTTCTGTTAAAGATGAGTAAAAGTTCGAGATTGAGTGAGCGTTGAGTATAAAGTGGAAGAGGATGAGAAATCTCCAGACCCAGTCCTGCCAGTCCCTTCGTGACGGCCCCGGTTTTCCATAGTGGAGAAAGGTTTCAGCCAGTAGCATCGGAGCAACGGATATAGCAGCTTGGAAACGTTAAACCCGCTACGAGGATCCATCGGAATGTCATCACGACCGGGTCAAGAACCGCATTTTTATAACTGCCGTGATATCCTAAAAATAGAATGCGACTTGTTTATTGACATGTCTATCTATCCGAGATTGCTATATTGCTTTCAAAGAACGATTTTTGGTCCCTTGGTCCCGTCTCGTTGAGATTCTTCTGGTTCACAAGTCGCGCCAGTCCAGCCCTCCAGTTTAAACATTCTGAGCCCCTTCATATTCCTTCTGAAACTCTGCAGAACTCTTTACATGACCCCTAGAAGGAATAATCTTCTCCAAGATAACACGGTGAAGCTCCGCATCCGCATCGGCACAAGCATCGCTGATAACCGTTGTTGCAAATTCAGCATCCGTCGCTGTGACCGCTGTTCTCAAAACACAGCCCGAAGTGCTCAGGCCGGAGAGAACAACAGACTTTATGCCCTTCTTCTTGAGATAGTCAAGCAAGCCTGGGGATTTGAGCGCCGAGATATGTCCCGGGACTCGGTGAAAGGTGAGCTCGTCTTTGTCATCGGCTCGAAGTTCAGCTGGTTCGGGTTGTTCCAGTGTCTTCATGACTTGCAAGAGGCCTTGGAAACGGTCGACGCCTTTGCAGGCCGGGAAGGGAGTGCCGTTTGCATCGATGAGGCAGTGAACAACCGTGATGTTGTGAGCCTTGGCCCAGTTTCGGAGCTCAATTGCGACCTTCAACGCTGGCTCAGCAACTGGGCCAGCAACCTTCTCGATGAACAGGCCGTACCAATCAAGAAGGAGAAGAGCGGTCTCAGAAGGCCCGTAGGCGCTTGGGGAAGAAGCGTCGATTGTAGTGGTAGACATGTTGATGATATTAAAGCTGGTTGCTGAGTGTTGGAGTTGTGACAAGAGTTGAGCTTGGAGAATGATCAAACAGCGGTTGAATATGAGTCTTATATAGTCTTCTGGAATTATGAGATCGACACTTCAGGACGATCAATGGACCTGGATATAGTGGACTCGGCGATATGTGCAATTAATTCCGTCTGGCGTTATGAGGTTATCCCCAGTCGGTGCCGATTCGGCAAGGCTTTTTCGTACTTTTGCCCCACTCCAGGGTATGGAACCAGAGTCATCTAATAAAGCTGTAGTCATTGCTTGTCTTTTAAAGAGTCTAAAAGAGAAATGCTTAGAGTGATCTAAATATTTATAGGTCAGTTGCTTATATTATTCAATTCTCAACGTGTAGCAATCCTGCTTAATTGTTTCTAGTGACGTGCTTGAGGTTCTAAAGATCTATTGAGCTCGGCAAGTCTTGATATGTCTGTGAGGTAATGACATATACTATGAGAGCATTGATGCCGTCAAAGAGGTTGCTGGGATCACTTAATTGCAAAATATAGGACCAGCTTCTTTCTGTGAATGACCTTTCCCGCATATTGGTATCCGATACTGTATTTATGAGCTTCAAAGCGGTGATAATCTTATCATCAGAGAACAAGAATTATGCCCTGTACCATGGTTTTGAATGCACAATAAGGTTGCAAGCTTGCTATTGCGGATGCCAATCAGACTGACTGGTGTACTCTGCCTTGCCACAGTGGGTTTAGCTGTGGCATTGAGTGGCTGTTTCAGAGCTCACAAAAGCGTCGACAGTGTTGTCCTAGCCCTCGCATGACTTTAAGGTACGAGAGCACCAAACCATGCACTAGACGCTGAGGCTTATCTGGCCATGATTCATTCGTTACTCCCTGTTCCCAGATTGATTTGTTCAGCCCTGTGTGGAGTGTTGCACATGGAAGCGAACGCCAATGAGCAGTCGAAACCAAATCCTCGGTTACATGGGGAGGAATCCCAAAAGCAGGGATCACCAAAGTTCAGATGATAAGGCGCATTGAAGAGGTAAATTACAAGCGTCCCTTCCCGTCTCATGGTCCGAGGTCAATGCGCAAGGGACAGACCTTGGGAGACTTAAGCGAAGCAAACTGTCAAAAAGATGCTAGTGATGCTGGCACCGAGTAAAATCTGCTTTTCAGGAATGGTTCGTCTCTGCAAAATCCATGATAAATGCCAAGACTCAGGAGCGGAATTAAGAACAGACTCAGCTGTGGCTTGAATCCGGCTTTCGAGAATCATGATCTTTGACAGCGAGTCAAGACCTAAATACCGACACGCAAAGCCCCCTTTTTCGAAGAGGGTGGAAATTAGACGGCCTAAGCTTGCTTCAGCTCTTTATCAGTTCAAGCCCAAGGAAGGATTGCTTCTTTTCCAGATGATTTGTCGAGCAGATAACCGTTCAGACTCTCAAACGAGGCTTGTCACCAACAGAACGCCGCAGCCAGTAGCAAGGCCACTACTCCAACAAGCGTAAACTCAAAATTGGCGGGTAATCTGCAGCGGTCGGGTTATCTATTGGAGCTAAAGACGAGATAACGATAGAGTGTGCTTCTTTCGGCATGGTCGTATCCGGGGAAAGCTATCATGGCTGGCTCGAGCGAGTCAGTTGTTCTGCAGACAGGTTCAGCTCTCGTCATCGGCTGCCATTCAAAATGCAGATCCCGTCCTGCGTGGCCCCCATTCTTGGGGTACTAAAACTTTTCGACTGTTATTTCCCATTATTTTGCTCAATCTCTATGAATAGGCGCTGCAACAGCGCGTGCTCACACCATGGCTGGACTCCAACCTAATATTTGGGCTGGTGTTGCGATCCCATGGATCGCGGCCTTGACGTCCCTCATTCTTCGCGTCTGCGCTCGGCGCATGACCAAGATGAGCTGGTGGTTTGACGATTACTTCACCATCCTGGCATTTCTCTTCGCGACGGGGTATTGTGGTATCATGGTTGAATGTCAGTGACAATCCCGTCTTGTCTATGGATAGAAGACTTACAGCCATAACAGGGACGCTGCATGCATATCTCGGAGTGAATATTCCCGACTCAATGCCGACCGGTGAACGTGAGGCAGTTTTACAACGAGCACGATTTTTGGCCTACTTCAACTCCCTCTGCTACGCGTCATCAATTGCTTGTTCCAAGCTCGCGATTTTATGTCTGTATTGGCGCTTGTTTCGCATTTCATCCATTCGCATTCCGATTATGGTCATGCTTGTTATGGTGGTCATCTGGATTATACTCCGAACCTTCATGCTCACATTCCGTTGCGTTCCTGTCCAGTCCCTTTGGGACTATACCATTACGGACAAGGTCTGTAACATCAATAGCGACCAGTTCTTCTTGGGAACCATCACGACCCATTTTATCATGGACATTATCATTCTGGTCTTGCCCATTATTGAAGTCTTCAGACTTAGACTCAAGACGGGTCAAAAACTGGCAATCGGTGCTCTATTCCTTCTCGGTACCATGTGAGATCTCATATCCTCTTAATAAAGTCATCCCGGGTTGTTCGACTAACATCCAATACAGTGTATGCATTGCATCAATGTTTGTGCTCATTGTGCTGGTCAACTACCCCGATAACACAACCCAGATGCCTCACGACTATGCCATGTTCTGTATTCTGGGATCTGTTGAAGTCAATATCGCTATTGTCTCTGGTCAGTACATGTTTTTGTCAGTCATATGATTCAATTACTAACAAGATGACCAGCATGCTTCCCTTTGCTGCGTCCAATCTTTATCCATATTCTCCCGTCCAGCCTCCTCAGTTCATATGGGAAAAGCAGCCAACCTATCAGCCGACCGAGCAATGCTATCAAGTTCACGACACTTATTCGGACAAACAAAGACCGTGACGCTGATGAAACAAGCTCAACGCATCAATTGGCCGATGTTGAGAACGGACTGCATTATCATTCTGGTGACTCGCAACGGAACGAAGGAGTGCATACTATGATCTCGAGTGAACAGTCTGGTTCTGGCCCGGAATTTGACACGGCGGGAATACACGTGCGAAACGACACGGTCGTGGAGATTAAGCAAGTTGAAAGCAAAGGCTTTTATCGTCTTGAGTAATTTATATAAAGAATCAATAGGCTTTACGGATATAGAACACCATTATTGGGACAAATGACATCACGTACCACCAAACCGTTTTAATGGTCATCTCTCCTGTCGCGTTCCGGTACTACCCCGAAGGGAACAGGGGTCAAGAGCCCGTGCTAATGAGCTAATGACCTTGATGTCAGTGCTGGCCCATTATTCCACGACACTTGAACAATACAAGTGGGACTGAGGTTTTGCGGCATACGTACTCTTGAAAAGCCTACGGCCGCTCGGATGGGCACAGCCTCTTAATTCGGAGTGCGTTGCGTAGACATTCACGATGATATCATATTTATACTTTCTCAAATATTAAAATAAAATTATACGGGTTATGTTCGTGCGCTGACTTATGGCATGAGACCTTGAATTAAACTCTGTTGCACCGCCGAAAGTCCCGGATACTACGTCGGTAGTTCCCACGGCGCCCTGAAAATCCCTCCAGATCGACAAGCACTACGTAGTCACCCGTGCGTTCGTGCCGGAATTTTTAAATGACAAGGTCACACTGCATCATTCAATTGACCTGCTGATTCGCTGTGCTCATGCTGACGTGCAATAAAAACTTTGGGCTAGGCTGGTGTCACAAGGGCGGAGGTAAGCAATCAGCCGCACGTATATAAGCCTCCTCCCCTCCGTCTCCGTCTCCTCTCGGAACTCCTCATTCATCTTCAATCCATTGACAAGATGAAGTTGAATAATTTCCTCCCCTTCTTTGCCTTGGCAGGTAGCGCCCTCGCTACGCCTAAGCAGGAAACCATCGAGGTCGATGTCGCCATTGTCGGCGGTGGCGCAACTGGTGCTTACGCCGCAGTCAGGCTGCGAGAGGATTACAAGAAGAAGGTCGTGGTGATTGAGAAGGCCAACAGACTTGTGAGTTCTGTGTCAACAGAGACAATATTGTTACTGACGCGCTCTCAGGGCGGCCATGTCCACGCTTACAAGCCAAAAGGCAGCTCGACACCAATCAATTATGGTGTCCAGGCGTACCTTGACCGAAACACTACCAAAGCTTTCTTCAAGCGATTCAATGTCGGACTTGTCTCTCCCAATCTGATCAGCGCCGCCGAGGGGCTGCTCACCACCAAGGACATTGATTTCAGCACCGGTAAGAAGGTCGATCCCGACTACGGCACTATCAACTCCACTGTCGCCCTGGCCACATATGCTGCATTGGCCATCAAGTACCAACCCTGGTTCGAGAACGGCTACTTCAAGAAGGGAGAGGTCCCCGAAGATCTCCTGCTTCCCTTTGGCGAGTTTCTTGAGAAGTACCAGCTTGGAAGTGCTCTTTCCGTCCTGCGAACTCTCATCTGGCTTTCTGACGCAACGCACACCCCAACTTGGAATGTCATGGCAGTTGTTGGAGAGCCTCAGCTTGCGGCCTTCGGATTTGGTCTAACCGGTCCTTCATTCAAGTATCCATCCACAGGCTCTACCCTGTCACTCTACGACAACGTCTACAACCTGATCAAGGATGACGTTCTTCTTGAAAGCACCGTTGCCTGGAGCAAGCGAACTTCCCAGGGCTCAGAGCTCGTCGTGCAGACGCCATCTGGCAAGAAGACCGTCAAGGCCAAGAAGGTCCTTTTCGCAGCAACTCCATCCCCAGACAACGTCGGTACTTGGGATCTCGATGCCAAGGAGAAGTCGCTCTTCTCCAAGTTCTCTTGGGAGACGCTGTACGTCGGCGTCGTCGGCAAGACAGGCCTACCCAAGACCGTCGGCGGCATCACCAACACCGCTGATAACGCCACCAACTACTACCTTCCACGAGGTAACTTTGTCGATGCCTACTCTCGCTCGGGTCAGCAGGACTTCTGGACAACTCGTGTCCTTGGCACGGCCAGCCTGACAGCTCAAAAGGCCAAGGACCTTATCAAGCAGGTGTTCACCAACATCGACAAGGCTGGAACTTACGATGTGACCACGCCTGATATCCTTGCATTTGCGTCTCATGGCTTGACTGTTCCCAAGGTCTGTTCTCAGGAGCTTGAGGGTGGCTTTTACAACAAGATTTATGCTCTTCAGGGCCAGCGTAACACGTTCTGGACTGGTCTCACTTGGGCTCCTGACTACACTCCTATTCTCTGGGACTTCACTGAGAAGCTGTTCCCCCAGATCCTGGCTGGTCTTTGAGCGTGATCCCTTTAGTGGCGATAGAGGAGGGCTTGTGAGGTACGCGACTTGGATGCTTATACAACCAGCTTAGAGTTCTATTCATTATAATGCATTATTTTATACATACTATCGATGTAGCCATGGAGAACATTTAATATCACCTTGTGGCCTAATTGTAACGAAGAATATTCTTATGTCGCTGGTATCAAATGGGCTCAACTGCGCGACCTGAACCCCGAGTTATATAAAGACATGCTCGTGATAGGTGCATTGCTTACCTGGGTGGCCTGGTTCACTGTATATATGAAGACATACCCTGGACTGTCTTCGAACAGCAACTAAAACCGGCCAAACACATTACGTCTAAAGGCCAAAAGTAAAACAATTGAGCAGATCCATTGCAATGGCCTCGAGAACATGATTTGCTTTCGGGGACTTTAACCAGGCAGTGTTGCTTGTTTCAATTTGATTTCGTCCTTATCAGTAACAAATTATTCGGATCTCTCCTGAGACAATGAGTAAGGTCGAAAAAACACTGTGTACTTCATTACTCCAATGCAAGGCTCAGGATCGCAACCATCCTGGTCATTTGGGAGAACTCGGATATAGCTTACATCACACGTTCTTACATGTACAGCATGTGAAGTCGACCTTAAGAGTTCTAGAATTGAATCCATTATCAGATCGACGGCATGACCGTCGACGAAACCGTCTGGGGTTTATACGCTATGACCACTAACAACAGCCTAAAAAGGAGCCACCATATTTGGATCCTCGGGAATGCAAGGGGCATTACTCCACCACAGGCAATCGACTGGTCTAGAAACGAGTGTAGGATTTATACGAGCTCGCTAAGTGGACTTTCAGTCATGTTACCGAGATTAGAGTTCAATGGAAGGATGTTCTGTCAATTGCTATAAATAAGCATAACATGTGTTGAGGAACATTTAACCGTGAGTCGTCTCTTGGGTCCTTCACCTCAATATCTCGGAGGGATCAGGTCAAAATGAAGTTTCCGACTGTCTTGACATTAGGTATACAGGCAGTTTTCGATTGAGATTATCCCTGCTGACAACCACAATAGCGTTAGTCGCAACATGCGATGCTCTCAAAGTGACCATCCTCGCAGATACCAACCGCGACGGAAAAGTCGACAAGAAAGACCTCGATGGCAAATCTTCATGGACCGCCAATCGAGGCGCCTTAATTTTACCGAACATCGGCGATACTGGCCTTCGCTGTGCGAAGAAATGGGGACCCAGCGTCGACATCATTCCGAGCAATGAGACTTATTTGGACTTGTGCAACGATGCGACAGATGACATCCAACGTAACCCAAAATATCTTGCGCCGCTTAAAACGCTTCCAATATTCGGACTGAGCCCATCTGCCATAGGATCTATCCAAGTCACTGATAAAACAGCCGCAGCAAAGGTCCGCATCTTCGCAAAGAAAAGCAACAAGTGGATTTACGTATCAGCAAGTTATGTCTTCACGACCAAGGAGCTTTCATCAGGCCTCGAACTGGGTATTGATGCCCGAGATGTCCGCCGCCCTAAAGGCTGGGATGGCAATGCAAAGATACAGTTCACAGTCACTGATGGCAAGACAAAAGCAACCGACACTGTCGCTGTGCGAGTTGCCCCCGTATTGACTCATCATCACGGGCAGGTGGCCCAACGCATCTTCTCAACCGGCGTGAACGAGCCTGGCTCCAACCCCCAGCAACAGCAGTTTGTGGATGATGTCAAGCGCAACGTCGCCAGTTCTGGTATCAGAGACTCCGTCTTCCTCTTCGACAACCAAGATATTTGGACACAAGACTTTTTTGAGCCCGGCTACTCAAGCATGCCTGGCCCTAACGGTCCAATTACTATCCGAATCATGATCCGGTCAGTCCAAAGCTCTCGTCGATCCGGCCGTGACGCGTTCCATGAGCTCCGAAGCGACAAGGTTGGCGCAGTCCAACATCCAGGTGACGGCGATACTATCGACTCCACTGGAAACCTGGAGACTATCCCCCCCTACAAGTACAACGGAAAGTCGTTTCCTCAAGGCAGAACGATCATGGGCGCTTGGGATGGAAGAGCTCCTCTCATGGTTGACTTTCTCAAGGCCCAAGAAGCTCAGGACCCTCTTATTCTCGACACAAGCTGGTTGTACGTTGGCCATGTTGACGAGTTCCTTCAATTCCTGCCCGCCTACAATGAGCGTGGATGGATCATTATGGTTGCAGATCCGCTCAAGGGTCTTGATCTACTGAAGAAGGCGTCCAAGGCCGGTCATGGAAGTGTCAAGGCTGTTTCGCGTTCGCTCCAGGTGGAGGAGAAGAAGCAGGAGCTGTGCCTTCCCAGACAGACTATCCAAGAGGCTCTCAAGTTCAAGAACTTTGACGCCATCCAGAAGAGCTCGGCTCAGCGCATTGAAGCCAACCTCAACATCCTCAAACGAGAGACTGGGATCACTGACAAGGACATCTTCAGAGTTCCCATGCCTTTCTACTATGCTGAGTCAGACAGCTGGTTATGTCCTGGCCAGAAGCCATCAGACTCAAAAACAGAGGAAGATACATCCAAAACACCTCAAAAGGCATCAGGCAAGACCGGTATCACGATGAAAGGCGCTATGGGACCTGTTTACAAGGCCAAATCGATCGTGGAAGCGGGCACCCCAAAGAACTCGTTGCAACGACGCGCGGTTGATACAGCTAGCCAGGTTCTAGCTCTTTGGCCGGGTACTGTCAATGGTCTGGTTTTGCCGGACCAAAAGGTCCTTGCACCTAAGCCTTGGGGTCCTGTGATTAACAAGCAGGACATTTTTGCAAATGCTGTATCCGAGGTGTATGCCAGCGCTGGGTACAATATCACGTATCAGGATGATTGGTTCTCTCATTTCAAGATGCAGGGAGATGTTCACTGTGGCAGCAACTCCTGGAGGACTATAGACATCAAGTTTTAGCAAGTTATTTGCTAGTATGCTGAATGATTATTGCATTTCTTCTTATCAAATGTTGAAGTAAAGCTGTATACTGTCAGCCTAGCATACCACTCCATCCCTACAGAGACTGTAGCAACTACGCAAGTCTCGAACTTAAGCAAAGTGCTCCGCCGTAGTAGAGTCTTCCTTAGCAAGACCAACCTTGTGCCCAGGAATGGCTTCAGTAAGGCCCATAGAAGACGCAATCTCCATCAACCTTGTCTTCTCCTCATGGGATGCAGTATCGCCAAAGACGAGATCCATGTCCTCCAGACTCTTTCCACGAGTCTCAGGTACAAAGAAGTAGGTGAATAGGAAGGCGAGAAGGCAAAATGCGGCAAAAAAGATGTAGGTACCCCATCCAAGGTTGGCCAGCATGTCAGGCGTCACAAGGCCGATGATGAAGTTGCACATCCAGGTAGCGCTGGTGGTGATAGCCATGGCCTTGGAGCGGTTGCCGAGGTTGAAGATCTCAGAGGGCAGAACCCAACCGATAGGCGCGAAGGAAAACGAGAAGTTGACGTCGTAGATGTAGATGAAGACGATACCAACCCAACCAGCAGCCTTATTGTCGGCAAGACCCGAGCCGAAACCTCCAATGATACCACCGACAATGACGAGAGAGATGAAGGTTCCCGCTGCACCACACATGAGCAACGGACGACGACCGAGCTTGTCGATCAAGAAGAGGGCGGGCAATGTTGAAAGCGTGTTAACAATACCGTATACACCAGTCGCCAAAAGACCAGAGGTGTTTCCAGAGAGTCCCAATTGCGCAAACATGGTTGGGGCATAATAAATGATAGCATTGCAGCCCATAAACTGCTGGAAAAACATGATGCAGCACCCAATGGCAAGACGCTTGAAGGCGGGCCACGTAGACACGAGAGCAACATGCTGAGCAGCGAAGAGGGAAATGCCCTTCTTCCCGGGAAACTTCTCCGCTGATACGGACTCGTCAAATAGGACCTCGGTCTTGATGGCTAAATACTCAGCTCTGATGGATTCTGAATCAACATGAACCTGACGGAGTTGAGCCAAAGCGGCAAGGGCCTTGTCTTCCTTGTGACGCATGAGATAGAAGCGCGGGGATTCGGGGAAGAAGATCATTCCAATGCCCAGAACGAGCGCAGGGAAGATCTGAAGGGCAAATGGAACTCGCCAGGCAGCCTCGGATTGACCTGTGCATCCGTCGGGGCCGACATCATATCGAGGGTCGAACGTGCGTTTGTCGGAGGTACCGCCTGAATACGGGATATCGGGTGCGCATCGATGGCCACCGATGTATTGGGTTCCATACTCTAGCCAGTAGCTTACGAGGATACCGAGGGTGATGCTGAGTTGCTGTAGAACAACAAGAGTACCCCGAATGCCGGGGCTTGACACCTCAGACATATACATGGGCACAATCATGGTCAACATGCCAACTGAGAGACCAGCCACAGCACGGCCTGGTTTAGTGTTAGCTGGAGTACCCGAAGGTAGGGATATGCTACAACTCACCAGCAAAAAGCATAGGGATAGAGTCAGCGCCAGCCTGGAAAGCTGACCCTATGGTAAAGACGACAACAGCCAGGAGGATCGAGCCCTTTCTACCGAGGTAGTCGGCAATGGGGCCGTTGATGAGAGATCCAAACCACGCGCACAGAAGCAAGGTCGAGACGAACCAACCCTTGAAGCCACTGTCAAGGTAGATTCGTGGAAAGTCAGCGGCGAATGACTCCATGGTCAGTACCCCCGACACGACGCCTTGATCATAGCCAAAGAGGAAACCACCTAGACTGGCAAACTAATGAGAGAGTGTCAGTTCTGATAAGAGTTACGAAGAGAAACTGCTCACCATAGAGAGGCCGAAAATGTAAGGGTTCTCACGCAACTGGCGCCAGACACCCTTCTTGGGTACAGCATCGAGCTGCTGCTCATTGGTAATTGGGTCACCAGCCATATTGGAACTCGAAAATTTGAGTGATGTTCAGGTCGAAGTTGAATCTGGGGATTGAGCTGGGGAAAGAAACATTTGTGGAGGTTTTCTGGGGTTCTTATATTCGTATAGGATCAGCATGAGGTGACCAAGTTTTGCTCCGCGTGCAACATGAACCCCACAGAATATTGGAGATGGATACTACGTAGAACTCCATCTCGCTGGGTCCGGCCGACTCCAGTCCGAGCCAATTAGGAATCAAGGAGCTAAGTGTCCGGGCTACTGTATCCCGTGGGGAATTGCAGTTATCGTTACATGACTCAAGACAGACCGACCTCCTCCAAAGAGACGAGGTTAAAGAGGCCGGAAGAGGTCACCATTTCATATCAAATAATCAATCAGCCCATAATGGACGGCGATTTGGAACAGATAACTGCGAAGCTCATGGAACGCGTCGAGCGTCTTTTGACCCAGCAGAAGCTCTGCACTCCAAGACAACGAATCTTGATTGCGCTGGCTGGCGTACCAGGATCGGGCAAAACCACGATATCAGATGCTTTGATCAAACAGCTGAAGAAGAACGGTATTTCCGATGTCGCAGTCCTTCCTATGGTCAGTGTGTCCTGAAGTCCCCAACCCCACGCAGCAACCACGTCACTAACGTCTAAGTTCCTAGGATGGATTCCATTATACTCGTACCACTCTCTCTTCCTTCACCGACCCCGATGAAGCATTCCGAAGACGCGGTGCACCTTTCACATTCGATGCCGCCGCCCTACTAGATCTCGTAGCGCTACTCAAAAAAACTCCTGTGACGACACATAACGAACCGCAAATCATCATCAAAGCGCCAGGGTTTGACCACGCAAGAAAGGACCCAATACCCGATGCCATTAAGATTCCTTCGCGTGCCAAAGTTGTTATCATCGAAGGCAACTACGTACTCTTGAACCAAGAGCCATGGAGCCGCATTTCCACATTGGCAGATGACAAGTAAGTCTGGGTGATTGCTCATCAAACTTTATTCCAGGCTAACTCGTACTCAAGATGGTTTGTCGATGTAGCAGTCGACATCGCTCGGGAACGCCTAGCATCCCGACACCTCAGAGCCGGGATCGAGACGACGATAGAAGCAGCGATCAAACGGGCCGACGAAAACGATATACCAAACGGAGAATACATAAGATCCCATCTCATCGGACCCAATATGCGCATCATAAACTGATGACGCTTAGCAAAGCACCTTCCAACAAGTCCATCTACTGCGTGAAATTGGCCCAGTCAGGCCAGCCGAGGACACTGGCAAACTCATCGGCAGAGGACGCCGGCCACGTCGAAAAGTCCATCAACATAGGATCAAGCTGGACATTTGCCCAGTCGCTCGTTGTCAATAGAGGGTTTGGTAAGATAACGTCGATGATGTTGGCGCAACGGGTTGCGAGCTCATTGTCCGCAAATACTCCTCGGAAGATGTGGCGGACCGTGTTGACATCCTCCTGCCACTTGGGCATGTCTGGTGATTCTGAGTTACTAAGGATAGCGAGGACGATGACCAAGGAAGCGTGGAATGTGAAATAGCTGGAGGAAGTTAATTCATCTCTTGGAGGCTTTGTCGGGATCGACTTACATGGAGTACCAAGTCACAAGCCTGGTTCTCTGTCTCTCCTTCGTATACTGATCAATCGACTCTATCGTCGCACTCGCAGCACGTATTGCAATGCTCATGCACTTTTCATCGACCTCGTTATCTGGTACGGTTACGCTAGGATCTCCCTTGCCAATTGCCCGCTTGAGAAACAATTGGCGGAAGATGATAATCTTGAGGTTCCAGAAGCGCCACCACAGGCGTGACTTGTTGAAGTAGAACGCAGGCTCAGCTGAAGGCACATGATGATCCAGACTTAGGTACTCTGGTAATGTGCTAGACCACTTATCCAGTGTTGCATCCATGGATAGAGCGTCTTCCGGTGCCACACATGATGATGAGAGCAGGCGATTGGAGATGTAGTTGGACTTGACATGTAGATCACTCTGGTACTTCATGCCCGAGTACAGCGTCGGCCTGTTTACCTCTTCTGGCGGGACTTTTGTTCCACTCGTAAGGTCCTTCACAGATGTTAGCAGAATGTCCATCCTTTACCAGGTTACCGCATACTTCATCGTCAATATTAAGAACCGGTCGCACGTCCATGGCCTCTTCACCCGGAAGAAGAATCGGCCTCCCAAAGGTCGTCGAAGCACCACTGTCAAACATATATAGCCCCCACCAAACACGACGGCGCATCTCTCGCTGCAAGAGACTGATGTTCCACTCAGGCAATTCTCTATGAAGACCCAAACTCAGAGCCATCCGCGTGGCAAGTCCAAGAAAGTTAGATCCGGTGTTGGGCTTATTTCGCTTCTGGCTTAGATTGCTAAACAGGATAAGAGCTTGGACAAAGGTCAAATCTGCGCTTGCGAACAAGCACTCGGCGTCTCCAAAAGAGAGCGCGAGATGGTACAGCTCATCATCGAGTTCAGAGTTGTCGTTGTTAAGGCACCACGCTCCCAGCGCCATGATGGTGTAGAGCAGCATCTGCCATGAGCGTTGATTCGGTCGCTGTATGACCTCGTGAAGCTGGGCTCGAAAGGTAGGTTCGTGCACGAAGGGATAGCTGCGGTGGTAGACCTCAAAATAGCCATTTACCAATTGTTCGATAACCTGTCTTGACGTGACCGAGTTAGATAGCTGGGAAGAAGACTCCACCCCAGCATACGGTCGTGGTAATTCAGGGCTACTGCCCATGAAGGGCCTGGAATGACCGGTCCAGAGAAGTAGTGATCTGAGGAAAAAGACACCAGCAGTCGGTCCTGGTAGGAGTCAGTTGATATGCAGCCTGTTATGTCTGTGCTCCGTGACTTACCCAAGTATCCCGCTCCTCTCGGTTCAACGGATAACGAAGCCATTCCATCAGTCAGCTCGTCCACGTCTTCCTGCCAATCAAAGCCATCACTTTCTGCAGGCACGGCATCCGAAATGGCACCGCTGGCCTGTACTGGAGTATCAGGTGATGAAGGATTTATCGGTAGCGACACAGATGAATTCGGCTGCGATGCGTCGGCAGGAACTTCAACGCCCCGCGATGCCAGGGCTTCATTGATGTCAACATCAGGGAGTAGCTGGTGGAACAAGCGCTCCACGTTTGCGAGGCGTCTCTCAACTCTGGTCAGATAGCTGAAGGGAGGGGTCAGCTAGACAGTTGCAAGGGTTCGGCCGAATAATTACTCTCGTGTAAGAGGAGTTCTTTGTGTCCTCTCGCTATAACGACAAGGCCTCCCAGAACGCGCACAACTTATGCATTTTGGTCTTTCCTTTGAGCACTTTGTCTGTTAGCATCTATACTTGGAGGAACTGAGGCAGTAACCTACCCTGAGCTTTTTACTCCGGCAATAGTCACACTTGCAGTATGTAGTTAGCTTTCAGCTACCCGTAATACTATCTTCGACAATATTCTTACTGCGGGGATTTTTCCAAAGTGCGGCTTATTTTCTGCCATGCCTCCTTGTTCTCCTTCAATTAAAGATGAAGGTTTTCCTGTGCACTGGGAAAAGTGACATGCAGATGACACCATGTTGGTGGAGGCTTTTCCGGAATATCTTTCTTCCTTTCTTCCTTTTACACTTCCTTCCTTTAGGCCTGGACGCAAGCAAGGATATGGATTGAGAACGAAATTAAATGCAACTCATATCATAACCCATTGTGCGGGGTGTAGCAAGTCGTCTTGCAAGAATATTCTCTAATGCCCTTCAAGGTCAGCCAGTCGGCAAGACACGTAATGCAATCATCAACTGTTTACTGTTGGGCCTAACAATTCAAGATGACTCTTTTATTAAGTATCATGATATGTATTACTACATCATTCTTTAAAGTTTACACAAATCCAAGCCCTAATCATCCTCTTCCGATAGTCAGCGCCTCCTGATCCTGCATTATTCTCATCCTTGCCCTGGGTCTTCCGTCCTCTTGAGCTTCGACCTTGTACTAGCGAACGTATAATCCTTATTATTCTGTCCAAGAAGGGAAGCAAGAGCATATAGTGTGTAGGATTCGGGGTTGTACAGGGCCTCCTGCGTGGAGATTATGTCTTGATCTTCATCGCCAGGATCTTCACCTTCCTCTCTCCTAGGATTCGCAATATATGGCAGGTCATCTAATGGCTCGTTAGTTCATCTCATCATGTAATGGTCTTTGAACTTACAGCTTTTTTCGTGCTCCTCGGTATTCGCGTTCCCGAGGACTACATGGAAGAGTTCGTGGAATAATGTCATAGACTGTGCTCTGTACTCCACAATACTTTTGCCTTCCGTCCTGACTATTCCAAGGGCCAGATGGTCATTCTTAGCATTCCATCTCAAGTTACTAACACAGATGGTAACTGTTTTCCACTTCTCCTCGGGACCCTCGTGAGTAGCCCCAAAGTGCTGGATAACTCCGTCGACCTTCTTCGTACAATAGTCATCGGCCTCATCTATCAGGTATTCTTTAAGATCCGAGGACCAATATGGGAACTCTGAGAAAATTTGAGTCAGACTGATCATAAAGGGAAGCGTGATGTTCATGGCACCTGGCTACGTACCTTTTGGCTCGTTTGCTTCATCTGGAGGTGGAGTTGGTTCATCAATTACATCTCGTACCTTCTTGGCGTCATCACCTGTAAACTTGTCGCCTGTCTCCTTATCATAGGCCACGTCGTCCCAGTCCATCCCTAGAAAAAGACCACGTTATTGAAACAATTACTCGCCAGGGGCAAAACAAAACCTACGCTTCAACCACCTGCTCGAGCAGAATAGCCAAGGTTTACCGGTTGGGAGCTGTGTATCGCCATCGATAAACTCTTTTACCAACCGCAATCTAGCTATTGGAATGGTTCAGTGACTGGCTATCTAGAGTATTGTGTGATTGGGGGACTGGGGACATACCGCGGACTGTTGCTCTCTCCTGGGCATCGGCAGGAGGGGGGTCCAACGCAAAGAAAGTGTATAGGTATTCGGGTCCATCAACGCTGTCATCTTCTGCATACAAGAGCGCAGCGTCGACGAGCTTTCTGGCGTCTGCCCACCATTTGTTGAGTTTGCCCTTGTAGGAATTACATCCGCCGACTGGAATACCGCCTTGTTTAACGTTAAAGACAGAGTCAATTGAGCCGAGGGCGTATTGAGCAAGAAGTATAAACAGTAAAGCTCTGTAGGAAAAGAAATTTGGACGTGAAAAAGTCATGACAAGAGATAGGGAGGAGTCGGAGGACGATAAGACGAGGCCAAAGATTGGTTAATGGGGGCTATAAAGTAATACTGGTTGACTCTAGCAATGACAGTGATGAAAGGATATTATAGCAGATATGTCAGGAAGGCGATTGCACAGTTATATGTACTTCATTGAGTGAGATGGTCATCGAATGATATTAGAACCCAGGAGATTGAAGTTCTGCTAAAATGGTAACTATACTCTTACCAGAAGGAATCATTGTAAATTGCGACAATGTACGCGAAGGCATCCTCCGCATCTTTCTTGCGTGTTAGTCCCAGAGGTCTGAGCACCAGCGCGAACAAGGATTTCAAGAGGGTGGTGTATGCCACGTCGAATGATCAGCGCCTTGGTCGCCTAAGCGCCTGCAGCAAGTGGAAACACCGAGCACATAAAGTTATGACAGGGGCTCTGGGGGCCAACAAAGCCGAACCGCATTGGCTAGAATCGATCCAACAGGTTGATGCAATTATAGAAAGTACCAGCACTGCTACTGTATGTTGGTCATCCATGCTGTTGGTCCTGAGAGAAAAATTCACTTGAAACAATCCTTTCTGCAGCTCAGCCTCGGGCTACAACCTAAATGTCTAGAGTATATTGCATGAGTCAATTAAAAATAAGTAATCGCCCCCAACGTCATGATCTTACCAGTCGCATGATGCAGCTGTTGGCCCCATCAGCAGACTACGTTCAGTAAAGCCAACAGAGTATTATCATGCAGGCATCAAAATATATTAATACCGCAATTGAGGCTTATCCGTACAACCAATCGGGTCCTCCTGATGGCACGCTGAAGCTGTTGCTGCCTTCCCGTCTGCCTTGCCGCCGCGCTACATGTCGCGCGGTAATTGTCAAGTAGGATCTATTCCATGTCGCGCGGTAATTGTCAAGTAGGATCTATTCCATGTCGAGTTCTGCTTCGTTTATGCACCAGGCGTTTCGAAGATGCTGTTGCTTCAATTGCGTACATTGGAATGAAGGTAATCGTACTCTAATTATAACATGGCATGGTGATAATTTTAGAATATCGGCGTTTTCCTTATCTGTAGATACTTATCCAGTTACCTATGTGCAAGCTTTGAGATCCTAATCTTATATGACAGTATCGCATGACGATAGAAGTCCAACTCACTTGCTTTCGGTTCAGTCTTCTTCTACTATCGCATAGGTCGATAACTGTTGTTTGAGAACTGGGAGACATATTCATTTCTCAGTGTTTCTCCCTCAGTCTTACTTGTCTACATCTGTTCAACCTTTTCAACTATGAGGATCCAAGCCTCGCGGTGGCTGTTGCTCCTTGCCCTCCAGTTGGCGTCAGTGTCAAGCTCACCAGTTAGACCAACATGCCCGGATGGGTCTTGTTTGTGTACCGGTAACTGCCGTGTTATGCTACAAGGCGAAAGCTGCTGTCCTCCTGGAGACGGATGGCTAGAGCATATCTGTGGCCCAAGTAAGCTTACATACCTCGTCCCTGACTTTGGCTTATAGTGTCCAGAAAGAGCGTGTTGTCGTGAGGGCTGCTGTCCAGAAGGCTGGACTTGCGGTGCTAATGGAATGTGTGGACCTCCGCTTCCATCTATTCCTGACCCAACCACCATCATTACTCTCCGTAAGCCTGAATTATCGTCTCCAACCGTTGATGACAATATCTCGGGCAAACCCTCCACGAACCCCCTACCCCTTCCCGTCACAACCACTTCGGAGCATTGGCTGTCAGAACGCACAAAAGTGTCCTCCATCTCATCACACGCGTTCATCACAGCAGGTCCCCCGGTCTTGACATTACCAAGTAACCGCGTCACTACTGCCCCCGCCTCCGGCGACGGTACTGGCCATGTTACAACGATTGCCAATAGTCAGCTGACGACTGGCAATTCGGAGAAGTCATCGGATGCCAGCCGTGATAGCCCAGATGGAGATGCCACCATACCAAACACGCACATTGTCTCCGTTTCATCCGAGCCCTCCCCTGCCACCACTTTGCCTGGTGGCCTGGTGACTACCATTCCTTCCACCAATATTTTCTCGACAGGAACAGATCTCTCCGAGACAACCCACAAATCTATCACTGACTCTCTCGGGGGTGATGATAGGAGTGTCACTACAATAGTGACCCGCAGTACTAACGGCCGTGGTCCCGCGGCTTCGACTTCAGATCTAAGTCTGCCCGGAAATGAAACTCTTACACCCATCTTAGGTCCGACTGGCACTTTCTCGACAGCACTGACCAAAACAGACAGTCCCATCACGACACCTTTCGCAACCGGGACACTAGATTCCGTTCTTTCGTCTCAAGGTGTAACTGATAGTGAGGATCAAAGCCAAGACCCCAGTTCCATTGCGCCTGTTCCACCAACATCGGTCGACCCCGTCCCAGACACTGAGCAGTCGAGTCATGCAGAGGCCACCAAGTCAAATGATCCCCTTCCTACTTCTCCAATCACTAAGGAACGACTTACTACAGTCCCTGAGTCAACCGCCAATCCCATAACCACATTACCCAATGGTCAGGTTACGACTCTACCCAGGCATAGTAACAGTGATGTCACAAAAGCTCCAGAGTCCACTGAAACAACCGGAGTCGTTCCGGTTATTATCCCAATCACAACACCAGTACCCGATCCAGAGAGAAGCGATAATGGTATCAAGATTCCCTGCGACATGTGGTTCTTTGATCTATGCCTCGCTCCCATTGGGGGATGGAGCTTTGTGCTTCCTCCTGGCACTCATCCACCGTATGTATAAACCAGTTGTAGCGTGGCCGTTGCTACTGTGAATCGTCACTGATCTGTCTAGTGGCCCCCCTCCTATTATCAAGATCGACCCCACCGCACCTATCAAGGTAGATATCACGGGGTCTATCCCTTGGCCCGGATTCACGTATGTGGCAGCCAAGACTTTATTGTTGGGGGCATAGACTAACATTCGCATCTTAGTATTGACCCCGCCGGCAACCCAACATTCTCCAGCAAGCCGGATGACTGCAACACTGAGTCAGCTGAGATGTGCGTCACCACTACTTCTTACGGGGTTTCTGTTGATGGAACTATTACATCCACGACAGCGCAGAGTACTATCTCCACCTGCGGCACCATTTACGGCTGTAACGTAGAAGGGGAGGATTTCTCAAGAACTGTCTCTAGAACAACTACAGTCAGTACGGAGACCCCTACTATAACAGCTATCAGGCTCACGTGGGAGGAATGGGACATCGATGAGTATTCAGAAGCACAGCTCAACGACATAGCGGATGCAGCACAAGCTCGTCTTGATAAGAAGTTTGGCAGATTCACGTCTCCTACATCCCGAGTCACAACGACCGAAGCTACAACGGAGGCTTTCCCCACACTCACTCGAGCTCCTTCTATTGGTGTTCCAACATCGTCCGGCCTCTCTTGTGCTTCGACGGCCACTTACACAGAATGTGCGGGCTCTGGTAACCGAGAAGCATGTGTCGAGAAACCCAGTTGTGCATCTTGGGTCAACACAGCAGCTGTTACAATGACGACACCGGAGATAACACCATTCTGCGATGCGGGCTACGAGACATACTCGGCGACTGCTCATGCAGCGATACCAACTCAAGGCGGCCCCCTGAAGTTCTTCATCCCTATTTCGGATGATAAAGGGTCAGACTGGGACTTTGTGATTGACGATGATAATGTTAAAGAGGCCGTCAAGAGTTGGAAGATCGGGAACGACGATGACGATAGCATTGAGAGTGGAGATGGCGGAAAGGGTCTTGAGATCAAGTGGAAAGTTCCCGAGGATTCTAGTAAGATAACCATCAATCTCACTCTTCTAGGCAATGCTGATACTCTTAGGTGGAACTTATGTTGAGCTTCTATTCGGAGCCTCAGATGTTGATGAGACAAGGTTCGCCTTTACCGCAAAGGGCGGTATTGTGAGTAATCCAACTGTTAATATTATCAGCAAGTGGTCTAACAGGTATAACAGGTTGCTTGTATGCCCAACTGCAAAGACGATGCAACGACAACAACAGATGCCGACGGTATGGTGTGCACCCACTTTCCCTGCCACTCTCCCAACTGCGAGCAAGGACCCGCTCCTGAACCCCAAGCTGCCTGCGAGTTAGTTGAGGACGGACTTGCCATTCCCCTCTTCTACACTGTCACCATTGTGGCGAACGGCTACAGCTGGATAGATGACGATGGGAAGAAGCTGAAGAGTGAAGAAAAGGGCTGCGGGGCGATGACGGACTGGCATTCTAGTGAGATCGAAGTTGAGACAGGGGATGGCTGGACTGCGCGGCATAGGTTTACTTTTACCTTGCCGATAACGATCAAAGCGGGCTGTGTAGAGAGGGCAATCGCAAGTGCCGGAGGGCCCTCGGGTATTCAGTGTGACAACAAGGAGGGTAACTTGTGGTGATGTTTCTAGGTATCAATTATCTGGCGTTATGAGAGTTAAGGTCATGTCAGTGCTATCTGATTGTCGTTCTCTTTACGGGATGTAGCACGTCGTCTCGAAGTTCAGGTGACATTCCTCCCAGCCCAAAGCGCCCTGATCCCTCAGCCCCTGCTCGAATAAATCAAGAATAAGAGGTTTTATGAATTCACCATCCTTCATGTGCGGATACCGCGCAGTGGCTTTGCATTTCTCCTCAGCTTCCTGACTCTTCCACTTATGAACCCAGACGCACGCTACCGCGTCCTGTCCCTCCCATTTCACATTGCCTTCAATCCAACCCAAGCACGGGCCAGCTGTGTACGGGTTCCTATGCTCAAACTTTTTGCCGTAGGCAACTGAAGGTCCCACATGTCGGACTTTGTCCCAAACAGCCTTGCGGGTTTCCGGCGAGATTGAAGCCGGGAAATAGACTCTTATCAACTCGGTATGAGACGACATCGCAATCGTGGGGTGATACCTGGCGAAGTCGATGGTCTCACTCACTACTGGGATATCCGAGTGAGAGCCAAGGCTGGAAAGCAACTCTGCGTAGCTATCTGACTGCGAGAACTCAAGCCATGATCTGGTGTGATACCAATCGACTAGAAGCACACAGTATTGTGGAGATTCCTTGATTCTTCCGTAGCAGACCTAGAGCAGTAAGTAGATTTCAGTCATGAGGCATTTACAGAGGCGAACCTGTGGCCACTCTTCCCTGGTTGGATGCAGAGCATGAAATAATGATTCATCTAGTAAAATGTCCTCTGGAAGCTTAAACTTGAACCAAGTAGTAATTGGCTTGTCGCGTGGTGTGTTATCTGACATTATTGCAAAAAATGCTGTGAAAAGAGATAAATTACAGTTTGAAGGACGGTAAGGGCGAGAAAAACAGGTGTTGGTAAGCTGCACCGAAGTGTTGGTTGCAACAGGCATCTTTATATAGATTTGAAACGCCCCGCCGGCAATGCAAGATTATTAACCCGATACAGCCCTGTTTGATCAGGCGTCACCGTCACAGCTCCTCACCTTGAGGTTATGAAATAGAACCACACTCCAGTGTTGCACTGTGAGCAACCCAGCCCTCTCTGATTGGCCAGACTGACCCTACTGTATGATTTAGGTAGCTTGATAAGATCAACCCGACTTATCTTGATTTTTACTTTAATTAAAATACCTCTTGAGTTGCAAGTTTCCCTTTTTCACTCTTTTTGTATTAATTCTTACTTCTCAACCCCCCTACACTTTTTCTCTACTCCTTTGCCTCCTCTCTGCCTTCTAGAGCTGACCTCATTATAAGTTCTACAGTGGCGGATCAGAGTCGCCGCGCCTGTAATGACGCCGGCCTCGATGTCGATTCCGTTTGCGCGACAAGATAGGTCCCTGTTGGCTCTCGTCGAGTCTTTCGAGCCTGAGCCCGACTAATAGAAAGATACAGACAACAAGAAACTCCTCCACAACACACATGAAGACAAAGACAAGTACCGATCCTTTGATCAAGACGAAATGCCCCGAATGGACAAACACCAACAAAATCTGGTACAAAAGCCGAACACATACGAGCGGGAGAGCGAGGCCGGCGGCTGGTACGAGGATGCGCTCTCTCGCAGGCGCCAGGCGTACGACCGATATTGATTTAGCCAGAATCACTACCAGCAAACAAAACCCTGCTGCATAGCAGAGAACGCCAGCGTACGACCATGCAGAGGGAGAGGTGCCCCTTGATGATTTGCTCTCGACGCCAATAATTCCAAACACGGCTCCAAGCAGCATAATCAATTGCATCAACCGGAAGTACCTAATCGAGATAGCTGGGTCGGTCAACTGGGCATTGATGACGTCGGCTCTATATTTGACGCAAGGCAAACGTTAGCGACAAGAGTAAATGCAAACTGACATCCACGTAGAATACGTACAACCTCGACAACATCCCTAGAGTCGACAGCATTAAGGGGACCAGGCCGATATGGTTGAGGATCATCACAGCCTCCAGGAGACCTGTAGATTTGTTGTCGATGGAGATGAGCTGACAAGCAGCTCCTGCTATGCGACAGACAGACAGGGTGACCGTATAGTACCATCTGTTCTAGAGTCAGCTTTTGCAACGTGCCGTAGCGCATCAAGTTACCACAAACCCTGAACTCTTGCTGAAGCCATGGAGATTGCATATGTAGATAGCGAGACAAATTGCTGGGATGTAAGCGGCTAGCTGAACAACAGCAACGATTGACCACGAGTCAAGAACCATGATGTAGTTCCTGTAAGTCTGTGTAGTAGCCTGCCACGCACCATCAATAAGTGTAAGACGGGTAAAGAAGTGTGTCTATGATTGTCAAGATATAGAAAAAAATTTGTCCGCGATGGCAGCGAATCAAGTAATTTATATGTCTCCTGACCACAACTGCTTTCTCTTGCCATCTCCTTGCTTCGTTTAGATAGTCTATTCAGGGCAAAACAACTAGACTAGGCCAATTTGAGTATGCAGTGAGAAGAAATAGCGTCCCCACTCTCTCGGACTTCGGCTTCTGGGTGGGTCTATTGCGATTACGTGTAGTCGCTGCAAATGACAACGACCTTGTCGACAAATGCAATGCAGAGTCCGTCCTCGGCTCGGGCCATCGTCGAGCATCTCACAACTACACACAATTCATTGAGGCACTATCTTTGCTCACTATGACGTACTGCGGCCGGCCGTCTACTGCTTGCCACGCGTGCAAGAAAAAGCGAGGCAAGGTGAGTTAGACCTGAACTACTTTGAAATCCCGAAAACGAAATCAAGTCTCATTCATCTTCACAGTGTGACAAGAGGCAGCCCGCGTGTGGCCAGTGCATCAGGAAGCACATCCCCTGTCCTGGGTACCGAGATCCAAAAGCTATTATCGTCAGGGATCAAACCAGCCAAGTTCTTGACAAGGCGCGTGCCAGATTGGGAAAGAGAACGACGCGTCGAGAGCTCAACCCCCCCAAAACACTGTTTGAGGTACCGATCTCGACTGGGTCTCGGAAAATCGATGACTCATCTTCTATGTCCGCCACATCCCCGACTCATCGTTTCACAAAGGCTGAAGCTATTCGCCGGGGTGCCATATTGACTCTGGGTAGTAGTTTAGCCTTGTCACCGCAGGATGCTGGAACTGCATTCTTCTTGTCTATGTACGCGCCAACCGCGTCCTTGGAGTTCTTATCAATTATAGCCTTTGACTGCCCAACTGAGCTTCTCAAGTCACCGGCGCTGCTTGCGCCTGCACTAGCCATGCTATCCTACGAACTCATGGAGCCGTCGCTGATGACCCTCGCTCGCAAAAACTACCTTGCGGCCATTCAGAACGTCAACGCAGCCTTGTCATTGCCGCAGCAAGCGGCCAATCACAGCACTCTTGCCTCAGTGCTCCTCTTGGCTCTTTTCGAGGCTATTGCCTTCCACCGCCGTGACTCGTTGAACAACTGGACATCCCATGTAGATGGCGCCGTCCAACTCGTCAAGCTCCGAGGACCCCGTCAGTTCGACTCGGCCTTGGGCCGTGCCCTATTTTCTGACGTCAGCAATCATACCTACGCATCATGTGCGCAGCGCCGTGTTCCTGTGCCTGCAATTGTATCCGAAATGCGGACACAGTTGGGTAACTTCAGCAGCAATAACTCTCTAGTGGTCGACCTTGGCACGGTTCTGGACTCCATGTCTCGCCTCCTCGCGAAGTTAACATCGACGAACACAGAGGACACGTTAGCACCAGAGGTTGTCGTGGCTCAGGGGTGCCTGTTGGTGTCGCAGATAGACTGCCTGCTAGATCAAGCATCTACACTCTTTCCCTACGAGGTGATACCAACAGCTGAAGCCCCAGAATTTGCATTTAATGGCATTACTCACAAGTATCCAAGCCCTCAGTCAGCCCGGTACTGGAACATCCTGCGCGTCATGAAGTTGTTCATCAGCAAATGGATTCACCGGTCGGGCACCGCTCTCATCGACTGCAATGCGTTGGCCCATGATTGCACAGACACCCTCCGGCAGAATAGACTCAACCTTCTCGACTACACGAAATCAAACGCGGACAAAGTCGCTGTGGATATCCTCTGCAGCGTGCCCTTCTTCCAGAGCCTAGCGTCTCGGTCCTATCTGAGCCAGACGTTAGTGCGGTGGCTTGTATGGCCCTTATCAGCAGTGGCAGCGTCACCTTTAGTCCAGGAGCCTGCACAGGTATATGCTCGGACTAAACTTGCAAGCTTTCATAAAGACAGCAGACTTCCAGAGGTGTTCGAGGCCGTGAAGATGCTGGATAAAGAAAGAGCCTTAGATGATTGGTAAGCAGGCAGTAACTTCGGATATTATTAACTGATGGAAATTGATCTCGCTAACATGTATAGGCTACATTTATGCCACTTTTCATAATCATGTCCTTAAATCTATAAGAGAAGTAAACTATAGCTCCTTACCTAGATGTTATAAAATAGAGGTATGCTCCGGGGAATAGTAATTGACATTGCTTTAAACGCCCTGGTCATTGCACTCTCTATATAATAATTAAAATTGGCCCGAACGGTAACGGTTTTAAGATCAGCAGAATAAGGGCCCTTTATCAATGAGATATGCCTTGATCGCAGACGCAACAAAACAATCCTCGGAGAGGCTGAGCTGGGTGCACAAACCAGGAAGCAATATATTAACAGACCTGGAGCATCTAAATCATCGAGATCGCCTTTAATCTTATGTCGTGCTTGACTTCCTTGCTAGCCGGTCTGCAATATCGCGAATGATATGCTTCTGATACTTTCCACTTCCCGTCTTGGGCAACTCAGCATCCACGCCATCTTGACCAAGCCAGAAGATAAAAGCCGGAACTTTGACTGGGCTCAGATCCTGCAAAACCCAATCCCTAATATCTCCATCTGATGGTCTTTTGTCTAGTGAGCACGCTTGTAAGAAGGCTGCCACAACCTCGCCATGTATCTTATCCTTGACTGCCACCACGCATGCTTCTCTGACTGCGGGATGACGTAGCAGTTGGTTCTCAATCTCGCTGGGCGACAAATTCTCACCGCCGCGGATAATCAGGTCTTTGATACGGCCAGTGATGAAACCGTAACCTTGTTCGTCCAAGTATCCCTCGTCACCAGTATGCATCCACAACACGCCATTCTCATCCCGTCTCATTGCTTCCAATGTCTTGATCTCGTCTTTGTAGTATCCTTTTTGCAAGGCAAACCCACTCGTACAGATCTCCCCGCGTTCCCCGATAGGAACCACGTTTCCATTGGTGTCGACTATCTTGGCTGCGGTATGGGGAAGAACACGACCAAGACTAGTCAGCATCCTGTCATCTGGGTCGTCTAGGGAAGTGATAAAGGTCACAGGACTCGTCTCCGTCATTCCATACGCGATAAGCATACCCTGGACATTCATCTTGGCTCTCAATTCATCCATCAGGCTAGGCGACACAGGCGAGCCAGCAACGAGACCAGTACGCACTGTTGTGATTCTCCGAGGCTGTGATTCCATCTGTGCCAGCTCCGATATGAACATTGTGGGGACACCGAGTAGTGCAGTAGCCTTTTCTGCCTCAACTGCATCGAGAGTTTGCCTTGCGTGGAATTTGTCGGAAGGAAAGACGATAGTGCTACCATGAGTGAAGGATGCGAGAAATCCCATGACCAGGCCGAAACAGTGAAATAGTGGGGGCGGACAGCATACGACGTCTTCTTGGGTGAGTCTCATGGCATGTCCCACGTATCTGCCATCATTGAGCAAGTTGCTAGAAGAGATTGTCAGGAGATTGAGGTGGCTTGACAGGAAAGAGGCTCTTACTTGTGTGTGAGCATAGAGATTTTCGGAAGGCCAGTAGTACCTGAAGGCCTGTCAGAGGCTGCAAAGCGAATCGAAGAGCGACGTATTTGAAAGGCATTTCCTCACCAGAAGTAAATTGCATGTTCAATACATCCGAGGGTTGAACACGCGTCTCAGCTTGCTGAAGTTGCCCGTCTGTTATAGATCCGTTAATTCCGTCATTCAGGAAGTCCTCGTATCTATGACAGTTAAAGAGCTCCCGCGAAGCAGATCTGTCAAACATAATAAGCTGCTCCAGAGAGGCTCCAACTTCTGCTCTCGTGGCAACCTGATACACATGATCATCCGTGTTGATAGATCCAATAGACGATGCAATGAACAGCGCTTTACAGTCTGCAAAACGACGTCAGAGCTCTGCATGTTCGATGAGTTTGGTTGACTGACCGCTACGAGCCACAGCTGAGCATAGCTCATGAGGTGAGTTTGTCGTGTTGAATACCACGAAGGGACACCCAATTCTGGCAGATGCCAGAAACAACTCAATATACTCAAAGCGATTGCCAGCGAATATCCCAACAGCATCGCCGCGCCTCAAGCCTGCGTGAAGGAGGGCTTTTGCGGCAACAGAGCTGCGATACTCGAGCTCCTCATATGTGAGTCTAGTGTTTTGCCATGGTACAGTAAGCGCAGTCCTTTTACCACGTCTCTTAGCTTGCTCTTTGACCAGACTTCCAAGCGTTCTGTTCCAGAGTGGAGGAGTAGTGGGACCTTGAACGATAGAGAGCCTCGGAGCTTGAGTGATGAAAGGTACCGCTTCATGTGGATTAGGCCAGATCGGCTGCGCGGATGTTGAGTAGGATATAGCTGAAGTGAGACGTGGGATAAACGGACGGGAGAGGCTCATGAAGGTAATCACCCCGAGGCAAGAAGAAAAGGGTCTGCGTCTCATGGTTGGGACAATTACAGAGGCCATGCCTAACTATTAGCGTGAAATTCAACCAAGCACTGGTGATCGAAAACAAAGTATTCAAGTACTGCTGCAGGATAACACTGAGACATCGTGTAAATCCGCGTCATGGACGATTTATCAGCGGTTGCCCGGGACAGAGCAACAGCACATGACGAACTTAGGATAGCGAACCCGGGCATCGGACCGAGCGGGGACTCATTAGCCGGGTCCTTCCAGTGCCCCTGACCAGAGGGTTCAAGCTGCTAAGCTGGGCCAGAACCCGTGTAGAATCTTTACCTGAAGCATTTCCTCGATCTACTACCTCCATTCGAAGCCAGACTTGCAACATTACAACGATGCTTTATCATTGTATTTTAGTACAGCCTTTGACTCTGAGTTTGACGAGCTCAGTATACTTCGTGAGAATAGATTAGGGTCATGGTGTTTAAGGAGATCTCAATTGTCCGAGATTGTCCTTGGACCATTTATTACGCATACTCAGAGATTAATTGATGTGATCCTGTTCCACTGCGACAAATAAAGATAATTCGCAAGAATCGACCAGAGAATGAGATCAAATAAGCTCGACATGGGGCAAAATTCTGCATACAAGCCTAATCACTACGACACGACATTCTTGTTCAGGAACAACGTCTGAACGTTACAAAAGCCCTTGAGACCATTGGCACCCCACTCAGTTCCAATACCACTCTCTTTATGACCCCCAAAAGCTGCCATCGGAGTCAAGTCAAAATGTGTGTTGACCCAGACATTGCCAGCCTGAATCTCTCGCGCAATCCGGTGAGCACGACGAATGTCATTGCACCAAATAGAGGCTCCGAGTCCCATAGTCGTATCGTTTGCACGCTCGATTACCTCTTCCTCACTACTCCATGTGAGAAGCGGCACGATCGGTCCTAAAATGAATTGTCAGTCAAAGTTGAGGTTATGTCGAGCGCTTTGATCTTACCGAATGGCTCCTCCACGACGATGCGGGATGTCTCAGGGGGCACATCAATGATAGTAGGGTTAACGAAATACCCCTCAGAGGACTCAATCTTGCCGCCGACAGCAACATTCCAACCCTCCTTCTCAATATCCTCAAAGAAGCCTTTCACGCGTTTGAACTGAGGAGCATTCTGCAGCGGGCCATGTGTGACACCTTCCTTGGACCCATCCCCTAAAGTGTAGCTCTTGACATGTTTGACAAGTGCTTCCTTGAACTGGGGATAAATGCTCTGGTGTACAAAGATTCGCTTCAGGTTAAGGCAAACCTGACCTGAGTTGAGGAATGCGAAGAAGGCCACTTTCTCGGCAACCTTGTCAATATCGACGTCTGGAAATATGATAGCTGGATCATTGCCACCACTGACCGGGTTAGTGATTATAGAGGACATGGAAAGTGAAGGGAGTCTTACAGTTCCAAGGTCACGCGCTTCAAGGTTGAGCTGGCGCTTCGAAGAACAGCCTTGCCCGTCGCTGTTGAGCCCGTGAAGCTGATCTTGTCAACGCCAGGATGACTCGTCATCCAAGGCCCAAGTTTATCATCGCCACTCAGCGATTGAACCACGCCAGGCGGGAAAAACTGCTGCGCGAGCTCAACCAGCTTGAGACCGCCATAGGGAGTAAAAGGACTTTGTTGACACGTCAGTAATCTCAACCGGGGAGTTCTCAAACGGTGGCACTTACGATGGCTTTACGATGATGACGTTTCCAGTCAACAGTGCCGGGGCGATCTTGCCTGTAGCAAGTAAAAGAGGAAAGTTCCAGGGCACGAGAGCTGCGACGACTCCAATAGGCGTGTAACGGCTAATGATGGTGCGTTGCTCAGTGTCTTCAAGAACATCCTCTGGAAGAGGAATCTGAGCCATGCCTCGCATCCATTCGATAGCAGCGTCAGTTTCATACGCAGCTTGAGGAATCTAACGGCATCAGTTTCATAACCATCATGCTCAGCGCTGTGCTTACCGGCTTCCCCTGTTCAGCAGTGAGGAGAGCTTGAAACTCATCACGATGAGAATCAACAGCAACAGCAAAAGCAAGAACAGATTCACGCCGCTCCTCGTAAGGAGTCTTGCTCCATATCTTGAAGGCCTTCTTGGCTGCTGCGACTGCGCGATCGAGATCCTGCTGAGTCGCTACAGGGACTTTGTCCATTTCCTGTAGGTTTGCAGGGTTCAATCCATGTCGAGTTTCTTTGGTGGGGGCGCTTTGCCCATCGATGATTTGGACAAAGTCACCTTTGAAGTTGATGCTAGGCTTGGTCATTTTGGCGATTCTTGGAGTATTCTGGTTGGCTAGAAGCGATGAAGCAATAATTGGTATGGCAATTAACTGTTATTTTGCTGAAGCAACGCCCATTTGATACTGTCACTTATGCAACGACTCTTACACCCGGACCGTGGAGACTTTACAGATATGGACTAGCACCTTTTCAGTCCGACGCTACGGTCCGATAATGTGGAGATGCCGAAGTCCTTAACCGACGGTTAAGACACGCTGAGTAAATGTCAAACTCATGGTTGAAGAGCGTGTTTTGATCGATCTCCACAAGCTCTCTATGTGCACAAGTATCACGAGGAAGTTCAGCTTATTATAAGGTGTTTCTTTGTAATCGAAGTGATGGGCTCACAGCACTATACTATTATTATATAACTATCTATTCCTCCACTTTGAAAACCGTAGCTAGCCTATTCCGTAACCAAAACCCGTTCAGCGTCAAGAAGATTGACGAGAACGACATGCACGCAGCAGCGAGTGGTCTACACAAGCTCGGTCAGCGCTATCTAGTAGAGTTTGGATATTTCACTCACGGTGTTAAGACAATGCCAAACGGAGAGAAAAGGCCAGAAGCCATACTCAACGCAAGAGCATTGTAGCCAAAGACCCATGCCAAATTATATCGGATTTGCTTTATGGTTAGTTCTGCGATTTCGAGCAGCAAAGGTATTGAGTCCAGCCGCGAATTGAGGATGAAAACCGTTGCACCAACTGTTGGCGTTGCGACGTCGTGATAAAGAGCGATACCAACGTCGGCTGCTGCTAAGCTCAAGCTATCGTTCAATCCATCACCAACCTAAGGATATTGTCAGTGTGACTGTTTCTAGGCACGGGGGTTGCATCTACCATTGCAATAGCTTTTCCATCTTTTTGTAGTCTCTTGACGAGATCCAGTTTGTCTTGGGGCGTTGCTTCGGACGCGAGCACCGGTATCTTCAACTGCTGGGAAATGCGATTTGCGGACTGAGGCATGTCGCCAGTCAACTATCAACGTCAGTAATTTACTCCCTCAACTAAATGCTAAGTAGCTACCAAATGTGTTGCATAACCCCTTTCGTAGAGCCGTTGGATAGTCTTCTCTGCATCGTCTCTCACGGCATCCTACAAATGTTAGCAGGCGAAGTGCATGCCTCGGGTTACATTACCGTTACATAGAGTGTTCCAGCATACGTTCTGTCAATAGCGACGTATACTGCTATTAAACCGCTGTCTTGTCCTTCAGATACCCCTGGGAGATCAGACACGCCACAAGACAACAAGTACCGCGTGCTCCCAATATCAACACGTCGCCAGGGTTCTTGACCTAAAGAGACTTCTCCCGAAACGCCCTTACCCGACTCACTTGCAATGTTTCGCGACTCGATAAGCGATTTCGTTTCCGACCACGGCCCATTAAGATGATTCACTCCAGCGGTAAAGATGGCTCTACCGATCGGGTGACTCGTGACACTTCCCTCCTCAGCAGCACAGATATAAGTCCAAAACTCTGTGATTGGTTTCTTCCATGCTTCTGTTGTTTCGAAGTCCGTGATATCTAGCACAGCTCGTGTCAGAGTCCCAGTCTTATCAAACACGATGGACTGCGTGCTGCTGAGTTTCTGGATAGTGTTGTAACCCCTGGTGATCAGAAGACCGTTTTGACTTGCTATGCCTACGAGGGGGGGACCGTTAGTATCCCAGCAAGGGAGTCTGGTGGTCCTATTGTAAGCACTTACCTACTGCTGCAACTACTGCTGAAGGGATGGCCAATCCCAAGGCGCAAGGGCATGCGCATGTAAGTATTGTCATCGCCCTAGCCATCGCAACTCGAATCACCTCATAACTCAGCAATTCAGCAGATATGTAGATATCCTTGAGGGGGACGACTAGTGCCAGTGACATGACAAACCCAACCAAGTATTTCGTTACCATATCAACTGTTCGGTTGTCTTGGTCCTTCGAACCTGCTGCCTCAACAGCGCCATGCACGAGCTGGGAATAAAACGAATTTCCCTGTTCTTTGTCGACAACAGCCACCAGCTCCTTACCCAAGTTTCGTGTTCCTCCCAGGAGAAAGTCCCCCACAGATTTCCGGACCGGCAGTGCTTCTCCTGTGATAAGGGCTTGGTTGATGGAGGATGTGCCCTCTGCTACGTAGCAATCGCATGGGATAATAGAATAAGGCGGGATGATAATCTGATCGCCGGCTGCGGGATAACTCTGAGGGACAACCTGAAGCCGATCAGCAAGTGTAACTACCAAGTCTTGGTAAATGCGGGATTCATACCTTTCCAGTAGGGTGAAGCCTTGTATAATTGCTTTGTGTAAGCGGCTTGTACACTCTCAGGAGATCCTCGGAAGTCGTCCGCCTTGACATAAGTTCGATGTATCTGCCAGCAACCACCACAAGAGCCAAGCCAATGACGGTCGTATAATATGAGTTTGCACCGGTGGTCCCATGTGTAAGGAGATCTATGAATGAGATAGAAGTCCCAAGGGAAATTGAGGACGAGACCAAAGTGTTCATGTTAGGTTGCCAGCGACAAATCGCTTTCCAGCCATCCTTGTGAATCCACGATATATACTGCCATTGTGCAAACAGAGTGAGTACTGCACACAGCAGGTGAGCTATGAAAAGAATAGCCGATGGTATGCGGTCTTGCCCAACCGAGATAAGGAAGGCAATCGTCTGATTAACTGTTGCGCACCCAGCGAGACTGGATAGACTTGATTTGAGCCTAGCAATCTCTTCTTTAGACTTGAGAACACGGATTACCTCCCGGGGCGATCGCGGTCCAAGCTCAGCGCCATATCCGAGATCAGTAACGAGTCTCGTAATTGACTGAGTGTCGAAACTAGCGGTCTTCCCAATCAAAGTGGCCTGTTGCAACGCCAACGAGACTCGTACTTGATCCACATCCGGATGGCTTCTCAATGCTGACTCGACTGCACTTGAGCAAGCCGAGCAGGTAAGTCCCGACAGCGACAAAACAAGAGAAGCATTACGTTTCTCGCATTTGATGTCTTCACCATTCGGGGATTTGCTGGTAGGGTAGGGTAATTCGGGCTCGTCTTCATTATATCGTATAGCATCGTCGACATCAAGAAATTGATAGACTTTGACCAGTTGGCTAATGCAGAAGGCAGCAATATAACAACAAGCCATTGTATGTTATGATCAAGGTAGAATGACTTAACCTATAGCATGCGTGGATTGGTAGAGTCAGTGTCAGGCGATGGTCGTTAGGTATTAGCTATTATGGCACGGGTATTAGTCTAGGACTACGATATGACCCGAGTGCGGACCACGGACCGCAAGCGGGGCAGGCGGGGAAACAACAAGAACTATCAGATATAATAAACTTCTTAACAGCTTAAGAATTAAAGGGTTCTTGCAGGAGTAACGGCCCGGAATGTCTAAACGATTAATAGATAAGGAAGATAATGTATTATAGGGCGCAAAATATTTAGTTATAAATATATCCTATCCTTATTGAAAAGGTCAAGGAGTCATGTCAAGTGCAGGTAACTAAAGGAAGTCTTAAAGACAACTAGTAAGTTATTTATAAAATAGAGAAGTGACTTAGAGTTATAATTATCACTAGCCTAGACTCAGTATTTATCTGCTCTGGCAATCTGATAAATATCTTATATTCTTGCTCGGAGAGAAGGGCTTACCCTGGACCTGAACATCTCGGAAACGCGGATATCATGTCCTGATTTCAGCCATGCGGGGTCGTTGCGACATTAGCGTTGCATACCAAGGATAATAAACTTCCAGTCCATTAAGTTCATTCCCTGTTATATCTTAGCGACCCCATGATTCCGGGGTAGGTCTCCACTGGAAGCTGTCAAAGCAATGCAAACAACGCGGTAGAGTGCCAACATGATGAACCTAATGCGTTAGCGAGTTCCCTTACCCCGCTCTGTAATGGATGATTCCCCAGGCCAAGTTCCGTGTCACGGGCAGCCCGGCAGATAGCGCAAGGAGAGGTACGTAGGTCGGGAGGGCGAATGTATGTTTGGATACGCTTTGTTATCTTCCTCCTCATCCCGCAATTCGGACCGCATCCTGCCTGCTCCAGAGCAATGTCAGCAGCACCATCGTCCAGCGTCGAGCCACAGGCTCATGCCCCTGCGACCAGTAGTGGCATACGCCGTATTCGGCAAGCTTGTACCAGCTGTCGGTATGGACCCCAGCTTCCGATGGATCTCTCGGTCCGTCATGTTACACCACCAAATCATCCAACTCTCACCTTCGCGAACGTCTTTGAAGTCCGATACTGATGTAGAGACAAATCACAGGCAGAGGAAAACGAAATGCTCAGGAGATAAGCCGCGATGCAACAATTGCCGACGTGTCAATCGCGCGTGCCAATATGAGGCATACTCAGCAACGATGGCTTCCGTGACTGTGAACCCGCTCGCAGCGCTGGCTCCTCAGTTTGGTCATGTATGGCTTGGACCAATTGTCGTGGCACGATGTCAGGACTAACTTGATGATAGCCGGACCTCTTGCAGAGATTGAGCACGATTGAAGCCCAATTGGCTAAGCTGAGTGAACCGGAAGGCCAGGAACAAAGGTACGCGTGGCTGCGCAACGCATTATTACCAAGAAACCTGCTCACTGAGGGTAATAAACTGCAGGTTTGACTTTAATCAACCATTTCCGACGCAACAATGCGACATACCTGCTTCTCCGACCCAGCCTCGTTCAACAACATATTTAGATAATGGCTCGGACGGTCAGCGTCGGCTTTCAAACGCCGTATCTGCATCCCCGGATCAAACTGAGGCCCTCACGCCGTGCGTCCTCATAAATATACTACCCAATAAGACATCGACGTCGTTGACCATGAAGCAGGCCCTTTAGCACGATGCCACCTGACGATGTAGTGCAGCATCTCGTCGATACCTATTTCACCCATGTCCACAATCAACCGTACGCCTACTTCCAAGAAGAGCACTACAGGCAGCTATTCAGCTTTATGCTCCTACCAAAGTGCCTCACATTTGCCATCCTCGCGTCTTCAGTGCGATTCTCAGATCACGCGTACTTCTCAGGCCGCACCCACGACGCGATGGAGGGGTATGCGAGACAAGCTTGGTTGTGCGTGTTGAGCGACCATTTAACTGTTGAGAATGAACCCAATTTCCACGTGGCGCAGACTACTAATATTCTAGCCATTATTGACTTTACTGGTGAGTCAAAACGCTACCCCCCAAAAAGTGAATTCTGGCTGATCATGACAAGCTGGTCGAACAAGCTCTGGGTGGTTAAAGATTGGCCTTGCAGTACGCATCTGCCAGGATCTACAACTCATGAACGAACCAAACCCCATGCTCCCTATCGTCGAACAGGAGGAGCGAAGACGCGTCTTTTGGTCCGTCTACCTTCTCGATAAACTCGTATCCTGCGGGCGAGCGCGCCCACCAGCCATCGCCGATGAGGATTGCCATGTCCAACTGCCATGCGAAGAGGAAGTATTCAGAACCGGCACTTGGAAACAAACCCCCACGCTCCATCGACTTTTGAACTGGGACGCTGATCTTGGTGAGATCCGGGGATATTTTACGCTTGCTATTCTCGTCGCTTCAGCTCTCGGACGATGTGCCAGATACGTCCTTCATCAACGTGAGATAGACGACACTTTACCCTGGGACTCGAGATCAGAGTTTGCAGCTATAAACTCCTTCCTCCTGCTGATCGAGCAGCATCTGCAGGTTGAAGAAGTCCCCATCGAAGACATTATATCTCAGAACAAACTCCCCACTGGAACGCCGGACCACCAGGTTGTTGGACACGCCGTATTTGCTCGTATCGTCTTCCACCTCTGCCACTGTCTCATCGGCCACCCGTTCCTCCTGGCTTTGCGTCTGCAAAACTTGAAAGTGAAGGCACCGGCGAGTTTCTTGTCCAGAGCTTATGAAGTGTGCTGCGATCATGCTTCCAAGATCCCGTCTTTGTTGCACCGTGCGCAAGAGGCGGGCTGTCATGTCGATGCTTCGTTCTACGCTTACTCGACGTGCGTTGCTGGTAGTATCCTCTCCATGTTCATCCACGGTAAAGAGAGTATGGGACAAGTTCCATCTCAACAGCTTTTGGAATCTGGACAGCACTCCCTGGAAATCCTGGACAAAATGGGCCATTTCTGGGACCACGCGGCCAAGATGGTAAGTCAAACGCTCAGCAACCATGCAGACATAACTAACTCTTGTAGCACACTCAACTCCTAAACTTTGATACTCATTCCCAAGACTTCGAAAAGATGATCGATCCACATACCGTTTTCGACATATCACCTGATCTGGAAACGGTTCTATGGTCCATGGTGGATTACGGCTCCATGTGTGGCAGCTCAAGAACAAGATCAATCAGTCCCGGCGATGGCCAGTTCTCTGTCAACATGAACTCGCCTTCATTCTTCAACTTTGATGTGAACATGACGCCACGGTCGTTTGAGTTGTCTGGAGTTGAAGGCATAAATGGAGCGCGACACACCATGAGATCTTATGTTATGAGCTGATATAGGGTTTTGTTTTACTAGTATTACAATTGGAACTTTCGAGTATACTACGGCATTATCTCATGTCTGGGGTGCTATTAATTGTGTGTTTAATGGAGACTTGTCCCGCGGTGTTTGGAGGAAGTTGGCCTTGTTGCTGGGACGTTGTGACTTGATGTTTTTGTTTTATGTTCGAGATAGGCAGGTAACTATCTCAGATAATATATAGTAGCCTGGAACTAAAACTGATCCCCATTGACTATTTCTAGTCCCTACATCCCAATGCCGACACCTAAAACAACCAGAAACCTTTCCATCCCCTACACTGCCCCGTTGGTTCTACCTTTGTAACGCATCAATGAACTTGGATCTGTTATATTAACTCCAATATTCTGTTCTTCAGCAAAAGCCTTCATCCTGTCCTCATTTGCCATCGTCTTATTTGCGCCCAGAAAAGGGGACCAAGGAGGGTTGACACCATGTCGTTTGTTGAACTACGACGAGTATTTGGGCTATCTCTTTATTTTCCCAAGCGCATCTCCCTCTCACTCTTCCCTTTGATGACAGAAGATAGATCACCAACCGGAATCTGAATCGGGAAGTCGACAATGGCAAGTAAGATAGCGAGGAGGATATACCATCCGGCAAACGATGTCACAAAGAGTAGTGCGCCAGCACCCTGTCGTGAGTTAGAAGACATAAACTAGATACAGAGATCTTGCATCATAATACATACCACGCATAGCCGTTGAGCCAACAATGTGTTCCCAGTATAGTCTTCCGCCCATGCCCAAAATGCTCCAAGGAGACATAGAAGAGCTGGGACAAGGGTAGCAAAGATCACAACGAAGACGACATTCGTACGCAAGGCGCAGATGAGATATATGATTGACAGTATTGTCATGGCCAGCAAGAAGAAGCCTTCCCCGCGTGTGTCAGTATCACACACATGATCAGGGTCAATAACACTTACCCAAGCTTGCGTTGAAGCCCTTGGTAGCCATTCCCTCAGCAGGTGACTTTGCGTCAGCAGGTGCATATGAAGAATATGCAGCGAAGGATGGATGGAGGATTCCACCGAATGAGAGATAGAAGAAGCCAAAGCTTGTAAAGACACAAGAAGGAAAGCTGTTGCCAAGGATCCACTCCATGATCCCACTGATGACCATGAGGACACCGCCCTCGAAGAAGTAGACAGGGCTTTAAGGCATCAGCATACCATTACCATCTTAACTTACAGGGAAGTGATTAACTTACATGGAAGCTGCGCCAAAGTGGCTAGCACCACGCCAACCCATCAAGTCACAGGACAGAGGCATCAAAGCTAGCAAGAATCCCGCGAGTGCTCTACAACATTGTCATCAGTTTTGCTCATTGGGCTTTCATCGATAGGACGAACTAACAAGGGTGTTGGGTTACCAAACGTCTTCCTCAGATCACCCTTGACAGCGTTGGGAGGTGCAAGATAGAGCTTCTCGAAGAGCTCAGGGCTCATCGAGATACTAGCTGCGGATCGGATAGCATGGAGTGCTTCATGGTGGCCCACTTCTGGATCACTACTGTTACTCGAGGGCTTTGTCATAGTGAAGGAGACGTAGGCTCGTGGCTATGGTACCGATGGTAGAAGTAGTGGATTATGATTGTATGTATACGATAGAAAGGGTTCGAAGTCTTTATGCTGGGGAGTTGTCATTCTCTTAGCTAGCCGGCGACTCTGAACACACGACATTCTCGTATCGGGTTCTATCCGTGAGCCCTGTCCTGCTTCTCTGTCATGTCTCGGTACGGCGTTTCGGTAAATCATGTATCGGATGGGCGAAACGGTCTTGATGCCGGACAAAGAGCTTCATGGAATGGACCACATTAACGTCCGGACCGACGCTGCTTGGTGTGCATCATACGCGGGGTACGCGGGGTAGCATGTACTATTTGCCCGGAACGAGCAGGGATTCCTTGATCAAATATCCGAATCGACGGACCGTGGAGTCAGAAAGCTTGGGGGTGCATTGCAGTGCCCCAGAATTCAACCATTTCCCTGGGTTTGCGATATGGGTAGGTACGCCTCTGTTGCAGAAGTTCTATAGTACACAGTTTTGACTTGAACGAGTGCCCCGGAGTCCAGAGTGGGACTGGCTTTTACTGCGCTACGAGTCTGATTGCTGCTGATAACATGTAACTTGAGGCGACCAACACGTATGGAACTAAAATGATACAAGGGCTCACAGGCTGATGTTCTGATAGAATTCCCTTGTGTTTAACAACATTGTAGGCTATGGAAGGATGTACGAAAAACACAGTAAATAGTACAATGCTGGTTTACCAGTGTTCAGATACAAGCAACGCCTCCACAAATATGCCCAAGTATCTCCATTGCACATAGTTTACCAAATCAACACAGGTTTAATCGTAGACCCGTTCTCCATATCATGAATCGCCTTTTCAAACTCCTCAACCTGTGACATGTTAGCCTTCTAGACGGATGACCATGTGGTCGTTCACGATTTGACTTACTGGATAAAACTTGATAAGACGCTCTATCGGAAATTGGCCCTTCTGCAACCACCGTATCATGCGAGGGATGTACTACCTCAAAGGTTAGCTCCTGAACTACACTACCTCTGGATGGTGAGGTACTTACATCCTCAGGAAGCACACCGCCTTCCATACTACCCATAAGCTGCTTGCCCGTCTGCCAGAGTGTTAGCCAGTGAACTTAATACCGGGCTACGAGGCACTTACAACCATGAAGGGAACAACCGAGATCTCCAACCCAGCTGTCATTGGTGCAACACCGAGAAGAACCATCTTACCCTGGTTGGCGGTGAAATCAAGACCTTGCTGGATTAAGGGCATTACACCAGTTGCGTCAACAGTGATTGTACTACCTGATCCCTCTGTGATCTTGCGAACCTCGTCGCCAAGATTGGTGATTGATGAAGTGTCTATGCCATGGGTTGCTCCGAGTCGCTTTGCCATCTCGATTCTTGCAGGGACCCGATCGATGCCGATGATGGTTTTGCAGCCCCTTAGTTTCGCACCCTGGTCACATGTTAGCTTTAGTCTATGTTCCTAATGGGGTGATAGCTTGATGTACCATAATGGCCGCCAGACCAACGCCGCCCAAGCCCATAATGGCAACCTTGTCATCTGGTTTCGCAGCCGCTAGTTCAGTAATAGTGCCTGAGCCGGTCTATCAAACCCATATTAGCTGTCTTGAACAGGTCTCATCATCACTGGAAATTACCTGTATACCGCAACCCAGAGGTGCAAACAACTTCAAATCTTCCGGATGTGTAATTAAGTCGGTGACATTCACAAGAGACGTTTCTTGGACACGCGTGAGCTTCGCAAAGCTCGACTGTCCAAAGAAAGAACCCCCAACTTTCTGAGTGGCAGGCTTCGAAATATGAAAAGCCTCCTGAGAGCCTGAGAAGTTGAGGGCCGTGAATTCGTGACAGTAGCCAGGAGCGCCGAATTTGCAGTTGTGGCATTGCCTGCAGAACGCAAAAGAGAGGAGAACGGCATCGCCAGGCTTGACCTTGGTGACCTTTGAGCCAACAGCCCGGACATAACCAGCGCCTGATATGGTCAGATAAGTTTAGTATCAGGACATTTATAGCGTACCTTCATGACCCAAAACGCGTGGGTAGGGAGGAACAGGAAATCCTGGCGTTCCATCAGGGTCGGTTCCACAGCCTAGATCAGTATGGCAGACTCCCGAAGCGACCATTTCCACGATAGCCTCAGTTTCATCAGGCTCTCGTAGCTGGAGTTGCTGAAGCTTCCAATTCCTCTTGCCATCTTGAGGGGCAAGAGAAACAATTGCGATGGTGGATTGAATGGAGTCCATTGCGATGAATGGCGATATTACTATGTTGACGGTGAAAATGTGAGTCAATTTGGACACAAAGACAGTATGATACACAAGTCGAGGAAGAAGTTCTTTGTGCCAGGTGATGAGCTCGTGAGGTGCATACAAAGAAAGTCAACTATTATTGCTCATACAATATCGGCTGACCAGAGCCATAGCGGTCCGCCTAACCGAGTCTTCCTGAGTTCACGAAACCCCCACCCGGAGGAACGGTTGTGACTCTTGGGGGTCTGAGCTAACTCAGTTGATTTCCCAGGTTCCCCGCAAAGACAGTAATTGAGTTAATCAACATCCGGGGCCCCGCATCGGAGACCGGACCGCAAATGACCCAAAGAGAAAGGAGTTAAAAGAATAATTATCAACAGCTTCCAACAAGATCAATCAATTCGACACTAATCCAGAAAACGACTCAAACATTCATTTCGCAAAAGGACAACTGAGAATGTCGACTGTCACGGTATTTGTCCCCCTCTTGCTCTGTTACAGACTCATTCATTGACGATTAATTTAGCTCTCCAAGATACTTCCCGCTACTAACGGGAATCATGAAAATGGAATCACAGAACTTCCATCGCATGTTTCCATCAAGCCAAAGGAAGCCAATGGCTTCTCCAAGTCTAATGGTCATACCACCGCAGTTCAAGCTGTGGCCAATGTAGTTGGGCACAAAACTGAAGCTGTTGGTGACTTTGGATGGGGCCACTGGACAGTTCAGGGTACGATCTCTTCCAAATAAAGTGCGTGATATCTTAGTAACATGCTATCAGACGTCCTCATCCCCGCAAATGCTGGTCGGGGACTAGTCAAGAAATATCACCAGCGACGAACCCTCTACCAGTACTTTGCCCTATCCCTTTCCGGCCTCTGGGCCTTTTACAACCTTGAGAACACGTCTTACCGCGCAGCTGCACTGAGCTTCCTATTCCCAGGCGCAGGCTTCACTGCAGTCGCCACTCTTGCGTCAACCGCTGCGTTCCTGGCAACTCTGGTCTTGATCCCCATCACCATCTTCGTCTGGTTCGCCATGGGCGGCATCGCATTCCCAATTGGTCTATGGGTAGGCTCTGCTTTCGTAGCTGGCTACCTCGCTACAGACTCCCTCTTCGAGCCCTCTGCCATCCTGTGGGCTATCTTCTGCTACACTGGTATCTTCTGGCTTATGAGCAACGCTCGCTCTCTCAATGCTGCTGGATACTCCAAGGCGCAGGAGCGTAATAAGTACCTCGTTCAAGCAGTTGAGGAGCAGCTTGCCAATGCTACGCCTGCACCTGCGCCTGGTTCCCGTGAGCTCTCTCTCGATACTCTTCGCCATGTGCAGCATATGCTCGAGCGTGGGCTTAGTCCCCATGACGACTTTAGCTTCCACGATGTCATTGATCAGTTCCAGACCGGCGCTGTTAGATACCAGCTCTATGGTGTTGTTGACGTTCTCAGCTTGTATCAGTGTCATTACGCTCCTGGGTTCCACGGCTACCTTTCCAGGGCTTCTCAGAACTGCATCGAGAAGAGTCTCCAGAAGCGAATCATGAGGTCAGTCTTTCATCACCTCCCCACCTCTGCGACCATTTTCTAATGTTCATCTAGCTACTGGAAGTGGGAGTCAATCTTTGGCAGGTTTACCCTCAGCGACTGGGACCCGATCAAGAAGGACAATATCGTAAGTCGTGACTCGTGAAAACTACGCTGCTGCCACACCACTAACTAGACATAGATGGTTACTGGATACCTCAGCTCCGCCATCGGTCTGTACGAGCAAGCCTCTGGCGATCGCCGCTATCATAAGAAGAACGCGCTCGAGTTTGTCATCGACGATGGCAAGCACTACAAGACCAACTTTGAGGGACTTGCTGATGCTCTTCATGAGAACATGACTGACAATCCCTACTGCCTCTATCCCTGCGAGCCCAACTGGACTTACTCTCTTTGCAAGTATGCTATACCATCACTCGCCCGCCATGTCCCGGCCACTAGATTGATGCTGATAATTTCTTTAGTCTCACCGGTATGGCTGGACTAGTCATCTCTGATCGTATCCTTGGTCGTGATTGTGGAGAGAAGCTCAGGAACCGCTTTGAACGTTCTCTCGAGGAAGAATTCACCGAATGTGATGGTCGCATCCTCCCCATCCGCAGTGAATTCACAGGTCTTACTGTAAGATTCACCATAGCACGGTTTCAAAACCAGCCTTCTAACAAGATATGTCCAGCTTCCCGGTCTCTGCGGAACCCTCACCGACTGCATCAACGCTATGCTCCTGACCGCATACCTGCCCCACCTCGCCCACCGCAACTGGGCCATGATCCGCAAGGAATTCATCAAGTACGACAGCAAGGGCGAACTCGTAGTCAGAGACCTCAAGGGCGCCGACAAGATGGATCCCGGTAACTACCGCGCCGGCGAGGGTCCCCTCCGCGCATTCATTGCCGCAACAGCCGCTGAGTTCGGCGACGAGAAGGTCCGCAAGGAAGCTCTCGAACAGCTCGACAACGTCTACTTCCCCGTCGAAGCCACCAAGACAGGATCTCTTCGCAACAAGGGCCTCTCAGCTACTACCCAGGTGATTGCCCTGATGGCGCGCCTTGTCAAGCAGCGTGACTTGGCCAATGCTACGCTTCACGGACCTTCTAAGGAGGCTTTGAGTGGACCTATCCTTGAGGAAGCGCCTTTCCCAGAGGTTCTGGTTGCTAAGGCGTATAGTGAGGATGGAAAGAAGCTTGATTTGGTTGTGTACAACGGGAAGGAGGCCGGAGTCTTCAAGCTTGGGTTTGAGCGCTTGATTCCTGGTAAGCAGTACTCTGTCAGCACTGGAGGATCTGTCACTGCGAACGGAGCTGGCAAGGCGTATATCGATGCCAAGATCAATGGGCGAACTCAGATCATCCTGCAACCGATCGAATAGTTGTATCAGCAGTTACACTTCCATTGTCTTGGGCTTAAGTGGGTTGGGGGCGAGATGCTTCTTTTCTGGTGCCTAGGCTATATGCACAACCCTTTATTCAATCCCTTATGGTCAAACAAGTAGCGACCGATTTTATAGTCCAATCTTAAATCCTCCGGGCCAGTACTTCTGAAAGGTCCGAGAAGGATCATACTTGCGAGAGATCTGAAGGAGCTTCTGCTTATTCTCCTTTCCATAGCCATCATAGATATCCTGAAACCCAGCTGCATCTCCCATATAAGTGAAAGGATCATACAGTCCAGCCTTCTGGGTAGCATTAGCTATCGCCCAAGTCGTGTCCTCAATCCACTTGAACACAGCCTCATTGTGCTCATCACCATTCCACTCAACAACCTCTGCCCAAGCAATGTACGTGCCCTGCTTCCCAACATCCAAGCCTAGAGCATTGCCCCCGGGGTTGTACTTCTTAGAAGCTTCAGTCCAGAGAGAGCCGACAGGCTGCCAGTCGACACTGATGAGCACACGGTCCTTGACGGGGAGGACCTTGTACAAGTCGGGGAGTGCGTTGAGAAAGCCATCGTTCACTATCTGGATTCCTTCGAGTAGCTCTTCATATGTTTTACCCGTAGTGGTACCGGCGATGAACTGATCGTTGATCTTGGGATTGACGAGCTGGCCAGTCTCATCCGAAAACTGAGCAAGAGTCTTTTTCTCAAACGTGTTCGAAATAGCTGGAAGGTCGAAGAAGGGCCTAAAGCACTCAGGTTCCGGGTCTGAATCACTGTCGTAGAAGAGAATCGCACCGCCAATAGTCGTCTCCTCATCGACCGCAATCACTTGAGGAACGATATGTGCGAGAGGGTCATTATTGAAAGCCGAGAAATTCGCCACAGCCTGCTTATATGTCAGTCATAGTCGAACGATTACTTCGTGTCTCCCCGTACCTTCAAGAACCCGGGTATGTCAGTGACACTGTAAATGCCAGCATAGATCTGATCAGATAGGAAAGTGGCGAGTTTGAACTTGGTGACAATGCCAAAATTGCTAGATCCACCTTTCAGAGCCCAAAAGAGATCTGGGTGAGACTTTGCAGTGACTGATAAAATCTTGCCACTGGACACGACGAGTTCATACTCGAGTACGTTATCTGCTGCCCATCCTCGCTGGTTCCCGTGGAAATTGACGCCTCCTGCTAGAAGCAGACCTGGTACACCGACAGGAGAGAGACGACCACCTACAACTGCAAGCTTGTGTTGGCCAAGATAGCGATAAACCTTTCCCCAATCCAAGCCAGGTCCAACCCAAACCGACTTGTTATCTTTGGCCAATTCGAGGGTTGTCAAATTGGACATGACGAAGAGCGGACCTCCATCAATATTGTTGGCGCCTGCGATGGCCATATGTCCGCCTCCACGTAGACCAAAAGATGTATGACCAGTGCCCATGAGCTTGACTGCCTCAGCAACGTGCTTTGCGCTGGTAGGACGGAAGACGCAAGCTGGTTCTAGGATCTCATTGTTAGACCAGAAGTTCTGCGACTCATACTCGTAGACTGCATCCTTGGGATAAAAGGTGTTATCGGGAAAGGCATGCTTGAGTGCATCGCAGCCAGACTCTATCTTCTCTTCTGCAATCGCAGGGCAGGTTGCTAGCGATAGCAAGCTGAGGACCGTGCTGCTCAGCATGATGAGCAGTATGGGGATGATTGATAATCGGAGGGAATGAATGATGAAGTCTTTTGAGGTTGACCGCTAGGTACGATGGAAATTTTGATGGGCCACGAGCTGGTTGCCGGATTAATTCGCGGACCTGCATGGCCCAATCTTTTAGGTACCGTAGGTGCATCGGTTCATTTACTGGACATGGTAGGTGATGATCGCTCTAACAAGATCCAGAGATATGGAGTTGATGAAGGCTGCTGATTCGATGGCTTACGAGCCTAGTCAGCCTCGGTAAACATTCAGCCCTACCAGCCTACCCTATTGATCTCTGGCAACATTAATTGAACAATAGGGAAGCGGTGTCAGGCCAAGACTAGATAAACTGGAAATTCTATGTCTCAAAATGGATAATCTCTAGAACAATGTCTTAATGCCTTTAATATATATCTAGCCTACCAGAACTTTACATAATCTCAAAAGCACTTCAAAGTTAACTACTATTTAGCGGCTGCATCAACAAGAGACAGCGATACGTCTAATACAGTAAGTAGATTTCTCTATTATTAAGACGGAAACCTCTTCTATGGCTGCAGGTACTGTATCCAGGCGCAGGTTAGAAGTTATATTTATTATGCTCCTGCAATTGTGAATTATACTGAAATCCACAAGGCGATTACCACACAGATCGTCTAAATTCAATCGTCACTCGAGAAGGCTTGCCAGCTATATTCCAGGTGACAGATAGGGCCGTCTGCCTGTCGCGCTCCCTCATGATTCAGGCAATTGCGATGCCTATATCTATGACTTGCTTGGCTATTTGTACCAGTTCTCTCTCCTTGTCACACTCTACGACAATTAATTGAGCTTTCTCGTCTTCATGATCAGTTGGTTGCATCGGATTGGATTCTTCGAAGCCAACGTTCTATACTCCAGTGAGGTTACGCCTGTCATGTTGCTAGTGGCTATGAACTGGCCAATCATTGGCTTGGGAATTTCATTATCACAATGGCCAGACTGCTTGCCATTGTAGATATACGCCATCAGATCAGCTTTAATACTCATCATAATCTTCTTCCTCTTCTATCCAGAGACGATGAATCGCAACAACCTTAGGGCGCTCCGTAATAGCTGATTGTACTAACCTGATATGCGCGCAAGACAACAGTAGAAATATGTACTCAGATCTCCGCGTCTTAATCGACATTGAGTGCTAGCAGGATTCCCTCTTTAATGCTAAAATAAATATTACATATTATCTTTCTTAGTCCTGTCCAAGCTGAACACCGTATGATTTTTGGATTCATGGAAAAAAGATGTCATAGCGGGCTGCGCATCCCCATTTCCATATCCTTGTTCCTTCAGCCGCTCCGGACTCTATTTCAATAGCGTGGACGAAAATCTCTTTAGCGGCCAAACTATCGATTTTCATGCAGGGGCTCACCAATCGCAGCACCGCCATTAAAATGAGACCACCAAGCGAGTCAGCAGCCACACTGGAACAGGTCTAGTCCGCTAGCTGTCACAGACGGCCTCAGCGGAATTAACTGCTAGGTGAAACGGTATTTATCAACGCTCCCCCCAAGACCCAACCTTAGGTACCGTTGAAGTTCTGTCATTGTCTCACCCATTCGCTCATTTACGGGTTTCTAGTCTCTCGTTAAAGATCAATTCAACACGTCAACGTCATGATGAACTCCAAGACACTCATTAGCGTGCTGGCTTGTCTCAGCGTCGGTGTTTCTGCTGGACCTTGCAAGCCAGTTACATCTCATGCTACCCAGGTTACCTCCGCAACGACCGAACTTTCTACGTCGATTGATGTGTCCACCACCATTTCTGCATCCGAAGCCGCTTCTACCACTGAGCTGAGCTCTCAGACAACTGAGGCCTCTACTACTGAAGAGTCTACTACTGAGATCGCAACGACGACTACCGTTGCTGATACCACCACCGAGGAAGCAACAACAACCACCGGTGCAGCGCAATGCCCTACCCCCTCGGCTTGCAACAACCTCGGCTTTGACTGGGCATACTACAGCAACCCTGCCCAAAACACCGACACGACCTACTCCAGCTTCGTGCCCCAATCCTTCAAACAGACCAATCCCCTTTACTTCAGCACGACCCGCCAGATCGGCGGCCTCTTCCAGCCCAGCAGCGGCGCTCAGTCAGCTCCAATCTACGGCTCTACAACCGATCTCGCTCTCGATTACTTCGCCCTTAACCACCACGGTTATCTCTACAGTTGCGATGCTGGTACCTACAAGTTTGACATTCCCTACGCCAACGACGCAGTGTACCTGTGGATTGGCGCAAAGGCTTACGCTGGTTGGAACTCTGGTAATGCCGATGCCAAGGCTCTGTACAATCAGCCTGATCACATTGCTGGCAGCGCACATTTTGAAGTCGACATTCCCGCTGGTGTATATATTCCTATCCGATTCGTGTATGGTCAGGCTCAGTATGGCGGTGGCTTCACCTTCTCCGTCACAGCTCCCAATGGACAAATTCTCGTCAGCAATGACGTTACTGCCAGCCCATACATTGTGCAATACTCTTGCGATGGCGTTACTGCACCCCAATATCCACCTTTTGGCCAGGAGATTTAGAGCTGAGGCCTGGAGGAATGCCTTGAAGCATGGTTCATTCTGTTCGTGGCAACGCTGCCAAAAGTCCAAATTAGCTTTCTGTAAAGATATTAATAATCAAGAACATGCATTAAAAGGATCAAAGAGATTTCTTCATAAGATGAACAGCAATATAATCATGAATACCGATACAAGGGCTGAAAAGTGGGAAACAGGCGGAAGATAGGGCGTAAGCCGGAACACGGGGAGTGAGCGGGACATCGGGGAGTAAGCGAGAGAACGGGGAACTAACACTGAAAGGGCGAAAACTCAGTATGCAGATAGTGCTCAAGGGTTATAAACTTCTACATTTATCCCAGCTTGTTCATGATTAACATTATTTAACAACTATATCCTGCAATTAAGTTCAATTATTTGTCAGTAGCTCATCGCTATGTATCATCTCCATCCCGTCAATGCCGCTTTTGCTGCAAGGATCGCTAGCTCACCTTCTCCGCACGAGACAGGCAACTGCCAACAAGCTTTTGATAACCTCGAAGAGCTTCAGAAACACAAGCCAGCAGAAGACATTCAAACAGAGACTCTAGAGGTTAGTGGCAAATATGGTCCTACCACTGTTGCCCTGGTCAGATCAAAATCTCTAGTCAACAAGTCCCTACCGATAGTGTTTTATCTTCATGGTGGAGGATATATGATGGGGAGGTAAATATTTCCTCGGATTCTAGGTCATGAACTGGGAGCTGACTTTAGTCTAGTGCAAAGTCTTTTGCTGTCTTGTTAGAAGACTTGGCTCGGCGAACCGGTGCAACTATAGTCTTCCCTGAGTACACAAGAGTACCATATCAAACGTTTCCCTATCAATTTCGCCAGTCATACGAGGTCCTTGAACACATAGTGCAACATGCAAGTCAGCACCAACTTTTGGCTGAAACAATTGCTCTCGCTGGAGACAGCGCCGGAGGTATGCTTTTTATTCTCGTCAAATCGATGTATGGCGTTAACCTTGCAAGGACACTTGGCTATTGGCCTTACTTATCTATCGATCCTGCACAAGCTACCAGCCAGAATCGGCCACCTCCTTCTATGGGCCCCCACCACAACGTACGACACAAAACTCCCCTCACACGAGACGTTCAAGAACGCACCCTTTCTTTCACAGGCCTCGATGAAGTGGATGCATGACTCTTTCATCCCTAACGAAGAGGATCGTAAAACGCCTCTGGCTTCTCCATTGGGTTATATCCCGGACGAATTGCTTGCTCAGTTCCCTCCGACTGTACTCTTCCTATCAACTGTAGACCCGCTTGTGGATGAGGGCGTGGCTTTTGGTAACAGACTTCAGAAGGCTGGGGTTGATGCAGCGATTATCAAGGCGGAGGGTCAGCTGCATTCTTTTTGCCTTATCAAAGAGACCCGAAACGGACCGACCGCACGGGCTGTGATGGATCTAGCTGCGGCGAAGTTGAAGACAACTTTTTCATCGGGCCATTAGGATTTGTAAACACTATATAGCTATTTCTTACTATTTATCTTGGCTTTCGATATATATTTTACGGTTACCAGAAAGATATAACTATCATTACAAGGCATAGGTAAATGCTACGCCACTTGCATAAAAACGGAAGTTAGAGTGTTGTGGCTGTATGATGCAGGACATGGTTAGATGACCCAAGAAAAATAAACGTTATAATTGCGCATCTATATTTCTTCGTTTCTCCACTGGTGCTGGTGCCCTCTTTGGTCTGCACCTCTTGCTGTTTCACCAACGCCACTGAATGAGGAAGAATGTAAGCAGGGCGAACCCCTCTTAGTTCAGCCTTTTAATCAGCCGTGTCATGAGCGCTGCAGTCGTCCGGCATTTGGCGAGCATAGTAGGAGAGGTTTCAGTTCCTGAAACATCGTACTACAGCTCGTACCAACCGAGGATGTTAGAACCGCGGAGATAGCGGAACTGCCAGCCAACCTGCCGGATTAGCGCAGACTAGTCGATTCTGCGCGGGCGCGAAACAAGAAACAACACTAGTTTATCTTCGGAATGTGGGCAGACCATACGATGGCTACAGTAATTAAGTAGCGAGGGGTCACTACGCTCTAATCTAATGGTACTTTGTTGTAGATACCCACGGGGCAGATCCGGAAGATCTACGCCGAGAGATAAGCGCCGTGATCTCCCCGCAACCCCGGACTCAAGATTACGGCCAAATACAGACATCTCTGAGTAGTTCAGCTGGATAACTTTTCTTTATAAAACAACTGAATGCTCTGCTCATGTTTGCCTGTGAGTCAGACACTCTTGTGTAACTTATAACAATGGCCGACCAAAAGACTCAAATATCAAAGAGATCACCTAACGAGCAAATCGACTTTCAAGATGGCTCGTCGCACGAAACGCACCCGGACACGTACAACGTCGCACTCAAGCTTGCAGAAGCCCATGCCGAGGATGAAGTAGACCCTATCGCCGAGAAGAAGTTAGTCAAGAAAATTGATTGGTACTTGATGCCACTGGTACGTCACGCTCCATTTGCCCTGACATACAGCCAATTTGATAAACCTTTAGATGTGTATGACCTACGCTTTGCAATACTATGACAAGGTAATGATAGGCCACGGCGCCATCTTTGGGCTCAGAGAAGATCTGGATATTGTCCAAGGTCTGCGATACTCGAACTGCACTATGATCTTCTTCTGTGGTTTCATCGTCGGCTGCTATCCTGTAAGTTCCTCTTCAATAACACGCAAGTCAACAATGCTCAAGTCTCCGTGCAGCTCTCCATATTGGGCCAGAAATTCCCTACTGCAAAGGTTTGCGCAGCCATTTGCTTTCTCTGGGGTATAGTCGTGCTCTCCACTCCAGCCTGCACTTCCTACTCAGGCTTTATGGCCAATCGCTTCTTCCTAGGCCTCATTGAAGCCGGTGTTTCCCCATTATTCATGCTCGTTACTTCCAAGTGGTATACCAATGAAGAACAAGTCCTCAGAATGGGCTTCTGGTATTCCAGTGGCGGTGCGGTCAACCTCGTCTCGCCGCTGATCAACTACGGACTTGGAAGCATCAAGGGCAGTATCGCTGGTTGGCGTATCCTATACATCTTCGCCGGTGCCCTCACTCTTCTCTGGTCTTTCGTTGTGTATGTCTTTTTCCCCGATTCACCTGTCACGGCAAAACGCCTTACGGAGGCCGAACGAGCATTGGCCATTCTGCGGCTGCGAAAGAATAACACTGGTTTCGAGAACACCCGTTTGAAGCCACGGCAGATCTGGGAGACGCTGATTAGTTATCAGTTCTGGTCCCTGTGCTTGCTCGGAATGCTGTGTAGTACAGCTACAAGTGCTGCCAACACATTTTCAAGCTTGGTCTTCAAAGGCCTAGGCTTCAGCGTGTTTCACACCCTCCTACTCAATATTCCTTTAGGGGCCATCTCCATCTTCACTATTGTTGGATCTGGGTGGCTTGGACGGACGTTGCCCGATATGAGACATCATATTTATACCATCGCATGCCTTCCAGTTATCACAGGTTGCGTTCTATTGTGGCAACTACCTGCTAGTCAAACTGCCGGGCGAATCGTTGGCATCTACCTGGTTTCGTTCTTTGGATCATGTTACGTGCAGGTCATAGCCTTTGGCACCTGTAACTTTGCTGGCTATACTAAGAAGACAATTGTGTCTGCCGGCATTTTTATTGGCTATTGCCTTGGTAATATTATCGGTCCGTTGCTATTTGATGCGTGAGTATCCTAACTGTCTTCTACTCCAGCCTTCCGCTGCTAACATCTGTCATCTAGGAAATTCGCGCCCGGATATAATGAATCATTCATCGGTATTATGGTATGCTATGTTACTGCGATGGCGATTTGTCAGACAACTCGGTTTATGCTGGCGCGGGAAAACAAGAGACGCGATAGGGAGTATGGACCCCCAGGCATTTCTCATGGGCTTGAAGATGTCACCGAGAGGGATAACAAAGACTTCAGATACCAGTTGTAACAGTAGTACTTGGAACAGGAAGCGAGGGAGATGGCAGTACTTACTTAGTATTGGAATTCTATGCGATGATGATCAAGTCGTGTCCATTTCAAGTTAGTCGGTCGTTCCCTTGTTCTTACCGCTTACAGATGCCGATGATGTGAGATTTGGTGTTGTAACCCCGCGCTGGGGGCGGGGGATCGCCAACAAGCTTGGTGCGGAGCTTAGGGCCATTGACGACATATATAATTCTTGACTACTCTCTTTACTTACTACAATTTTAATTAAGTACCCACGTCGATGGCACATTTAACCTTCACTGTACTCTCGCAGACTTCACCCAGCGCCTCACGATCATGGACTCGTCTTCTTCAGATCGACCATTCAACAAGGCAGGATACTCTCCACGTATCCCCCAAATCGTTGCTGACATCCAACAGATCATTATCGTCGGTGCAGGTCCCTCTGGTCTGCTACTGGCTCTTCTTCTTGCCCAGAGAAATATCCCTTCTGTTGTTCTGGAGTCGTGGCCGCATCTTGACACGCGCCTACGAGCAACGCAGTATGGAGTACCAGCCACCCGCGTCTTCCGTCGCGCCGGCATTCTTGAGGATATTCGCAAAGCCAGTATCGCAAAATTTCCGAGTATATGTTGGAGGCGTGTCTCAGATCACGAGAAGCTGATAAGTCTGGACCTATCACTTGTCGAGGATGATCCCGATCGCATGACAATCTTGCCTCTTGGTGAGATCATACAAATCATCTACCGACATTGTCTTGAGAGAGGAGAGGGGCTCATCGACGTCAAGTTCAATCATGAAGTTACAAATGTCGGCCAGGATGGCAATTCTGCCTATGTTGACGTCAACATCAAAGGCGAGGGGGGTTCAGAGAATGCTCGTATCACTGCTGACTACGTCGTGGGATGCGACGGAGCATCTAGTGCTGTCAGACGCTCATTGTTCGGAAGAGAATGGCCTGGACAGACACTACCTTATCGATTTGTTGTTCAAAATGTTTGTTTATCCCTCAAATTAATGTTCCAAGTACTGATGAACAATAGGTCTACTACGATGGCTTCCAAAGGCATAACTGGGACGGTGGAAATTACATGGTCGACAATGATCACTGGGGCCTCATTGCGCGCAGAGGAAAAGGAGGTCTATGGCGCGTCACCTACGGAGACCCAGTCACGGGCTTGACAGACGAAGAGTATCTGGCTCGTCGTCCAGCACACATGAAAGCAATGCTCCCCGGACACCCCGACCCAGACCAGTACCGAATCGAACACACTAACATATACAACATACACAATCGTTGCGTTGAGAGCTTCAAGGTCGGGCGTGTCATTCTAGCCGCTGATGCGGCGCATGTCTGCAACCCTATGGGAGGTTATGGTTGCATGACTGCCGTCTTGGACGTCGGTGGTCTAGCAGATTGCTTCATCGGATACTACCATGGTCTAGCGGACGAAGATATCCTTAACAAGTATGCAGAGGTCCGACGGGATATCTTTGTTAGATATGTTGATCCGCGATCGATCAAGAATCTCAATCGTGTGGCGACATCTGATCCTCACACGGTCTTGGAGACAGACAAGTTTTTTGGCATTCTGAAGGATCTCCAGCAGGACGACAATGACATGAGGGCGTTTTTGTTGGTGAGTCACTAGATCTCACGTTATAAATTAGCCAAAGCGGTGATGCTGACGTATGTACAGAAAGTGTCCAGTATCGAATATGATTTCACGAAGCATTACAAGAGCAATCAGAGCGGGCAAGTTCTATGATCGTCTACAGTACAGTAGTAATTTTAACATGCACATTCATCTGTTGCCAACCGACTGACAAATTTACCGTATTTATCCCTGTTAAACAGAGTTTATGTAGCTACCTGACTTTTAATACAAACCCACAGCCGTCAAAGAGTCACTATGCTATCCCGATACGGCATGCCCCAATCAACCCCCAGTGCAGACTTATCGCAACCTTCAAAATAGTAGGCATTTCAAAAACATTTCTCTCGGTCCAGCTAATAGCATCACCCTCGCAAAAAGTTCACCTGATCCATCTCTACCCCCATGTGCCCAAACCGCTTCATCTACTGCTTTTCGCTCCTCAGATAAACGCGCTTCTCATTCAATGCCTTGAGTCTCTTTTCAGCGAATTCCTTCTGAAGACACAGCGCCTTGGCATCATTCTCAAGCCGAGTTCTCTCACTGTCAAGTCTTTCTCTATACGTGTTAATACGAGAGATAGCCATGTCTACCCCAGCCAGCGTGCTGATCTGTTTTGGATCTTTCAGTTTATCCATATCTTGATCCTCGATAGTGAGAGGATCAAGGACACTCACTCGAGCAGCGACCCTTTGTTCTCCAGATGTGTAGTCTTGTTGAGACTTCACTTTTCCAGTCAAGAGACGTTTCATCCCTTCTTCGGTGCGCATCTCATACTCTACGTCCAGGATATCTCCATGCTCCGTACAGAACTAGGCCAACATTGTATCTGTTGTCGCTACCTCCCTCCTCATAGAGTTAACAGTCCACCGGATGAACTCCAGGTCATGTCTAGAGTACGGCCCAGTCTTCCCGCGTGCCTCATAGATAGCTTGCGCACGCTCTGTGAGAAACGGCACTCTTGCACTTCCGAGATGATTCGACCAGAAAGCCAGGACGTCATACTCTGAGGAAGTTAAGCCAATTGGGTCTCTTAAACCAGACGCGATCTTACGTACGCCTACGCTCATGGCGGTGAAGCTATGGTCACCAACCATGTTCAGGTCGATGTTGGTGAAATACCCGAGATTCTTAACAAAAAGTGCATCGTTAACACCATGCTTCTTGATCAGGGATGTCGCCTCAGGTGAGTGACTAGTTTTGAAAGCCGAAAACATCGTGGACTTCTGTGTGAGATAAGACGTCAGCAAAGAACAAATGACTTACCTAGTTTTCAAAAAAGAGATTTGTCTCGTACAGAAATAATGAAGATAAAGGGAGGAGACAACATTATCTTATAATTGCCAACTCTCCGCCGTGGTTTTCTCCATGTTCATGCGGCAAGGCATATGTTCATACAATCAAGCTCTTATCACTGTCCCTGAACTAGAGGTTTGGGGAACATCTGTTGGGGCAGGACGGAACAGATTGCGGCCTCTGAACAAGGTTGAACAAGTTCTTCTAATGTTATAAGGCCCCCGCTACAGACTGTTTAATACGGTGTACATACCTAGCTCTGTATAGCAATGTACCAAGCTGTTCACAGAGAATGCTTCCCAGTGCTATTTCGATCGTGCGCAAATAATCTTTTTTTCCTTCGATGTTTTCATCAGCAGATTAGCCCAAAGCTTCATACAAAAGACACGCATAAAGATTCTAGCGTTGTAACAGCTGGACGCCTGAATCAGTTTAGCGAAGCAACCAATGAGATAAAAGCATGCGTCCAAACCCTTGACTTGTCAGACTTTGCGGATAAGGCTGGGTCAGTCCACATATACGTGACAGGGGGTCCATGGCCTTGGCGTAAACCCTAAAGACAATAAACGCTTAGCTTTGTGATGCAGGGTCACATCTGTATCGTATGGAGTCGAAGATTGAGTACGGATTTAGTTGAGAATACCGCGTTGAGTGGATATCGTATTCTCGGGCCGCATCCTGTTTTCGGTAGGTAGTTTTTGAGCTTACCACAGCGGAAACTGATGCAGGGTCTCGATGTAACATAGGGCTCGTCAAATCCTTCAATACTACCGAGCCAAGGATGCCGACATTTAATAGTAGTATACAAACTCATAATAGGCAATAGCATCATGCCAGGTCTTGGCCAAGACTGGCCTACGGAGACCACTGTCGGTGACACCGCTGTAAACTCTTCATCAAATGGCCTTCATTATGCGTGCTTACTATGGAGACAATATCTGTTGGCCCCTCTTGCGCATTAAGGGAAGGGCAAACATATAGGGTTCTTTAAGTATAAATATTGATCCATATCTCGCTTTCAGATCATTTATTGCAGCAGCATCTTCCTCATCTTAACTTCCACTACTATTCTCTTCATTCGCCTGCAAGATCACGGTAAGTATCGCAACCGCTCAACTCTCTACCAATTCAGCTCTGACTCCCATGTTTTAGATCACCTTACTCCCCTTCTTTATCAAGCTCATCATCAACATGCGTTTTGACACCACCGCCATTCTCGCCTCCCTAGCCCTGACTGCATCTGCAGACCGCATGGAGGTTTTCACCACCTGCGCCGGCTGGACATGCACAAGTTACGATGCATGGTTCTATACCGACTATGGCACCTACAAAGTCAACGCTGAGAAGGGCTGCAGGGGTACTTCGGTCCCTGCGATGGTTGAGTTCTGCGTGGACTGGGATAACAGACGTGCGCATTTCAGGTTCTCTGGCCAGGGCAAGCGCTGCATGGTGCAAGACTCGGAGAGCGCTTATGGATGTGCGGCTACGTGCTACAAGACGACCTGGAGGGAGATTCCGTGTAACTGGCGCATGGCTTCTGAGGAGGATCCTGCTACTGAGATTGCGTCTTCGGCTTTTGTCACTACGACCAAGACAGCTGGAAACTAAGAGAGGGGTTGTCTGACTTATGGGTTGACGCAGCTGTTGGTGGTGTTGTCGTTTTCCTTCTTGTGTATATAGTATTTACGTAAAGCCAGGACAATTAAATCCCCAGGCTGTTTTGAAATTAGGTGGACTTGGCTCTTATCAGTTTATATACTGACTGATTTGAGAAGACAAATTGTGAGGCATGAGTCGGCTATCATGACTCGCTACAATTAACTTTAGGCAGCCAGATAGGAGGATTTCTCCCTTGACTCGCTTTCGGCCCTATAGCCGGCTAGGAGTAGCGTGTTAGCGGCTCAGCATCCTACGAGTCAGCCTTGTATTTCTCAAGACAGTGCCATTGATGTTGGGCTATAGTGGTAAATCTGCATGTCCCCTAGAATATAATTTGATTTACTTAGTAGTCTCACAGAACGCGATTTTCTTTGGCCAATTGCCAATCCGCTATTTGACAGTCTGTACCGATTTAGCAACCTCGCGTAGAAGGATTCGAATCCTTACCAAACCACGTTGGTGGCTGGCCTAGCGCGCTTCGGGTGACGTACGTATTGAGGCTTATTCATCGGACGGAGACAGACTAGGTAAACTATACGAGAAACACTCCGGCCCCTAAATACAAGGCATCACTATTTTTTCTTCTTTTTCGCTCCTCCTGTTGAGCCACCGCTCGACATCTGCCATCGTTCATGACAATGACCTCGAATTCTTCTTGGGAGAAATGCGCGACCGAATTTGACCCTGATCCAGACATTGCCGGAATTGGTGTAAGTGCCGATGACGCAAGAGGCCAATAAAACACTGACAATGACAGGTCGTCACCGCTTTCATCACTGCTTCATGCTTGGCAATTATTAGCATAAGCTTGTATCTTGCTATAGCGAGCTCTGGACTGAACGTCATTGAGGTCGGAGGTGCGAGACCACCACCTCGTTTTGGCTTTGTGGAATCCGTCAATCCAATTGACGACTGGGTACGACGAAATGTTTCAGATCCTTTTGTCAGGCTCCTTATCAGATCAAGGTGGATCAGAGCGCACATCAATCAGCTGAAGCGCGGTCTCTACTCGTTCGTGATAACACTCGCCGATACACAGCTCGTCACTAGCATGGCAATATTGTGCACTGCCACCATCGAATTACACAGGAAAGAGATATCGGTCTATCATTTTATGACGGCGACTAATCTTGCATGGCTCACAAGTGGTGTACATATACTAACACTCTACGCCATACGCGTTGAGACACATGGGGGATTGGGCAATAAACCTGCTCATTACCAATCAGATGACAGGGCTTTTCAAAAGAAGGCTGCGTTGACTTCAGCCTTGGGCGCAGACATGATATGTCGAATTTCCGCTATGCTTATCCTTGCGGCGTTACTGCTGTACTGCACCTGGGTCACTGGGGCTGGAGATTGGGATAATTATGACGAACGGTTGGCGAGTTGTGCAATCGGGATGAAAAAAGCAGGAAGTCCCCTGTCTTGGATGATTGCGAGTTATGTCCTGCTCATCCAAGGGTATACCATCCAGTGTCTATCACTATGGCCCGCAGTCTCGATATGGTGGACCAACAAGATCAAGGTTTTGGGTTCCGATGGTAGAGTCTTGGGAGCACCAAAGAATGAACAGAAACGCCGCTGGTGGAGGTTGATATTTATGCCGCTGTATTATGCATTCAACTCGGAAGCACTGGGTGTTCTTCTTTTCGATGGGGTGCTGTGGTTTGGTCTGGGAGTTTGGTGGATTCAGGCGGAGAGGATATATGTACTTGGTGCGTGGGAAGGGATGGAGTCTGAGAGCGACATTGAAGGAGTTAGTCAGCTGCTGTGCCTCCTGTTACTGGTGGTACCGTTTCTCCAGGCCATGCGCACATATCACGGTGAGTCGCCGCTAAACCCACAAGGGAATCGCTCTGGAACACTGGCTGACGTGTGCGTTGTTCTTTAGAGTGTTCCAGAACATACCCTCCAGAGCTTGGCTTGTTCCGAGGTCAAGGTGCGTATAATAGTGGACAAACATCTCAGGAGGTATTGGCTCGAGGAAACGACATGGACAGCGATGGCACAGAAACTCCGATTCGCTTGGGATCCGTCACTCGTACAGCATATCCAGTATAGGCCAAGACTCTATCCAAAGACTTAGCTTCAGTATCAGACAGGGATACAAAAGCTTGTGCAATAGCGTAAGAGTCGATTGCGGGGTGGAGTCTAGAGAACCTGGTCGAGTTACGCAGACTCTACTGTGGTTGGTCAATCCCAAGCTAAGCTCGTAAACAATACGGCAGAGACCATACATACTCATTCTCTCCGTCGGTCAAGCTTCACTTTAAGACCTTCTCGTTGCGTCAAATAATGAGTCTGCCTTGCGCTGACCTGCCTACATGAGTCTCAAGCAGTATGTGACACGTGTACACTGGTAGGGACCCGCGGAGAAGGAAGCCAACAAAGGCAAAGCCTCCAAGGTAGGATGAACAGTATCATGGCACAGTCGGTGGTATACGTCAGCTCTCACAGATCTTTTCTCATGGACCTGAATCCACGAGAATATGTCCAGCTTCATGATACGCTTGCAGCGTTTAGACAGAGACATGATACCGAGAGACGTCGCGTCGTCGCTGATGCTTCTCCGGTAAAGACTGAGAGTCTGGGCAAAGCCAGGGCATGTCTTTGCAGACTTTCACACCTAACAAGAGTGTCTTGTTGACTAATCTGCATTCTGCTTCTCTAACGTTCCGACTTTAGCATTAAGCATAGATCCCAAGGTCTCGGAGTATTGTTTTGAGTGATGATTGTGCCTCGCATACCCGTTGACTACATTAAGCTTGAATATTGAGTATCCATACAAATCTAATCATGAAGCTGTATCTCGAACCTTTTACTCGTTCCCCAAGACCATACTACCCTGAAGCTATCCAACTCTCCTCTTAGCACACCGCTGTGACACTGCTCTGACATCATGTTCCTGCATGTCACCAGGGATGAACTAAATTAGCCCATCAGCCGTTTTCCGGGGCAGCACCAATCAAGCAAGCCACGTCGTTCAGACCAACGATCGCTCGGTACTAAATTGCCGAAACATTGTAACATCAGCACCAATAAGTCGTTGCACACGATCAAACAATTGGATCTCAGCCATCGTTAGTGGTGTTCTAGACCTCGGCAATTTCCATAAACTGCATCCCTAACTCTAAACTCGCCCTGGATAATACGGCATCACCAACGAGCTAACGGTGATCCGCGGGGCGGAGGGCTAGTCAGCCCTTTCATCGCCGCGTCATCCTCTAATGTTATGGCATGACTGAACAATGGAGGTCTCGTATTTCCCTGCGCGCCACAGCTATTGGATCCTCACGTCGTTCGGCCCGCGTTGAGGCTTGTAAGCGATCGGATTAGTACTAGCCTGGCTGACTGCGGCACCGAAATGCCGGTTTACGCATTAGCCAATAATGAACATCGTATAACACAATTACAGGTCTGCGACAGTAAACACCATGGACGTTTCGAGTACAAAAGGGCTGAGATGGCAGCCTCATTCCGGAGAGCTTAAACCATCACATCTCATTCACTCTTTACTCACTCAACTACAATCTTTCAAACTTACAACTTTTTTAAGTTAATACTTTAATCCTTCACCATGAAGCTGAACTTCCTCCTCGCTGCTGCTCTGGCCACCTGCGCCATGGCCGCTTCCACCACTGAGACCACCACCAAGTATGTCCTCCTCACTTCAACAGTATGAATCTCACTGACAGAAACAGGACTGAGCATCACTCTACCAAGACCGAGACCTCCAAGGCCAGCGCCACCTCATCTCACTCCACCTCCAAGTCCAAGGGTGCTGCTGCCCCTACCATGGGTGCCGATATCCTCGGAATGGCTGGCATTGCTGGTATTGCCGTTGCCATGGCCATCTAGACGCGCATTCCCTTCTGTACACTTCGACGGTTCATAGTCTATTGTGGGGTTTGGATCACTGTATTTGCATTCCTAGATTAGCATCGATTGGAGCGAGCCTTACCTTGTCACTCTATGAGTTGAGCTTGGTACTTAATTGACGTATATCACCAATATCTTGTAAATCATCCGTGAAGAACTCATCTGCTGCGATACGCACTTGGCTATCTAAGCCTACTATCATAACCAGGTGTCCAGTGAGCCAATATCTCAGAACTGATGACGCATGATTCGATGTTGTATTCAGAAGTATCCTTCTCCATATGTTTCATCATTAACATAATGTAAAGGTCTAAATATATTCACGTACTACATCTACAAAACTTGGTGCAAAGAGGCTTTTTTGCCGTTGAAACCTGGTCTCAGGGAAGGGAGCTATTGTTCGCATTCCATAAGGCCAGTAGTTATCTGTCATTGCTCGGGTTTTGCACTGCAATAACTGCGCATGTGCCTCTCGCCGACCCCTGAAAGTGTACTAAAAATAGCTACGCGGCGGATGCACCGGCCCCATCCAGCCTCAAGAGCAATTTCACATTCCTAGCGACGACTTCACTCCGGGATAGATAGTGTACCGGACTATGAAGTTGAGCGTCATACAAATCAACTAATCACCGATATTTATTGCGTCTCTGTCCTGTTAAGTATCACGGTCTTCAATGCTAAGCCTTTCACGCCTTGACTATGGCGGAAGTCTGATATGTACTACTCGAGCTAACTAAACAACCCACTTCCTCAATCTTCTGGCAGCGCCTACCAACTTGAAATTGTAATTGAAATTGTAATGGATGGCCTTCATGACGATCCTTACCTATGGCAACTATAGACAAATTGAAGTAATGCAAAATAGGAAATTATCCATGACCTTCAGCCTCTCCCTAATCTCCAACCCGCCCTTCCGAGTCTTGTTCGGCACATTTGATCCGAACCCACTCCAGACTCCATCTCCCTACAGACAAACCTCGCTTACAGATAGCGAGTCATTCTATACATTCTCATTCAGCGGCCAGACGGGTTCTTTCGGTGCCCGAAATACTGGCCATTTACGGAGTAGGGACTTGGTGCTCGAGATCCCAACATCCACCAAACTCCGTTTAAAGGACAAAACAGATGTAAGAATACATACATGTTACTCTCAAGCTCACATGCATAGTTGTTAATAATGCCGAGATATTTTCAGGAAGCTTTCCTTCAAATTCTATATTCTCCTAACTATAGATTTCTCTGATGCGCCCAATATATGAAGAATCAAAGCAAATACTTATATCGTCCTCACACGTCCTCCGGGACTTAAGATGGCTACCTATTAGTTTATCGCCTTTTGAAACACAGTATTCATAACGTTGTAGATACAATAATTCAGTAACTTTATCTCCTTAACATACATAGTAGCCACATCATTCGTGGCTTGTTCCTCACTGTTGGCTCTAGTAACGCTTCTGCATTACGCTCTCCATGCTGAGTCAAGCTATAGGTTATCTCTCTCGCGAACTCCGATGCCCAAGCTCGGTAGCAGGTCGCTAAAGCTACTCGGTCTTCCTTCTCCAGCTGGCCATTTATCCCCATCTCACTACGAGAGCGGAGGCTAAAGCTACGCTCATTCCTTGTGACCTTTCTCCTAGTTACCCTGCACTGTCACAGATAATTGATTGCTACTAGAGACTTCTTAGATACTAAGACTTTCAGCGACCTGAATCCCCAGCGAGTCCATGTGCTTCAGACCTATATGCTTTTTGCTCTGCACAACCTGTTACCTCCGAGAGCTTTAGAAAAAGCTCAGATTTCACCTACGGTTTAAGAGAGGATACGTGGACAAGTAACACTTTAGAGTGTCGATATTTTTATTTTGCTTCCAGCGAACCAGCTGAGTTAGATAAGAGACGTCCCATCCAACTTGGTACCATGTCCAAATTCTCCTTCAAGATTAGACAATCCTACATAGAACTCGAAACAAGTTAAGCAAAGCTGATAACCAGCCAATTCTTTTTGCAAGTATCTTGAGAGAAATCCACTTCCGATAACAGACTACCTACTACATGTTCCAATTAGTCCATATGCTCTGCCAAGCTATTAAAACTCTTACATTGACGTAAGTTCTGCGAGATGTCAGAACCTTCAAAACTTCAAGAACCAATCAGCAAATGGCCACAAGGTTACAACACATGCCAGTGTTCGTTTTGATCTCAGATACGAGATAAACATGGGTAACAGAAAAAGTCTCGGGATATACAACTCAACAAATACAGAGCATAGCCCCAGTTACTCGAAAGTTCAGTCCTTCAAAAGCCTAAAGTGACTCCCATGTCAAGCTGAAATATAGTCAATAGCGCGACGGATAGCTTATCGTCCGAGCATTAGTCCAACCTCTCCACTGCCGGCATGGAATAGACCTTGTCAAAGCGCGATCGGGCGGTACAGTGAGACCTGCAGAAGATTTGGAGCAGCCAAGACGCGATGGATCGATCTCGATATCCATCGTTGAGGCACTTTTCTAGCCAATGAGGGTCTGAAATGGCGCGACACAGAACTGCACCTGTTTCCATCTATCACAGCTTATTGTATCTTCCCCCACATGCCGGTAGTTACCCTTGATGTAACGTAACGCAACGCAACTCTGGTGGACCCTGTTTCATAACCATGTACCCGGTTTTGCATTTGGTCATGAGGTCAAACCAAGTAAAACCCCGGTAGTTTGGGGAAAGCCGAATAGTCTGAGAGCCTGCTTTACTAATGCAAGATAAACTTTGACGCTCTCGCAGTATTTCTATACACTGCTAGTCCACCTGAAGAACTGGGGACCTGTCAAAGTAAATGACAGAAGTACGCGTATTGTTAGTCGGAGTTAGTTTAACCGCGTTATGGTTATCTTGGGTAAAGGTTCAAGCTAGAGAATCTGCTGTCATGCGGCTCATCTTATCAGCTTATCTCGGTGCGACAACTCAAACGACGGGCAACAACCCCAGCTTAGCGGTGCAGATAACGAACCGGCGTTGTTCTTGGCTGCAGCAGACCCCAGCAAGTTCGTGATCGTCACAAAAGCGGTAATTCTCGGCGCTGCAGAGGCTTCTAAAGTAATAGTGTCAGTGGCGGTATGATTTAGACCGACGGGTAAGCCATCGAACCACTCTTTTCTAGACCTCGTGGCCCAGCCGAAAGACTATCTCATCGCTTCACCTTTAACCTTGGCCCTACAGCCCTCATTGGACATATAAGTTACAGAATCAATAACACCAAACTCTATTCTTCAGCCCCTGAGCCAGCAGCGGAGAGTCCGACGTCGGATGGCGCGCCCTACGATTTATCAACAGGGGAGCTAAAACAAGCCACCAATCAAGTCCGCCCAACACCCCTGGAAGAGCTTCCTGTTTCATCTAGACACTTTCTGCCGATCTCTTTAGCGCAGAGTGTAACGCACACCCAACAGCAATAATTCTGTCATGAGCGTGGGAGAATGCGGAAGGTGATACTCGTGATGTGACGTTTTGGCGCAGTTTCATCGACTCTGACATTCCAAGCTTGGTCTAGTATTTGCTCAGGCCCCCCCTTTCATGTGCTTTATAACAATGCGATGCAAAAACTCTTCAGCTGAAAGATGTCTCGCATTCAGGGGAAAAAAGCAAATGTATTACTTTCTTCATCAACGACATCAGCCATAATGGCCACTATTCCGGCCAATCTATCGATTTCGATTCCTACATTGACTGGATCGGTGCTATCATGTGTCGCGAGCTTTTTCGCGCTGTGTCTTCATGTTATTGTTCCTCCGCCGCGACGACATTTTCGCCATGCGTTGATTGTGAACCTCCTCGTTGCAGGTAGGTCAATCAACTCCATCGGACGCGTTCGTTTGCCTAACTCGAAACGAAGACTTCATCAACAGTCTCAATAATACAGTATCCGGTATCCTCGCCATCAAGGATGGCTACGCGGATCCGAAAGCGTCCCCGAGTACTGGTTGCGTCGCCAATGCTTGGGTTGGTCAATTCTCGGTACAAGCAATCGACTTCAATATTCTTATCATCTCGGTTTCGGTACTGCTAGCGGTTCAGCGACAACAGATTCTTGACGATTCTTCGAGACTGATGACTGCTATTGTCTGTTTCGTACCTTGGATTCCCGGCACAATCACCAGTAGGTTTACAGAAACTAATAAACTAACGATCATGCTGAATTACCCTCAGGCTTCGTCGGGCTCGGCCTCCATGTCTATGGCCCGGTGAGCGGTAACTGGTGCTGGATCCAGACCCAACATCTAGGTCTACGCTACGGTCTCACTCACGCTTGGCGCATCGCCATCTTCCTCGCAACAGTGGCTATCTACACTTACATATACATCAAGCTCCGCCGACTTTTCAGTTTTGTCAAATACGGTCTCTCTTCCTCTACCACGAAAGGATACACCACGAATGCACAGTCGAGAATCGATCGAGAAAACGCCGAGCAGTCAGATACCCAACGGATATGGGTCACTACCACTGTAGAGGCTTCGTATGAACTTGAGTCACAGGGCATAGCAAAGGGAGACCAGAGCCACAGCGAAGGAGAGGGTACATCACCTGGTGGAAAGGTCCAGTGGTCAGCTTCTGCCAGGCCTGACCCAGAACCGGCGACTACTGAAGATCATGGAACGAACAATACGCAAAATGTCTCGACTGGTAACGGACCGAACCATCGCGTACCTAAGTCTCCGAACCTGAGGAGAATGCTGCTGTTGAACGGGTATCCGATTGCATATATCATTTTGTGGTTACCCGGCATGGCAAATCGCTTGGCTGAGTCAGTTGGCACATCGCCAAAGTGGCTCACTGCCCTTCAAGCTTCAACGCAGTTCATTGGGCTCGTCAATGCTTTGACGTACGGCTTGACGGAACAGATGCAGCGCGCGGTTCAGATGTGGATGAAGAGACGCAGCTTCAGAACGCTTGATCCATGAGCTATCGGCCTTTCGGTTCATAGACATGGGCCGATGTGGACGCAAGTTGGAATTGATGAGATTTGGTTTGGTTTCTCTATACCTTGGTTTTAATGTTTTATAGATAAGAGGGCTTAGTGATACCAGTGGATAGCAAAGTATATAATGACTACCCACAAGCTCATTGAGAGACTTCGGTCTAGTTCTTGTCCTAACTGAAATGAGCGACTAGTACTGTGTACAGCAGTTGACTTAATGTTATCCTTCAAAACGAGTGTCATAGAAGTGAAATCCTCCAACTAGATCTTCCCCCATCTCAATCTCCATTTCCTCCTGTTCGGTGTCCTAAACATAAATCCCCCACCATTTAACAATTACCAGGATCAGCACTACAAAACACATTAGCACAACTCTCCCTATCCCTCCACATCATACAAACTCACCGGAAGCGCCACTTAGAAACAGTACTCTCCCCACCACGATCACACCCATAAATCTCATTCTTAAGACGCGTATAACAATCATCATTACCAAGATCAAGCGTCTGATCCCATTGGTTCTGCACCTCAAAGAGAAGGCCAACCTGGCCACTTCGGGGACACATGGACTTGGTCTGTCCGGGCCGGAATTGCCCAGAGAACATGCCCTGAGAACCGTAGCAGGCGTCCCAGACGAACTGGGCTGCTTGGTCTTTGTTGGGCCAAGGGTCGCCGCCGGAGTAGCAGCCTGCGTTGACGGCTTGGGTGTTGAAGGCGAGGATGCTGCCGAGGGCGGTGAGGATGGTGGAGGTCTTCATTTTGAGTGAGGTGGTTTGGTGTTGGGGTTGTTGTTAGGTTGATAGAGAGATGGTGATGAAGGACTTTTTGAACAGGGCGACGTGACCTTTTTATCTTCACTCAAGTCCCTTTTCAACTCATTTTGAGCTTCATTCTCTCGGCGATTCCCTGGAAGGGCTCTCATCTCGCCCCGAGAACAAAGTTCATTCCTTCTCATGCAGCTTCATGGATACTATCACCCGGAGAAAGACTTCCTCAACTCTTCGCAGACTCTGTCGATCATCATCAAGTGTCTGGGGTGTATATATCGTGCCTAGCTGGGCTATGATAGGGCTGAGGCTCAGCCCCCGCGACAGTTACCCTTGTCTACATGTCAGATAATGTCAGAAAGTCTCTTAGGCGGGTCTTAAGACTTGCCATTGTCGAATCAGCAGGCCGTGATGCAGAAGTTACAAGCCTTGAGACCAAGCGGCGAGTCCCTTTGTCAATACTGCACAGACCATGAAGTCACCGTGCCGTTGAGCTGACAGTGGTAAGTGCTCAGCCCAACGATTAGTAAACGAGTAGACTTTGAAGAAGGATCATTATTACATAACTCCACAAATTTGCGAGGCTGTGGCACCCGTATGTTCGTCTCGTAAACGCAGTCATACGAGCATGTTCTCAATTTGATCGCTCTGAAGCACCAAACTGTTATGGGCGAATAATGTTGCGAAGTAGGTATATCCTAAAGTTCCAGCTGGGCACTATGCCAAAGCTACTGGGTGTGATCTACGGCCGGCAGTTGCACCAGCGGAAGTGTACCGAACAAGCCGACATGTCCTGAGTAATGTTTTCCGCTGAGTCCTACGCCCTGTGGTGAACCCCTGCATCACAGGCCATCTTCAATGATGACCAGGAGGCAATGCCAGTATTCATCCCGAATGCAGTAATATTCCGGTCTTTTGCGTCTATCCTTCGCAACTTATTCCATTCGTGGTCCTATTCTAAACAAAATAGGAAGTTATATGCAACAGACTGGGCTCATACAGTCCTGCTGACATCAGATTCTCCCCTGCGTGTACGAGCGGTGTTCTTTAGTAAATGAAGGAATATGCAGTCGCATTCGGGGTTTGCCAAGATGTCCTTTGTAAATCATCATGCTGTATATGCCGCGCCTTTTACGCCAGATAGCTTTAAAATGATTGGTTGGTTCTCTTGGTCTCCATATACTGACCCTGTTGAATTTCCCTGTGTGATTGGCCTGTTCGTTTAAACCTCTGTCCTATTGGCTTGCTGCCTCAATGCGGCTTACGCTCACTTATTCAGATCCCTGTAGGACTCAGTCCTGTATTCAGGGTCACACTCAGATATCTGTGACATTGTCGTTGAAATTTGTCTTGGTCTAAGAGTCTTGAACATATCAATTCTAGAAGCCCAACTTACTAGCCCATGCAGGGTGAACTCATTGTCAAAAGGTACGGTCTCATATTGCCTTCCCTTTGAGCGTTGCTCAACTCAAACCCTGACCTCCCCTAGCTGCCGCACTCATCTATCTTGAAAGCATCAAGTCCCCTCCGAACTCCCGTCTTCACTCCCACTGACATAATCATACGCACTCCGCCACAGAACCTTCCCCTCCTTCGGATCCATAATGACAGCATAATGCGTCTCCTCATTCCGAATCATATCATTCTGCAAAAACTTCACAACATCCTCCCTCGTCACAACATCATTCCGCAGCTTGTACCGTCTTCTACAAGCCCGAACACACTTCCCCCATAGCTTATCCAAATCGTGCTTTCGTTCAAGTGAATAGGCTACCAGGTCTGCCATGCCCGTTGCATCTACGCCTGCTGCGAGCTCTGCTGCGGCTTGTTGGAGAAGTTCGGGGTTGTCTTCGTCTTTGACGTCGTGGTTGTAGGCGGTGAGGAATGTGTCGGATTCGCGGATCGATGCGCTGTGGTTGTCTTTCTCGAGGATTAAGACACGGTCTGGTTGGCAGAGAATGAGGTATGCGGCGGTCGAACTGGATGTCGAGAGTTTCGAGAAGACTTGTTGGATATATTGGTCCTGCAGATCAGGTCTGGTGTTGTCCGTCTCGTGCGCTTCGTCGGACTGTTTCTCCGGTATCGTAGAGTCGCCTAGTAGAATCTCTCTCAGACTGCTTGAGATGGACTGTCGTTGCCCAAGAACGACCATTGCCTGGTTGTATCTGTAAGACAGTCGTTGCCGAAGAGTATCCCTGGCATGGTGCGGTCTGAAGTTCAAACTCAAACTCATGCCCTTTCGCACACCTGTCAAGACCCCAATGTACCCAAGATACCCAACCGTAGTCGCAATGACCGGACCTCCGGGCGTACGAACGAAATCGAGCTCGACGATAATATTCCTCAATTGATTCATGTCCCAGTCGAGAGTCCGAAAATGAAGCATCCGCGTCGCTTTCCCACCAGAATCTGGATCAAGTGTTCGTACCCCGCCGCTCGTGCATCCCAGCAAAAGGTCCAAGAGGACATTGAAGGCAACGAGGATATGCATGGGAATGCCGATCGCTCTCGAGATACCGACCAATTCTGCATTTTCCTCGTCTGAATGAACGCGTCGCATGAGCATCGGCGATATCGCAGCCAATATTTTGCCTGCGGATTTTCCGACAAGTTCATCGAGGAGGGCGTAGAACAGGGACGGTAAATCGCACGAGTCGACGGCGGTCTTGAAGTGCGGGACGATATGGTCGTAGCGGGTCTCGGGAGGGAGAGACAGATCGACAGTGAATTTGGGGATTTCGCGATGTTCCGACATTTCGAAATGAGATGATGATGTAAAGTTGAGATTGTGCCAGGAGCTGGAGAAGGAGAGAATAAATGGTGAGAGTTAAGTTTCATGGGCAACTCCAATTGAGGCGTGGATGCCTAGAGTTGTCATCGCAGTTGGCGCACATGACGTAAGCTATCGTAAACGCGAGGCTTAACAAACGAGGCACTGCAATTTTTAAAATACAGTTTGTGCCCGAATATCGCAACAAAAAGCTTCTGTAGTTTTGACTTTTGGAGGAGGAAACACAATCAAGGTTTGGATGGTGTTGATTCATTGACTCTGCTCCACGTGTTATTCCCGAGCTGTTGGGTCATTGCTCTCTCGTTATTTCCAGAATCTGGACCCGTGACATATCTATTTATAGCTTGTCTGCCCAAAAGCCCGCTTGGATTTTGGTGGGACATGGGGCTTTGTTGATCCAATCAAAGAAGGGTCTGAGTTCTAGTGGGGTCAACTCTCTTCTCGTGAAAGGCATGGCCCGATTTACCTAACCTAGAGCTCGATAATATTTCGACTTTAGGTACTTTATTTCAGAGACGATAAAATGTTATAGTGAGGTGCAATACTCTGGCTACTCTCTAAGACTCTGCAAAATTATATTCTACCTACCTGGATCATGTAGGTATCCTAGATTGCTGGTGCTATCATTGTCCGCAGTTTTCAGTAAAAGTTATCACCTGCTACTCCGGATCTAGATTGGAAATTTCGTTTCATTGCCTGAAATCTGGGTCCATCAACGCATCCATCGTAGGGTATTCATTAGCAATTCCACACTTGGAAATCGCCCAATTACACAAACTCCTCTGTAATACAGAGTATCAGCCCCAAGCTGGTATTTCGCGCTGTCACGCCAACAAATCATCCCAAGGAGTACAAGGCAGCAGTTGCTCAGTGCGTAGTGAAACGTTACTTCAAAAAAACGTGACGCGAGAATTTACTCCGTACCTGAATCATTTAACTTCAAGCATAATACTTAAATAAATCTCCGCAAGTCCCATGCCATCCAGCATCTTTGCCGAAGTCAGGTGATGCTGATAGCTGTTGTCCCGAGCTGATGGACGCCAAGACTGGTTATGCCGGCCTCACTGCCGCAGATTTCGTCTGTGCTGATGTTTTCATTTGCAATTTTTGTGCAAGTCAGGTGCTATTTATCCGTATCTCTCAGATAATCACGAAATGTCGCATATATCATCAAAGGCCTAATAGTGTAGCATGCAAACAAGCGGTGCACAACAGGCAGCAGCAGCAAACCACGGTCTTTTCTCTCATGTTACTGAATCACCCCAACTTTTTCCCATCCCACAACCCCATCTCTCCTATCATGGGGAAGTCCGGCGGTGTCCCCACGCATGATTCTCCACATTAAACACACACATCCCACGGAGAATAAACTTCCCCTGACCATGCTCACCGGTCCGGCGCTCTTCGGCCCCAAACCCCTGGATTCGGCCCTTTGGTTATATCCGGGGAGCCTCACCTTGACGGTTAAAAGTGAAGGTTGTTCCATTTAGCCTTGTTCCCCGATAGGATCGCTGAGCAAAATTGGAGATTTGGGTATCGCGTTGTCGTCGTTTCGAAAAATCTCATGGGACTTGTAGTTTGGACTCCTTTTTGGAGGATCCGCCGAAGATGGGAGGAATAAATAGAGGATAGGGACCGTCGTGAAGGAGAGAAGCAGATCAATGAGCTTTAGGTTTACAAGACATTGACTAGCAATATGCTTGGAAATAAGTATGTCATTCTCCATCTCCAGGTATATCGGAAGTTGAGATGAAGCTGACAAGTTTAGATCTTTTACTGTCAACGGGGCAGCCTGCGGAGCTGAGGCTCTAGTCTTGGCCCTCATCACCTCTCTCGGAGGCTTTCTGTTTGGTTACGATACAGGTGAGCGACACCTCAACCTCTTGGAGTTATTGAATCTGACGTGAAACAGGTCAAATCTCGGCTATGCTTTTATTCAGAGACTACGTCGATCGTTTCGCTCAGACAGACGATCACGGCACTAAATACTGGGTCCCCGCCATTCAAGGTATCCTCGTGTCGCTTATGAGCATCGGATGTCTCATTGGAGCCTTGTCAGGATCCTAGTAAGTCTCTATCTCAATTAGCAACATTGCCTATTAACGTCGACTCAGCACTGCAGATTGGTACGGCAGGAGATGGAGTCTCACCATCTTCGTCGTCATCTTCCTCCTCGGCAACGTCATTCAAATCACTGCCATGTACTCATGGGTTCACATGATGATAGGCCGTCTCATCGCCGGTCTCGGTGTCGGCGCCCTGTCTATCGGCGTCCCAATGTTCCAAAGTGAGTGTGCACCGCGAGAAATCCGTGGCGCTGTCGTGTCGTCATATCAACTTATGATCTGCTTCGGCATTCTCATCTCAAACATCGTCAACTATGGCGTACGCGAGATTGAAGATAGCGATGCATCGTGGCGAATCGTCATCGCGATTGAGATGGCCTTCTCAATTCCTCTTGGCCTTGGGGTCTTGGCTTGTCCGGAGTCACCGAGATGGCTTGCCATGAGAGAGGATTGGGATGGTGTAAGGACATCACTTGCGAGATTGAGGGGGATGATGAGTGATGTGAAGAACCCGGTTGTTGAGGACAATATTCAAGAGATGAGGATTCTGCTTGAGGAGGAACGAAAGGTTGGGCAGGGAAGTTGGTTGGAATGTTTTGGTGTGCGCAATAAGGGACCGAAGGTGCTGTACCGAACACTCCTGGGTATGGCTGTTCAGTTTTTCCAGCAATGGACTGGCGCAAACTATTTCTTTGTTAGTTGGCCACTGCCACTGAGCAACAAAGACTAACATGACATCAGTACTACGGAGCCACCATCTTTGAGTCGGCTGGCATTGACGACCCTATCCTCGTCCAACTAATCCTCGGCGCAATCAACGTCGGAATGACCTTCTTCGGTATCTACTCCGCAGAAAAGTTCGGTCGTCGCTGGCCCCTCATCATCGGCGGTTTGTGGCAGACAGCTTGGCTTCTCATCTTTGCTTCTGTCGGAACAGCCATTAACCCCGAGGGCAGCAGTACCAGCGGCATCGTCATGATTATTTCCGCTTGCATGTTCATCGCCTCTTTTGCTGTCAGTTGGGGTCCACTCGGCTGGGTCGTTGTTGGCGAAGTTTTTCCTTTGCGCACTCGTGCCAAACAAGCTGCGCTGGCCACGGCAAGCAACTGGCTTGCAAATTGTAAGTGCCTCTTCATAAACCTAGTGTGTCAATACTAACATGCATCAGTTCTAATCAGCTTCCTCACTCCATTCGCCGACGCTGGTATCTCCTACGCCTTTGGCTACGTTTTCGCTGGCATGAATCTGATTGGCACTGTCATCGTATACTTCTTTCTATACGAGTCAAAGACTCTTAGTCTTGAGCATATCGACAGGATGTACTGCCTGCCTGACCTTAAAGCATGGGAGAGCGCGAAGTGGAAACCGCCTGGGTATGTCACCCGTGAGAAGAAGGATGAGTCTTACTTTGAGGAGATGGCTGCTGGGAAGGATACAGAGAAGGTCGTTGTCCATAGCGACAGTGGGGTTGAGTGAGATGGAATGTGGGTGAGAGACGTTTTTAGTGAAGGAATTGTGGAATAAAATAAGTGTACAGTAAATAGATGGATACTAGAAGTGTGTCTGCTTATGGAAGAACTTTTCTAGCGTCTCCAATGCAGCGTCCAATAGCCTTGGCTGGCCGAGTGGAAGTCTAATGTACCCTTTCAAACCATTCACTCCTGGTTCACCGAAACAATGTCCTCCGGGTAGAACGACGATGCCTTCTTGCTCTGCTAACTTTTTGCTGAACGCGACGTCATCCGCCGCTGATCCGTCCTCATTCAAGATTTGAACAAACGCCGTCGCTGCCCCATCCGGCTTCGCCCATCGGCATCGCGAGGCATTGCGCTTAATGAACTCGTCGAGTATGACTATGCTTTCGGCGCAGGTCTTCATATTTCGCTCCATTAACCGGGGTAGTACCTCCTCGCTCAACGCAAATGCAGCAACAGTATCATCGAGTTGCGACACGCTGGTAGTCGTATAGTCTCGGAGCGTTGTAATGCGCTGCAAGATTTCTGCATTTTGCGATACTACCCAGCCTACTCTAAGCCCAGGTAGGCCGTGGGCTTTAGAGACGGAACCCGTTGAGATGGCATGGCTATAGCCTAAAGAGATTAGAGGCGGCGGCCGGTTGCTTGTGTGAAATAGAGGGCTGTAAACTTCATCAGAGAAGACTACAATGCCACGCTCTCGGGCGAGGGCCAAGATCTCCTCCAGTTTATCCTTAGAAATGACAGCCCCGGTAGGATTATTTGGGTTGCTGTTGTCTTGTCAGTTCCACCCTGGTATACAATATGGATATAAAGAGACCTCACTTGATAATAATAGCCTTCGTATTAGGCTTAATCATACTAGCAAGCTCTGCCACATTAGAGGACCAATTATCATTCTCATTCGTAGCCCACAGGCTAACATCAACTCCATTGTACCTTGGCAAAAGATATAGCTGCCCATATGTGGGGTACTGGCAGACTATATGGTCATTAGGGCCACAAATTGCAGCCAAAACGAGATAGTTTGCCATAATGGCACCCGGTGTGATAACCACATTAGCAGCTGTTAATGGGGCTTCGGGCGAGGAGTGCATCTTGGCAATTCGCTCTCGAAGGCGCAAAGAACCCTGCAGCGTGCCGTAGGTAAGCTTCAGGTTTGGATCCAGAGTTGCATGGCTAGCATCTGGAGCCAGTTCCTGCAACTCGTTCAGTGAGAGTGCAGAGACGAATGAGTCTAAAAGTCCGTATACGCGTCAGTATTACACAGGTACTGTATTCTCTTTGCAGTCTTACCATAGAGGCAAACTTTCGCTCCTGGCTATATAAGTATACACATTAGTCTCAGATATATAGAGGGTGGTCTTGTATATGAAGGGCTGACGAACCCCATACTTCTCCACTAAGAACCGGAAGGAAAGTTAGTTAGCTGTCGGTAAAAAGCCACTTCAAGTTAGAATTACTGACTCCAACGATCGATCTTAAACGGCTCGGCTCTCTGCATTGTGATCTCAACCTGGATTTGACTGTGAAGTGCTTAAGATCTTAAGAAAGACAATCTTGTCATGCTGGAAGACTGCTGGGGCGCAGGAAGGTATATATACCTTTATTAGGGCGGGGCAGTGTGACTAACATAGTGATTTCTCAAATGCATTATCCTTGATGCGGTTGAAGGTTGTGATTCTGTAGCTTCTAGGCCAAGTGAGCTATGCATGTAGTGAAGTGCTCGGTACGCTAGCCTCTCCTGGCATGGCCACTTTTGGCAATGTTCCAAGGCAACACCATCAAATCATCCTTTCGCTCGATTTTTCTCCATTACTCACAAGCCTTACCCCATCACAAAGCAGAGCTGACTACACATCGTGTCGGCTGTAGCATCCGGGTGCCACCGGAGGTTGTATGAGAAACTGTGACAAACTGACCCCGGCTAGACACAAGTATGCCGAATCCAGGTGGGATCTACTTGGGCTGCGAAAGATGCCGTTGTCGCAGAATCAAGGTCTGTAAATCTTGTTTGCCACCGCATAATTATTGCTTTTCAATGCTGAAAGATCAAAGTGCGATAGGGCGAAGCCGCAGTGCCAAAGATGTGTCAAGTATGGCATGACTTGTCCTGGCTACCCGCAACCGCAGGATGTTCGGTTTCGCCATGAGACTAGCAAGGTGACAGCAAAGGCGTGAGTGCCCCATCGTTTACTGATACAAGATGGATGAGGGATTAATAGGATGTAGAGTACACTTTGCCGCAATTGATCAACGTCTCCCTCGCGGCCTTCAGCTTGTCCCGTCGCTTCCGGAGGAAAAGAATCTCGACTGCAACAGAAGCGCCAACAAAAACCTGGACTTACAATTAGCACCATCTGTTGCCCAGTCTTGGGATACGGCCTTGACCCAGTTCTTCTTCGATCAAATCTTGATGCCCGTGGGTTGGTACTCGCACTTACCGCAGCTTCACTACCAAGCACCGCCCGATAGTTGCATAAGAGTCACCATCTCCGCAGCTTCGTTTTTTGTGGCCGCCAACCAGTTCCACGATACCGGAATGTTGCAGAAGGCTAGGCGCACGTACGGAGCTGCACTGCAGGCTATCAACGGCTCAATAGCTCACCCCGAGAAATGCCTGGAAGACGAGACGCTTGCCTGTGTTTTATTGCTGCACGTCCTGGATCATCTAGCCGGGCATAGCAGTGTCCCGAGCATGTCGCATTTGAATGCATGTGCGCAGCTAGTAAAAATGCGCGAGGCGAAGGGGTTCCGGACACGACGCACGCATGACTTGGCGCATTCTGTTGTCATTCAGGCACAGCCGTGGCTCATGCAGGGGCTTACTGTGGATGAAGGCACTCTTGGAGATGAGGCTATTCACAAGTGGTTATGGATGCTGACTTGCCAGACACCAGCAGCCAGGATGGCGGCTTTGAGTCTTGAAGTCGGAAGACTACGGAATCGCGCTACCCGGCTCCTCACACATGGCATGCATGGAATCCCGAGCCTGATCCATTCTTTAGACCAACTAATTGAGGACATTGTTAGCCTAGAGGCGAGGATTGAGGATTGGCAGACGCATTGCGAGCCAAGGTGGGTTCAAATGAAAACAAAGTTGCGTACACCAAACGGTGAAGAGATGCAGGCAAGCTACTACTCCGACATTCAAGTCTCCAAGGTTTGGAACTACTGGCGAGTCTCACGCATTACACTACACAGCATGATGATCAGCCTTGTTGACTACGGAAAATCACATCAGATATCTATACCGAGTCGGAACTTGGACGCCTTGAAAGCCAACTCGGCGCAGATCATCAACAGCATGGTTTCGGAGATAGTAGCGAGCGTTCCATTTCACCTTCAGCAAATTGATACAAGAGGCCGACCAAGCACGCAGCGAAGTCAACGGGTCCTTGGAGGGTTTGCTCTCATCTGGCCATTACAAATGCTGCTCAGTTGTAAATGGAGCTTGACGTGTCATAAGACTGTGGCGGTGGAGACGTTGCATGTCATTAGTAACGTCTTTGGAATCAGTCAAGCGCGACTGTTTTTGTAGATTTGACCAATAATCTCAAGTAAATATGCTGCAAACAGATATGTTAATTTAAGCTTGAAGCAAACGAAACGCAGTCTTGCTTTTGTTGCGGCTTCGCTTCATTGTTTTCATGCCAATGCACTCCTCTTACCACTGGCAAGGAACTCTCGGATGACATTCTCGGTCACCTGCGCGACATCGTTTTGATACCCATCCCAAGCCATAGAGTTATTCCAGTTGATACTACCAACACTGAAAACAGAACCGCCTCCATTCGTCTCATAGTATACCATGTCGCTCCTCACAAGCGGCGAAGTTGAGCCAAGAGTTCCGATCATGGGAATATGAGCTCCTCATTGAACAGCATAAAATGATCATCGTGTCGCTCACTTCGAGCAAGCAGGATCGCGTTAGCGGGACTACCAATGGAGACATCAAGACGATCGAGTTCATCGCCACTTGCACCTCCCGCAAGACCCTTTGTTCCAAGAAGTTTTCGGGATTCTTCGTCAAGACCTTTCCAGAGCCACTCCAGCGAAGGATTGTTGAGGGCTTCGTCGGTTGGAATGAATGGTCGACCGGGTCCTTTACCCGAAGCGCAACTGCCAATGCCCCAGAGCTCGTTAGGTGGGCGCCCGATTGAGCGCCAGAGGCCACCGAGTTGGCCATTTAGTGCGTGATGGCGCTCGCCTGGGGGGTTTTCATGGGTTCGGGCACCGACATCAGCGCGTCGGACTTCCATCCGATGGGGTCTCTTGGGATCTGTCACCGACTTCCACTAAAAGCACGTCAGGCTCTGTACCAGTTCCACGATTGAGTTACTTACATAGAATCCGTTGCCGCCGGCATAAATCAGCGATCCTCCATTCTTGGAATGTCCCTCATAAGCATCAAGAGACTCAGCAGAAGGATATTCCGGATGAGAGCCAGAGATGACAACATCGTACTGAGACAATGCAGCACGGCCGCGGAGATGAAGATCATGGTCTGTGAGAATGTCATAACCATCGCCGAAATGTTTCTCAAGAAATCCAACCATTAGTAGATCAGCTGAGAACTCTCGTGGTCGCTGAAAGCCCCAATGGATATAATCCGGCCGCACGTTCAGAATCGGTCGCTTGGTGGTACTGTACACCACACCTGAACCATCGCTGTGAAGGTCGTAGATAGCCAGACCAAGATCATGGCGCCGCACCATCTTGTAATAGTTATCAGACGCGACGAGCTGAACACCCTCGGGGAATGAGATGTGTGTTGACTTGGTCTCATCGTACATATGCTCGTTCGCATACGCGAGGTACGTAAAAGTCGAAAAGACAAAAGCAATCTTGGCTTGCGGTCGAACTTCCTTTGGCTGAACGAAGAAAACAATGGAGTCTCTGAGATCTGACTCCGTATCCTGAACTTCGATCGCATAAGCGCCAGAGCGCAGATTAGAAGGAACAGTGAACTCAAAGTCGGTGTCCCACGCAGCGTCATCAAGATCATCATCATGAAAGTGAATAGCACCGAAACCATACGTCGCTTCTTTCCAGCCGAGACCAATGAGTTTGTGATCCCAGTCTTGTCCACGAATAGCCCGCGTCGGCGCATTGACAAGAACGCCATCAAGACCAGAGCCAGAAATATCAGAGATTTCATCTGTGTCAATCCCAACAGAGAAGTCGTAAAGCGCAATGTCCCAGTTCTTTCGACCCAAGGCCTTGAAGCGGGGAGCTTCGATGCGGCCGTTGAAGAAGTGGACTGGTAGTTGTGAAGTTGATGTTGGGCTGGCTGCTGTGGTAGCTGCAAAGTACATCGGGCTACCAGAGTCAAGAACGGGAGTGCTGGAAAGAGATGTCTGAACGGTTGTCGATGAAGGAGCGGTTTCGTTTCCAGAAGCAATGTGGGTGAGCTGTAACTGAAACTCCTTCTGTTTGATAGTGATGCAAACGTGGAACCATCGACGTTCACGTGCTGAAGAGGCGATCTTCTTGACCTCAACGCCATTGGAGGTACCGATCCACACAACAAGCTGATTATCCCGATCAAGAAGAACAGCTATACCAGCGCTCTTCGCAGCGTCAAGGTTGGATAAAATAGCTTGGGGATGGGGAGCATCAAGCATCCAAGGCTGAACATAAAAATCAATCTCAACGCCTTCAGATTTGTCTAATAGAGGTTCTCTCTTCCAAGCATCAACTACAGCGTATGAACCAGGATGCGACGCCTGAAAGCGACCAGTCAACTCGCCCTTGGGTCCATGCTCGATGATTTCTTTGGCGGGGGCTGGGGCATGGGGCATGTCGAGGCCTTGAAGGAGTCTGACGAGTTGATATTTGAGCTTGGGCTTGGTAGAGGAGATCTTGGATTGTTAGTGGGGAGATTATAGGGGAGGGGATAAGGCTGGGTACCTTGACGTGCGCTGTTTCACCTGGGGAAACTACCCATGGGTCTACGTAGCCGGTGTTTTCTTCTTCATCGTGACGAAGGGCAGGGCGGACGGGATATTGTGAAGCAACCATGTTGGCGATTGGTTTTCGTAAATGTTGAATGGCTCAGATGTTTGGTGGTCTTTTTCCTCCAAGTAAGTTATTGCACGGCATTATCGCACCAATTGATACATCTCTATATAACATTTTGACGAGCAACGTAATCCCCGACAATCCATGGCTTCGCGGGTTTCTTATTTCCCGATCGAGTAGTCGTGCTCTAGCGCCTGTCGTGATAAGCTAAGGATATGATATGCGGAGAAGTATTCCGAGCCTCTTGGAAAACTCTTGTAATCTGGTTGGACAAGAATATTGGGCAGTTCACCAACGAAACTGCTTTAACTGGAGTAGGAAATATCCTTATCTCCCTGCGGCTCAATTTCTCTCTTTCTGCTTATCCGCGATATTGTATTCATTTCTTGCCAAGACGCCAGTTCTTTCGAGATTGAGGAGATGATTACGGATGATGATATCCCTGGATACCAAGTGGCCGGGCTGTTTGCTAGCGATAAGGATGGCTCCGCCCCCGCATTGCGTCGTGCTCTAATTTCTGGAGCTATTATCCAAATCGGGATATTTCTGCTTTTCACCACCCCAGATACAACGTTCGGATGAACGGCTTCACTTTGAGGGGTGGAGAAATTGACGTCAAGAATGATAAGGTTGAGAGACGTCTTGCGGGCTATGAAAGTATGGCGCTGATACCAGAAATTAGTGTCCTTTGCACGAGAGTCTTAGGGAGATAGGTGACCGCAAGCATATATAAAACAGACAGCAACCCCAACTGACAACAGAATCCACAAACATACCATCATATTAACTCCACCCCTCTTCCCCTAGATCATACCCATAATGCCCACTCAGAATTAGACCACAGCCAACATGGCAGATCAGATCGAGGCAATCCCCGGGACGGTCCACTTGGTCGACGCCCAGGGAAGTATGGACTCACAGCACGCCAAAGGAGCAGAACACGACATTGTTCTTGTGCCAGCTCCGTCAGCTCATCCGGATGATCCGCTGAACTGGTCGCCGAGGAGGAAATACCTCTCTGCGTTTTGCATGGCAGCGTATGCCTCCCCTCCTTTTTTTGGGGTTCACTGACGTGATGTAGATATGTGCTTGTCATTGGCATCTGCTCTTCTGCACTGTATTCGACTCTAGGACCGCTGTCGGAGTCTACTGGTCTAAGCTATAGTGATTTGAATTCTGGTACAGGCTATATGGTAACTACATCTCTATTGATGTTTTTGGTGATAGTCTGACATTTTGGTAGTTCCTCTTCTTCGGCTGGGGATGTATCATCTGGCAAGCCATCGCCATCCAGTACGGCAAGCGACCCGTTTACTTGTTGACGACACTAGGTACCTTGGTAAGTCATTATGTGTAACTGATGGTTTTGAAGCTGATGAAACTAGGGCGTCATGGTCTGGCAGCCTCACGTGCGATCAAATGGAGAATGGATCGCGACCAAGATCTTGCAGGGCATATTCGGTGCGCCTATTGAGTCTTTGGCGGAGATTACCGTCTCAGACGTCGTAAGTCACTGCTAACATAACCCTATCACGTAGGATAAGGTAGACTAAAGGGCCGCGACCTAGTTCTTTACCCACGAGCGGGGCAAGTTCATCGCCCTGTATGCTCTCGCACTCGGTTACAGCAACGGCATCGCGCCGCTTATCATGGGTTTCATCAATGATGGGCAGGGATACCAATGGGTATTTGCAAATACTCCAGTCCCACTTGATAAACTATAGAACTAACAGGGTATCAGTACTGGTGCGCCATCTTTTGCGCCGTCCTGCTACTGATCATCTTCTTCTTTATGGAGGAGACCAAGTTCGATCGAGCGAAGTACATGGCAAGTAACCACATCGAAGGACAGACTGTATCAAGCGCTAATCAGAACTCGACTGAGCGCGACACAAAAGACGGTCTCGATACGAAGCACGACGCCGAGCAGGATCAAGTTGCGACTACCACTCTTACCAATGTCACCGCACCCAACGAGACCTTTGATCCCGACAACACCGAGTTCAACAAGAAATCCCGCATCTCCCGTCTCAAACCGATCGAGCGCAAGAACATGAAGGGTGAGAATAGGCTCATAAAGCTTATTAGCCGACCGATTCTCCTCCTCGCGTTTCCCATCATCTCATATGCTGGTTTCATCTACGGTTGCAACATCGTCTGGCTGTCTGTCCTGAACGCGACTGAGTCTATGGTTCTGTCGAACAAGCCTTATAACATGCCTACCTCCACCGTCGGACTGACATTCATTGCTCCGCTCATTGGAACAACCCTTGCGCAAGTACACGGGTCTCACAAAGTGAAAAGAAGCTGACAGAAACTAGCTGCATCTACACTGGAATCTTTGGCGACAAGTTCATCATCCAGATGGCGCGACGAAATGGGGGCTTCATGGAGGCTGAGCACCGACTCTGGCTATTCGTTCCGTCTCTCATCCTCATTCCCTTCGGATGTATCTTGTTCGGCGTCGGAGCTTACTACGAGGCGCATTGGTTCTCAATCGTATTTGCCATGGGTGTCATCTCGTTCACCACCACAGCTGGTTCGCAGATCTCCATTGCGTACTGCATCGATTGCTATCGCGATCTCGCAAGTGAAGCCTTGGCCACTGCGATCATTATTCGAAATACGATGGCGTTCGGTATTGGGTATGGGTAAGCATGCAATCTAGACTCAGTGATCGTGGATTCTTACTAATGCTTTTAGTGTTACTCCTTGGGTTGTCAACCTTGGCTATCAGAATGCTTTCATCCTTGGTGCGTTCGCGGGTCTGGCACATAATCTGACCATCTTCCCTGTCATGAAATGGGGACGGGCGTTGCGACAGCGGAGTGCGGAGAAGTATTGGAACACTGTCAAGGAGGGAGCGGATCTGGACCTAAATCATTGATCTTCTGTGTCACATGCATGAAGCTGCTATTGCATGGAATGGGGACGGGTTAACTGTCATATGTGGTATTTCTAGGTACATAAAGCACTATTAATGCCGCCAGGGAAGTCAAACTCAGCCAAGTCTCTCATAGCGTGAATCCAAGGGCCTGCGCAAAAGGCAAACGCTGGCTCTGGCCAGTCAAAACACTTTGATGGACAATCACTGGCGGTCCTACATACTCCAATTCAAGGGCGCTGAGCAATGATACAACGTCGGCCCCAACCGTTCTCGACCGGTCCGCAGCGGGTGTCTGTAGGTGCATTCAAGAAGGTGCTGGAATACTTAATATGCAGATCGTCCCACCAGGCCTCAGGCAATCTAGTTTCGCAGGTATTGCCAGGAACTACCATAACCACGTAAGGCAGCGGGGTAAAAAATGGCTGATAGTTACCGCCTTGCCCTAGAGAAGAGTCAGTCAGGCGGGGACTACTGGTATATGGATAACATGTACAGGGATCGCATCTTGGAAAGCCTCGCTGCTCAAAGTTGTTGCCCTTGATTATAAATTCTGAGCGCTCACGTCCCTCTGCGCCAAAGACAATACTGAAATAGTCACTTCAAGAAGTTAATATCTGGTGTATGGGAGCTCATACCAGCTAATGGGTCCGTGGCCATCGTTCCACTCGCAGCGTTTCTCCAGAGAGCCACTGTTGTCAGAAGCCGGAGCAGCCAGAGCGCCTGTGACCAGGGCAAGGAAGGAGACAGCCGAGATACGCATATTAAAGGAGAAGTAAGTGGAAGGACTGGTGCTGAGTCTGCCTGGTAGAGCTAGAATACCGAGTGATGGACAACAAGCTGTGCAGTTATATATACTTAAATACTAATCTTTAATTAACTCAGCTCACCGCCATACTACCTAATTCAAGCCAAGGCAGCCAAGGCTTTCTGTACATCTGTAGGCAATAGCCTTTATCCTAAATGCCAAGAGTGGATTTTGAAGCATTTTGGGTATATAGTGCTACCTTACTTTAGGGACTTTTGTCGTCAGGGTCCTCTTGAGTGTACTTATGATCTGGTCTAGCGTACCTAGAATGGGCATAAGACTCGGCAGTCCCATTCGCCTAATTGTCTCCTCGTCAGATATTCAAGTCTGATTGGGTCTAGCGAAAATAGAGGTGGTATTTCTGAATCTTTTTTTAGATCTCTAAATCTCATTGGGTGGAAACTGAATTATTAGTCACCTTGTTCTTATATAGTCACTGGCTAATCATCTTGTTCCTATAAAAGAGAACCTCCGACAATACAACCCTAGGCTGACTGCCAAGAAAGCACAACTGGCATTGCGTAAAGCTTGCCTAGTCTCGGCAATTAACTACTCGTATCTTTTAGCTAAATCGAAAAACCAAGCCTCTGTTCCTGTGCCGCATCACAAACCAAAGCCCCCAAAATGTCAAGCAGGCCTCCTTTCATTCTTAATTCGTCAACTGAAAGATAAGATATATACTTCATGATAGGCAACGTTTGCTTCGTATCTATTGTCCAAACCTCTGATTTTTCATCTCATTATATGTCTTCAGCCATCTACACAAACCACTTAATTACTGAGATACGTCCTGTTCTAAACACGTTCCAGGCCTGTGTTTCTCAACAATATTTTCCTCCATCCCGGGCACTTCCAGAGGACCTGTATATTCTCATACGATTCATATCTCTGCCTCAGTGTCTCTTGAAGACTTCACCGAATGATCCCGCAAGATTTCCTCTGGCCGCCACAACGATTGCTCTTTTACTTAGACAGCAAGCTCAAGAGTAGAAACTTCCAGTAGTATTAGGACAATATGTCTTTATGAATTAAACATTGGTTATAAAGCAGAGCAATACTCTATATTGCGTCGAGACAAAGGAAACAAATGAGTGAAAGATGGGTATCGTTGCCTCAAGCCAGAGACAAACGCCACCCTCAAAAGACAACGCACAAAACACCAACAATCCATCATCACAAGCATAAGCTCATGATTCATCAAAGGCGCAGTCCCTACTCTTCAGTCTTATCATCCCCCTTCTTCCCATCATCCTCCGCCTCCGCCTCCTCCCTCGCCAGCTGCTCCTCAATCTTCTTCTTCCTCTCCAAATTCCTCTCCCTCTTCTTCTTCTCAGCCTCCTGCCTCCTCTTATCGCGCCTCTCACCAACAAGATATCTTGAGTTCTTGATTGCTGGAAATACGCCCTTCAACGCGAGCCAGAGGTGCGAGAAGGCTTCCTTGAAGTGAGTCTTGGTCTCATTGTAGTTGGCGCGGGCGAGAGCAGCGCGCTTCTTGGTGCGGTAGGCCTTTTCGGCTTTGGCTGCTTTGGCGTATTGCTCTGATGCTTGGCGGCGGGTTGTCATGAGGAGATGTTCGCTGCCGCAGGTGCTCACGGGACGGGGAGTAGGTTCTGTGGGGGCGGTGTCGGTCTCTGACGAGGCCTCTGTCTTGGATTTTGATTTGGCCATTGCAGAGAACATTGAACGATTGGTGAATTAGGGATTTTGATTATTAGTTGTATTATATTGGTCGTGATGGGTATAACGAATGGCTGATGGGTGTGAAGCAAAACCGCATGAGGTAAAAGCAAGGAGAACAGATACCAGGGATGGTAGCTCTTTAAGAACCCGGACAGATGTTCATGAGACCTTGCATCTGTCCATTAGCCGGGCATTCGATGTTTTAGTCTATGTAACCTTGACAGGCCGTCATTTATGCAAACTGACCATTATCTATAAATGCATTGCAAAGTTTATACCTTCTAGAGCCAGAAGTAGAATTTAATCCCTGTAAGTTAATGCATTCGTTAACCGAGCTGTTTTGCATAAGGGTGCAATTAAACTCGCAATGAGTCAAGGACCGCTATCCTAAAGAACTTAAAGATTTAGGTAAATTTAGTATACTTTAGGATGCATTTAGTGGATCTTAGATTAGAGGTTTTTGACACTTTTGCTTAACGTCAGAGGTGTTCATGCCTCTGAGGAGAGCATATCATCCCATTAGGGCTGTCGCGCATGAGTTTGTTACGCACAGACGTCATGCCATTGGCAATCCAGTCAGTGGTCTCCATGCTGAAACAGCAGGAAAAGTCAATAGCCAGTTCAAATATCTTATACCGACGACTTGCGTAGAAGGTGGTGGCAAGACGATGACCATGCCGGGACGATATTAATGCGACGAATTGAGCACCATCCCAATCTTGATATTTCCCGATTAGGCAGTTATGGGACCTCATAAGCAGCGGAGGGTGACGCCCTGTTTAAAAGGCAGATACGACAATTTTGGCTTCGTTCGTTCCAGTGATCTATTTGCTATTGTGCTCTGAGTTATAGACATCAATACATAACGTAATAGTCTCTGCGACCTAGTTCATCACCGAGCCCTACTCTTCGTGATGCTTAGGCCAGATACGTCGACGCGCCCACTCACGAACACGCTTTCCAATGAAGTACATAACAATACCCATGGCGCTCAGAACACCACAAATAATAGCAAGGATGTTCATAGCACCGTCATATCCAAGGGACTCAATCGAAGGCACAGTCGCATAGCTCAAGCCGAATGAGACAAAGCCTCGACCAGCACAAACGACTAGAAGAAGAGGTCCAGACTTGTTGGGGTAACTGTCCATGACAAAAGTGATTCCGACCAAGTTAGCACCCAGGAAAGAGAAGAAGCCGAGATGATATGGAGCGACGATGGCGATCCAGTGATAATCGTTGGGCGAGGCGGCTGCGTGGCCATAGACGATCGCTGAGATGATTGCACAAGCTGCTGGAATGATCAAGACAATAAGACGATATTCAGGCTGTACCAGTCAGTATGCGATCTTGAGAAACGGGTAAGGAATATTTACCTCGAAGACACCCTTATTCCTCCGACTCATGAACTTACAGATGATATCCGAGCCAAATCCAAGCAGTGGGACAGCAAGCAAACAATCAATGATCTGAACAAGCTGCACATAACCAAGAAGCTTGCCGTTAAAGTTGTAGGGCGGCTGTACTAGAATTTGAGCAAAGGTTGAGGCTTGGTAGATGTAAAGACCGAGAAAAGCACCATTAAGGATAAAGATCCAGAAGATTGGCGGCAGGATGAGAGACAGCCCAACGTCCTTGTAGAAGGAAACAAGGCTCCTCCAGTCAGCCTTGCCGTGGAACAGCTTGATATCGTCGCGCCATGTTCTCTCGCCGAACTTCTCGGGTTGGAGAACGACGCCGTTGCGAGTTGTGACTTGGTATAGGACTTCGTTTGTTCCTTCACGCGCTACATTGCCGTTCTTGTCGAGCTTTAGATGGACAGCACCCTCTGTTCAAGGTTAGGACTGAGAAATGAGGAGAGCGGAAAAGACTTACCAGTCGCGTCTTCGGGTCGGTCATAGCGAGTCTCGGCGAGGAACAAGATAGACATGATCATCGTGAAGCCGTTGATGATGGTCATGATACCATACCACCACGGCAATCCAAGCGACGGAACGATGTACGTAGTCGCGGTAAAGAGAGCCGCAGTAAGCGTGTTCTGAACACCGACAAAGTAAGACAACATAACACCATGTTGATGAAGAAAGTGAATCTCCTGCACAATCAACGGTGCAAGAGCCTCACTCTGTCCAGCAGCAAGACTGAAGATATTCCTCCCAGCTATATGGCTCGTAAGCGACTTTGAGCAAGCACACCAGATTCCAGAAACCGTCAGAAGGAGCAATGAGAAGAGAAATACAGGTCGTCGGCCGATGGCGTTGGCGAGAGGCATAGAGAGCAAATTACCAATTCCCATGAAGAGAGTGGGATACGTAAGTAAGTCGCTGACCCGCTTGGCATTGTCGTTGCGATAGAGCGCGTAGAGCTCTGGGGCGACGGAGCCGAGGCCGGAAGTTCCTAGGACTGAGATACCGGAGTAGAAGCCGACGAGGAGGATGATCATGTACTTTCGCCAGACTGGCAAGTTGAGAGGATCTATTAAAACGTGAGTTTAAAATAATTAGAAGGAATGGTTTGTCGTTGTTTACCTTTGGGGTCAGGACTAGGCGTCGGGACGAGAACAACCGTTCCATCTTGATACAGATTAACCGTACCAGATGCATCGTGGGCTTCATGATGAGGCGTCTTGATGATATCCTCAACAGCATCGACGTCAGGTTTCATACCGAAAGAATCGCGTCGCTCAGCCATGACTACACCTTGTCAACTGGATGAGTTCTGAAATTCCACGTCTAACCAGCGACGAAACGAGGTTTATATCAATTAATTCGCCCTCGAGTCGGAGTCAGGTCTGGACCTTGGTGCTAAGTTAGTCTGATAGCGTAACGCATAGACTCCGATTGGTTCGTATGCGATGCGATCTAAGAGAGAGGTTAACTTGCGGGGGTGGAGCCGAGTCTCCGAGGGGAATGAATGCGGGGAAGTGGGAAAAGTTTACCGATCGTTTATTAAAATACGCTGTCTGCGCCGCCGTCGGCTCGGTATCTCACCACCCAAACACATCCAACTCCAGATCTTGAATCACCCTTCAAACCCTTGTCACCGGAACCCGTCTTCATCTACCGGCAACCCAATCATCACCTCCCCCACGTTTCCGGACCCCCCCATGCCCTCACCAATGGATACCGAAGACAGCCCCGGGATCCCCAGATCCAGCAAACGGCGCCGTCTCAATTTCGCATGCAACTACTGTCGGAGTCGCAAGACGCGCTGCGACGAGCAGCAGCCCTCTTGCCAGGCTTGTATACTGGCTGGAGTACCTTGCGTTACGGAAGATAGGCGCAGACCGGGGAAGGTGATTAAAAGACGAGAGGCGGGCAAGTCAACGGATGGAGGGTCTGTTACGTCTGCGAGTCCGTCGGAGTATGGATTGCAGGCTGGGGCAGTGGAGAGGAGACATTCTGTTGCTGAGCCACAGACTATAGAGGTTGTTACTGGGCCTATTCGCGCGAGGTCACAGAGTCCGAGGCCGTCGCAGAGTAGAGACTCTTCTCATACAGATACGATAAGCAACCCGCTACCGATCTGGCGACAAAGCGCTGGTACCACGTCTTTCCAGGTGCTGACGGAATGGCTCGACCTGGCTTGTTTCCGGCTCAGCATCCCTTACCATTTTGGTTCCTATCCCCCGTCTACTCTGAACCCGCAATCGGCATCTCAGCCACAGCACGGAATTCCGATCACCCCGGAGACTTGGGTACCCCAGACTCTGTTCGATGCGTATGCGAGAGAGATACATACGTTCTACCCTGTTGTGAGGCTCGACCAAGCGCGTGCGGATGTAGTACAGTCTCACCCAGGGAACTTGGCATCGCATGCTGTCGACATTGCAGCGCTGAGAAGTCATCTGCTCTTTGCTGCGGGCGGATGTATTCTTCAACATGCCGAGCGAAAGGCCTACATGACTGAAACACTTGCACTAGCCCGAAACGCACTGGGATATCTCATCGGCAACGTATCATACGACACAATTGAAGTCCTCTTTCTATTCTCAGTATGTCTCCGCCTCAACGACGAAATCATTTCAGCCTGGACAACTCTCGGCATCTGCCTTTCTATCGCCCACTCTCTCGGCCTCAACAAACCTGGAAAGAATAGGAAGAAACCTCTGGATCTCGACGCCTGGAATCCTGCGTGGTGGGCTCTATACAGCTATGAGAAGTTATTCTCATTCCAGCTTGGATATGTATCAACCATCTCGGATGATGCATTTGACACATTGGAACTAGATGTAGTTAAGTCTGCTACCCTTGAGCCATCACGTATTGCGTTATCGATGGCGAATGTGTTTAGCAAGATGAGTCGTCGTTGCGCTACGGCGAGACAACTTGAGGAGAGGGCTAGTAGAAGGGCTCTTGAGGCGGTGGTTAAGGAGAAGGTTACTAGTACTGGAGAGGCGTTTCTGATGCTGACGAACTGGGCTAATAGTGTCCCTACCGGTATAAGGTACGACATCTCAATGCAGGGGTATCTGGTTGCTAACACGCGATAGACCTACGTCGGATTTTATGCGCATCCCAGAAAACCTGGGCCTCGCATCATTCGTGTCTCTGCACTACCACAACGCGTAAGTTCACCAAAGCCACCCAGTTTCCTGAAGCTAACGTGTCAAAGTCTTATAATGCTGAACCGCAACTCTCTTCTGATCAGCAAAAACGCTCTGCACATGGCAGTAGAGATCATCGCCAAAGACACACCATGGGAATACCAGATCCGCAACGGTCAATCGATGGTTGCAAATTCCGCACGAAAGATCATTCATCTTCTCGCTGATAACGATGATTCGGCGTCGCATCTTTTCGCACCTGCTTATTTTCCGCTGCTTCATGCTATGTATGTCTTGGCTGTTCATATTCTGAAACAGCCGCACTCGCGTGTTTCCAAGATCGACCAAAGTGTGAGTTGCACCATGTACCGCAATACTTCATCGTGCTAATTTGGACAGCTTCTAGTAACTGCTGCTGACTTGGTTCGCTGCTACTGCGTTGGTCTCGGCGAAGAAGATCGTCTGAACACTATTTTAAATGGTCTTCTTCGTGTCGTCCAAGAAGCTATGAAGCCTAACCCACCACCAACCGATACCGACCGCAACACGCCGGCGCTAAACTCATCAACAAGCTTGTCTGATCAGAATGTGACACCTTTGACCGATCAACAGACACTCACAGAGGCCGTTGGCCAGTCCGATCCCGCACTTCCTCCTCATTTCTCAATGGACGAGAGCATACTTGATCCATTCTCAGGCCAGCCATTCAATATGCCGATACTACCTGATGAGATTGGATGTGACTGGGCGGACTTTGAAAACTTGCTGCAGAGACTTGAGAGCGAAGGGTCTTTGTATCCTACCGATGAAGGAATGATTATTGATATATAGTGCAATCTGACAATCTTTGTTCTCTTACTGTTCAAAGGTTCTCCATTTCCGATCTTTTGTGCATTTTGACAAATAATCCTGTCTGACGCGGAAACCACCCTGAAATAATTCTCATCTTGATATTTGGATCTGCAAGTTGAATCTCGTACCGCGACACCAGTGTCGCTACACCCTTGTAGATTTGGATGAGCGCAATGTGTCTCCCAATGCAAATGCGAGAACCTCCGCCGAAAGTAAGATCAGCTGCATTCATCTTTCGCAAACGCCGCTGGTACTCTTCTTCACTCTCATCCTTCAACTTAAGCCATCTCTCAGGACGGAACTCATTGGCGTCTTCACCCCAAACGTCCTCATTGCGACCGATGATGTATGGATTCAAGCCCACAGAAACCCCTGGAGGCACGAAGCTACCATCAGGAAGAGTCAACCCCGTATCTGGGACGTAGCGCTCGAGGGGCATGGCAACAGAGGGATGCATCCTCAACGACTCTCGGATCACAGCGTCGAGATAAGGCAGGGATCGAGCTGTACTATATGGCGCAACCGCATCATCATCAAAGCTCTCTGCTAGAATGTCGCTTTTCAGTCTGGCCATGGCATGCGGGTTTCGCAACAAGAAGTCAAAGATGGCACGTAGTGCAATAGAAGTCGTGTCAGCTCCAGCCAGGATGTTGCCAAGCAGGAAGTTCAGCACGAGCTTTGCATCAATAGAATCCGGGTTACTCTTCATGCCACCAATGAAGTAATCTAGAAAGTCTGGCTCTTCTAGGTATTTGCCTTGTTCCCGTTGCTCGAGTCGGCGCTGAAGCTGCGTGATCGCGAAATGAGTGACGTGGCTCATATCTGGAGGTCCAATACGCACGATGGGATTCTTTTTAAGAAACCGGTCCATTAAGGGAATCTGGCCGATCTGGGCGAAGTATTCTACTGATAATGCAGATGCTATGATGGTCTCATCAAAGTCGTGGCCATTGGCCATGTATCCGAAGGTCCGGCTGAAAGTCAAGAAGCCGATTATGTCCCAGGTATCTAACTCAGTGAGCGGGCAGTAAAGGTTTGGGCGACATGGGTTACTCACATAAGCCAAGCCATTCGGCCAGATCGAAGCTCTTAGTGTCTTCTATAAACCGGTCGTCGATTTGTTTGCAGAGCTCGTCGATTACCTGGTTCATCTTCGACTCCAAGGTCAGAACATTGCTCGAGGAATAATACTTGGCCATCGGCTTCTTCATCTGTGTGTGTTCCGCCGGGCTTGTGGTACTAAATACGTTATGGTTGATCTTGCCATCAACTATGGTACTGTTGTTGAGGTAAAACTCTGTCTAAAAGAGGCATTAATTATGCGCTCTACACTTGCTTCCAGGACTTACCTTGAGCCATTTATTATCAGTGCCATAGATGGTCTTGATCAATTCGGGGTAGTCTAGGTCGAGTAAGTTGGGACCTATTCTGACAACTGGGCCGTATTTCTTGTGAAGCTCTTGGATTGTCCATTGGTATTTCTGAGACCGGACTTGATATAGACGCCAAAGGTTGGTCCACTCTAGCGGCAAATCACTGTTACCACTTGTCTGTCATCTTTGACCTTTAGCACTCACTAGCAAGAAAGGGACCAGGATATTGTCGCAATGGAGACGTCAGTGTCGATCTCACCCACCAGAGTAGGGCAGCGCAAAGCGCAATGGCTGTGAAGATACTTAAGTTGTCCATCGTTCTGGGGTGTCGGCGAGAATTTTTCCTTTCTGGTATAGGCTCGGTTCGCTCGTTCTTCAATAGTTCCAGCAAGATATTCAAGATTTGGGATAAACATGTAAATAAGTGAAGAATGGTTCCAGAAATTGTTCCAGTGCACAGATTAAATACTAGGTACTGGGCTTTCAGTTTGCCCGGGACCCCTTGGCTGACCCTATACGCAAGAGCATAAACTATTGATGTTGTGTTACCCACTTACGACATGTGGCGCGCCTTCAAGCAATCACAGGACGGCTAGATATCAATATAACGCAAGCAAGCGACTATATAAGCAACCTGATTTGCTGTTTGCATTGAAATATGTAGTGATTCGACTTGATTAGCTTTGATTGGCGCTGAGCTCCTTGGCTGGTAGTATAATATGAGACATACATGCCCGATGACGTCGGTTTTCCTCTGCCTCAAGCAGATGGAGGGTCGAGGGTCAACCCAACCAGAGATCTGCCATCGAAACGCTGTGCTATCTGGATCAAATGTCCCCGCTCATCTCAATGTCTCCACTCAACTGAACCGTATTGGCAATCAAAAATTTACTGTATTCCTGGTATCGACGCTGGAACTGTAGAGAGTACCTGTCTGATCCTGGTGGGATGGGCTTGATATACCAGAAATTCGCGTCATTCGTGTCGTCATCCGGGACCTCGACAGCTTCCCATTGCGACCCGGACATTACCAGGCGCATTCCAGTTGCGTCTTCACTAACCCCTAGGGCATAACTGCCACTTGGTCCATAGTCCAAGAGGTCATCTGGAGGAGAGCGATTCCCTTCGCCGCTACTACCCAGTACCCAATGATCTGCTTCTCGATTAGTCATATTCTGGTTAAGTGTTTAAAACAATGCCTCATACAATTGCTTTTGAAATTGAAGAGTAGCTAGGAAACACCGCAGCTCGTTGAGTCAAATAGAGGAACAAAGTAAACAGTATCAACATCTGACAATATCTTTCCATCCACGAAACGTAATCTATACTTCATAACTTCCACCTCAGCCTGGATTACCTTAAAGTCACCCTCTTGGCCTTCAGGCTATAGAAATCAATTAATGATTTAATTGGTTTGACTTCTGTTAACCCTGCGATAAAACAGGTCCCGACAAACCGATAACGCTTACCAACTTTCCTCAGAACGGCTGGTTGGTTGAGGCCGTTGAGGAGACAAACCAAATCACCCTCCTGTATCCTCGGGGGAAGCCTCCCAATATAGCCTTTCTTCGTCTCTGCTATAGTATGGTTATACGGCCTACACTTCGCGCAGAGAAGTTGGATGTAGCGATATTCCTTCATGTATTGGTCCTCGTCTTCGTCGTCATCGGGATCCTTGACGATTAGGCGAGGGCACAAAGTGAGAGAAGAAACACTTACGGGGACTTGTGCAAGAAAATTTCTCACGTAACAAAAACGGGCCAACATAGCTCTAGAGCACTGCTTTCCCTTCTGGAATGGACGATTGAAACGACCCAAAAACTTCAGAAATTCCAGGCCGTTTTCAATAGGGAAATCGGTCTCTTTACCCTTAGAAGCAGCGTATGGTTCGAGAAGATGACGCAAAGCAGCTAATGGGTGGCCACCTGACGTGTAGCTCTCATGGCGTAGAGCAAAGTCCAAGGCCCAGGTTATTGGCAAGCCTTCTGAATGGAGAAGCTCGGGTCTTCCGTAGTCAGAGACTCTGGGACCTATCATTTCGATGCGATCCAGAATATACAACGTGACCTCCATGTCGGGACCGGTTATTCTTTCGTGGAGTTCCTTTTCAAAAATATTGTCAATATGCCTGTTGTCTGGAAAAGCCCTGTTGCCTGGAAAAGCCACTGCATCTGCACTACCCCTGGAAGATGGGCTTGATTGAGCCTCTCCAGGGAAGTTTGGACCCCATGATGGCATGTCAGTGTCAGCTTCCCAGCCATAACCAACTCCTGCAAACCTTAGAAGGCCTAGGGGCCCTCCCAGGGAATCATCTGATGATGATTGGTCACGGTAAACTTTGAGATATTCGCTCAAGAAATCCCTGCTGACAAGTCCGAGAGATTTTCTTGGACTATAATCCGGGACAATTTTGAGTTTTGTAATACCAAGGAAGCCGTAATAATAATCCTTGGGGTTGGTCGCACGAGCCTCTGATAAGTGGCACCAAATATTGGTCTTGAAATGACTTTGGCCCAACCAATTGCCAACAGGAAGTCCTTGGTCTCGACGGCCTTCGAAGATGTGGTGTAGAAGCTTACAATTTTGTTTGTATGCCAATATCAACTTGAAAAGCTTTTCTTTCTGGCACAAACGAGAATTCGATGGACTCAAGATCCATCCCAACCAGGCTGAAAAGTATTCCAACGTCTGAAGTGAAAATGATCGGGGTCCACAAATAAAAACTGCTTGTTTGGCGAGAATGATTTCTTGTCGTATCCATATGCGGCTCCAGTACGGAAGGTCAAAAAGTGGTTGAGCGGGACCCCGATGACATTGCCCTACTATTTCCTCCACTACGCAGAGCGAAGGATACTCCTTAAGCCATAATAAATGACCGTAAATCTCATCGCCAATCACTTGGAAGACTAAGTCTTCCACTATCTTTTGGAACTTGTGAATCCTGGAAGACACCAATTTTGATAGAAAACCCACGGGGTGGGAGCCTTTGATCACATTGGCATCGAGCTTGCTGGCCTGTCTTTGAAGCCGATCCTGCCAATCTCTGACTTCCCGACATAGGATTATCAGGTCATTTTTGCAAAACTCGAGTTCCGAACCATATGGGCTTTGCAGCACCCGTCCAGTGACTGTAGTCGCGTGTTCAAGTGCGTTCGCGAGCTCATAAATCTCGATATACCCAACTTGCCTGGGGGTTGCGAATGTCGTATCAGCGACTGAAAGTTGCTTCGTATCCTTAACTTCCTTGAACCTTTCCAAGCTGTCATGTAACTGTGCAATACAGTCTCTCAATCTTTGGTGATTGTTGCAATCTTCCCCATTCCCATACCGGAAATACCGCTCAAAAGCTGTGATTTGTATAACATCGATGGCAGTACCTATCGAATCACTCAGAGGTCCCAGCCAACAGAGAACAAGACCGCTTTGTGAGTAGATTTCTCCCATCTTGGCAACTTGGCGGCTCTTCTCAGCATCATCAGCTTGATTAATGCAGATGGCATCCACCCATAATTTCTGGCCGGCCGCGTGTTTCGATTGACTGAGGTGCTGCGGGACGCATCTCAAAGCCGAGGCCAAAGACGTTGTTACTGGGTGTTTGTGTCCGTTTATAAAAATATCCTCGGTAATTCCAGGATCGCCCCAGACGTAGGACAGTGCATTGAATGGTAGTTGATCATGAAGATCTGTGACATCCATTTCACACGATATCTCTGGCATGGTCGATTTGATTGTCAGAAGCCTGATCTGTTGGCCAGATAATTTAAGGCTGTCATAAAGAGGCGATCCCGGGGCAGATCGCAGGTCGCCACTCTCTTGGGTGACACCAGAGGTATACGCTTCTGAGGATCTATACTTGATTAAAACAGGCTTGGCAGATTGAGCGTTCAACTTACGCCATGATTCAGATACAGTTCCTTAGCATCTTCTCACTATACGGTCTTGTCAAATGGCTTAGTCTGCGAAATTGAAAATAGAAGGAAGATAAAGACGAGTCCTGCTAGGGGCTTGCAGTAAATGCACCAGGAATCATCAAATTTATAAGTCTATGAGAAATGACGCAAGTTTTGTAATTTCACTGATAAGGCATACTGCCAGGCTGTGAGGCTAACTGGTGATTTGGAGATACGAAGCTGGTGGCAGCCAATGGCAATGTACTGAATGCAGTGAGATTGCTCTGGCCAACATGCGGGCTGCTTTAGGATCATTGGCCCCAAATGACATCCCTAGGCTCCCTAATTTGCATGTCGTTGAAATAACCCTCTCTGGGGAAATGATTGAGTTTGTGTTTTGGGCAAATTCTTTCCCTTGACTCTGCTGCTTTGTTTTTGTTTGTGCAAGCTTGGTTCAGTTCCGTACCATCTCGTCTAATGAGTACTTAATAAGAAATACAACTGAAAGCAATGTAAAGGGTTTTCAAGCTTTCCAGCACTAGGGCCAATCACGAAACAGCACGTTACGCTGCATGTCCCCACGTGTTAGGCAGAATGTACCTGAAGAAGGCAAATTACCAGGTAAGTAATTACAGTAAAATGGCTATGGTACGCAGAGCAACCTATTTTACTCTAAGTAAATGAACTTCGAGATGTAAGAACGTTAGAGTGACATATAGGCTAATGAGAACTAATTACGGTAGCTTATACAGTGATATATAACTAGTATTTAAACCGACTGACTGGGTCAGTAAGTTTACAGACCCGGAGGAACTGTTCCTGTATCCAGGCGATTTTGTCCTTGTGCAGCTCACGACAGATATACTTTCCTCCCTCCTTTGACAGCACTTTGATAAGGCTATTCAAGTGAAGCAGTGCGTGCGAAGGCCCTTGAATCAGTATATGTCGCTTGTAATCAAAGAGACTCATTGCCTGGTCCCCTCGGAGATACTGGGTACGTACACCTTCATCCAAGTCTTGGTCATGGTAGTTGGGGAATATGATCGTTGGGTCATCCAAGTCGTGCAAACCTCCATGATTTTGGCGGTTGCCCAGGTAAAACGGCATGGACCGGCAGATGGAGTCTACTAACTCCCTGCCGTGATTAGGATCTGGGAAACTGTTGTCCTTGGTAGCAATCAAGATGGTTTGCTGCAGCGCCTCGGAGGGCGCCTTAGTGAGTAGATAGAACTGCATCCGCAAGACCATGAGCTGGCAAACGCGCCATACATTCCAGATGGTGGCAATCTGGACGGTTGGGTATATATCGCAGTGCCCAAAGTAGGAAAAGGTGTCTTGTTGGGCTTTTTTATAAGGCTGCCATGAAGCCGGTACTAAGTGAACCCAATCCAAGAGTTGTGCGTTAACGGACGAAGCGTCCTGCCACCAAGTCGCAAGGGTAAGACCATCCAGGTTATTCTTAGCCAGGCCGCACATAAAGGTAGACAATCTCTTTTGCAAATCAGCAATCGAGAGACCTATCAGGTCCAAGACTGCATTCGGGCTCGCTGGCATAGAATAGTCCCAGCCTGTATCGAACCAAACATCCAGGCTCGAGGTGTCGTCTAGTTGCAATTCCATATAGTTCGACACATCGCAGTGTCGCAGGTAGCCCCTCAAGTATGAGCGGCACTCTGAGTCCGTGACACTCCCAGTCCCATGATCGAGCAATGCACGAGCTCCGTCCTGGTGTGCGCGCATGGTATGCTGATGCGTCGATCGAGCAGCGATGCTCTCGTAGAAATGCATCAAGATAGCACTGAGTACAGTACTGTCCTTTACTCGTTCGATAGGATCGTTGAGAGCTTCTTGTAAGCGACTCAACGCTCTGGTAAAAGGAGGATGAGGCGTTCGATAGGTGTTTGTTGGGGATTTCCATAAGCTCCAGAGCTTCGTTGCGACGGCGGTCACAACGGTTGAGAGGACAGAATCGGGATGCTCTTTGGCTACGGCTGGGAAAAGAGGTTCCAGGAAACCCTGGGTCGAGTTGAAACTGCGTCCTAAGCCTGCGATTGAGGTGAGGAAGAAAGAGACTGCGAATGATTCGTCGCTGGGGGAGATCGATGCTGGTATGACAGTCTGCATTGCCCATCCTGGCGCCATCGACTGCTGAGGGCTTTTGAAGCGTGATGTAGACTGTAGGAGCTTTGCACCTGTGGCCTGGTCCTTGAACCGAATCCCGCTTGTCTTTTTCTTTGATTCATAACCTCCACAAACCCGTCGCAGCCGGAGACATTCGCGACAGCTTGGCCTGTCCCCGTCGCATTTGACTCGTCGTTTCCGACATGTCAAGCAGCCCTTGGAGGGGCCATGGTTGACCATCTGTACTGCGCAATGATCAAGAGGACCGAGGTATGTAGCTTCCAGTTGCCACGCGACCGGTCTGGTCTGCGATTCGTCGCATCCAGGGACTGATTTGAAAATACCGTCATGCGGAAATTAAACAGCGTTTCGAACGAATCATAGATTTCCAAGTTTGAGTCCAAGGCTCGTCATAGTCTTTGCGACGGGAAAGGCGTAAGGGTGGCTGAGCTAGAATTAGAGAGGGGCGAAGGATTGCAAGGCGACCAATCGCAAAGGAATTGCCTTATGCGTCCTAGTCACCGCTGTAAGCACTAGAAAAACACCAATCGCAAACAGGCTCGATGCATGGCTGATGAATTGTGTAGGTCTAAGTTGGTTATGGGTTGATCCCGCAGGAACCGATTGCGAGAGCAAGCAAATCAAGATAAAAGACAGAGCATCGCCGAGAATATCAACGTGGTCATTGGCAACTTTACCCATCTTTCTCTACTATACCCTACCTTCTGAGTCCCTTTCAAAATGAAGTCAACTTCCCTCTTCAGTGCTATTCTCCTAGGAGCAACGATAGCCTCAAGCTCTATTATTCCCCGTGTCTCTGCACCATCTTCCTCTCCAAAAGAGCCAGAAGATCCCATAATCCTCTTGAGCAAAGATGAAAGCTTCCATTTCGAACTGCTCTTCACCCTCGGAAACACCATATTCGGGGCCGGCGACGTCAACGACGTCTTGGCCGCAGCGAAACACATCAAGCCCGGCAACTTCACCAGCTGGCTTGAGACCTTCCAAACATTGGCCGAATACACCAAAACTCAAGCCGAAGACCCCGGAAATGCGTACGATACATTGAACGTCCAGGAAGCCTGGTTCGCTGCATCAAGCTACTACCGTCAGGCCGACTTCTACAACCATGCGAACTGGACGGACCCACGAATCAATAGCTTCTGGCTCGAACAGCGCGCTGCGTTTGACAAGGCGCTTGCTGCACTGCCTGCTCCTGGCGAACGTATCCAGATCCCGACTGACAACTACACTATCGAAGCAATCTGGTACACAAACCCTGCAACCGATGCGGTCAAACGGCCGACCTTGGTTATCGGCAACGGATACGATGCTAGCCAGGAAGATTCCTACCATTCGTTCGTCGTACCAGCCTTGGCCCGTGGGTGGAATGTCATCACCTACGAAGGGCCAGGGCAGCCGACCGTTCGCCGCAATGATGACATTGGTTTCATCCCCAATTGGGAAAAGGTGCTCACCCCAGTGATTGACGAGTTGCTGAATCGCAAAGGCTGCTTCGTCGATGAAGACAGACTCGTCCTCGTTGGCATTTCAATGGGCGGGTATCTAGCTGCTCGTGCCGCTGCGTTTGAACCCCGAATCAAAGCTCTCATTCTCAATGGCGGCGTGTGGGATGTCTACGAGGGCTTCTCCAGTCAGCTGAGCCCAGACATGAAGGAAGTTTTCGCTGCGGGCAAGCAAAAGGAATTTGACGAGGCTGCCTCGTCGCTCTTCGATAGCCCACAGGTGCCTACAACGGTGCGCTGGGGTCTAGAACACGGATTATGGTGCTTCAAACAGCACTCTCCGTATCTGTGGCTCCAGTCGCTTAAGCAGTACACTCTTAAGGACGTGGTTAGCAAGATTAACGTACCCGTGCTTGTCGTCGATTCTGAGTTTGAGGGGTTCTTCGCTGGCCAGCCGGAGGTTGTTAGGGATGCACTTGGCGATAGGGCAACTTACAAATTCTTTAATGGAACAGCTGGATATCACGTCCAAGTTGGAGCAGGCCAAGAGTGGAACAGGTACCAGTTTGCCTGGCTACATAAGATATTGGGATAAGTACATCAGTTTAGTTCTTAGTTATGGGGAAATCATTAGAACATAGTAGAACATCAAAGCAATAAATCTAATTAAAACTGACTTGATTACGCACTAATATACGGAATGCCAGTCAACAGAAATCCTCGGTTCGTCAGCTCAGGCGCCTTCCTGGGCTTGTTGGTGTTATAAGGACAAGGCTCTCCATTCCTCAAGACAGGAATTCCTCCAACATGCATAGCATTAGGCCAGTGCGTCGTCCCCTGCAGATTCTCAAACGCAGCCTTCTTCCTCTTCAGATCCTCCTGCGTAGCATCCGCAGCAGGCATGTAGCACGTATAAGTGCAGAACCTAGGCTGCGTACCCTCAGGACTAACATTGTAATGAGGAGTGCGCGAATCCCAAACAATAAGATCTCCAGGTCCCGCATTGACCTTTTCCCATTCACAGCCCTTGTTCTTCAACCACTCCATGCCCTCCGCTGTGAAACCGTACCACTCATGAGTCCAAGCCCAGATCTTATTCGGCTCATCCTTAAAATCCTTGTGGAACTCTTCACTAAGAAGATGCGCGCCTTTGCAAACGATCAAACCACCGTCTTTATCACCATTAGGGAAGATGTTGACTAGGCCTTGGAGACAGCGAAAACCGGGGTTCTCGGGGTCTTGGTCCTGGTGCGGCCAGGGCTTGTTGACCTTGACGTCTTTGCGGTTGGGGAAGGATGTGTTGACGGCGTCGAAGGAGACGATGAGGTCTTGTGTGTCGTAGACGCGCTCAAAGGCCTCGATGACGCCGGGTTCTTGGCGGATGGCCCAGGCGAAGGATTCGTGGGCGACGCCGTAGCCTGTGATCATGCCCTTTTCGGTTATGACGGGGAGAGTCTCGGTTTTGATGGTGCTGGGGTCATCGCGCTTAAAGCCCATGCCGCCGTTGCTAAGAACTTATTAGTTGTTTGTTTTTGGTGTTTGTTTTTGGGGACTTACAAGGTCTCTAGGTATGTGAGCATCTCATCACCGTATTTCTCAGCTCTGTCGAGAGGAATAGCTCCCTTGATGACGGCGAAACCATCTCGGTAGAGATCATCGCGCCAGTCGCCAAAGACAGTTCCTGGGTTGGCGAAGAGCTTGTTTGGGCCTGAGGGCTTGGCTTGGACGGGCTTGTTGAAAGTGGGTTCGGTGAACTTGAAAGCGGAGGTGGCTTGGTAACCAGCTGGCTCAGTGTTGGCGACCATTTTTACGGAAAGAAGAGCGAAAGAATAAAAGTTAAATGTTGATTTGACTCAATGAGATGCAATGTCACTACAGTTATGAATCTCAGATATTGTCTTTGTGCTGTAAGCTGTTTGATGATTTAGTTTGAGCAAGTTGAATCAGCTCTTCTTATTCTTCTCTTCAATAAGCACGTTTGCTTGCCACCAGAGTTGTCCAATTGATTCCGAAGTGCAAGCATCGCTTCGGCTCGGTAACACGGCAATCCTCATTCCGCCCCGCGCTAATGTTCAGACTCCGATTCCGAGCCGTACCATTTGCAGTGGGGCCGACAAGTCCACAGCCCGGTTCGCTACTTCGGAATCCACTCTAGCTTCTCAGTATCGACTATGAATAGGTTCGCAAACGCTTGTGAAATTGAAGTGTCAAAATCCCCAATCAAACCCTTGTCATTGCAAACATCATGCCTCTCACAAACCTCCCCTTCACAGTCCCAATTGACCCCATTGGCACCCCTAAAGTCGGTCATGGCGGTTATGTCGGATTCAACCCTCACTCAGAAGTCCTCCCAGCAGGTTGGAAACACGACAGTCCTCAGGCAAGACCATTACCTTCACCTGTTCTCGTAGAACATGATGTTGCGTTCAAAATGCGAGATGGCGTTACGCTATACGCTGATGTGTATCGGCCGCCGAACACGGATGAGCCTGTTCCTGCTATTATCTGCTGGTCACCTTTCGGAAAGAAGTTCAATGGCATTTTGTCGCTAGAACTCATGGTTCCGTGGAATCTGGGCATTCCGGCACAAACACTTTCTGGACTTGAAAAGTTTGAGGCGCCTGATCCTGCCGATTGGGTTCCTCGCGGTTACGCTGTTGTCAACATTGATTCTCGCGGTTCAGGTGATAGTGAGGGAATCTTGGTCATCATGGGAACTCAAGAAGCCGAGGACGGATACGACACCATTGAGAGCATCGCCAAACTGCCTTGGTGCAATGGCTCTGTGGGACTAGCGGGAAATTCTCACCTCGCTATTGTCCAGTGGTTCATCGCAGCGCTGAACCCACCCAGTCTCAAAGCCATTGCTCCATGGGAAGGCTGCGGCGATCTGTATCGCGAACAATTTGCCCGTGGCGGTATTTATGCCGGTGACTTATTCGATAAGCTCATCGTCAAGTACATGATGCAAGGCCACAGCGGGATCGAGAGCTTCCGAGAAATGTTCAAACAACATCCCCTTGCGAATGAGTGGTGGAACGACAAGCGCCCCGATATGAAGAAGATCAACATCCCCACTTACATCACCGGCACATGGACTAACACAATGCACGGCATGGGCGCTATTCGAGGCTGGCTCGAAGTTGATACACCGCACAAGTGGCTTCGCTTCCACCCTTGGCAAGAGTGGTATGACATTTGGGGCAACGAGCAGGCGAGGACTGAGTTGCTTGATTTCTTCGACTACTTCCTCAAGGGCAAGAACAACGGTTGGAACAAGGTACCAAAGGTGCGCACGGCTGTTCTGCGATTTGGGAAGAAGGAACCTCAGTCATACGAGAACATTGTCGAGGAGAACTTTCCCATTCCGAGAACAGACTACAAGAAGCTGTACTTTACACAAGACAGCAAGCTTTCTCTTGATCAGCCAGGCGAGACATCGGCAGTTAGCTACAACTCTGAAACCGATGATCAGGTCAGTTTCACATATCGCTTCGACAAAACAACAAGATTAGTCGGTCTCCCCAAAGCCGTTCTCTACGTGTCCTGTCCCGACTACGACGACATGGACGTCTACGTCACCCTCGAGAAACTCGACACCAACGGTGAAGTCATGATGAACCTCAACATCCCATGGAAGGGCATCCCCAAACAATCCTTTGAAGAAATGACCCCCAAAGAAAAGATCGAAGTTGTTGTGTATCGCGGTCCAATGGGTGTACTCCGAGCATCGCATCGCGAGATCGACGAGAGCAAGAGTATGCATCCGCACTGGCCGTTCCATCCTCATGAGAAAGTGGAAAAGATTACGCCAGGGGATGTTGTGAGGCTTGATATAGGTATTTGGGCCATGGGTATTGAGTACGAGGCTGGTGAGTCGCTTAGAGCTGTTGTTTGTGGGAGGAATATTGGTGTGAATAATTTTGGAAGTTTGGAGCATTTGGATAATCATGGGAAACATGAGGTTCATGTTGGAGGGGAACACGCAAGCCATGTTATTCTGCCATTTGTTTAGATCATACAGTTTTCAGATGCTTTGCATAGCCAATTCAATGATTCTGATTCCTTCAGCGACTACGTCCACTGGTTGTCCTAAGCTCAGACGGAGATAGCCCTTGTAATCAGCAACTCCCTCCTCACTAAAGCCAGCACTGGCTGGAATAACTGCGACACCAAAATCTTCAATTAACTTCTCTGCAAATGCAACTTCATTGATTGACTTTCCATCTGGCCCCGAAAAGTGAATAAACGCCGTTCCTCCACCCCGCGGTCGAACCCATCGACATCGGTTCGAGTTTCTCTTGACAAACTGTTCATATTGCTCAATGTCTTTACCTTGAGTTTCTAATATCTGTGCCACGATCTTGGGCAGGACATCGGGAGATAACGCAAATAAAGCGATGGCGTCGTCGATGCGTGAAACGTTGAGGGTCGTCTAGTCTCGAGCTGCAATTATACGCTGTAGGATGTCTTTGTTTGGTGAGATAATCCAGCCGTTGCGAATACCCGGGAGTGCGTAGGCCTTGGAGACAGATCCAGTGGAGATGGTGTTATCGTATCCCAGGGAGATAACGGATGGTGGGGTTGGAGTGTCGTTGTGGAAGAGAGGACGAAAGACTTCATCGCCAAAGATTGTGATGTTGTGCTTCTTGGACAAATCTCGGATCTGCTCTAGTATCTCTCCAGAGAGAACCGCTCCTGTCGGGTTGCAAGGATTTCTCAACGCTGTTAGTAATCCTCACGAGATCTCCGAGCGTGACTCACGTTAGGATAATGGCTTTCGTGTTCGGCCGAATAAGTGCTTTGAGCTCCTCAATGTCAGGATTCCATGATCTTTCTTCTTTCGCAACCCAAAATTCCAACTCAGCGCCGAAATACTTAGGCAAGAGATACAGAGGTCCGTAGTTTGGGAATTGGCAGATGACATGGTCGCTTTTGTTGCATGTCGTGCTCAGCACTAGATAATTGGCCATGATTGATCCAGGAGTGATGATCACATTGTCTTCTGTCAGTGGTGCGGTTTCGGTGGAATAGATCTCTGCAAGGCGTTTGAGAAGCTCAACTGATCCGAGGGATGGAGCATATGAAAGTGGGATGTCGGTTTCGATCGGACTGAGCTTGGTGGAGGAAAGATGTCGAAGGTTGTTCAGCGAGAGGGCATGTGGTGCTGATCCTGCATATTGTCAGAATGTTTGGTTGAAGCCGAGGGACAGTGTAACATGCAATGCAATCTTCGCTCTGGGCTACACAAGTGAAGTGCCAGTTCTCATGATATTTTCCTTTATTCCATGACTTCTTACCCCATAGCTACGAGCTACCGAATGTCAGTCAAGACGTGAATCATACATCAGAACGGGCATCGTACTCACCAATGCGATCAAGTTCAAACTCCGGGATATCATGCATCGTGAATGCGTTCACTGAGCGCAGTGTTTCGATGTCAAGAATGGTTGGAAAGTCAGTGCTGTCGCAAGTGCAGTGGTTAAATGTAGAGTTGACGATGAGTCGCTGTCAAATCTCATCGCTCGTGAGTCAATCACGGAACTGAACCAACCTATTACCTCATTGAATCTCTCCGACGGATCGACGTGAATGGTTAGTGCTTACCACGAGCCGATACAATCACTGAGGAACACGCCCTGTGTCACTATCGATCTCCGTATGTGAATGAGATGCATTCACATCGCAAGTGTGATTGAATCAGACATCAGCCTCAATTTCGCTGTGTCAAAGCTGCATATAAACCCTCGCTCAGTGCTCTTCCTTCCAGATCAGCAACTCATTCAATCCATCTCCAACACACTCAACTCAACTCAAACAAACCCAGTCCTCCATCACACTCCACAATGGATTTCATCAGCATGTTAAAACTCATCACGGTTCGAGTCCCAGAACCAGGCGAAAGTCGCATGGCTTTCCACTTCACACGCAAGCCAGACAGTTCCATCCAAGAGCCAAAGTTCGACGACGTCTTGCGAGCGTACAGCTCGGAGGTCACTGACATCGTGTACACCGAATTCGAGGAATGGCTTACACTGTATGTGTTCGCAGCAGGATACGATTGGGCTACGCATCACGAAAGGATGAAGAAGATTTGCGATGAGAAGGAGATTGGCACAGACTGGCGGATTATGCGGATGGTGGCGTCTACCTGTGTTGACAACACGGAATGAGAGGTGCTGTAGACGAGCCTGCAAAGGCTGTTCTCTCGAGTTGCAATGGAGACAGCAGATTTGTCGATTTAATTATCGTTGCATACATTTCATTAGTCCCTCTTACTCGAGAACGATAACAGCTTCAGTCTCTTGAAATTTCTTTTCGTGCTATCAAACGAGATGTGGTGACTTTGCACGTATACTGTTTCATCTCCAGTTGTCTTTCTTCAGATTGTAAATTGGATTACTAGTTGGGATGAAAAGTCAAATAAGTCTAGGAAGAGCGAAGCCAACATAAAGAGTTCAATTTCACAGGCACAAATACGATCACAGAGGATTCTGTTAAAAGTAAGGGTAGCCCTGATCGGGCTAGCTCCCTGAGCAAGGATAACGCTCCATGAGGTACATAAGGAGCTCTGCATCAGTCTATTGGATACTGTTAGAGCTGATCCAAGCATGCGCGCGTGTATTCAGCCGGATTTAGTGGCAATCGGGTATTTCAGTAATCATTCAGTCACTGACATGGAGACATGAATAGTGGCTGTTGATCAAGATGTCCTGTATTTGCTCAATCATACAAGACGTCTACTGCGTCACTAACCAATCCAGATGCCATTCATTCACTTGGTGTACACTGACTGATTCATGTCCCGGATCAGACAAGAGCTACAGGTTCACAGTGATAGAACTACAGCTCGCCCATAATCACTACCTGTGACCAAAAAATGAGTTAATATTCACAGAACAGGTCCCTGGACCTAGGAATATAAAGCTTGCGTTACTACCCAAGAGCATCAACTGAACTATTGCAACTCAAACATTGATTTCAGTAGCACTGAATTTCGCGAATTTGCCAAGTCTAAATACCAGACAATAACATAACCTAAAATATCCTTACAATGCCTAAGCAGCCGGAAACGCGTGTTTTCACACGAATTGGTACCACTACTAGCAACCAGGAAAAGCTCGAGAACCTTTTCTCACAGTGGAAGGGAAAAGGAGTTGAAATTATGATCAGCCCCAACAGGATCACTTTGACCACACCCGCTGGAGATGAGATGGCGGGAGAGAATTTAATACAGAGCTTCCGAGCCCAGATGGAAAAGGATGGTCTATGAAAGGATTGGAAGGACGGAGCTTATTAAAGTCCATCAAGCCAATTGATAGAGAGGTTCAGAATGTAAGACCTGGCAAATCTTTACTTGAATACTTGAGGATATTGTAATGATACATTATTATGCCTTATAAGAACTAGTCTAAGCCGATAAAAGAACAAAGTGCACATTTTTTACATTCAAGCTTCTCTCGATATAGTCACCTCTGGTGACTTGTAAATTTTCTAACTTTCGGTTTGCGTATTAGATGCTGACCACATATGTCTTTGCAGATTAAACAATCCCCAAAGTTTTGTATCTGATCAACAGTATGTATGCTTTTGCCCTCAAGACACTGAAGACACCCCTACTCAATGCGACCCTGGAGTTGAACTAGAAGGTGGCGCGTTTTGTCTAGGATATAATCCAGGAAATATCAGTGTTAATGCTAACATGACTGTGAGAACTCGATTGATACTTAAAGCTTATGACGCCTCAGCGAGACATATACTGTGAGAACTTGATCCGAGAACTTTAATAATCAATTTCCACTGCTGGGGCTGCCCAGGCCAGACGAAAATCGTCTTGCGTTCCATTTCATGCGTCAACGAGGTGGAAATGCTTTCCGCCGCTATCGAAGAAGCTCGCGACAAAGAGAAAGTCGTTTTCAATGATCATGGGAAGGGCAGAAGAGATACATGTAGTCAACTCACTTTGTTTTGAATCTATGCTCCTGGGTGCTGTCGCAAAATGCATTGGGTGATATTGATGCAGCTGGGGACAGTATGTCTTAGAATTTAATAGAATAACACATTTTCCCTCCAGCGGTTCTCCAGCTGATTGAGATGGTTAAAAAGAAGAATTCCTGTGTCTTAACTGCACGTCCGTGTGTTGGTCAGGTGGAGGAGCATTCGGGTATTCGGGTAACCGTTTCAGAGGCCGGGTATTCGTAATCCTGAAAGCCGATGGGTGACGTTCAGGAGAAAAGGCCAGAGTACTGAGCGGCAACTCGAAGGGGATTATTCTTTACGATTGATATAGTTACGGTAAGTATAAAAAGGCCAGAACGGTTTCCATTTGTGAGGATATTAACACAATCATCCTTACAACTCAGACTCAGACCACCATTTCTTCATAAGTTTACTAATAATTCGCACTTCTTAACCTTATATCTCATTACATCAGATACATATTCAATATGTCAAGCAGAATTGTAATTGTGGGTGCTGGTTTCGCTGGAGTTTGGAGCGCCCTCTCGGCCCAACGTCTCATCAACCTCAAGAACAAAGAGCAAGACATTCAGGTTCTCGTCATCGCCCCCGAACAAGCGCTAATCCTCCGTCCTCGCCTATACGAACCCAACCCCTCAATGATGAAACAACCCCTCGGACCTCTTTTTACATCTGCCGGTATCGAGATCCTCCAGGGCATCGCCGAAACCATCGACACAAACTCTCAGACAGTGCATGTCAAATCCCCATCTGGCCACGAATCTGATATTACTTACGACCGGCTCGTCCTTGCGGCTGGGAGCACAGTTATCCGACCCAAAAGTGTCGCTGGTCTCGAGGAGTATGCCTTTGACATCGATTCAATCGCAGCTGCAACCAAGCTTGAGTCTCATATCAAGAATCTGGAATCCCTTCCCGACAGCAAAGCCCGCAACACTGTGGTTATCTGCGGCAGTGGCTTCACAGGCATTGAAATTGCGGCAGAGCTACCAAATATGCTCAAGCACATTGAGAAACCCCGAATTGTTCTCGTGGAAAGTGCTTCAGTCGTTGGACCTGAACTTGGAGGAGGGCCGCGTCCTACTATCATGAAAGCTCTGGAAAGTCTCGGTGTTGAGCTCAAGCTCGGTGCTTCTGTTAATTCAGTTGACTTGAGTGGAGTTAATCTTTGGTCTGGAGGGCGGATTGAAGCGATGACTGTTATCTGGACCGCCGGTGTGCGAGCAACGTCCCTGACACAGCAAATTCCTGGGCAGAAGGATACGCTCTCCCGACTTTGCGTCGACCAAGATCTCCGTGTTCCTGGCTGTCCTTACGTCTTTGCCACCGGTGGCGCTGCCCATGCTGCCACTGATACAAAAGGCAATGTCACCATGCCCTCATGCCAACACGTCGTCGTCCTCGGTCGTTTCTCAGGACACAACGCAGCAGCAGACCTCCTGGGCGAGCCAACACTTCCCTACTGTCAGCCTGGATACGGCACTTGCCTTGACCTTGGGCCTTGGGGTGCTTTGTTGGCTAATGGGTGGGACAGGGAGGTTACAGTCACTGGCCAGATCGCGAAACAGGTGAAGAGATACGTCAACCAGAAAATTATCATACTTCCGGACACTGCCAAGGAGGCACTAGATGCTGCAGATCCGGCTTCTTATGACTCTGAAAGTCGACTTAAGCGTGTGCTCGGTGTGCTGGGGTGGACGTTGCGCAACTACGTTGGTAACAACAACAAAAGACTTCCCTAGCATGGGAAATGATATGAGATGCACTTAAGCATCGGCTTTTCGGGTCTTTATAGACATAAGAGCTCAGTATCTTTAACATATATGATAACATCAGAAAAGTTGTAGACCTGCTGAGGAAAACCTTTTAATAAGTTGTATATATTCTTTTTACATGAGATGTTCAAGTAGCTGCCAAGCACCAAGCCAGCTGATTTCTTAGCTCTGGTCAGACGAGCATGGTTCCCCAAATTCCAGTCGCCATTACCCCACGTTATTAGACATCACTTTCAGCCAAGCCATTCAATAGCATGACCAGGGGAGTCTAGCGTGTACAAGAAACGAAAATGGCAACCTTTACACATGAAGAAGTGGAAACGGCAAGTGTCGGCTTATCGCTGGTTCACAACTGTCGCAAAGGTATTTGGCGGCATTGCAGCACGTTTCAGTAATCTTGTCTTGATCAAAGGTTTTTCGGCCTCGACATCTTTGAGATCTCGTCTTGCGATATCAGTAGTTTCTTCCTTTTTCACAAGTCATGAAAAGGATAATGGCGATTTATAGCATTTGGCAACCTGGACTTTTCTCGAGGCCAGCTGCCGGATCGGTTCCGCCATGCGCGACCATGGTTGACACTGATGATGTGACTGTGGCATGGTTTAAACCACTCAACAGATGAAAATATCGTGGTTTTATGGCACAGAGCCTCCCCCGTCTCAGAATCTGGAGTGGCGAGTGAATACTACCTTGCTAGAATGGTAAGCGACGATGAGAATCAGGAATGTCGAAATTGCCCAACGTCAGCTCATCAACAAGGAGATACTCGTTTTACGTAAAATGTTTGAAGAAAGGAACACGTCCTATTGAGGGATTATTTAAATATCGAAACTCACATTTGGCGCATGTGAAAGTCGTAAGTTCTGTTTGAAATTCGCCTTGATCACCCTATATCTCAACAGTCGAGCCTTTGAAGTCCTCTATCTATCCGGCCAGGGATTGGCGTCACAGACCAGAATAATTAGTCCTCGTGCCGCCCATTCAAGCAAGTGCGGCTCTGCAGTGCGCATCAACCGTTGAGACTTCAAGTGAACAATACCGTTAACGTACGTAGCATGAAAGGGCAGCTTACATTATAGCACTCTGGGAAGACAACAAGCCGAGGACGTGTCACAAGAGAACTGTATAAACAATCATTGGTATCGAGGCTTTGACAACAAACAACAGAGGCCCCATGCAATTTAAATGACCTTCCAGAAAAGGAAGCTCCTGTAGGGAGTGGGCCAGTGGCCAGACGGAAAGATATGCTTATCCAGACGTTGCCGCATTTTCAGGCTCTGTGGGGTAGTGCCAAGCACAAGGTGAGTCCGTTTCCCCGATGGCTATCTATCATGGCTGCGGCATATAAACTCTGGATAAACGTGTGCTAAAATTGTATACTGGGAAAAACAACTTGATAGCAATGGAGAGAACCAAGACATCAGATAGAAGGCAGCTTCTATTATCGAACTATCTTGTTCATACTGCAAATCGTTCATTGAAACGCCGTCCAAGTTAGTGGCTATCCCAGTCGCACATATGGGAGCGTCCGCTTCCCCGCACATAAGACCAAGTCTCCTCCCTACTCCCCAGCTCCCTTTCCACTAAAACTTCCTAAACTTCCAGTGGGTATGGGGTAAAGTGGGCAAACTTGGAGGTGGAGTCCTCCCACCGTCCGTCTCAGAAAAAGGAGAAGGCTTAGCTCTCTGCCAAGTCGTCCATGCTGTCATACAATGATACCCCATCACTTGCTGGTACGCGCCAAGAGATACCACGGCTTGCGGATAGGTGCATCCTCTGCTTCGCCAAGCAACCGATGATCCAGGCCGAGAAAACAGGTGACGACTTGCCAAGAAATGCTCGCTGCGTTATGGTAGGGTAGTTATAAAAATGCCAACATGCCCTTGCCCCCTTGGCACTTTTCTTCATGTCACACTCGTCGCGCTCTTTCTTGTGATCTGCGACAAGGTGTACGACTTCCAGCCAGTCTTAAAATTTGATATTCTTTATTGCGTCGCCAGAGAATCTGCTAGTTGACTATGGGGTTCAACTTCAAAAGAGTGGTCGACTTTATCGCGCCCAGCGCAGATAAGGAAGACGATGGCCGTGACAAATGGCCCTCGCGCGCAGCCTTTGTGCTCGCTGCCATGGTACGTCATATCTCACTCTTTAATTCAATTCATTTTTCAGTCGCTAACATGACTTTCAGGGCGGTGCTGTTGGCCTCGGCAATCTTCTCCGCTATCCCTCCGTCGTCTTCGCCAACAATGGTCTTCAATGGTTCATTCCGTATCTCATCGCCCTCTTCTTCCTCGGAATCCCAGTTCTGTGCCTCGAGATCTGCATCGGCCAAGCCTACCGCGGCAGTGTCGTTGTAGCCTTCAATGGGATCAACAAGCATACCAAGGGTGTCGGCTTGGCCGTCATCATGAACGGATTTATCGTTGCTACTTACTACGTCCCTATCTTGGCTTGGATCATGCATTATTTTCGATGCTCCTTCGAGAGCCCTCTTCCCTGGACCGGTCGCGGACAGGAATTCTACATGCAGGGTGTTATCGCCAATGATGACCCCATTGTTCCCGAGGGTTCTGGATATGTCGAGTATCCCGGCACCGGCTTCGTTGGCGAGACTGTCGGTTGGGTCGCCTTTATGTGGGTACTCGTATGGCTGTGCATGTTCAAAGGCGTTGGGACAACCGGCAGGGTTGTCTACTTCACCATGGGCCTGCCCGTCATCATGATCATCATCATCCTTGGCCGATCAGTTTCTCTCCCGGATGCCTCGACTGGCATCAAGTATTATTTTGGTGAGTGGAATGGTGAGAAGCTCGGCAGTGGCGGTATTTGGCAAGCGGCCTGCGGACAGATCTTTTTCTCCATTGGCGTGGGCTTTGGATATTTTACATCCTATGCTTCCTATAACAGCAAGCATGCAAACGCCGTGCAGGACACTCTCATCATCGCACTCTGCAACTCTCTTTACGAAGTTGTTGGTGGCTTTGCCGTTTTTGGTGTGATTGGTTTCTTGGGCTACTCGCCCGACGACTCGTCCATCTCGCTCAGTACTTTTACCGTTGGCTTCTTGACTTACCCTCTTGCATTGGCAGAAATGCCGGGTGCCAACGTCTGGGCTGTTCTGTTTTTCCTCACGCTGGCTGTTCTTGGCCTCAGCTCGGCTTTTGCTCTCAGCGAATCTCTTGTCACGCTCATCTGCGATTGTGGACTGGGTCGCAAGTTCTCGAGAGTACTGATCACCACTGTCATCATTCTCCTTTCCTTCCTCCTCTCCCTTATCTATTGTACCAAATTCGGCTTCTACCTTCTCGACGCTGTCGACACCTGGATCAACAATCTCTCACTCATATTTGTGGTCTGGTGCGAGTGTGTAGGTGCTACGACCCTCTATCGCTATAAGGATGTCGTTGGACAGATTGGATGGACTGGGTACCTAGTTTACAACATCGGTTACGTCTTGTCTATGGTGCTTGGTGTAGCAATCGGCCACGCCGTGAGCCCTGCTGCCGGTGCAGGCGTTGGATTCGGCATTTTCATTGCATCTAACATTCTCGCCATCATTCTTTCCAAGTCCCCCGACTCTAGACCTCCTGGATTCTTTGGCAAGAACAATGTATTGTCCAAGATGTGGTGGTTCTCATTCTACTCTGTATGTCGCACTTTAGTACTTGGCAGAACTTCTACTAATACGCACGCTTCTAGTTCAATCAGCTTCGCCGGGATCTCAACATCGTCGTTGCAGGTGGAAAGCGATGGAACATCCCAGTCTTCTGGGGCTTCGTCCTACGATACATCTCAGCCCCAATCTTGGCAATCATTGTTTCTTTCGCCTTCCCGTTGTTCTACACCAAGCGAAACGACCCGCTGCACATTTTCGCCTTCGCGTCCGCTTGTGGCGTTATGTGCATTGTTGCCGCTGGCTTCATCGTCCCGCGATGGTTCGACGTCTTCGTCCCTCCTGAGAAGCTCCATCTTAGTGATACTTTCTATGCCCCTCAGGTGGTCATGGCTCCTCTCGAGGTTCACCGCGATGAGGTCATTGAGCATGGACAACATGCTGGGGAGGGACATGTTGAGCCTTACCCGAGGAAGAAGACAGAGGCTCAGAGCTTCTGATTCTTTTCATCTCGACTGCATTATATGTATCTTGAGCACATGCAAATTATCAGTCCGTAGCATAGTTTACCAGACACATCAAGTAGAGAAATTTCAGGCGCCATGGTCCATTTGTAGTAAAAATATATTTGAGTGGCCTGCTCGACGCAGTGGCCGACCTTCGAGTAGCCCATGTGACTACCAGGCGTTATCAGGCTCGAAGGCCAAACATGTTCCTCCAATTAGATGGTGCGACTGGCTTGCACAAAACTTACGTTCAAATAATATTGCTTCATAGATCGACAACATCAGTAAATGCTTACTAGCCTAAGCGTACAGTCTATACAACACTTATAGACTAGTCTCTAAGATCTCTGCTCTATACTGAGTCAGTCTATAGCCATATTACGCTATCATCGCGATAACCGTATTCATCAGTATCCTAGCGTCCTTCAGCCTCTTCAAATACATCATCGCTCATCGCCCAGACTTAAAGATTGGACCTCCTTGGCATCAATTGCGATCTCATTTCCTCCCACAGTGATTCGTAGCCCCCCATTTTCGCAACAACCCCAACTATGATATCATCCGCGCTCTCGGGGACTCGCGTGCCCACATCAACCAGTACTTTCAGTACCTCCAGTAACAGGTAATCTGAATCTTCAGAAGCTATCGCGTCGAGTCGGGTATAGTATACTGAGTGGCACAGTGCCTTGAGACAGAGTGAGATGCTCGTCTCTGCATGGTCATCCTTGACGGCTGCATAATTTGGGTCGGCGCCATAGCTCAGCAGGATGCGAACTGTTTCGGCTGTTTCGCTCTTGACTTTACAGCCATTGTAGGCATTGAGACAAACATGCAGCGGTGTACCCGTGACTGTGAAGCCATACTCGTCCACAGAAGCGTGATGGACATCTGCTCCAGCTTGTAGGAGGACGGCTACCGTTGTTGGAGATTGCTTCTTGGCCGCTGCATGCAGTGCGGAACTACCAAAGTCATCTACATAATTCGGATACGCATCATGTTCCAGCAACCTACGTGTCAGACGTGTGTTTCCTCGTCTGGCGGCTTCGTAGATGAGGGTACGACCCGACCGCGTTTCACAGTTGATAGCACCCGTCTGGCGCAGGACCTGAAGGTAGCGAGTCTCCTCATTTTGTATGGGAGTATCGGCCGCGATGAGAAAGGCTCCCTGGCAGAAATAGTGTCTTGGATCAGGTTGAGTGTTGGCGTAGGTTCGAAGACATCACATGATTTCCCAGCTGCCTGCTTCTTCGGAACAGAGAAGTGCAAGCTGGAAGCAATCTAGCCCGTCTTTCCCTGCACCGTATGGATTGGCCCCTAGTCTCAGTATAGTGTAAATGACAGGGATGCTAGCAGCTCTCTGCACGCAAAGCTGCAGGGGTGTCACTGAATTGATATTAGCTCCGGCATCGAGAAGCAATTGAAGTATGCGAGTCCAATCATCAAAGGGAAGTGGTTGTAGCTCATAATATAGCATCGTTCGATCTCGGCTTCCAGGGGTTGAGACCGAGGGGAGTCTCTCTGACACCCTATATAGTTCGTGTAAGCTGTGATGATATGGATCTATACTCGAAGAATTAACATTAGGCAACTCAAGTCAGGATCGGTCATGCTAACCCAGCAAGGGACCCATATTCACAGGCTGCTTGATTTGTTTCAACAATTCGGCTGTAAGATCCCAATTGTGACTTTTCAAAGCCAATGACAAAGGTGTTTGCCTAGAAGGCGTTATTCCATTTTCCCAATCACACACAGAATCCAGGGCGCTAAGACTTGAGAGCTGAAAGACGAGCTTCATCCAATCTCTTCGCTTTTTTCTCACAACTTGGACTTCATCGGGTGTGACGAGCTTCCGAAGATCGAAGTATTTCCAATGAGCCATCCAGTGCAACGGCAATTGGCCGCTTTTGTTTGGAGATTCTATGCTTAACCCGGCGGTGCACAACATTTGTACGACTGTAGCATTACAGGTCCGTATGGCGTAGTGCATAAGCGAGTTGCCTTCCGTATCTTGAATAGAGATCGAAGCTCCTCCGGAAACCAGTAGCTTATATATAGTGACTGCTTTCTCTTCATAGGAGGCGGTCATGAGATCCATGATTTGTGTTCGCCCATTTCTGTCTCGAGCATTGATATCAATCTTGTCGATGCCCAGGAGCAGGTTAACTGCTTCTTCACGTTGGTTTCGACAGGCTCTGTGTAGAGGTGTTTGATCACAAGTTCTCTCCGCATTGTTGACATCTGCCCCTAGGCCGATCAGGGCAGCCATACCCTCGACCCAGCCAGATGCTGCCGCTTCGTGAAGAAGAGCAAGGCTATCAATCCCGGAGGCCTTCACAAGCTTGAGATCAAATACCAATTTGATTATAGGCAAGTCCTGTGACCGCGTGGCATGGATCAGCAGTTTATCTACAAATTCAAGAAATCCAATATCTGGTTTTCCCCACTGGTAGTCGCGGTCTGGCCTCGCTCTTCTTCCGTGATCAGCTTTGAGACTCTGTCCAAAGGGCCCATAAAGGAACGGATCAAATGTATAATAGCCTTCATTCCTTTCCGGAGGTTTGTCTTCTTTCTCACGAAAACTCTGCTTTAGAGCGCTGAAGATGGCGGAAAACATTTCGATATCTGTGCCATGCGAGTAGAATTTGAAAGGACTCTGGTTTGCTCTAGTAGTCAAGGCGCGAGCTCTCTCAACCGTCAAGTCGTCCAATGACGGCAGTGAGAGTACTGGTGACTTTTCATGCTGTCCAAAGCGTGTCTTGAGATCTAAAAGCCGCTTCACAATTTCGGTTTGGCCCGCGGAAACTGCCCAGTGAAGTGGAGTGAGTCCTTTATTATCGCATCGGAATGGAGCGTTGTCATAGCGCCAGAGCATTTCAATTATATCTGCGTGGCCCTTGAAAGCTGCCCAGAATGTTGGCGTCCATCCTGCAAGATCTGGAAGATCAGGACTGGCTCCTGATCTGAGAAGAGTCGCAACTACACTCTTATGGCCCATGGATACGGCCCAGTGCAGAGGCGTCCATCCATGAGAGTCACTCTTGTTTAGATTCTGTTTCTGAGTGCTCGGAGTTCCCTGCCGTGTGTAACTCAAGCTGCGATCAATGTAAGTTTCAAACCCCCAGAATGCGGCCACATGCAGAGCCAGGACATTTCTGGGACTAGATTTAAACACAGACTCGGAGACAGAAGTATCGAGGTGGGCTTTGAAGTTCAAAAGTTGCCACGAGCTTTCCCGAAGAACATCATTCTCAAGAAACCCCGAAAGCTGGTCGAAGCATTCATCTTGGACTTCTTGAGCGTGATAGCCATAGAAGTTCGCTGCATAGTTGAGGAAAGGGTGCTTTTGGCAACGCTGAGTGACATCTTCGTGGGATAGCCTGCGGCCCTGGCGCATCTCATTTGTTGACATGTACGAGATGCAACTGCGAACAATCGTCAGATGAGGCCGCTTATCCATCCCTTCAGGTCGACTCTGTAGGAAGTTACGCGCAGTCGAGTGTACAAACTGGACGATTTTCTCCGGTCCCGAAACTACAAACAGTCCAAGGCATGATGAGATGATGGCTTTAGAAGGATGAAGATCCTCAGAGTCGACTTCAGCCATGCCTTGTTCCGCAATGAGGGCGTGTTGCAGCTCGACCAGTCGCAAAGGCTCCTTGACGTAAGAAATAAAGTTCAATGATTTCAAGGCAAGTTCCCTCAGACTAGGGGTTTGCTTGACTATACGGTCAAACGTGCTTAGGTATGCCTCGTCATAATTGGCGGGTAATGAGATCAGAGCTTTTCGTATTTCCTTGATGGTGAGAAGGCTGGTGATGTGATCCATGATGAGCCGAGCAAGTAGGAACCTATCAAACCCATCAGTCTATCAGTATCTCAGAAGAGCACCGACTGAACTTACGACCCCGCCGCCCTTTTCACAATTGCTGATACGATATCCGACTTCAATTCTGTCCCAATTGACTCAACATCAACTTCTCCATGCTCCAACCGGTAGTTGACGTAGAAATCCAAGTCATGTCTGGTGGCAGAAATTTCCACCCTTGGCCTCTTCTCGAAATGCTTCCTAATATTTGGCAGATCCCGAGCTGTTGCAAAGATTCTCACTCCCAGATCCTGCAATATCGACAGGATGCTGAAAAGCTTGGGGAGGAAGGGGCATTCGTCAAGTGCATCAAGAATGATAATCGTGGTCATTGACTTGGCAATCGCCTCAAGGACATGGATCAGATCGGTCACCATTAGATTCTGAGACCCTTTCTCATACAGGACCGATGCTTCTTGGGGGATGGAAGGGCAGCCACGGAGCGCTTGAGCGATCAGGCTTCGTAGGACAAGGCTCACTGTTTCCTTGGGCCTGCTGCTGCTGAAAAAATGTGAGGCGATGGCTGTACCGGGTACGTTATCAGACTTGACATGCCGAAGAACGATGGCGCTGTTATGAGTGGAGTTAGTACCCTCGAGTTGCCTACTCATATGTTACCATCAGGTGGAAGTCTTACGTTAATACTGTTTTTCCAGCACCAGCTACAATTCTTCAGTATTTATATGTCAAGATGGGGAGAGGAAGTGAGGAACTGACGTTGTCCGTATCCCCAGACGACGGGTGTTGAGCCGCTCCGCCAAGATTGATAGAAAGAGCCCGATAGAAATGTCTGCCATGTGGAGGGGCAGTAATCGTCCAGATGAGAAGTTAAAACCTCAATGGCGACATCCAATTTGTACCAGGCGACTATTTCTTTTGCTTCAGTACCTATATATACACGTTATGGCGGCTCGTCCACTAGCTGGCTATACAGAAGCATTTGTGAGAAAGACTTACTTTGTCTAATGTCTTGCAGCTCTTTGTTCGTCGCAATTGCCATGGTTATTGACAAATAATGAGCCGATATTCCCTTAACAGCTCGGCAACCTACAAATTATCAGCTTGCAAGGTAGATGAGAACATCCCATTATACCGATGCAACATATTTACTTTGTCCAGCAACTCGGATTCTGACAACGGCCAAGCCAAAGCAGCCACCTTGGCCTTGATTCTACTATACGACAGCTTTTTCTGCAGCTTTGCCCTCAGGGATTCTACTTCCAGTTGACAGTCGTGTAAAGCGTTGCTGAGAGTCTGGCTATTCTGGACGTTGAACCTCTTGGTCCGAATGAGGTCTTCGAGCTGTAGCATACCGGAGGTGAGCGTTGTAAGCTCCGCAATGTACGAGGTTAACGATTTAGGCGCACCCCTAACGCTGGCGATGTAGGTGTAGCTGAGCTTGGTGACTTCTATCGCTAGACTCAGGAGGCCCGCGGCGCCGGACGCGATACCGAGGGCTTCGGCCATTTCGGTTCTGCTGCTGTACTCAGGATGAAGTGAGGTTTTTAGGCTGCCTGTTGGAAGTGACCAGCCGCGCGGGGTTTATTTCAGCTGAAAAAGCTGTCTCACTCGAACGGGACTAAGATTGTAGTTGGCGTAATTGAAGCGCTATTACTGGCCGCAGCTGCAAATTTAATCAGCCCTGATAAAAATAGCTACAGTAGCAACATGGGGTCTTCTGATAGCGAATGGAATATCTCGCAAGGACATTATTTGCAATAATCTTTATTCTCTTCTTTTAGAATAGGATCGCGAGGATCGGAAAACCCAACCCGTGGAGAACATCGCGTTTCCCTCAGCTGATATACGTCCGGATAATGACTTTCTTGGAGCGTATCGCTGATAGAATTATTAGAATGTACAGAAAAGCAGTTACATTGCCACTCCTTTATCCTGTTATTCTTGGCCAATCCCTACAAAGACCAAAAAGTCTTCGACAAACCTTTCCGTATTCTCCCACGAAATTAAAATGCTTCCACGATCCTGTGCCATGATGGCATAATCTCGCCGCGGGGTCTGTCATCGGTTTTCTGCCCATAATGTCGTTACGGGTCCCGTGACTCGGACTTTATAACGTTAGCAGTCTGTGAAAACGTAGGTTATGCTTGGAGGAAATGAACTTACTGGAAGCCGGTAATAGGGAGAATAAGTATGTCTTCAACCAACTTAGATTTTCCCCCATCCTTGAAACCTGTCAGGCTGGTCCATCGAAAGCCCATCTGGTCCTCTAGCCAAGATTTGGTTGCAAGAGTAACAGCCGCAGGGCCAGTCCTCTTGAGCGGGTCACTATTCTGAGCCGCTGTTTCGTTGTCTCTGGTATAATTCCGTAGATTGTCCATATATCGTTCGAACACTGGGTGTTGAGGAGCAGAAGCGAATGCCCATTGCGATAGTTGTTGAGGGTATGTGTAGCTTCGGCGCCAGTATGCATCGGACTCTGGGTCATTATCGGCTTCTAGTCCCCAAAGAAGGCTGACTACTGGCATTTCATAGTCTGGTGTTACCGACGTATTATAATAGCCGTAATCTGTTCCTGTTTGCGGGTCTGTCCAGGTAGCCATATCAGATCCGCCTATCCAGGCAGCTGGATGCCGTATGAGCTCAGTATCGAGATCCGCATACTACATTAGTTAGAGCAGGCTCTGAAGTGTCTTCGGAGTATACTGACTATTCCGCCAAAGTGCTTGCATACTAAAATGCGAAATACATCGCTTCGTTCAACTGGTGTCAGGAGGGAGTCGTAACGCTCAAGGAAGTCGTTCTCGTACTGTTCCACTAACGCACGCATTCCTGTATCGTCCCAGAATAAGTATGCCATCGACGGTCCACTATCGACGTAAATCGAGTTCTCCAGCCACAATTCAACCCAAGGAAGTATTCTAGGATCCCAAGTATCGACCGCTGTCGTTTTCCAAGTTTGGTGGACAATTAATGGGATATCAGAGAAGGGTATCCTTCTCTCTCTCTTGGAAAGAGCGCTCTGTGAGACGCTATGAGCAGCATCGAGAATATTTTGCGGCCTTTTACTCTGCATATCAGCCCAATATGGAGGGATATGCCATGCTTAGTTCCAGCGTTAGTGCTGTGAGCATTCCTTGCGGTATGCGATGCAGGAATGTTCCGACTTACCACCTCCCGTGCCGTTGAACGAATGGATATGTCTGTAGACTAGTGGGTATTCCCTTGCAATATCCCTTTCCTGGTAGCGATTTATTGGCGAGCTTTTTATGAAGGTCCATGTTGCTGCGATAAAGAATGATAGAAGGCCCAAAAGTCGTATACGACGGGATGGACGACGGAATTTGCCATGTATACCACATTGGTGGGTCATGGTTGAAGAAGACAACAGAAGAATGGTGAAGTCATTAAAGAGTAAAGAAGATCATAAAAACCGCTATCACTAAATCTTGGTCACTTCGCCTTTCGATCCAAAAGGTTTATTTGGAGATAACAAGAGATAGTAAGGGCAGGTAGTTTGCAAGAGCGCTATTGACAGAGTCTATCGAGATATGGATGACAGACCTTGAATACTGAGTTCTAATATATGTCTGAGGAATGTACAGACTCTCTGATGCTTCTTTGACTGCCTAAAGGACGCTAGATTCGAAAGAGAAACGCAATACCATTAGGGATAAAGGATGTCACTTCTACAGGAGAACACTTCGCCACGTATGATTACGACAACTTCAGACTTGAGTGGAATCTTTACGCGGGTTCTTAGCGACCTGATGCGATTCGTGGAGGGATTGCTTATCATGGCTAGCTGATGGAAGGGGTGCCAGGATTCCAGCTAATGACGACTCTGTCGAGTTAGCTTATACGGATATACCGCGGAGGAGGGTGATCATATCACACTATCGAAGGCCTGGTGAATTTCAACAGGTGAAAAGAGTTCTTCTATATTCGCTCCCCCCGTCCGAAAATTCGCTGGTGGCACAGCTTACTAACATAACTGCCTCCACTAAGTAGGTATGCTAAATCACCCAGAAGGCCAGGCCCGTCTTGGTGTAAAAGTTTGGTATAAACCGTAGATCATGGCGAGGCCATGCCCCCCAATCGGACACAAGATCGAGCACAAAAACTCGAAAAGTGACAACGCAACGAGTAGGGAGCTAGGAAACGGAGCCCAACTACTGTGCATACCGATGACCGTTAAAGTAGATCCTGAATTAAGATATATATCGCAGATTCATAAAGTACTCAACATGTGCTACACTTACTAATGAGTTATAACCACAGAAAGTTCCAACCACGCAAGATTGCTGACCAACCCTTGGCCAGAAGCCTAGAATATCTCATGGAGGTTCAAACGCCCTGTCCAATCGGCGGTCCTCAGGCTACGCGCGTCCGTCCACCCCGTGAACTTGGTGCCCGATGTTCCACGCAGGTCTCGGCCGCTAGCGCGACGGCCAATCGAGGGTCATGACGCACAGTTTCAGTCTAAAAAACGCCATGGCACCAAGTTATGCTTGACTGGCATAAATGAGCAGCCACAAATTCTAGGCCCAATGTTGGTGATGAACAATGAGGACGCGTCATCAGCAGAAACAGCTCTCGTCACTTGTGAAACACCTGATCTATTGGCTAGCTGAAATGAACTGCTCCTGGTCTCTCCTCCATCAGATCAATGGACAGTCTAGCATGCGAGCCAAGAAACCCAAATGCCCGCTGAAAGGCTCAGTAAATGGGTGAATAAAATATTGATGTTCTAGTCGGTTGCCCCCATTTCCTTCCATTTCACACTGCACCAGTATCTCCTCATGCATGTGGAAGACGAGATAACATGAAGGCTTTCACTTACTTCTACATTAAGCGCCTGGCCGGGCTTGACGATTACAGGCCACTTCCCTTAGAGAAAAATGGCGATTTATACCAAGTCGGCCACGGCCTGCCACAATGCGAACAACGGACATCAAGAGCACGGCAAAAGCGTGTCAAATTCTGGCCTGCCGCCATCTTTTGTACATTGCTGATCTTGTACGTCCTATCGAGTCATACTCATCATGGCCAAGATACACCTACAGCGGCTAATGGTTGAGACAGATCGCCTTTCCTCATAGTATTTCCCGTCCTTTTGTCAAACGCTCTTTATACATATGAGACGACACAGTTTACGTTTTACGGCCGACTCTTCAGACATGGAAATCCAACATACAATGCTGTGTTATGGGGCACTCACTTGTCGCCCCTTGTCACTCCAACAATGTGTCACTCTCACAACGATTACTGGAGAATTCATCCTCTTTTTTCAGCGCTTGCTGTAGGTTGTGCGAGTGTTGAGGCAGATGTATGGCTCAGCCCAGATGGAGAAGACCTTCTCGTAGGCCATGAGAAACGCTTCCTTTCCCCAGATCGCACACTTCGATCACTTTACATCGACCCGCTATTACAGATCTTGGACACAATGAATCGGCCAGCGCCACACGAGGCCTTCAATCCCTTTGCGCGGGCCTCTGGTGTCTTTGCCACCGAACCGAATACAACCTTGATACTGTTCATTGACGTGAAAGACGATCCAGTCAAGACATGGCCTTTGGTTCTTCGGCAGCTAGGGCCTTTGCGGGATTTGAGATACCTAACCCGCCACGACAAATCCATGGTCACAAATCAGACATTCTGGCCCGGACCCATAACCATAGTGGGCACAGGAAACATTGTTAAACGGCGCGACATCAACATTGGCACAGACCTTGAAGAATGGCAGCAGCACCACGATGCTTTTCTCGACGCTCCTTTACATCTGCTTCCTGAAACAGGCTTCACCGAAAGCGACGGGTTTTACGGTCCCTACGAATTGGAAAATGAATTCTATACCGCGTCTGCCCCTTTCAGCGAGGCTATCGGCAGTGTTAGGACGGGCTTCAACACCCAGCAGATGGAGACTCTGCGGAACCATCTTCGGATCGCAAAGCATCGAAACTTGAAGTCAAGACTATGGGGGTTACCTGATTGGCCAAGAGGGCATAGGGACTACGTGTGGAAAGTACTTGTGCAAGAGGGGATTGATCTACTCAATGCAAATGACATCGCCAGTGCAGCGTGTATGTATCAGCAGCTAGGGCCTCTAAGGGAAGCTTTATGAATGGGTGCAGCTCTATCTTGTATACGTACTACTGTAGAGCATGGAGGTGGCAGTATATGGGGTGGTTGATAGTCCGATAAACCTCCTCTACGAGAGATGTAGAACTCGAACGCAGGCACTGTTGACCAACATATTTTTCAATCTACCATGTTTGTTCTTTGAATCCAGACATCATGAAGGGAGCGAGATGTCGGGTTTAGCTTGTAATACCTGGCGCGTGACGTATCATTGAGGGCCATGGTGGAAAACAAGTCCTGCAGAGTCAAGACCTGTATGGCAAAGCCACCGACACATTTAGCCCCCCATGGTGTTACGGGGCAGCCAATCGAAACTTAAGATGTGTTTCAGCCGCCTGCAACTAGTCTGGCGGTCAAAGCAGCGGGACGCGTAATCATCTACTTTCTAGTCTTGTTCTTATGAATTCTCGCACCCGATGTCATGGTACATGATCTGATCCCGCGCTAAGTTTATGCTAAGCTTTCTTGCCAAGACGGGTTCTACTCAGCCCATGTCCCGCAGGGACCATCACTGAGAATGATTTAGCTACTCCGCCTTACCTAGAGTTACAAGGGGATGTAATAAATCTTAGGACCTCTATCCTAGGTAGCAAAAGGCCTTTGGTAAATTTAGGTAAATTTAGGTAAGCTTAGTATAATTTAGTATAGATATAGAGGATTTTAGACCAAGTATTTTTAGCACCTCATTTTAACGTCAGAAGTCTTCTTACACCCTGAGGAGTTAAGTTACTAACCTTCAGTTAGCCCAAGGGACTGCACTAGTTAAAGTCTAAACATTCCCAACCACCAAAATGCTTCTCCAATCAGATCCTTTGACTGACGTGCACAAATTCTCGCAGTCGAATGCCCATCGCTGCAGGGGTTGAGGAGACCAACAACTCCTTACTAGTCTAAACGCACAGTTCGTTCAACACTTGGAAAGTGGTCTCTGAGATCTCTGCTCTGTACCGAGTCGGTCCACGGCCATGTTACGGTATCGTCGCGATGACCGTATTCATCAGTACTTACTAAGCCATTCTCGAAGAACTGGCCCTCGAAACGCAACAGCCCGACTCGCTTGAAGATGCCATTGCTAGACTGCACAATCATCCCATAATCGTAACTGATGACTATACATCGGACTGTCATGGGATTGAGGCTGATCGTGTCGGTACCGAAAGCGAGGTGTGAAGCACTTGTCGCCCCACCACTTGTAAGATCAAGCGACCACACAATCCCTCTTCCAGGCGTCTCAATGTTCTTTTGAACAACAAAATGAGTCCATCTGCCTTCAAGGGATTGATCATCCATGGTGACCCAGTGCTGGCTTTTGCGTCTGGTAGGAAATGAATTGCTCTTTGCCCAGGTTCTCGTGGGCCTATAGGGCGCGAGTTCCATGAAAGGCACATCGAAAACCTTGGTAGTGATTCTCAAGATATAGGTCAACCCCAAAGTCGGGTAAGATTGACCGGAAGTGAGCGACCGTGCAAGCGTGTCATTGAGTTCCACAAGTGTTCCTGCTGTTGTTTCCGCAAACAAAGGCGCTGTGAAGCTCCTTTCTAAATGCTTCACATTCTCCAGGAAGTTCCATCTCACTCCGACTTTCCAGCCAGACCATGACCATGTCGGAAAACCGTCCCTCCTGGCAAGTCCAGACTCTGGAATCTGTATTTCACTCCACCGTGGCTCCCATAGCATTGCCCAGAGAATAGCGACCACGACATCATTATGCTTCGATTTTGCAACGTGGTAAACATCTTTCCTATACAGGTTTGAGAGTTGACAGCCAACCCACCTATGTGGCAGACCCCAGTATTGTTCTACTGGTGGTTCTAGCTGGGCATAAAAGCCAAAAATTCCCTCCATTGCTCTCAGCACGTCGGAGTCGTATGTAAGTTCGCGCTTGGAGTAAGCCTCCAAGTTTGTCATGAATCTCCAACTACTTGGTAAATATACCCTGCTATCTGAGTCTTGGTATAAAATACGCTCAAAGATGGGGAAAACCACACGTTCACAGCTTTCAAAGTCATGTATCAATTCCTCGGCACAAGTCATGCTTCCACATTGGTAGAAGACCTGGTCATCAGCAAAGATGACGCACCTGCGGGAGAAGACTGCTTCCTGGTATGTCCAACCCCTAGTTGACCATCTTGAGGCGCCCACGTGATTTGCAAACGATATGGGCTTGTATCTCCACGTCGTTCCGTCGAGGATGAAGTTGTTTGGAATCGTACGAGGGCATTGCCCTACACCAGGTAAACCATGTAATGAACTCTCACCCGCGGCAGCTATTATGGTGACACTTGCTTGGTTGTCTAAGACGCGGTTAGCTTTTTTTTTCGAACCTCACGTTCGTGTCGTTCTCGAGAACGTACAGATAGTATTCATCTGACCCAACTGGCAGTTCATGTCTTGTGTGTTCGTTTGATCAATACACAGCTGGTCAATCCATATATATCGAAATCCGAGCTGTATTGTGACATAAATGGCGTCTTTGATCACGGCCTTGGCCATGATGGCTCGATCGCTTTCGTGGAGATTAGACGAGGAACCCCATACATAACTGAGGGCAACATATTCAACAAACACCGTCAACTCCACCACAGTCTTGGTCTTGCAGTCCAGTAGCCTGAACTTGGGGATCTGTAACGGAATTGCTGTAAGCATCTGGCACGATTTCCCATGAGTACTGCAACAATGGGCAATCCAGTTCCTAATCATGTGATAATCAACCTGTTTCGTATCTACCTGTCGATGCTGCCCAATCCTGCCTGGCGCCCCAAGCATATTCTTATCAGTTATCGGTAGAATATATTCCAATTCGTTATTGAGTCGCATAACAACGTGATCTATTCCATCAAAGATGGACCTGTTGAGTTGCACTGTTATTGGATCTTGCGATTTAGCAACATTATCCTTTCGATGCAACTGTGAAGTGAGGAACCGGCACGAAGGGCATGTGGAAGTCTCAGAAATATGTAGGAAGACGTCAGTACCGCCAGTTCCGTAGAGACTACCCTTCGAACATATCTGGGTCAGATTGACGGATTGACATTGTGTACAAAGGTCTTTGCTTTGCCAGCCTGGGCCACCTGCCCTAGCTGCCAATCGTCCATTGGAGTCTTGAAGAATCAATGGGTCGTCAGTGTTACTCGACGATACCCGAATGTGTAGCAAGTCGGTGCGACTGCCGAGGGCATACTGACCTTTGCTGTTGGCTTGGCTTAATTTCGAAGCGCAAAACTTCATCTCCGCAGTCTCTTTGTTTCCATTCATACCAGCTAATGCCGATAAGCAATGCTGTTTACCTCGGTATTGTCAATTTAATCTTTCAGAGGTTGACGCCCTGCTGGTGCGAGGTGCAGAGTTAAACAAAAAGCAGCGCAGCACTGAAACTCTGTCAGGGCTACAGTAAAAGGTTCGTAGTGGGGTCTTTGAATGAAACTGCACTCTCCCCGAGAGGAATCAGTGAGACTTTAAGGATACCTGTGTCGTCGCACAGTTGTGGTCATCCCTCTGTTTTTCACCACACAACATACCAATGAGACTACGCCACGAGTTATCTCGGAAGTTACACAACTGCGAAATTCTCCAGAATTCGGTGCCGGCGTCGTGTAATACAAGTGGCTTGTTCAAGGCAGTTCATCAAGAACTTGGGCGTTTCACACAATTCGCTTCGCAAGACAATGCCCAATATGGTTACTCAGCCATGTACCCCTTGCTTCGTTTCCTCCTCCTTCTATCAGCTATGACAAAGTCGAATTTAAAACGAATTATCTTAGATCGCAATAAAGCAGTTGATACATGATTTCAACTAGTTCGCCCTATTCCCGTGCAGATCCGTCATGTCACTGGGGGTTGTCAGGGAATGAGGCTTTCGCAGCGGAAGAGGGAAACAGTCCGCCTTATAAATACCATATATTATCTCAATTCATACATCGAGTAGCATAAGATTATTTCAATTCGGCGATTTTATTATTAATTCAAGGAGAAGTGATTCTCTTTTGCTGATCCCTATAGACTTGACCTAGATCGATGCAACGGCGGGTAGTACAGTACAGCTTGCGAATCTAGACTAAGTTCTCTCTGCTGATTTGAGCTCTCAGCCACAAGTCTCAACGGCAAATAAATGTACAGAATAACTGAACAATACGCACAACCGAACACGATTGATGCTATATGCGCCTGTCCAAAACCACTTTTGATGCGCTCTGAACTAAGAGGTCTTCACTCTCTCAGTATCCTCCTTTGACATATATGTAGGATGGCTGCTCAGTATATAGTGAGACTGTGACCTACAAGCTTGTGGTTTCCATCAGGCGTGAAAGACCCGCAATAACACAACAAATTGTCATTTGAAGAATAGTTTCACGCTCCCGTAACTTGAATGTCCATTTGCCCTGCGCCTTCTGATCATGATGATGCGAAAAGCTTTGCATTTCCCTCGAAATCATTCTCACCGTCACCGAACTAACATGCCTTCTGATCAGGGACTCGTGCTAGTCTCTGTATCAGGACCTTCTGATCAGCCAGTGAATATCGGTTCGCCATAGCAGAACGTCAGTGACTGAATAAGTTTCTGCTAATCACTGGTGTCTGGGCGCAGGTATATAAAGATTTTCCTCCTGTCCAACAAATACCTGGAATTCCAACAAACAACTGTAATTCCAACAAACAATTGTAATTCCAACAAACACGCAGATCAAACAAATCAGTAAACACGTCAATAAACATTACCGCTTTACAACGCACAAACACGATAAAGATATCTCTGTAATGCCTGAGTCTTCTAGGACGATTATTTTTACCCGAAAAGGTAATACCCCGGGCACCCAAGAGAAACTCCAGAAACTCGTAGACGAGTGGAAGGGAAACGGTGTCCAGGTTAAAGTCGGTCCCGATGAGATCACTTTTATTGTGCCACCTGGAGGTGGTGATTGTACAGCAAAACACTTTCAAGGTCGTATGGAGAAGGAGGGATTGTGGGATGATTGGAAGGAAGATCAATAATGAATTAGATGCCAAGAGTCTCTAATTTAGATTAAAAAAAAAGGTTGGGCATATTCAAGGCTTGGTGGACAATTGGCAATGAGGGGGCTGGAATCCGTACGGGCTCGGTTATCCCCAAACCTCAGGTACCCAAATTGAACAGATTACACAAAAGGCATATCCATTCTATTCGCCATAAGTTAGTTCATGTGAGCTTGTTTTGGAGACATCACTTCTTTCCTCACGGCACTTTCACTCTCGGGCTGATTCCCACATACAGTCAAACCCGTCAACCCCCCGTGCCCACTTGCCCTCTTTTGGAAAGACAAATGCGCCAGTCGGCAGTCAAATCCAGTATTTCTCACGGTAGAGTCTCCATGGATGAAGACGGAACGTTTTGATATGTTACAGTGACTTACTATGACCCGCTGTGAGTCGCCAGCAGTGGCGAGTTACTTGAGCTACACGATCTTCCCCTGAACGGAATGACAGTCAACTCAATCCAGCTCTCAACAATCACTGAAAGATAAATTGCGATATGTATATTCGATTCATGATGTAACGTATTCGGCTACCTGCGGTATTGGGCGATCCGCCCCTATAACAATGTCACGATACTTGCCGAAGGCGCGTGTACTTTCTTTCTCTAGAATGATATCCCAGGACTCTTGAAACTTCTTCATTGCGTGTCTTGAACCTGAGTTCTACAGCAACGCTCGGAGCAAAAGTGAACTTGCCGGAAGCATCCGCTTTGACAGTGAGTGGCTGCAGAAATCTCAATACAAGCAAGGTTACGTGGACTCACTGCTCTCAAAGCCGATGAAGTTGGATTCAGTTCATTATCTGACTCTGATGCCACTGCTCTCCACCTGACGAGTTAATGTTTACAGGTTCATAAGAGTCATTACGGGTTCATTTCAGTGACCAAGATAAAGCTCTCTGTGGAAGTTCCTGTGCAGAGGTATATAGTCACACTGGCAACTGGCCGTCCGACAGGTTTGTTCAACAGAAACGGCGATGCCTGGGTTTACAACGAGACCCCAGCTTAAAGGGAGCAACGCTACACCTGGCAATTATGGAAAACTTGACGAAGTTGGATGATAATATCACAGTCGAATTCCTTGCGAGGAACATAGTAGTAGGTCGGGCTGGATGCAACATGACTGTCATGGGGGAAAGGTCGAGGAAGGATCGGAAGTTCCAACAAAGTTGAATCCCATCCACGGAAGTCAATTTTGTTCGCCAAAAGTGATGCGCAGCGTTGAGGCAAAGAGCTCAAACCGCTCACGTACCACTACTAGCCACTGTCTGTCACAGTCGCATAGTAAGTCATGTCAGTGTCTCACGAATACCTTCCCTAACTCCGTGAATGATATTCACTTTTCACACAAGCACCACTGCAAGCTACCGTCAGTGACGATGTTACCTCCGCCCAGCAGAAGGGCCAAGTTTCAGGTATAAAAACCATCAATCTGCAGCCAGCCTTCAATCTCAAACTTCGCTCATCCAACTTTGATTGCATAGACAAATCTTGGTACAAATACAAATAAGTCCACAACAGGACAAACTTCGCAATGTCAAAGAAGGAGCCGAAAGAGATGATAGTCACCAAGTTCACCAGAATCAGCACTTCACCTGACAATGAGCAGAGACTTGAGGAGCTTGCTAGAGAGTATGGAGATCATGGCGCTCAGATCGTCATTACCACGGCCACGATGAGTGTTGGACTCCCAGCGAGAGGAAAGTTCCGACTTGGGGGCGAATATACAATCAAGAAGTTTTTGAAGCAGATGAAAGATCGAGGCATGATGGATGATTGGCATGTGGATGACTGATGACACTTTTATTGTGGTTAATCGTTTATATAGCATGGTGATGGAAAGGTGAAATTCGAATCAGAACCTGGAATCCAAAATTGAAACTGCCAGACTGCTTTTTTATACACTAGTTTCAGGGAACTTGATTTGACTCCATGCACGCTCTTATTTGGTGGCTGTTCATGTCGATGCATTCGTCATTCAACACTACCGGAGTGCTACAGCTATCTATAATCTTAGTAATTTGTGATATCGATGTTACTTTATTAAATTTAACCTAAGATTATGTCTTTTATGTTTTCCTTTATTCCCACTTGGATCTGTTCTGCTCGACAAACTCCTTCCAAGTGACAGGCTTCTCATCGAGAAGATCCAAGCTCTCCTTGAGATCAGCATCGCCGTAGTATCCTGGGTCCTCCAAGAGCATCATGTTCTCAGTCAGCTCCTTTGCTATGGGGGCAGGGAGGAAAGACTCAAAGACATCGGCGGGGACTTGGTTGAAGGTGGCGGGCTTTCCGGTGACTTCGCTGAACTCGGAGACGATTCTGTTGGGGGAGTAGTAGTCGGTAGCAGCAAAGATGCGCTTGTTGATGGTTCCGGGGAAGTTCTTGATTGCGGCCTTGACGAACTTGCCTGGAGAGAGTTAGCAGTTGTTGATGCGAGGGTGATTGTGGTTAGGGAACTTACCCATGTCGGCGTTGACGTCAAAGAGAGGAACCTTGGCCTTGTCACCATCGGCAGGGAGGGCCCAACCATAGCTACCGTCTTCATTCTTGCGAATCGAAGTGAAGAGGTTGGAAGCAAAGAAGCCAGGGAGAACAAAAGTAGCAGGAACATTGATCTGTCGGATATACTCCTCAATCTCGGCCTTGCCCTCAAAATGCTTGATGTGAGTAAGACGACCGTTGCTAATCTTGTTGGTGTCAAGAAGAGACGAAAAGATGAGCTGTTTAACTCCCGCAGTCTTGCAAGCGTCGGCGACAGCCTTGCCCTGAGCGATCTCGCCGTTGCCGCTGTTGGTCTCCCAGTAGTTTGTGACGAGGAAGACAGTGTGAGCGTCCTTGACGGCTGGAGCGACTTGCTCAGCGGTGTTCATGTCGGCCTGTAAAGGAAAGTCAGATTTGTGTTTTTGGTGGAGAAGGAAGGCGATTTAAACTCACAGCGACGACCTCTACGCCCTTTGAGGAGAGGGCTTGGGCAGCTGGCTTGGAGACATCGCGGGTGATGCCACGAATCTTGAACTCTTTGGAGAGAGCGGGGTCGTTGAGGATGGCGCGGACGACAGAGCCGCCCTGGTTGCCTGTGGCGCCGAAAACGGTAAGAATCTTGGACATTTTGAGTTGATTGTTGTTGAGTATTTATTGGAGAGTATCAATGTTGATTGGGTGAATGGATTGAGAGTGAGTTGATAATGGGACAGTTATTGAAGACGAGGAGTTGTCTTTATAGGTCCATGACACAACCGTGATGGTGTATCCAGCCCAGCCACAAAGTTGCATGCATGCATAATGGCACAGAAATCCTTAGCAATCGAACCTTGTCCACTAGCAGAGATGAATAAGGTGCCAGACGCAGCCTCATACAGCAGCGGAGTCCGTGGCCATGATTGGTATAATCATTGAGTAAGCCGTATACCAGAGTCGGAATGTCGGGGAACGCCAAGACATCGAGATGCAGCCCTAACTGAACAGAGAGATCGCGATTGGTGAGATTAATTGTTAGTGAGAGGAAATATGGAGATGCACAATGACAAAGCGAGAGTGGTGCAGTAGTGAGGATGCACTAAGATTAGTAACACTTGAAAAGTCCCTCTTCTCTTTTAACGCGCGGGGCTCGGGAAACGACGCGATTACCGGGCGGGAAACACAGACTTTGGATCTGTAATTCGGATATTTCAAGAATGCCAATGCCGACTTGTCCATTTTCTCGTCAAGGTCAACAATGATTCACGCGCGGGGCTGATCGCGCCGTGGTCAACGCGCAAATCGATGCCCGCAACGATGATCACGTGGTGATAAGAGACCAAAGTCACGTGCGCTCATCTCATCCTGCATCAGCTCTCACCAAAGCTTTCAGGCAGGGCGAGGGCGCGTCAACGCTCACCTCCCTCACTCACCCAAACCACGCGCGCAAACCCTCAAACATGGCCGAATCTCACTCCGACCAGAGCGAAAATGAGATTAACGACGAGCGCCCTCAAGAAGAATCCGGCGAAAATGAATCCGGCTCTGAATCTGAATCCTCCGAGTCCGACGACGATGATTCCGACGGCGGCGGCTTGCTAGATACCATGGCCGCTGAAGGCAGCGACGAAGAGTCCAGCGATGAAGAAGACGACGACATTTATCACCGCGAAGACCTCACCCAGGATCCCTATCTCGACTCGTTTCCCCAGTTTGGTCGGCTTCCTAGTGAGTTGCGCAATACCATCTGGGAGCTGTTCTGTCCGGAACTTTGCGCTCGGCATCGCGTGCTTGACTTTCAGATCTCGTATGGAACAGCCCTTCATCCCGACGCAGCGAGTTCTTTTGTTTGGACTGTACGCGACGGTATTGCGCTTGGTGATCAGACAAAGAACCTCCGCGCGGTGTTTGCTGTTCACAAGGAGTCGCGCGCTCTAGCCACCAATGCCTTTCCTGATTCTCTGAGCATCGATGCTGGTTCTGGAGACGCCACTGTTCGCTTCAACAAGAACTCAGACGTTGTTCTGATGAATGGTCTCAGTTGTCCACCGGGGAGAATGGTGTTTCACCTACCAGGTTTCGCCAGCGAGGTCAAAAACTTTGCGATTGGCGGGCCTAACATCCTCGATGATCTGAGCGGTCCCGACGTACCAGCGCTCTTGAGGCAGTTCACCCAGCTGGAGTGCTTCTACGTGAACGTCTCGAGTACGGATTGCCAAAAGTCCACTTTGGGCTGGTGCACATCAGATCTCATCAACCGCTATCAAACGCAAACATACGAAAAACAGCCTGGTCTCGGAGAAGACCTGCAGTTCTTGTGGTGCTGGCCTGATTTACAGCGACATCCAGACTTTGCGACATTCCAGATCGACAGGGATACTTGGGATAACTTGCCTGATCCCCTTGGGAGCGAGTTGGAGCAACGAGGTCTCAAGGCATGGCCCATGGTTGCTTTTGAGTACGAGCGTGGACTTCGACGGTTTGAGTTGCTGCAGACACTTGGGCCTGATCTCGGCGACGACACTTCAGATGAGGATGATGACGACGATGATGATGATGGCAACAATGGACCCGACCTCGATGAGTATGAAAGCGATGGCATTGACGACGATGAGATTGTCGAGACGTATGACCCCTCAGACGAAGAGGGCATCTCATTAGCCAGCGGTTCCCCTCCGCCTGTCGCCCAAGAAATCTCCGACGATGAGGATGATGACGGCGCTGGCGCAAACTTTTCAAGTCCTGAACCCGAGCCAGAAGCAGCGCCCGTGCAGCGCGGACGCAAACGACGAGTAGTCTCCGATTCCGATGATGAAGACGAGGAGGACGTGGAACCCACAACGAAGCGCGCGAGGACTCGGATCGTTGAATCTGACGATGACGAGGATGATGAGCCAGAGGTGCAGGAACAGACACAGCAGCGCTCAAGGGCAATCGTGTCAGATGATGAGGATGAAGACGAAGGCGGCGCCCACGCAAGCGACTCTCCCAGCGAAGAAAGTGAAGAAGAAAGTGACAACTCAGAAGACGAAGACGAACCGCCCAAGAAACTATCTCTCGCTGAGAGACTACGTCTCCATCGACAGGAGAACCCAGTGGGCGATGATTCAGAAGCTAGCAGCAGGACTGCAGACGAGGAGAGCGAAGAAGAGCGGAATCCTTTCACGATGGGCATGGCGGATGAGTCAGATGGAGAAGGCGAAGTTGGCTACGACGAAGATGACTATTAATTCCATGCCGTTCTCCCTCCGTACATCATGTTTGAGTAACTGTAGATATTTTTGATATAATCCCAGCGATGGATCAAACAGTCTTCCCAGCAGCGAGTAGCTCAACAAACTGCTCTATCCGCTTCCTCCTCGTCTCCGGCCTCTTCGCTGTCTCCAACCTCCATAAAAAGCTATATCTCTTCGTCTTACCCAACCCCTTCCAAAACTCCCCCGCCGCTTCATTCCCCTCCATCGCGATTTCAAAATCCTGCGGCACAGTTACATTACTCGACGACGAATACGCCCTCTCCCAACGCCCATCATCCCTCGCCGCATCAACCTCCGCCAGCCCCGCAGGTTTCATACGACCCGCGGCTATCAAAACAGCGACTTTGTCAACATTCCGCTGGGACCAGAGACTTTTCCTCCGACGGGGCGTGAAGCGCTGTATGAAGTGCGTGGCGTCGAGGGCTTTGCGCTGGCCGTCGATCCAGCCGTAGCAGAGGGCTGTGTCGAGGGCTTGGTCGTATGTTATTGAGGGGATGGGGGAGTTCTTTTTTGCGATTTTGAGCCAGAGACCGGATTGGTTGGTGGAGTGGTTTTGGGAGAGGTAGGATTCGAATGAGGATGGGGTTGGGAAGAGTTTTGTTTCTGGGGGGGTTGCGGAGGACGGTGTAGGTGCTGGGGATGGGGGTTGGAGACGGGTTAGTCTTTTGGCGGTTGATCTTGTTGTTCGTGACATTTTTGGTGTTTGTGAGAGCGAAAATGTTCACGGTTGAGATTGGGATGAGGCTGACACAAGGAGATCACAGGAGGATCACGCTAAGCCAGTTTCAATCAATAGACGCCCAACAGCTTCAATTTTCATTCTATCAATAAGTAACAGTTTTTACGACGCCAAAATATTACACATCCCAATCAATGATGATATCTCGCCTCTTCCTGCTCCAGTGATGATTTCAAGAGGTTGCAACTCAGGACTGTGTAGGGTAGCTCAAGACGCGTCAACGTCTCGGAGAGAAGAGCGATTCCACCGCACGTGATGGGAAAAGCTTCGCAATGAGCCCTCGAATGGTGGATACCCAGTGAGAAAGTCTCGATTACAATGTCGCAGCATCTTTTCGGTCTCATACAAATTGTTTGAGAACGATGCCAGTGATAAAGAGACCATGTCTTCAATGTAAAGGTGAGATCGTCGCGTCAGTGGCTGGATGCGGGGTGCTGACAGGGCTTTAGAAAAACATGTCAAATGTAGGCGAATTCATTGAAGGGAGCAGATATGGATAGTGAATGATGACTGATTAATTAATTATAGGCGATGAGGGACAGCCGAGGTGTCACCGATGTATTATCAAGAACTTACCATGTGCTCGACCTGCGAAGAAAACTGTCTTTCGGAATGCTTCAACTGGACCTTTGACGAATCAGACTTGGGTTAACAGTGAGATTAGAGACTGTAAGTCATTGAGCAAGATACCATCGCACTCAAGAAAGTCATTCATCATTCAACAGTCAATGTCAATCCGCAAAGTCCACTAGAAGGAGGTGCAGGCCCACCTTCAACAGCCCCAGCCGATTTCAACGACTCTACAGAGACAACTTACAATGAGCCCCCAAGAAGCAACCCAGTATTCCAAGTGGCAAACACATCAGCTGGAAACTCACCCAGCTATCCTTCTTCGCCATGGCAGCAGGCGACAGGTCGATCACCCACGGACCTGCCGAGCACCTCGAGCGCATACACCGTAGCCCACGACCATTCATCTCCGTATGGTCCACCGCAAGATCATGTCCCTTCTCCGCGATCACACCAGCCGTACAACTCAGGAGAAGTAACGAAATTCCCACTCGAGGATCCGCAAGAGGCGTGTTTGCTTCGATACTTTGTTGAAGAGCTGTCACATTGGGTACCGACGATCTGGTAGAAGTGGATGATAAATGCTAACGTGAGCAGCTCGATCTATGCGATGAGAGACGCCACTTTCAACTCGTTGTACCCCTCCGCGCTCGACACCACCCACCGCTTCTCTACGCCATATTCGCCCTCTCAGCGCGCCATCTAAGCCGACTGCCGAAATACAAAACACCACAGGGAATTCTCTACCAGGGCCAATTACTTCCCAAACTCACACCCCACGACGCAGTAGAATACACGCTGAAGTGCATTCCCGCCCTACGAGACTTTCACCTAATCCAAGACGACGAAAAGCTCGAGAGCATCATCGCCACAGCTGGTAAGACCTCACCAAAACAGAGTAGGAATAGCTCAAACTGAAGGGTTGCAGTTATTCTCCGGCAGCTGGAAGAGATCGACGACGAGGAAGATCAAGAGCAGGAGCGGAACCAGAGGCGGAACGCGAAACCTCAGGTTAATTTCCTAGCCATCATCGACGCTGTGCTGAGAAGTCCACCGTCGCGGACCCTCTTTGGCCGCCGATCACTTATCCAAGCGGCGTATTGGATGGCCGTTCGCCAGGAGTTGTACCACTCGTTTACGAAGCGCCATCCGCCAAAGATGGTTCTAGATCCAGAGTATGGAAACGGTGCGTCAAAGGCGAATAAGATTGTTCTTCACACGGCGCAGGTTGCGAAATGGCGATGGGCTGATGGTTCCGAACAAGAATGGCGTATGTACTACCCATTGATTAAGTGGTGGTGAGACTAACGGGTTCAGTGCGACTTCAGAAGCAGGGCGAGGTTCTGGAGGATGAAGCACGGAGGGAGTATCAGCCGTTCTATGTACGACCAGCTGACAGGTCGAATGGGGAGATATTCCCGATAATCTGGTACTCGTCCGCGCTGGAGGTGACAACCATGCAGCTGAGCATCATAGCGAAGATGGTGCTAATGGCAGAGAACCCCTTCCTCGGGTAGGTCAAGTCAACTCAATTTACTTTGGGTGATCCACTGACGTCAAATCAGGGGAAATTCATCGACACGTGCGCAGTGGAGAGATATCGAGAATCAGGTCCGGCAGATGATACTTGATCTGTGTGGGATAAGCCTCTGCCATCCGGGGTGCCCACCGGCTCTTGTGCACGCTGCGTTTGGGATGGAGTTGTACGGCGACTTTTTCACGGATTTGTATGAGAGGAGGGCGCTGAGGGGTGTAGTCGACAAGTTTCGAGATGCGAGGGCGTGGCCTGTCCAGAATCTGTCTAAAATGTTTGAATGAGCACAGCAGGATTACTATTCACATGTTGGTGTCGGCATTTATTTTCTTGGCGACGGCACTAATATCACATCAATGAAACCCTTCAGGCGCGGAACTGATTTCTCCCGCGACGGCGTAAATTGAATTAAAGTGAATTGAAGTGACCACTGTATTTTTTATTATTACCGCTGCTGAATCCGCCAAGTCGCACCGATATGTTTCGGCACTGAAAGTGTAGATCCTTTCCACTGCTGAAATGGATTTGTTTTAATGGGGGCCGCCCCTTGACCAGCTGGTGCAAGGATAGAGGGTCGTAGTCGGTTAAGATCGTGTCAGAAGTGACAAAAGAGTGGAGATGTTGTGATCTTCGGAGCATTTGTTCAAGATCCTTGTTTGTGTTTGTTTATTCTCACCAACAAGCAAATTGATTGTGATATGGTGAGAGTTGTTAGTGTCACGGCTGAAGAGAAAACATTACGGACTCCGGTGGTTTTACTGGTGCGAGGTGCCACTGGAAACCCCCGTCATTTATCCAGCCAGTGCCGATCTTTCCCCACAGCGCAATCTCCTGACAGCTCACAAGGTGTCGAGAGCGGGGACGGCATCTACGGGATATCGAGAGCTAGCTGTGCCACTCAAACCAGGACAATCGAAGTAAAGTCTCTTCCTGCCACGCGATAGTTACTGCTTCAAAACCTGTGCTCACAAAACACCGAGTCTCGTTGCACCATTATCTCGTGGTTCGGTGACGGGTATCTGCACTGTTACGGAGTTGGCTGAGGTGGAGAGGCAGAACCGGTAAACGATGCAGCGTCGCTTATGACGACGAGATTGGGCTGATCATTTCTTTTTTGATGCCCAGGCTATTCTCGTCGGGCCCTGGTTCTGGGCCGTCATTTTACCTTGACAGCGCAGGGCCCGCGATTGCATCTTGCTCGGGGATTGAGATCTACAACCGATCAGATTTGAGGCCTCACTCACATTCATCGGGAGTGATGGCCTGCCCTGCCCTCTCACGCTCGACTTTTCTTTTCCGGGCGCTAAATGTGCGCCTCTTGCAATAATGTCAACGTATTATGAAAACGGTTGGACGGAAGTCACCATATGCGTGTCTCGCAATTGAGGCTGGCTGGACTAAATTAGCCTCCACCAACGATGCAGCCAACCCAAACCAATTGATGCGATGCAATGCAATGTGATGACAGGTGATGGTGATGGGATGGCACTGAGGATCGACTTCAGCTCTTCGTTTATCGCGCTCGAGTGGGGGTGACGTGAAGCCGGGGGATAAGGTACTCCCTGATTCCAATGCAACATCATCACCCAAGAAATCCTCTCGTTTCTTTTGTTCACGATCAAAAAGTTACAGTGATTGCAGTTTGCGCAAAAAAGAAACTCGGCGCCGTCATAAACTCAAACGCGAAACGCCAGGAACACAAAACGGTAACCTAAATCACAGTGGATACAAGCACAAGCCCCATGCAGCTGTCTCTGTGTCTGTGTCTCCCTACCTCCAGCACATGCTCATCACTGCAAGGGAGCCAGCAGAGCAGCACACAATACCAGACGCAAGGGATGAAAAAAGACGATAGAAAAACGGCGGTGGACGAACTGCTTCCCCCAGCCGTTTTAATCCCGCCCGCCTCCGCGATACAATCCAAACGCATCGCAGCCGTTACGTGAAGCGGCCGTTTGGACATACAGTACGAGTCCTCGGGGGGCGCACAAGCTTTTCGTGCTGCGTTTCACTAACGAACTTAACTGGATGTTTCTCTCACTGTGGCGTCAAACTCGGTCAGCAATCATGGCGCCTCGAGATGATATCGTGGAAAAGAGAAGAGAGACATAGCGTGAACAGGTGATATCAGTGAAAAGCAAAAAGAAATGTTACGCTCGTGGCTGAACGGATGCTGAGCGTTGCGATGCAAGGGCGTTTGGATCATCGTCACGGCGCCGGCGATGAATCAAAAGCTGGTCACACAGGATGATCCTTGCTATAGTCGTCAATGTCTCAAACCGCCCTTACGCAAAGAAGCAAATAAAATACCCCAGGACAAATTCATCACAAACGCGTAGCTTAACAGATCAGAGAGACGTCGAACTACGTCGATCTGCAATTTCACCTTGCGAACCGGTCTCCGGTCTGTTCATAAACCAATATCCCTTAGTCTTGCTGTCAGTCTGAGCGAAGTGGACATGTTTTCTCGTGAATTGTCCCGAATTGCGGGTTGGATCTCACAGGGGGAGGGGGCAGCCTTACCCCAAGACGGGCCAAGATCACCGGAGGTCGGGAGCTTAGACGGCACTAACCTGGCTTTCCCGAGCCCAAGCTCAGGTCGGGTGTGCGCAAGGGATGGGCCATTATCTGGGGGGCGTGTTTCTTGTTAGATCACTCTCGATCTCTTTCCTCATTTTCACTTTCTCTCGCTCGCTTTTCACTGCAAGAGATTTCTTTAATCCCTGTTTAGCGTCTGGACGCTTGGGGAATCACGCTCGATAAAACGTATTACTATATATCGTCGTCATCTCCGCTTTGTGCCTCTCTTGCTCTCTCGAACCGTTTTTGTGTTGCGGAGACCCGACACATTCCTTTCCAAACCACGTTCCTTACAATTAAAAAAGAATTATTTCCCTATTCCTCGACAACATCGATCCTCTCTCATATTTTTCATTAACTCGCTACTACAATGGCCGAAACCGAAAAACCCGAGGCCAGACTCGATGGCCTCGGCATCTTCTGGATCGTCTGGACATTCATCTGGACATTCATCGTCGCGGGCGGCATGGTCTTCCTCTGGAGACGTCGCGACATGCCCATGCTTCGAATCCGCGACCTCCCGCTCTCCTTCGCCGCTATCATCCTTCTTCACATCTACTGGGGAGCCATCCAGACCGGATACGTGTACTTCCCGCTGTTCACGCCCGAGGGCGAGTTCTGGATCATGAGCCTGTACTTCCCCTTCGGCATCGCACTGTTCCACGCCTCCAACAGCCGTTTTCTGCATGTCGCGAAGCAGCAGAAGGAACTGTTTGCTTCGGATGAGAAGATGCCGTCCAAGAGTCGTGTTAGACCTGGGTCGTTGCTTGGGCGCTTTCAGGCGCTTGATTACTCAAAGAAGATTCTCGTTACGGTTGGACTGGGAATGGTAGTTCAGGTATGGAACTCATCACAACATATGCATGGCGATGCTAACGTATGCAGTTCATCCTCACCATCATCATGTGGTGCTTATCTAAAAAGTTCCATCCCTCATGGGGTGTTGCCGGCACGGAAGTCCATCCCGGCTCTGAGGAGTACCGAAAGTCTCAGGTCGGAAAGGGCTGGGAATGGTAAGCATACTCCCCCCTCGATCTGATCTCATTGCGATATGTTACTGACCCTCTCTTTGCAAGGTGGCCCTCTGTATTCTGGCAGTTCCTTTGGGCATGGATCGTCGCCCCTTACATCCTCTGGCAGGCCCGCGGTGTCAACGACACGCAGGGATGGAGAGTCCAAACCGTCGCATGCTGCATTGCTAAGTAAGTCATCCCTTGATCAGGGCCAACACCATAAACTGACCGAGACACAACAGCCTCCATGCCACTCCTATGTGGCTCATCGCCTTGTATGTTCCTGCCATGGCACCCGTCAATTACTACTGGATTCCTCCTCAATGGTAAGCCACCTACCTCAGCAAGGGCCTCCCTATTAAGAAACATCCCCGCTCACTGTCGCACAATAGGCTCGCCATCTCCATCATGGCCATTGAGATCTTTACCATCTTCTGGCCCTGCTGGGAAGTCATCCAGCACCAGAACCTCCGCCAAGAGACCCTCGACTCCATCGCTCAATGGCAGCTCAACAAAAGCGCGGCGACAAATGGTGCTCGATCTGTCGCTACTGGTTCTACTACTGTTGCCCCCTCTGCTCTGACGTCCTGGTCCAAGGACGGTTCTGTCAAGAGCAGCGCGTCTGGTGAGAGTATCCTCACCATGGAAGCTCTCGAGTACGTGCTTGAGCGTAACCCCGAACCTCTTCAGCAATTCTCAGCCCTTCGTGACTTCTCTGGTGAAAACATTGCTTTTCTACGAGCTGTCGCTGAGTGGAAGTCTTCATTACCGCCTGCTGTGCGCGACCCAGAGAAGATCAAGGAGCCGTCGGTGCAAGAACTCGTCCGCGAGAGATTTAACAGCGCTCTTCGCATCTACACCGGCTTCATCAGCTCTCGCGACGCAGAATTCCAGATCAACCTGTCATCGCAGCAACAAAAGATACTAGAGGGTGTCTTTGAGAGTTCTGCGCGCATCCTCTACGGCGACAAGAAGCAGGTTGACCCAGCGTTGCCATTCGAGACGTTCCAGATGGTGACTACACCCACCAAAGTCAAGTCCTCAGCTGCATCATCACACGGATCCGAGACAGGTATCATGGCAGCTGACTCTGTCGCTGACACTGGATACATGAGCGACAAGGCTATGTACTGGGGTGATATCCCCGAGGGCTTTGATGCGACTATTTTCGACGACTCGGAGAAGCACATCAAGTATCTTGTGCTCACCAACACGTGGCCCAAGTTTGTCAAGGACCGACGATGCTCGATTGACTCCAATGATACCCTCGAGGCAGGAAACGGAATCTCCATGGCTAAATGATTTGACCTGGGTGATCTAACCTGAATTTACGGATTTATTTATGGGATGGGAGTTTGGTGGTGATTTACAAGTGATTCCCTCTTTTATCTTCACTTTTTTAACCGGGAAGGCTTCTTGGATACCTATTCTATGTATTTATTAATGAAAAAACACGCGACTGCATCGCCAGTCATTCTTCTCCTTGCTCACCTTCTGCTCTGACTCATTGAATTAAAGTGAACGTGTTCATCTGCCGTAGCTTCAGTCCAAGGAATGGCATTTGCCGGCCCCTCCCGCCCGTGCCCGTGAAGAAAAAAAAGCCACAGCGGGCTAAACTACAGGGCATCTCGCCCTAATTCCAGGCTGGATTAGTAGACGATCTAGCCTGCGGTCTCGTCCGTCGCAGCCTACGTGGCGTCGATATTCCCTGGTCTCCTGCAGGTCGAGTCACAATCATCGTAAGATGTTAATTACAAGCCGTCTCGCATCTCACGCATTTGTCCTTGCAAAAGTCTGAGCTCAGAAAAGTTAATTCAAGCCCACCTGCATAAGCGTCAGGGGTTTGTGCGTCAGCTTTGACATGGACTTTTAGCGTTATGAAGATCTTCATAGAGACCAATTATCCACTTCCACTGATCCGATGCGTGCATTTCTGTTCATTTGTCTTGTTGAATGTGTTGGTCACAAGGATTAGAGATTGACGTTTTTTTGTTTTTTCGCTGGGTTAATCGAGATCTTGATGTGAGATCCTTTGTGATAACCGATCAAAGGCAATCGGGTGTCACCGGTCTCTGCTAAATGGTGGAAATTATGGGCGCTATCTTAGCGGCCGATAGAACGTGGAGGTGCTTTGCAAGACATCGTCGTCGCTCAAAGTCTAGACTCGAGGGTGAATTATCGTGTCATTATCCGAGACTGCCGCGTATAGCGCTGCGATAGTCCCAATCTTGTAGAGTAATCGCGAATGGTTAATGGCTTGATATGTTCTCGACAGATCTGGCTATTGTTCTTAGTTCATATATATAGTGAAGCGAGAAAGATGCCTGCTCAGATGGATCGATGTTAGTGCCGTTGTATTTCTACACTAATGTCAGTTCTAAATCTCTGTTCTCGTATTTTGCAAACCTGATTCCCTCGCCGCGCATAATCCCATCCATGTAGCACTCCCCTACCAAAGCATATCTGCCATGTCCCATCTCCCTGACTACGAACGGCACTTTAGACCCGTATAGAATCACCACCAAATCTCCCCTCTTGGCCCTCATAGGCACATAGCCGACCGGCCCCATATCTGTGCTCGCAAAGCGTCTCGACTGCGCTATTGCCGCAAAGTAGCCGAGTGCTCTTATCCAGAAGAGCTGTTCCCCTCTAGCGTAGCCTTCAGGAAACACATCCCCTATAAGCGTCAAACGAACAAAAGACGTAGAAATTTCTCTCATGAAGGCAGAGTATTAGCTCCCGACAGATATGTCGCCGAATAGAGTGCGGAGAAATGGCTCCCAGGCCGGAGAGATCGAGCCATTCGGTATGGGTTTACCATCTGTAATTGTGGTTGTGAAGATGCCCTTAGCCTTGGGGGCGGGCCCAATGCCTCGTGCCAACCCTTTCGTTGCTTCCAGCCAGATGTCTCTTGCTTCTTCGATCATTCCTCTGTTGACTTGAAGTTGCTCATACACAGAAAGTCGCCCGCCCCTTCGCTCGGGCTTACTAAAACTGCTGGACTTGTCTTTGAAGGTATTCTTGCCAACAGTGTGGATTGTGTCGACTATACTACCCTTGATGTGCAATGTCCCATTATTGTTCGATTCTCGTACTTCCATCGGAAGCCCGGCGCTGGCATCAAACCCTGAGTTCTTGAACATAGACCTGGTCAACCCTTCTATTGGATCAAGGTTGTTAAAGTCTGGGACCCACGACGGGGACGACCTATCCGACTTGCCTTTCTGCGAGCTCGTCCCAAGGATACAAAGGCTGCCGTTATGTCTGATTTCCCAGAGGACAAAGTTTCGGTAGGCTTCCATTGGCCAATTCTCGTAATCTGGGTTTAAGAGGTGGCTTCCTGTATCTTCTAGTGTGACGCCAAGCAAGCCAAAGATCTTGTCATGAGGATATGTGCACTTGTATTTGCGGCTCATCAAGACGAGGTCAAGCAGTCTAGAATCATCTTGACCTTGAATTTGGTGTCCAGTCAAGAGCGGACGATAAAATTGCTGGCCTAGTATGTAGATCCTGGGATGACGGTTGTTCCGAGCTGACCTCATCAAATCTAGACTGGAGATGGTGTTGTATATCGTATGATACCCAGGCACTGTCTTGACGGAGGATTGGTAGTACTTGATGGCATCTACGACTCTCAGAAACCTTACCCAAGAGATCGTTTGATCACCACATATGACTTGTGCATGCTTAGGTATGACGGCCTCCTGGATAACCCAAGTGCGTTGAAACCATGGCCGGTTCAGCAGATTGACTATTGGGTCCCAGCTGAAGTCTTGTTGAGTGATGGATTTCATCTTGGTCCAGCTGTCAACCCAAAAGCTGGCCATGCCAACGTTGGAACCCAGGAGGAATTGTTTGAGGTAGAGACGCGTGAACTTCCAGTCAAGCCAACGCATCGACTCTATGGCTCCTTGAACGGAAGGGTCAGATCTACCAAGATAGATGAGTACTTCTTGAGCTTGAGAGTAGATTTCATGCATTAGCATGATCTGCTTTGACTTCTCACTGTTATCGGACTGGTTGATGCAGAGAGCGTCGATCCATAGAATCCGTTTTTTTCTGGGGTGCCGCAAGTCCAGCAAAGCATCGTAGAGATTCGCCTTTACATTAAATGTATGTCCAGAGCAGCTCAACTGAAACTCGGTAGTATCAGATCCCCAGGCGTACGAGAGAGCCTCGAATCTGGTCCTCCAGGACAATTCAGCATTAACTAACTGGCAATCCAATGCTTCCTCGCGTGTCCCCGGCTCTAAGATGAGAAGTCGAATTTCTTTGTCGCTAGTAATAGGTTGGTACAGCTTGTTTTTCGCTCTTTCGTTCGGTTGTCCGAATTTTGTTGGTATCGCGCGAAAAACCGTCGATTGGGCAACATTTGTGAAGACGCCATTGTCTCTGAGAGGCTCGTACACATATGAGATAAAGACTTGGCCCCAGACAAGGGCACCGACGGACATCCATACTATATTTCTAAATGCCGTCTTTGATCGCGGGCTCTTGGTGCGCGTTTCATCCGAAGTCTGCGTTGAAAGCCATTGATGAGGCGGATGAGCATGTAGCCGGTGCAGCAATCGAGGCTGAGCATGCGCTGCGCCTCGGACACCTCTTAAAAGCTGGCCTCTATGTAGAAACATAACTGTCCTTTTGGACGTCACCAACCTCGCTAAAACACGTTCTCGTGAGTATTCATGATTCAGATTCGGAGTCGACGCGTGATATTAGTAGTTGGAAGTTTGGCGTCTGACGAAGATTGAAAGCGCCTTGAGTAAAGCCCATGGAAGGGCTGAGTCGTTTGACAATCCGCTGCGATTGGATGGCCTGAGACAGGCTGCCTTTCAGCTGAACCGGACTTCTGTGTGTTCATTATCTTGTTACACTTATTGCTAGATGGCGTCGCACAGCCGCATTTCCAGGCTGCACCAAGTAATATGACGTATAGAGGAAGGTAAGCCTGTTTTATTGTCTGTTGGTCTTCTCATTTTTCCAGCCTGTTTTCTCAAATTGCCATCAACGGCCGTTTGCTAGCTCAGCGTAGTACCCCGCACTGCCTAACTTAGCAGAATGCCTTGCCGGGCCAGGTAACGGAAGAAAGCTCCGGACCTCGATCCTGAATATGATAAAAGAGACTGAGAGAATTCAACCTTTTCATTTAAACTATAAATTTCTTTTCTTCGGAAGCCACATCGCTTTTAAGCAATAGCCCAACTCAGCAAGCAAGCGCCCTCTTATTATCCACCTCAGAATAATGCATAGCGTTCGACGTCACCACGTGGTGAGACAACGTCCAGTCCCCTGAAGCTCCAAGCCTCCTCAGCATATTCACAGCGTCGACAAGTGAGTCGTCGATAGCTCCGGGAATACGGGCCTTCATTTGAAGGACAGCGCCGCCTTCGTGGAGTTCATAGTACCAGCACCAATCGCTGACCTCTCTGAGTTTCGAAAGCTGTGCTTCGGGGTTGGGAGCGCTGTCCTTCTTGTGCAAAAAGACATGAATCCATCGTACCTTGGGGCTCATTTTGAGTATGGAGAAGGGATTGTCAGTAAGGCTGCTGATTTGTACTGGAGTTTGAGAGAAATTTGCTGATAGAAAATTGAACAATTTATACTTGCGTGAGCACTGTGAATCAATGGTTCAGAGGGATTCGAACTAAAGTGATGAGCCTAATCAGTGATTGCCGCAATCAGGACTCAGCAATGACAATATGATACATGGCAGTGTTACTGCGACTGCTGTCTCGACTCCTTACGTTCATGAACGGTTGAGCCCGTCACTATTGATTTCTGCAGTCGCTGACCGTCACACAGAAAGAGGATGTCTTGGACATGATTGTTTTTGCTCCGAGTCTTACTGTAAACCGTCATAGTCGTCAATGCAAGACAATGAGGCTTCTTGTGTAAATGCGCGACAACAAACCCTGGTACCCGAGCTTTGAAATTATCCCCGCCCACTTCAGAACTCACACGAGTACCTCTCAAATTCTGTATTTACCAAGAGAGGACATCTAGAGTGGCAGAAGTAGCCTAGACAGGCAGGTCATCTAATGGGGTTGTCACGTGCGGATATACTGAATGCCGAGGTCAACTCAAGCCATGACCATAAATTCACGACTTTACATTTGAGAAAACAGTTCTGTACCCAACATCAAATCAAATCAACACCATGTTGCCAGAAAATTACCTTCTTGCTAGTTCCTTAACCGCAGCCATCCTCTATGGCGTCAAAGCTCGTGCGAGTCCAAGCTACTCGCGGATGATCACCAAAACGCTCGCAGTGTCTCTCCTGGCAATCCTCGTCAAGATTGTGGATGGGCCGACATATCTTCTAGCTGCACTCAGTTTTGGGGCGCTGGGCGATGCGTTCCTTGCTTGGGACTCCGAACCGGCGTTCCTAGCTGGCCTTGGGAGCTTCTTGACATCGCATCTCTGCTACATCACACTTTTCTATCAGACAGGTGCAAAGAGTCTTATTCTGGAAGATCAATCACGCGTCGCTATCGTTATGTCGGCTGTCTTATTGGGTCCCACGATGTTGACGCTGCTGATCCCACGAGTGAACAGCGAGCTTCGCTTACCGATTCTTCTCTATACCTGCGCCATTTTAGGTATGATATTCTCGGCATTGACGATCAAGAGCGACATACTCGCACTGGGAGCTGTTGTATTCACGGTTTCTGATACAATTTTGGCTTCGGGGAGATTTCTTGTGCCTGTTTCATCTTCACATCAAGTCTGGATGGGCTATGCTGTTTGGATTCTGTATTACATCGGGCAATTTATGCTTGCAATGGGCACTCTGGAGCTAGCTGGCATACAACTGAGCACCAGCTGAACTGGGAGAAATGGACGTTGGATGTTATTTCTAGAACAGAGACAGTAGCTATGAAGTGACAGAAAATGGACGAGACGCAAGTTTCAACACTTCTATGGCGCGATTAATTGGCAAGGCAAATTTCATGATACAACACCCCACTCGTTTGGATCGATGGCAAACTTGAAACTCTGTTTGAGGTCAGGATGTGGTCTATGAAGAGCGGAATGGTATGATAGCTTACATCCAGGTTCGCATCAGATTCAGCGCTGTCCTTGTCTTGCATCGATAATTTGATGATCCGCGTCTTCTTCTCTTGCAACTTTAGAACAGTCTATGAAACATTAGTATGAATTATCATCATGGTGAAGTTGGAAAGACTTACATTCTCGATGGACCCGGCCGTTATGTACTTGAAGATCGTGACTGGCCTCTTCTGGCCCATCCGGACGACTCTCGCTATCGCTTGTTCTTCGATGGCTGGGTTCCACTGCGGTTCAACGATATGAACCATATTTGCTTGTGTGAGAGTGAGACTAAAGTGATGTAAGTAATTAAATTCTGGAAGCTGAAGATAAACTTACCCAACTGCGCCAGTGTTGATGGATATGAGAAGAACTCGAATCATTGTGTCCTGGCAGAACTTGGAGAGTAGCTCCGTTCGGCCGGCCAGCGGGTTGCGTCCGTCAACCTGAATAAAGGCAATGCCTTCTGCGCCTAACATCTTTGCTAAGATATCAAGAGTATCTCTCCAACCAGAGAACACGACACTGCACAAATATTAATAACACTGTGCATGACTAACTTCTTGGAGGCTTACCTCTTGGAACCGGGACCCAAACATGATGTCTTGATCTTGTCGACGACTGCTGACATCTTCGAGGATTGCCTCTTCAAGTCACTGCTATCTTTTCCTGAAAGCTCTCTGGTAGGAGGTTCCGGAGTATCGATATCCATCATCATAGATGGAGTTGGAGATGGTGAGGGTGCCAGGGATGAGGTCTCGTCATTCACCTCAAATTGAAGTCGACCGCAGATAGGACAGCTATCAAGGCCACCAACAAGATCAACATTTCCAGACCTCTCATCACAAAACTCACATGTTGGTTCTGCGCTGGGTGATCTCGAGGTCTTCCCCCTTGGCTTGGGTACGGCCAGGTGATTCGTGCATCTTGAGCTGGAGCCGCTTACGGGTATGGCCCCATGGTTACATACCCTCCTGAGCTTCATGATCGCCGAAAACAATATGTTAGACTTTTTGGAGATCCCTTCTTTACCGGCCATCTTGTCAAAATCTTCCTTGCATTGGTCTAGAATGCTGGTGAACACAGAGTTCTCAGTCTCCGTGGGCGCTACATCGACCCGCTCAATGGTGCTGGGCGGGAGGTCCAGCTTCGCTTGCGTTCTCCGTAGGCAACACGCTTTGAGCATAAGTTTCAGGTTTCGAGCCCCGGCAAGCCCTGTCGCCTGACCCTCCTGTTCCTGTCTGAAAGGCTTGACTATGTGCTGTTCAAATAGGTTGCTTTGGCTGAAGGGCTCGAAACGCAGGAACTTCAGGAGTGATCTGAGGTCATCAAAGCTATTCTGAATAGGTGTCCCGGTGAGGCACCATCTTGTGTGACTTTCAAGTGAAGCTGCGGCTTTATGTAGTTTGATTGAAGAGTTTCGTATTTGATGGGCTATTGACATATTCGTCAGAGGAACATCGGTCATTTTGTCACATATCAAGAGACTTACCTTCATCGAGTACGACCCTTGACCAATTTATGGAGTTCAAAATCCCCTTGCCCCGATTGTCTTTTTCTAGGGTATGATACGTTGTGAGGACGATATCATGACCGAGAAGAAGTTCTCGCTTTTTCGGCCGCGCATCTCCGTGGAAAGTGACAGTTTTGAATGTCTGTGGTTGGAATCGCCTGCGCGTGGTTAGTTTGATAGTGGCAGTATATGCTCTGGAATATTCACCTATCAATTTCATTCTGCCAAACGTCAAGCACCTCTTCAGGTTGTCAGTGCATCTTTCTATGCAGTATAGATTCAGGATCGGACCATACGTCGAGAAGGCAAAACAACAAGAGAGATGTTCAGTGGTGCATGATGTCGAGCGCCACTGCTGCTAATGATCTGACTCAATTGCTTCGAGCAAAGAATGGCGCTCAGCATGGTCAACGTTTTACCAAGGCCCATCACATCTGCAAGGATTCCACCGCGGCCCGGTTTCTCTGGACGAGATAGTAAGCTAGAGATATTTCAGGTTAGTTAACCAATCGTTGCGTAGTCAACCAGATTTTAGGATAGGTTACCTATGGTGGATCGACATGAGCATGTTCCTGTGTACTTGAGTGGCTGCCTCTTCGTCCTCACGGCCAAGTATAAACTCGACGCCTTTCAGCTGATGCCTGTTGGTACCCAGAATCAGCCTCTCGTAGTAACTGTGAAACATTCAATAGACGATATACTCTTTCAATGTCGTGTTGAGAAGGAACCGATCCAGAATCGGTTGCAGATCATGGAAACCAATATTTGTTGGCGTGAGATCCTCGGACGAGCCGTCCAATGACTCCATAACCTCGTCAACCTCTTGGGAAATCTTGGACTTGATGTCGCTTTCTCGGGCGCTTGAGCCAACCAAATGTCTGAGGTCGGTCTTCTGAGAAGTTGGGTAGAAGAACTGCGGGTTGATGTATGGGATACCAGGTTCCAGAAATACAGGATGCTGTAGATAAGTGCGATAAGTGCCAATCTCGGACAAGGCGTCATCAACTTCGTCAATCGAGTTCCTAGGGCCGTAGATGTTGACTGAAATATCGATAGCTGGACCCTTTCCGGTTCTTTTCCGCTTGCCACGAAATACATCGACCGCAAGGACCGCTGCGAAGAATTTATCTCCAGATCGTTTAGCTACAATCGTCAGAATCGCAGCTGTATCACAGTCGAGAACTGTCCTCTTCTTGGGGTTGGTTTCCCCATCAGCAACCAAGTAGTAGTTTCTTCCATCAGGCTCGATCTTGAATAAACAATACCTGGCCCACGGCTGTGTCTCATTAGGCATCTGAGTGTGAGGATTCAGAAGAACCTGGGCTCCGCAGATCTGTGGATCAGGACGTCCAGTGTCAGCATTTGAGGATATAGGGTTTCAAGAATCGCCTTACCGCTCCGTAGCATATCCTTTCCTCTCCGAACTCCTGTACAACTGATATGTCGTCTCCAATGCCATCTGTGTCACTTAGCAAATCCAAGTTTATGTCAGAGTCAAAAGAACGAGGTGAATTTGTTCCATCGAAACAAACAGCCTGTCTTTGGGCTTCTCTGTACGAAATACCATTTTCGGCATCATTTTTGGAATCTCTTCGTCTCTTTAGAGGACGCATCATATCGGAATAGATATTTTCTGAGTCGTTTTGACCTCTGCTCAGACTTTTGGGGGCTTGGGACCGTCTTGTGATATTGGCTGTCATTCTTGGTTAGCGGTCAAGCTGAAAAAGCCTTGCCAATTGGCAGCCCTTTCAATCAGGCTGTGTTGGAATACGCGCCGAAAATTACAGCACTGCCCCGCTTGTCACACCCCAGCAGTTGATTCTTCACTCTTGTTGGCTGTGGTTGTCAGCCACGAAACGCGAGTCGGTGTGCCTTGGGTTGAAAGTGAGGCGACGTGCATATTGCTTTTTGATACCAGGCCTGATCCCAAAATTCGCATAGGTCTTTCTTCTCCATCCCTCGTCTATCAACAAGCATAGAGCAACCAACAAACGACCATCTAAAATGGCATCAAATCAACAAACTAGCTTCGAAAGATCTCTAGATCTCTTTCGACGAGAGCTTTCCGATGATCAGGTAAAGCAAATGCATGGAGTCAATCAAAAATCTCTGAACGACACGATCCAGGCAACTCAGAACATACTGGGGCGCAGGAATGATCTGTGCAAATTGACCCGAATCCAGAAGTTTCTACACGCTATGGAACATGTTGAAAAGCTTGTCACAGTATTCCTCAACGCCAGCGACTTCGTGGCTTTTATTTGGGTATCATCACACAATCTATTGAGGCTCTTATGGCACTGACGAGTCACTCCAGGGTCCTATTAAGCTGGCGCTTATGGTCGCCACAACCTGGACAGATGCTATCAGGCAGTTGATTGACGCTTATGAAGAGATCGCAGAAGCGCTAGGCAATCTCGCCTTCTTCCATACCCTCATTCAGAGCAGGAATCACCTGAAATTGGTATTGGAGGATTACTTTTCGGATATCCTTCGCTTTCATCGCTGCGTTCTAGATGTTTTTTCCCGTCCAGGTTAGTACACCTGCCCCTTTGAGTCTCTTAAACACTGTTGATTATTTGGTCCAGAATGGAAGAGAATCTTTAAATGGGCGTGGGGAAGCTTTCGGCGCGAAGTCAAGCCAATTCTCGAAAGTCTCAAACGCAAACATGCTCTTTTATCAGATGACAAGCTGCAATCCCACGCTATCCTCAAGGAAGTCCAAGACTCCGATCAGTACGCTAAGGATCAGTTCAGTAACCTTCAGACAAGTCTCGATGATATAAGGTCTACTTTGGCTTCTGAGCAGTTGCAAAGCAAGGCTTTACAATCTCGGGAAATGAAGACCTACTTGGAGAGTCGACTGGATATTTCAACGTCTCGAACTGACCTTCAGCTAGAATCACAGGATACTGTCGATAAAAATTCTGGCATTTGGATCTTTTCCAATCCAATTTTCAAAAGTTGGGAGGGAGGAAAATCTGCAGAGAAAAGGGTCTTGTTCCTCAATGGCTCCCCTGGTTCTGGTAAGCCCATCTACTTATCTGCAGTTCAAGGATTGTCTGTAGACTGACTCATCGACATCAAGGCAAGACCACGTTAGCCAAGACGATTATTCGTCATCAAAAGCAGAAAGAAGCTTCTGAGGCTCCCGGGCGGTCTTTTCTAGCTTATTTCTTCTTCAAACACAATGCCACGGACCGGAGGACGGCTCGGTCAATGCTCCAACACGTAATCATACAACTTGCTGATGCAGACGAAACTATAATGAGGTTCGCACATGAAAGCCTTTCCACCAAGGACGTCACCGAACTTGCCGATCTCAAGGAACTGGCAAGTGAATGCTTTACATCTAGGCCGAATGCAACGCTTGTTCTTGACGGACTGGACGAGGCGATGGGCAACGAGCAACAAATCTCGGTCAAGTGGTGTCTGGATCAGCTTGTTCCAGCTGCAAGATCCACTGGCTGCCACCTAAGAATCCTGATTTGCGGACAGAGAGACGGAAAGCTCGACTGTATACTATCATCACATCCTCAGATCCGACTGGAGCTAGTAGATGCTCACCAACATGACATTGAGCAGTTCACGAAAGAGCAAGCCGCGAAGATACGAACTAGATTTCGGTTAGCAGCGCCAGAAGAAGAAAACCTGATCTCCAAGATAGCGGGCGCCTCTCGAGGTGCGAATTTTAATCGACATGCCGCTCATAATACTGACCTTTCTAGGGATGTTTCTATATGCAAGAGTGGTCCTTGATAATCTTGCAGCCATGGACTCAAAACGGGACTTTAAAGACGAACTGGAAAGTGACGCTTTCCCGAAAGATCTTGATCAAGCGTAAGCTGGACAAAGATTTCAGAGATTATGCGAGATTGCTAACAAAGTCAGTTATGATCGTATCACTCAACGTATTCTGCAAAACAACCGGCCCTCACGCGACACAAGCGTAAAGAGGATCCTGGGCTGGATTATTTGTGCCGCAAGGCCCCTTCGATGGCGCGAAATACAGTCCAGATTCTGCATCGACGCAGAACAGCAGATTTGTGATATTGATAACCTTCGTCTAGACAGCTGCAAACAGATTTGCAGCTCTTTTGTTGACGTGACGGATTGCGAGTTGTTCCCACGCATTGAATCCGAACAGGTTGTCACCATGGTTCACGAAACAGCAACCAAGTGAGACCATGTACCAGCTTTTAGACATTGAAAGTAGCTGACATCCTCACAGATATCTCATTCGCAACAAGACGATAAATCTGCTCGAGGAGCATATTGACATGGCTCTTTTTTGTTGTCAGTATTTATCATCTCGACCTTTTACTACAAGTAAGAGCCAAGATATCAGTGCCGACATTCATTCAGGCTATTTTGGGTTCTTGGACTACGCCGCTGCTCACTATGCCGCCCACGTACATGAGGTTGAGGCTCCAGAGGTTTCGACGGATTCAGCACCTAAACTTGAGTCTGTCGAAGCAGCAACAGCTGATTTGGCAAAAGCACATGGCAAAGAGGCCTCTGTCGAGACGGGAGAAATTGCGAAGGCAGCTGAGAACTTGCACTTTGCCATTCAAGATAATGTGCTCGCTGTGCGAAACCTTATCAGTCTGCAACGACAGAAGTCTGGAAGCGCCTTTTTTGATGCAACTGAGGGGCCAATCAGGCACAAGTGTCATAAGATACAATGCTCCAAGTTTGCCACGGGATTTTCAAACAACTCTGCACTCAAGGAGCACATAGCAGTACATGAGAGGCCATTCAGGTGCCCTCATTCTGATTGTTTTGCACATATCATTGGCTACGTTTCCCCAAGGCGACTAGAAAGTCATAACGAGACCTTTCACCAGAGCGTATCCAGAGCTAAAGCTTTCTTTCCCGCTGAACTTAAGGCTGGCAAATGGAACCTTGTTGAAGCTTGCAAGGCTGGCGACCTTGATGAGGTTAAAAGATTCCACCAAGGGGGAGCTGATCTCGAAGGTCCTCGGGAAAACCTTGTCACCCCCCTGTATGCTGCTGCTGAGGCTGGGCATGGCCCAGTTTGCAAGTACCTCGTCGACAACGGGGTGCGGCCCTTGTTTCAAACATATGATAAGAGATCCACAAGAAATCCAATCAGTGGAGTGATCAAAGGGTCGCATCTAGAGATCTTGGAATTCTTTCTTCACAGCGGCAATGGCCCGGACGATTCCCAGCTGGCAAAAGCTATTGCCCAGGCGATACACGCAAACCATTCAGGCGCATTGAACATGATTCTGACCACACGACAGCCAAGAGACCGTGTCAAGGTGATAAAGTTGGTTCCACGCGAGATAATATACCATACCGACAGGGGGTTGGTCGGAGAAAAATCTCACTTACTAGAAGCCACCCTGATACATACTTGGTTCCAATATGTCAACCCAGAGTTCTACGACGAAAAAGGGGCAATCATTTCACAGTCTGACAGTGCAGAGCATAAGATCTGGGGAGACATCTTTTTTCGACGACTCGAGTTCTTCCACAGGACCCTTCGTAATGGATGTTACTCTCTTGCCACGTTCCTAATGGATATCTGGAATGTTGACTATCTCCAAATCAAAAGTGAGGATGGGGATACACCATTGCATTCTTGCATCGAAGGAATATGCGAAGAGGACTGTAGTAGCTGTATATCCATGATTCGGCGCCTTCTTCAATACGACGGTGGCAAATTCGCCAATATTACAGACAGTGGTGGCAGCCTAGCAGCACATATAGCATTGAGTCGCGGTGTCCCACAAGCTGTTCTGCGGGTTGTTCTTGATAATACCGGAGATATCAACCACAGGGACAACTCAGGACAAAGTCTGCTGCATGCGGCAACATCTGCTGGCTCAATTCGCGTGCTACTGGAGAACGAGTCTGTTGATCTCTGGAGTACCAACAACAAAGGACGGACCGCATTTTCAGCATTTATCAAGCGTATTTACGCTGTCGAGGTCGAGGTTCTCGGCCATCTTTTGGAAGCAGACCCAAGGCTTGCATGGACACCAGACAAATCCGAGGAGGGACTCACGCCTCTCCATTATGCAATGAAGGATTTGAAACTCGATGAGTTTTACTCATATGATCTACAAACCTCAGCCAGAGCCGCCGAGTTCTTACTAATGTGCACCGAAGTGGAACGAGTCTTGGTGGCATATCAAGCCAAGTCAACGGATGCCGATCGGAGAAACGTGCGAGCCTTCGCAGAGGAGGAAAACTTACAGCAAGCACTGGAAATAATGGATTCCATTGGTTTCAACACTGCATGATGTGAGAGCATAGGCAGAGATAAGCCACACATATGCCACGGTATGTTCATCTTGTCCTCGCTGATACGACATAAATTGAGTCCAAAGTTGGAGAACACAGTATCTGATGGACTATGACGTACTATCCGCTATTACATGGTCGTAAATTTCAGACTTCAAAGGAAGTTTCAGCTTAGCACAAAGGCAAAGGGCACAAATAGTTCGTAGGCTGCTTCTACATGATACATCGCCCGATTGGCAAGCAACCTACATATATAGCAGGATCAGTAGGGGTTTTTCCAAATACTAACCCCTATGCTGTTCAATTGGAGCAGAATGCCCTGTCTTAGATATTCGATAACATGGTGAGTCCCGCTGTCTCACCTCAAGTCGCAATGGTTGGCTACAACAGTAGGTGAATGTCTATTTTCTTTTTAAGAAGCTTGGAGAACTGCATACATTTATCAGCAGTCAACGTTGGTTATACTCCTGCTAGTTCGAGCGAGAGTCTGGGGATGAAATCTTATGCGAGCCAATTGGGATTGATTCTTCGCAGCGTCAGCCCTCAGCCGCTGGCAACCAATCACTTGCTCATCAGAACATCCTGCCATACAACTCGCGAGCATGTAGCCGGCTTATGCAGCTCAGGGAAGTAATATCACAGTCAATTAAGCCCGCCATTCCCATTCGGCTTGCCTGTCGAAGCAGATTCCTGCATCAAAATTACGGCTAATGGCAACGAGTTGACCTTTTATATACCCCAATGGCAATCTACCGATGACATTTCAGGCAACAGCCTGTACCAAACGTACTGTGTGTGTACGGTAATCGTCTTTTAGCGGTACTAGAACTTAACCTTATACGCGGCAGTCATCCCCATAGCGCTGGGCTTGTAAATAATGTAGCTAGAGGACGAGGATCCTCGAGTAAGATTACTATTACACACTCTCTCTTTTATCGCCTCAAGACCTTAGAGCCAATCGTCTAAATCAACTGATCTTCCTCGAGTTACACAGACTTGCGTCTTTCTTCATGCTGGGGCTGGCAACCTTATCTTGGCCACAATACCTTCTAAACCGAGCCAACGCCAATTAAGAGAACGTCCCATATTGGAATAGCCTGACAACCGCCTCAGAGGCCAAATACAGATCAAGGCGATCATCCGTTGCTACCTACCTGAACATATAGACTCCAAGTCTTGGTGGTGGAGGTTCACCAAGGTACGCCAGTCTGGGAGGCGAACCAATAGCGACGCGTCCTGATGAGTACAAGATTAAAGCTGCATATCGCTTGTGCAACTTACCCTGTGCTGTAACTCCGTAGGAAGGCGACATGTTTGTCTTGTGGCTTGCAAGGATCGGCGTCTCGATTTGTTGCGAACAAACGCGACGAAATATCAAGACCTCCGGCGGCAATTTATTTAGATATCGTGGTTGTAGAGATGAATTCATGTACTCGACGGACTTTGAGATTCAGATTTCGTTCCATAATGATCAGCTCGCGTCAATCGGCAACTTTCCAGCTATGTTTCATTGCAGCTGCCAGCACCAGTCCATCTCGAACGCAACCTAACCTAGACCCCAGATACGGCTCCAGATGACAGCTTAAAGAGGAGATGGCAACTAATGCAACACAAACCACGTGGAATCCGATTTTGACGGATGCAAGTCTGGGGCAACCCTCCCAAGCTCCTCAAGCATCCATCACCAGCTGGTTTCAGCCTTTATTCTGCATCTCAGCTAGTGACAGACACCAGGATACTTTATCCGGACTGTTGGGACTGTCTAACTTAACGCTCCTATAAGAATTAAACCATAACATTAACTCTAAATGACTACTTTAAAAGAACATTCTATACGCGCAAATCAGAAAGTGTCGTCCGGAAATAAAGGCGCCGGAGTTACCCTGCATTTGCCTGATTGCCCTCAGGCGCAAGAAAACCCCTAACACTGGATCAACATATCAAAAATACTCGATCAACAACTCCCCCAAATTTAAGCCTGGGTTTACCCATTGCTTTGTGTCACTTATGATAAAAGCTCCCAGTTTTCTTCCCCTCCCATCCAATGCTTCTCGAAGGATCAACGGCAAGGAATGCCGCTGCTGGCCTCCACCGTGGCTCACAACCCGATAGGTGCAATAACTCGACGCTAGCACCAGCGCGTCAAGCATCAATTGGCGCGCCTGTGAGAGCGCCTTGTTACAGGTTCTGGGGTTCTGGACTTTTCGCATGGCCCACGTGAGATTCGCAGGGGACGGAGATGGGAGGATGGGGTAGCATCAGCAGGGCAGCCCTCCAATTTTGATTTCTGTGGTGCGTTTTAACCGGGTCTTGTATGATTCGCTCGCATGTTCAATTCCCCAGCTTTTCTCCAGTGGGAGTGAGGAATAACCGTATACACTGGAGAATTGTGACCCGCCTTTCCCCAGACATAACAACCTTCTTCTTTTTCTTCCTTCTTTTGTTCTCTTTTTCTTGTGAGCAGGTAGTTGGTCTGGGTATTCGGCACATAGACTCCCGGCTCGGTATGTTCCCCAGGAGGAGAGACACCTCGGCTCGGCAGTAAATACCACGAACCTCGTGAGCAAAGCGTGGAGATGTTGGAGTAAAACGGGGAAATTAAGACCGATGCATTGCAACCCTGCTCCCCAATCCTGGCAGTAAACCCCGAAGCTCACGTTCCCGCCGGAGTCGCGCCGTAGTGGTGTCTTGATCCGGGGTCGACTCTGCGGGGAAACTCGTCGTCTATTGGTCCCCAGTCTCCAATCTCCCTCGCCATTCGTGCGTCTAACCCCAGATGCCTAAATCCATTATTACCCCAGCACTAAAGAATGCACGCTACGTATCATCGCCCGAAAAACCCTCTTTTTGCCGGTTACTCTTTAGCTTAGAGGTACTTTTTGAAGAATGCTACTCTACTCTGCTAGGACTAGGACAAGGATCCATTCGATCGGCATGTTCCCAAGGCGACGTTTCAATTTTTCTTATAAAGCGTCAACGCTCGGCACCGTTGCATTTGCTCTCCTCTTCTCGACTCATTCTCAATCATTGTTGATATCCTGTGAAAAGTCAACATGAGCACCAACGACGATAACAAGGGCATCTCAGAGGTCAAGGGCGACGGCGCCCACATCGACCATGCCTACGATGTCGAGGCAAAGAAGGAGATGGCCGCTGATATGCAGGGCGCCATCGACGCCGAGAACGCGGAGCATAACATGACCGTTCTCGAGGCCGTTAGAGCTTATCCCGCTGCTTCTCTCTGGGCCTTCAACATGTCCTGCACAATTGTACGCCGCGCCCCCAAACTCTGTGTTACCCGAATTGGCTAATTTGATTGGTTGCTGTAGATCATGGAGGCTTACTGTGTTTTCCTCATCGGCAACTTCATCGCCCTCCCCGCTTTCGCCGACAGATACGGTATCTGGAGTGACACCAAGGGCAAATATGTCATCGAGACAAAGTGGCAATCCGCCCTCCAAGTCGGTGGCCCCATCGGCGCCATCATCGGTGTCACCATCGCCGGTCCCATAACCAGCCGTATCGGATACCGATGGGCAACCATCCTCGGTCTCATGCTCCTCAACGCCTTCATCTTCATCTTCTACTTTGCCGACTCTCTGCCCGTCATGCTCGTCGCTCAGCTCCTCGAGGGTATCCCCTGGGGTATCTTCATCGCCAACTCTCCTGCCTACTGTTCCGAGATCGTGCCGCTTCAGCTTCGTGCGCCTGCTACGCAGATGCTTCAGATGTTCTGGGCCATTGGTGCGATTATCGTCGGTGCTGTTGCTTATCGCTACAATGATCTCCATGAGCAGGCTGCTTTCCGGTATGTTTCTTCGATTCCCCTCACCAATCTCTCAATTCGCTAATGAAATCCCAGTGTGCCCATTGCTCTTCAGTGGATGTTCCCTACTCCCCTCGCCATTCTCATCTTCCTCTCCCCCGAGTCTCCCTGGTGGCTCGTCCGAAAGGGTCGTCTCGAAGAGGCTGCTAAGGCCGTTCGACGTCTCGGACGTTCTACCCACGTCGACAACGCCCAGGAAGCTATTGCCATGATGAGACGTACCATTGATCTCGAGAAGACCGTCAAGGAGCCCAGCTTTATTGAACTGTTCCAGGGCGTTGATGCTTACCGTACTGCCATCGTTTGCTGCGTCTATGCCGCTCAGAACCTTACTGGTAACCTGATTGCTAACCAGGCTGTCTACTTCTTCGAGCGTAAGTGAAATCTCATGTGAGATCTGATGAACTGTACTGACTTCTTTACAGAGGCCGGTATGCCTAACAAGACCGCTTTTGCTATGGGTCTCATCACCTCCGCTCTCCAGACCGTCTTCGTCATGCTTTCTTGGATTCTCACTAGTTACTTCGGTCGACGATCCATTTACCTCTGGGGTTCTCTCGGAAACACTGTTCTTCTGGTCGCTCTCGGTATCGCCGCCACAGTCGGCGATGTCAAATCCACCGTCAACTCCAACACCCAGGCTGCCCTCGGCCTCATTGTCTCCGTCCTCTTCACCCTCGGACCCGCTCCCGCCTCTTGGGTCATCATCGGAGAGACCTCTGCCATTCGTCTTCGACCTCTCACCACTGGTGTCGGCCGTGGCTGCTACTACCTCGTCAACATCCCCTGTATCTTCCTCTCCTCATGGATGCTTAACCCTACCGTAAGTTCACCATCTCCGGACTTCTCAAATCAGCCACTAACAGTGTACAGGGCGCCAACCTCGGTGGCAAGTGCGGTTATGTCTGGGCTGGTACCGGTTTCGTCTGCTTGGTCATGGCATACATCTGGCTTCCTGAGATGAAGAACCGATCTTACCGAGAGATCGACATTCTCTTCAAGCGCAAGGTTCAGGCCCGCAAGTGGAAGAAGACTGTCATCGATGTCCACGACGACGAGTAGATGTTGCCCCTCTCAAGAGGAGAGCAGCGTGGCTTCTTATGGTGGAAGATCAAGCTGGATACCTCGTGTTGCTCTGTTTATTTAAGCGGCTGGATTATGTACGTGGTTTTG